TTCGGCGACATGATTGGCCAAGTGACATTGTGCTCATTATTTTCCCGACAGACTTTATAAAAATATGTAATAGGTTGTACAGTAAATAAGCGGAAGCTAAGTAGATGTTTGGTATTTTGCAAAACACTACAGGTTGATTCTTTCATTATTCACGTACTACAGCCGATATTATTTTACAATGTTTGCGAAAACGGCCTCGTTCGATTACGTATGATAATCACAAAGAGCGGAAAAACAATCATGACGTTTGTGGAAGGTCAACGACTAGCCTCGAGTGCACGAAAACACCAAAATTTGTGGAGGCTCGCAAAGAAGGCGGGCCAGGTTGGCGTTTCTTTTATCAAAGAAAAATGGTCTCGTCGGGATCACCAATTGCAAATTGTTTCGACGAAATGTGTCCTTTTACTTACATTTTGAAAAAAAAATTACGCAAAATGCCTCATCGACTACTGTTTCAGACGTGGCAGGCCCGGGCCTCGGGAATATTGAAAAAGCCGGGGCCGGATCTGGCTTTGTCAAGGGGCCAGACCTTTTTCATCAAAAAATTTCTTGAGTCTGAATGAAGAAGGTCTTTAAAAATTGGTAATTGAAGGTGGTACTAGTCGCGACATAAAGTCCTGACACATTTGCACAGTGCATTTTGTTTTTCTTTCGGACCCGTCGCGGCAATTCCCCGTTTTTGCACTAGCGACATGCACTTTCGCGCGAGTTCGCCACTTTTCTCGCGCGACAACCGCGACAAAATGTGTCAGGACTTTATGTCGCGACTAGTAGACTGAGAATGCAAGATTATTTTTTACGAAGAATGGAGCGCGCAGAATTTTAGGTTTTGTCCCGGCTAGCCAAGAAAAAACAGCAAAAAAATTTGAACAAAGTTTTATACCTGACGAAACGCCACATAGACATAGAAGGATCGATAAAATATTGATCAGGAAATACCTTGAATTAAGTCGCGCCACAAAGTCCTACCACATTTGTCCGCGGGTGTCGCGCGAGAATATTGGCGCACGAAAGCGCAGGTCGCTAGTGCAAAAACGGGTGCCGCGACGGGCGCGAAAGGAAAAAACGCACTGTGCAAATGTGTCAGGACTTTATGGCGAGACTAGTACGCTGAATTGACGTGGGCCGGGCCGGAAATTTTCCATCTCAAGGCCCGAAGCTCGGCACCAAAAATTAGGTCGAGCCTCAAGCCCGTTTTTTCGAGATTTCCGAAGCCTGGCGGTACGGTAGGCGTACATACATTGTGAATTTTTTGCTCGCTTTCCGTGCAAACACTTCAACCTTTTGACCCACTTATCAGTCCGTCGGGAAAATAATGAGCTCTCTGTCGCAGCGAAAAGCATCGCCTCCGAGAAAATTAATTGTGCCGCGGCAAAATCAAATCTCTTTTCACTTCAGCGACACGATCGACACACAACATTGTGCTCATTATTTTCCCGACAGACTAATATAGTATCAATTCTAACCCCGAATTCCTCGTACAACCCAACCCGCCACCTGACAAAGAGTACGTAAATGAGAGCCGAGAGGCTTCCAACTGTCGGCTTCGTCGCGAATTTATGCAAATCCGTCTGCCCTTCATTCCGTTGGTCCGTTTTTATAAATCACAGTACAAGTTGAACAAAAAATTGATAATCTTCACGTTCAATTTTTGCTGCTAATGACGTCATCAACAAGTTGAATTTTGGCTTTTGGAACAGAAAATTTTTGTTGGTAATTTTTTAAAGGTTTGAATTGCAAATTTATGCAGCTTTTTAACGGATTACCAGCGTGTCTTGTGATCGGAGTGAGCGTTGAATTTTTAATGAAACTTCAAGTTGTGAAAGACAGAGAGGAACTGGCTATAGCCGACCAAAGGGATCGAAAAACCATGTGATCCACTAAGTGGCGCTAAGACATTTCGAGTCAGCGACAGTTCGGGCCAACGATACCACGCACGGCAAACCGAAATACAGGTGTTTCAAGAATTAAAATGTGTGGAAAAAACTATTCGTTAATAACTTTGTGGTCGGTGGTCCAATCCGAATTTTTTTTTGCATTTTGCAGAAAAACCTTGGAGTTTTCAGAATCATAAAAAAATTTTTTGTTTTATCGGCGGAGACGTCCGTAATCCGCCTTGAATTCGGCGGAGTGCTTTTTTCACAAACGAGGCTGTAAAAATGGGTTCATTTCTTTTCTCCGCCGATTTCTCCGCCGAATTGCCTTTTTTCTTCTCGCAGTGGTCCGAAGACGTAATAAGTCGTATTTAGGCGCCATGCCACCAGGAATACCATACGTTTTTGGTTTTAGCCAATTTTGACTCTCCAAAGTCAAAGAAAAATCGTCCGCCGAGGTTAAAAAATGTTTCCGCCGAATGACAAAAATTTGAAATAAATGTCATATTGTATCTTCTGGATCCTTTCCCGACCATTCTCTTCACACAACAACAATTTACAGCCTCATTTGTGAAAAAAACACTCCGCCGAATTCAAGGCGCAAAAAAAAACTTTTAAAACAAAAAAAAATTTTTTGATTCTAAAAACTCAAAGGTTTTCCTGTAAAATGCAAAAAAAATTTTCGGATTGGACCACCGAGCGCAAAGTTATTAATGAATAGTTTTTTTTCCATAATTCTAGGAACGCCCCGTAGGACAAAAATGTCTCCCGCCCACTTTTGAGTTTCGCCCAAACGAAGTGTCACAACTGACAAAAGCAATAAAATAAATTATTTCGAGAAAAATATTTTTCCATCGAAAAACCACACGAAGAATTCTGTTGTGGCATTTCGTGTGAATTTGTTCGATACTGGGTGTGCGAAACGAGGAGCGAGACTCCCTGGGTTGCCGTGCCACGGATCGGTCTTCCTCCGCATGTCCGATTCCACCTTCGGTCAGAAAAGAAATTCAACGATGGCTGTGGTCTTGCGGTGCTCTTATCTATCGATCACCTTACGCTGTTGATTCTACCTGAAAAGACTTGGCCTTCCAAGTGGAAGGTTGCGTATATGGAAGTCGGGTGATCGAAGATTATCGTTCCCCTGTTATATGAACACGAGAATAAAGAGAGGTCAACTTGAATATGATGAATTTATCAATGAAACAACAAAATACAATAAGGCTTAAATAAAAACACAATTACTCAAAACAACAACACAATAAAACTACTTCAAATCAACACAACTTAACAACAACACTTCACACAACAACAACTCCCCCTCGACACTAAATATAACCGATCAAGATGGGATAAAACCTCGGAGAAGGTTACGGTGTCGTGAATCAGCCGCTTCGCTTCGGTATCTCTCCATCGAACATTCTCGAACATCGGGGAAAAACAACTAGGGAAACAATTGACACAGGGGACATCTCTCTCTCTCCATAAATTACATCGAGTTGACACATCGTGGATAACACCAGGTTCCGTGGAATCTGACACCGCACATATTTATGTCCATTTTCAGACGGAAGTCAAGTCTTTATGGACTGAAATACCCAGGGGCCTGTCCCACTAACAAAGCGTAGCGCGAATCACGAATTGGAAGCGCGAAAAATCATGCAAAAGCGAGAGAGGTGAGAGAAAAAGCGGGCTCTCTCGGAAATCCGCGCTACGGTTTTTTGTGCAAAATACCGAAAATTTTTTACTTTTTTTGCCGTAACTCCTTTCAATGATGTCCGATTTACATGATTTTAAAAACCGTGAACAGAGGAGACCCACAGCTTCTAGAAAATTTAAATTTTGTTTGCTTTAACGCGGATTAAGGCTCCCCGCCAAGACGAATTACAATTCCCTCATAGAGAATCATGATTCGAAGTCATATTTTCAAAAAAAACTTATCATTAGCTATTTATCGTAACTTCCACAGCTCATATGCGAATTTATCAACCCGAGCTGCCCCACCCAAGCCCAATTTTTGGTCTTCCCTTGCCATATGAAAGCAACTTTTTTGTTATAAAACGAATTATGACAAGGGGTGACTAAAATTGGGTGTAAGAGGGGTAGTATGGCTTGAATAGTTTGTTTCAACGTCTCTGAGGAATGAGTGGAGAATTTATCTATATTTTTTTTTTCCAAAACAAACCTTTTTGTCACCGAGCAAATTATGACAAGAGGAGACCAAACATTGGGCTTGGGAGGGGCAACCGGGTTGATAAATTCGCATATGAGCTGTGGAAGTTACGATAAATAGCTAATGATAAGTTTTTTTGAAAAAATGACTTCGAATCATGATTCTCTATGAGGAAATTGTAATTCGTCTTGGCGGGAAGCCTTAATCCGCGTTAAAGCAAACAAAATTTACATTTTCTAGAAGCTGTGGGTCTCCTCTGTTCACGGTTTTTAAAATCATGTAAATCGGACATCATTGAAAGGAGTTACGGCAAAAAAAGTAAAAAATTTTCGGTATTTTGCACAAAAAAACCGTAGCGCGGATTTCCGAGAGAGCCCGCTTTTTCTCTCACCTCTCTCGCTTTTGCATGATTTTTCGCGCTTCCAATTCGTGATTCGCGCTACGCTTTGTTAGTGGGACAAGCCCCAGGTTCTCCAGATGATTTCCTAATCTTTGGCCAACACAATTTGCAAAGAACAGTAATGCTCTCATTACAGCTAACTTCATCTTCATTCTTGTTAGTCAGCATTCAAAACTACCGACGTATCCTTTTACGAACATGTTCGTAATGCACTAATCATGATTTTTCGTTGAGATTCCCCCGCAATTGTCATCATTTCCCGTAATCAGCGTGCCATTCAACATAATTCTCCGAAACATTCGGCAGCATCTTGTTAATTCGGACTTGAGGATGACATAAGTGCGGCCCCCGCTTGTAATGCGGCCAATGGTCGGACAAGAAATAAAAAAATTATATATATTTTTTTTTTTTTGAAATCTTGTTTGACGCACCAAAAATTTTGTCATAGCACCTGAAAATAGCCGCATGAAGTAAGCGAAAATTCGAATGCCCCCTAATTGGAGGTGTATATAAGGAGTGTGGAGAGTATTTGCCGAAAATTCTCGCGACCAAAAACATGCTCACCTACTGTAGATTTGTGATCCTCATCGTGGGAGTGAATGTGATGTGAGTTTCGAAGGCAATTTGTCTCAAGAAATTGAATTTTGAATGGGAAAAATTTTGTTGATTGGTAGAAAATGTCGAAAATTTTGCATAATTTTTTAGTAATTTTGTTAAAATACGATTTTTCTAACACTCGAGCGCACCTTTATTGGCCGGCTACACGAACATTCAGACTGCTCCAAACCCAGCGAAACTTTCAAATCTGTGCCTATGGACAGTTCTAAGAAACTTTCCAGTTAACTTTTTTTGATTACTTACCGTAGTCCGGGTTACTGTAACTTGACCTCAAAATTTATATCTCGATAACCAGACGTCGTAGAAGGACGGGACCTTCACCATTATGTTCCTCGTGCAAAATAACATGTTTTTAATTAAAATTTAAAAAAATTACACATAAAAAACCCGTTAAAAATTCGAAAATTTGCATATTTTTCAGATGTTTAAAAATTTATGTTTTTTATAGCTTTTGTTTAGAACCCGAGATTTCATTAGTATTTTACCGCTCGTAAATAATATTTTCTACTAAATTTTACAAATGATTTTCAGCTCATTATCAGCACAAAGCCGCGCCGCCACCTGGAAGTCCGCTCTGAATTTTGGGCCCGACTTCGAGAAGGATTGGATTCAGATGGGAGAGTAAGGAAGAAAAACGTAAATTTTTTGTCAGTCTGTCGGGAAAATACAGTGAAGGACCCAATCCAGTGGCAAAAAAAGTACCATTTTGCATCCGGGAAGCATCAAAAAGGTGGCAAAATGCTTCCCTCTCCAAAAGAAAAAGCGTTGTTTTGAAACTTTCCGATCGCATCGCTGAAATGAAAAGCAATTTGATTTTGTCGCAAGACAATTCATTTTCTCGACGGCGATGCCATTTTCGATGCGACAAAGCGCTCATTATTTTCCCGACAGACTGGTATAAAAATTTTTTATTCTTTTTTCCATATAAAAAATTCCAGGAGCTCCGAGAAACGCGAACCGAACGCGCCGCGTCCGAAGCCCGAGATCGCCAAGGAGAGTCTGCGCGGAATGATGTCGGATGAGCCGATCGGGTCGGGGAAGCTGGCCTCCAAGAACTGCTTCTTCTCGCCCGTCCAGTGCAGCTTCTTCTACAAACGCAACTACGACCCCTTCCCTTATAGCCGTTTTGTCTAAAACATCGCAAAGTTATACATATTTATCCGTTTGACTTCTTGGCCGAAAAAATAAAGTTGTTAATAATTAAAAAAGGTAAAAGTTCCTTATTTTGGCCACAACTTATAACTTTGCGGAAACTGGTCGGAATTAGCCCAAATTTAGCGTGCACGCTCAATTCATCGTTGTCAATGCCCGGACAGTGCATTTAGTTAGTGAGGTACCTTCTTTTTTCAGTACCACCTTACCCTTCAAAAACGGCTGCAGCCTGTGATTTTACACTTTATACGATGAAACATGTCCGGAATAAACTTATCGCCTCCGTATGGAACTAAATGAGTCGTTACAGCCTTCGTAGGTACCCTTAAAACTATAGAGCTAATATTATACTAGTCGTTCCAGAAAGTGAGTGCACTTTTTTCGCGGCGCACAGTGCATTTTTCTTCTTTTTGCACTGTGGAATTGTCGTCGCGCGCCCAAAATGCGCGGCGACAGAGTTGAAAAAAGCTTATGTCGCTGCGATTTTTCGAATTACACGGTGCAAAAGGTCAAATGCACAGTGCGGAAAATTTGCGACGAAAGGTGCACGCACTTTCTGGAACGCCTAGTAGTAATTCAGTGCCAGCTAGGTCGAAGCGTTTTTTCCTAACTTTAGCGCCCAAGCTTGGGCGCAGTTCGCGGAGTACAGGGTGGGCCACTAAAACCTTCCGTCCTCTTTTTTTAGATTTCTCCGCGGATACTGCGCCGATTTTCATGAAATTTAGGTTTTTCTGGAGCTGAGATTCGCCATTTTCAACCGATTGAATTTCAGGAAAAAATATTCTGAATTTACTTTACTATGCCTTCCCAAAGTTTTTGAAAATTATTTTCGAGCCGAAACCGCTAAAACTTTGAAAATTTTTGGAATGATTTTCAATTGACTTTCTCGGACTTGGAAAATTTCGGGCTTTTTTCGGTAAAATCGTGGAGTAAAAAGTTCCGTACGCTTTCTCTAAACTTTGCTTAAAGCAAGTTAAAAGCAAAAAAAGTGTTGTCTGTATTACCGTTAGGGTATGAATGTTGAAAAAAAAAATTTTTTTTTTCAACAAGAGTGAAAAAGTCCACATTAAGGCTACAAGCCATGGCTTGGGGCATTGAGGCTTAGCCAGGCTCGATTGAAGTTAAACCATGCTCACGATCCGCAATTCGAGCTGTTCTTAACTTTCAAAGCCCCTACAAGTTCGTGCTGCAAGAATAGGTGGACACGTCGAACTCAGATAGAAATATTAATAATCAAATTTTTAAATAGATTAGTTTTTACAACAGTATTTTGCAAATATATGAGGCAAACCAAATAAGATTTCACCCAAAAAACCGAAAAAATGACCGAGTTTTCAAAATCATTCCTAAAATTTTCTAAGTTTTAGCGGTTTCGGCTCGAAAATAATTTTCAAAAACTTTGGAAAGGCATAGAAAGGTCAATTGAGGATATTTTTTTTTCAAATTCAACCGGTTGAAAATGGCGCATCTCAGCTCCAGAAAAATCTAAATTTCATGAAGATCAGCGCAGTCTCCGCGGAGAAATCTAAAAAAAGAGGACGGAAGGTTTTAGTGGCCCACCCTGTACCTTTTGTTGTTGTGAGGCGGAACGACCGAGCTTCGAGGATTTTCCCACGAGGAACGATCTACATTTATTCAAATTTGATTGTACTTTCCTACGTGGGGCTTCCCTATAAAAGGGCCTCCTTTCCACTGAATAAATCACTTGACCCTTGAGCGTCTCGTCATCGTTACTGGGTTGTCGGGCCTTTCGACAGTTGTGGCCAAAATAAGGAACTTTTTCCTTAAAACAATTCGTTTTTTAATAATGAATTTTTCATTTTCACAAAGTTCCTGGACATGTTTTCGCTTTCGCACAGTGCAGCTTGAACCTTTGTCGCTAACGCACTGTGGATTTTGGCCTTTGCGCACCGTGCAAACCTCAAAAAAAGCCGATTGCACTGTGCAGATTTTTGAGCAAAGCCTCAGCGGCGCAGTTGAGAAAAGCTTACGTCGCAGCGATATTTCTCGCTTTTTGCAGCAAAAAAAACCAATCTGCACTGTGCAAACCGCACTTTTTGGGCTGAATGCACTGTGCAAAGCATTTTTTCGGGCTCATGCACAGTGCAGAGTCGCAGAAAATCCCAAGGACTTTTTTGCACCGTGCAATCGGCTTTTTGGGTTGTCGCTCGCACCCTGACGTTTTTTCGCACTGTGCAAACGCTAAAAATGAAACCGGCGACATTGCACTGTGCGAAAACAAAAGTTTTCTTTGCACTGTGCAATTTCTTGCTTTTCGCACCGTGCAATAGGCTTTTTTTGGGCTGTCGCTCGCACCTTGAATTTTTTTGCACAGTGCAAACGTCAAAAATAGTCTGGCGATTTCCCGGAAAGACTAGAAGCCCAAAAATAAAATTCGATTTTTTCCGAACTGCGCCCGAGCTTAGACTGGCAACTTTCGAATTTGACAAAAGTTGAAAAAAATGTCAAAATAAAATTTTCCACGCACACATACGACAGCTTTGGCATGCTATTACCATGATTTTAAAGTCGAAAAATTCGATATTTTCCTGTAATTTGATTTTTTTTTAATTCGAATTTTCCAATTTTTCCGAACAAAAATCTCAATATTTTCTGCAAACCGCAAAAAAATCCTAATTCAAATTTGAACTCATCAAAATAAAATAAAAAAAATCCAAAAATTCTCATAAATTCTATTTATCCTCTAAATACTTGTTAAAAAATGCCAAAAAAATGCAAAAATCAAAAAGACATATCACAATTGGGCTGAAAAAATGGAAAGGATAAAAAAGATTTCTCAGAATTATTACTTATAAACCTCGATTTGAAGACTTTTTAGCTGAGAAGGTAGTACAGCAAGGCAAGGATGGCGACGACAACAACCGGGAACCCGTATGTTTCCAGGGGGCTTTGAGCGGATTTCTTGGTGCCAGCGCTGGTGGGAGAGGGCTTCTTGTCGTAGGAGTATTGCCAGTGCTCTTCTTCCACCACTTCGCCCACCAAATAGTCTTCTCTTAGGGTGCGGGCGTCCGAAGAATGGCCAATATCTTCGAAAGCTTCGGTACGATCTTCGCCCGCCTTCTCGAGGAGCACCTCACAGCCACCTGGATGCTGAAAAAGTTGTAATTAGCAAGGAAATTTGAGTGAAATTCGGAAAAACTGCAAAAAATGCAAAAAAAAATCAAAATTTGAAAAAAATCTCAATTTTTTCGGAAAAACGCCCAAGAAAAATGCTTTGCTATTGCCATATAAGGCACATTATAGACGGATTTTGTTGTTATTTACTCTCGGGTGTGGCATTGAGAGAAAATTCTGTGGTTTGGAAGAGTGATCCTGATTTTCAGGGATTTCGTGTCGGGACCCGGAATTTGGAGAGATTTTCCTGAAAATCAGCGAAGATATTGGGAAAATGGGATGAAATACGACGTGTTTAGGGTGTCACAGGGATATAAGATCAAAAAATGTCAATTTTGGAAGGTTTCGTGGTGAGACTTGAGTCCCGAAGCGATCTCCCTGAGGTTCAGGGAAGTTGACAAAAATTATAAAGAAGAGTCAGGTAGAGAGAGAAAAGGCTTCATGGAAACTAGACAAAGTGAACTTGGAGAGAGTGAAGCCCGGCAGAAGGAAATTCGACGGATTATGGAAATTGGACACCATTCAATAGCGTCAGTTCGTCCCCCTGTCCAATTTCCATACTCTGTCAAGTTTCCTTCTGTCGGGTTTCATTCTGTCGAGTTTCCATGAAGCCTTTTTCATGGAAACTCTCTCTCTACCTGACTCTTCCTTATAATTTTTGCCAACTTCCCTGAGCTTCAGGGAGATCGCTTCGGGACTCAAGTCTCACCACGAAATCTTCCAAAATTGACATTTTTTGATCTTATATCTCTGTGACACCCTAAACACGTCGTATTTCATCCCATTTTCCCAAAATCTTCGCTGATTTTCAGGCAAATCTTTTCAAATTTCGGGCTCCGACACGAAATCCCTGAAAATCAGGATCACTCTTCCAATCCACAAGAATTTCTACCAATGCCGAACTCCAGAGTAACCAACAACAAAATCCATCTCTAATTCACCCTTCACAGATGACTTATCATACTTTCCCCGCCTCGAATATTACACTTGCCTCATCAAGGAATTTCGTGACATCGAACACCTTGTTCCCGATGATCATCCACACGTCCTTGTTGGTGTTGTGTTTGGCAACCTCGGCACGCGTGAATTTGCGGGACATTTCGGCTAAAACTCCAAAAAATAAGGAGAAACTACAAAGCTTGCAAGAAAATTGGAAAATATCGCGTTTTATTCGGGGTAAAACAGAAGACAGAAGAGGGTAGTTGAAAGCACACGTAGTCTGTTACATTGCAAGTTAATAGGTTGTTGATAAGCGTTTGACTTTTCAACTCTATCAGCGATTAGTTCGGGAAAGTTCGCGAATTAAAAAAAAAATAAGAAAAGAGCCCCCAAATTTTTCCAAAATACAAATTGCACGATGTGCAGGATACCTCGACATATTCGTCAACAAAAATAAGCCCAAAAACTTTTAAATCGCTATCAATTTCAAGCCGAAATAGTTCGAACTTTAAAGAGGCCACCTAACACTATATTTTTAGTTATTTGAGGTGTCAAACTTGGAAAAAATTGCTCATTCCAGATACTATTAGACAGCTAAGGTTGTAATTCAACTATTACAACAGAAATTTTTCCCATCCATTGCCAACCAATTCGAAAAAATCAAAATTTCCCATTCCATCTCATGTACAAGGTAAAATAATGTAAAATTTCTTTAAAACAAGTAAAACAAAAGCGTTTTATTACTTCCCGAGTAACTACAACTCTTGTAGACTCCTATTTTGTGCTTAGCCATCAAAAACACTGCTTTTTAGAGACTCTTCTTGCCAAGCCATCTAAAGTAATATAAAAGCCACCTCCTGCAAAAATCACACAAAAAAGTCTGCTTTCTAGACAAAAACAGAGCGAGGGGGGGGGTGAAATGTAGTCGCGATAACCTTGGAACCTTCTCGAGAGAAAAAGAATCGAAAAAATTTCAAATTATATTGTTTTAGGTGGTCTGACGGGCAAATTTGAGTTGAAAAACAATATTTCCAACAAGCAAATGTCCTGATTCGACGGTCAAATCAACGTATGATCTTTTTCAATCTTCCACACGTGAAAAAATTGGGGAAAAAGTCGCGGGGCGACAGGAGAAAATCAGTTTTTCGGGGGTCGCCCCATTCCGAGGGGCAAGAAAAAAGAGAGTGGCGCTGAGGGCAGGGTTCGTCGCTGACGACGCTTTCCGCCGATCGGATGATAATGGGTACGCGGGCTGTTATCGGTGTGGGTTTATAAGGCACAAGAACGCCTGTACAAAACATACGATCCGCGGGTCGAAACCGAATCGCAGGTGAAAACTCGGCGGTGTCTGTGTTTCGGATCCACTTTCCAAAGCACAAAACCCGTTGATTGGGGTGAGAGACACACGTTTCCTCGGTTTCCGACACTATCTTCCCGTCCCACACGCTCGTTTGTCCAATTTTATCAAGTAAATTTGGAGTAAGACAAGGGTTTTTTTTTGTAAAAAAAGCTACTTATAACCGAAAAAATAATCCTTTTTCTCTCAATACAGCTTCTAATTCGCCAATTAAATGCATTTTCGGTCCACTTCGAGAAGAAAATTATATTATCCATGATAAAATTGTTCAATTTTCTTTAATTTTTTGGGCATTTGGAACGTGTATAGCCTCAAAACTTCTATGAAACACTATTTTAAGCCATTAAATATCATTTTTTATCCAAAAACATTCAAAAACGACATTATTTTAGTCAAAAATTTGCAAAACTCCAAGAAAAAATCGCAGTTCTCACCACCCAAATTAACTCCACAAACCTCCATACCACTTCTTAAGCCTCAAAATCAACTTTCTCTGCCCATCTATTCATTAACTTAACCGTAGCAACATTTTCTTTTAAAACCAAACATGATGTAAAAACGAGTAAAAATTAGTTCAACAAGTTAAAGTAAGGTGGAAAAAAAACCATTGAGAGCACAAAAAAGGCTCCAAACCCCTCTAAAAGTCTCAAAATTTTATTTTACTCTCACTTTTTCGATGCAAAATCATCAAAATTATATTACACATGACATGATTCACAAAAAAATACAAAAATAGTCACAAGATCTGTTGATATCATTTACAGCGGATATAAAACGTCTTTTCCGTTCACATGGGCGGTTCTGCATCGATTTGAGACCAATTTGAGGACAGTGTCATCGGGGCCCAAGAAGTCTTGGAGGTATGGTTCGGCGTCCGATACGTACCATTGAGGGCACATGGAGAACAAGACAGACAGTCTGAAATATAGTTTATTACTTGACAAATCCATGAAAATCATTTTAGGACACTTTCAAACATTTAAAAATTGTAAAATCATCATTTCCTCAAAACCCCCGTTTTTAAAAAAAATCTTTTTAAAACCCCAAAAATTACAGTAATCCAAATATTCAAAAAGCTGAGAAAATCAAAAATAAGACTCAACAAGTCTTTTGCAATCATCACTTCAAAAAATTTCAACTTTTTAAAGGGCTTCTATAACCTTTTACACCTCCAATTTCCTCACCTTTCATCCAGATCCAACGGCATGTCTGCATGATTAAAATACATGATCTTCCTGTCGCCGCCGGGAGTAGTTTTGACAAACGAAATTCCTTTGAGGCATTCTTCTTCGAATCGGACCCCTGGTGGGAGTCTTACACTCAATTCTGTCACAAATGCAGTCATTAGAATAAATCTGTTCGCGGCCTTCTCCTTGAGGACCATAATCGCGATTTCTCGGGAAAAGGCAACCTCATTGGGGCTGTATGTGGCTGTATCTAAAATAAAATTCCTTTAGGTGTTTGGTACCGCGTTCACTGCACACAATTTAGGCGAATTTTGAGGAACTTTTGAAGATTTTTGATGTTTTAGACCTAAAGTAATATAATTTTAATTAAACAAAATTCCATGCTCTCAGTTCTCCCATATCAAAGAAAAAATCCTACCAGATGGATTCTTTTTCTTATTCTCCTCAAAGAACGTAAATAAAATCCAGCTTGTCAAAGATTCCACCACCTCCAACGAGAACCTCCTTCCAATTTCGATAAAAAAATCGGCTGAAGCAATGTCCTGACGTTGGAAATTGTTCATCACATCAGACCTCGAAAACTCGTCGACATAGTCGCAAAGTTGCAAAAGAAGCTCTTTTCGACCATCCTCATCCAGTTGATAAAGTTGATCTAAACGTAGAAGAACAATGTTAAAATAACTTACTGTTTAGCTCAAAAATTGGATATGACTTCAGTTTCTGTTTGGTCTGCTCAATTGACAATGGAATGCTGTGAATGAATTGTTTAAGCGACAATTTTCTGAAAAATAGACCAAATTATATTATCCATGGAAAACTTGATGTGAAAAAATAATTCAAGCAGTTTTATCACAGAAAACGACTCACTCTTGATTAAACACTGGATTATCTTCAAACAGATTGACTCCCCGGCGGTCTAAAGCTTTGAATTTTTCGGAATTTAGCAGTGTTTTCTCGCTGAGATCAATAGATTTGTAAGTGGTTGCCATAACTTTTGAAATTCGCTGAGACGGTGTATCACTCGTGCATTGAGGCGGACATTTCATATCTGAGACTACCATACAGTTGGACCGCTCGATCTCCCTCGTTTGGAATGTTTTCCCCGGAGTGCAGAAGGTCAAATTATCCAACGGATCGCCAATCATGTAGAAACTAAAACAGATTAAAAAGTTACCATAAGCCCTGTGGATTCAGGAAACAACCCCTTTCGCCAATAAGCAATCGACTTCGCGGGTATTTTTGCTAAATTATATTATCCATGAGGTTCTCATCTAAAATTCAACAAAAAACAATAAAAACATACTCTCCTCCTTGAACTACATGATCAGCAATGTCTGGTGTGACTTCGATGAGTTTGTAAGCATCTTCTTGGAACTTCTCCGCGTAAACAAATTGATCTACAGCATGGTTTAGGTCCACTTCATTTCTGGTCCCTTGGACTGCTTTTGAAATGCGTTCCAGAGTTTTTGGAGACACCTAAACAGCTTCAAGTCATCCACGATCATGGGAGGTAACTTACAATTGAGCCTGGGCGCTCTTCATCAACTTGCATGGCAAAAATTATATTGTTTTAGATATTGGATGAAAACTTCGGTAAAAGTACCTTATTCTGAACGAAATATAAGCGAACAGTTGAAGTAAACGGTCGACTAGTTTTACAGACTACTCTTGAACACAATAAATTCTATTTTCGCAAGCGCCTTGAGGCAATTTCGAATAAAAAATAGCGCGCAAAAATTACAGAGAGACACTTGACACTTAGAGAATCCGGGTCAACTCTTTCTTGATATTTCGTCCGGAAAAAAATTGATTTCCAAAATTTTTTTCTGGATTTTACGGAAATTGGATAGTTTATAAAATTTATTTGACAGTTTGATCCACTCGATTTATCTGATTGCAAATAAACAAACGTTTTTTAATGTTGTACACGATGAGGTCATTTTTCAGATAATTTCGTCCTGTAAAATGTTATAATGCGGCATTCCACGCTCCAGAACCTTGAAGTGGACGATGGGCGATCCGTCCTGTCCAACTCCAGTCTTGGAAGTCACTCATCGGAGACAATAAAACATTCCACGAATACTTTACAGGCTCAACTGAAGAACCGAAAGTAAGTCTAAGATTTCTGATATTATTCTTTTTATTTTTAGGTTTACAGCTGCATTGGGTCGTGTTGGACATGCCAGAGAGGCTCGAGATGCTGTAGCGAAGCTGATTAATCGAGTAAGAGACAATTTCCGTGACTTTCTGCCAAAATCGACGTGTGCAATATAATCTGTCGTTTTTCAGCGGTCTCCCCCAATTGCCCAGCCCTTAGACTTTGAGGGATTTGTTACCGAGTTCAATGCCGAGCTGGAGACCGATTCTCTTCGGGATTTGGTCGTCTTTCCACGGGATGACATCACCGTGAGTTTATTTTAGTCCATTGTTTCTATTTTTAGTTGTGTAAACCGTGCAAAAAGGAGATATATGCCGCAGAAAAGGTCGCTGAGCAGTACAAGGACGCCACCGATTGGGGATTAGTCAAGGAAGCCATCCAGCATTTCTCCACACCTTGCAGTGTTATTAAATTTAATTACGAAAGCTTCTTTGGCGATTGTGAAAAGTAAGTGTGATTTTTCCATTATTATTCTTCGGTTTTTAGGTATCTCGCGAATTCAGGTCTTGAAGAGCTTATTTTCGAATCAGAAGATCCCATCGAAATCTTAAAGGTAGAATTTTCCACCAAATTTATATTACACTACCAGTCTAATATAAAAACCTCCGAAAAAATGTATCTTCTTCCAGGAAAAGGAGAAAGCTCCTATTGGAAAAATAAAAGAGGGTCATTTACTGTTGGAGATCAAAGGAGAAAGCAATTCGAAACTGTTCAAAGGTCGAAAACGAAGATTTTGTCTTCTGAAGAGGACTGTTGAGAACAATGTAATTTTTGAAGTCTCCAAGCAAAAAGATGGGTCCAAATCGGTGTACGAGATCAAATCAGCCCATTTGAAGACTTTTAACAAGCAACGGACCAATGTTTTGCAACTAATTCCTACTGGAAAAGACTGTCCCCATGAGATTTTGGCCTTCGAAGCTGACTCTGGAAGCATCGGAGATTGGTTTCAGAGTGTGGACTTGGCTATAAAAAGTAAGGAAGTTTACTATAAAGTCGATTTAAGGAGAAGTAATCAGAAAAAATTTGGGTTTTTTCTAAATTTCATATTATTTTAGGTGTTCCAGCCGAGGAATCGGATAAAATCTCGGAGCCAAGTCTCAGTGAGACGATTAACGAGAGTCTCAGAAGTTCAGGGAGCTCCGGAGGTAAGATTGAGCTATCTTTCGATAAAATTGTTTTGGTTTTTAGGTAAGAAAATTGTATATTATACTTGCAGACCATGTAAGTCGTGCATCGCTTCGACAAAAAAATTCCGTGGAATCGCTTCTCCGCCCGCCGACAGTCAAACGGAAGAACGTTTTTAGTCTGTACGAGAATGTGGAACCAATGAGCCGACCGCCCGGCGAAGGCACCGCGATTTTGGAGGATCCGGACGACGAATATCAACCCTGTTCCGTGGATTTGTCCCTAATGAACGTGGAGGGCAAGAACACGTTGGACGGGAATGCCAATCAAACCTGCCATTCGGTCCGACGCCTCCGGCAATTCGTTGATTTGACCTGCAATTCCATGAGGCTTACTGTAACAACGGATGCGGGCCCGATGCAAATCGAACCCTTCTTTGTGAACGTGTTTTTGTTTGACCCGGAAAGTGGAGAGAGATTGACGAATGAACTGGAGTTCATGGTCGCAAATGAGGAGTATAAGAAATTGGCGAGTGAGGGGAAGAATAACATGTATAACATGTTTGATATGGAAAATTTGAACTGGGAGGTGAGTGGAACGAAGGTTATAAGCGGTTGGGTTTACAGTAGAAGATTTTTTTTGGTCAAAAGTTGAATTTTTGCGTCAACCAGTGTTGCTTGAAGAACAAAAACCTCTGTGAAAATCCACCTGACATCTTAATACTGAAATTTAAACGTTTTAAAACAAATTTCAGCTGCTAATTTTTGTATTTCTAACAAAAAAATCCCATTTTTTGATAAAAAATCGTGTAAACCTCGGATTTCCTTCAAAACTTCGATTTAAAAATCCGAGTGTAAATCACCGTTTTCGGCCTTCTGTAGTGACGGATCTGAACCAGTGGCAAAAAACGTAGCATTTTGCATCCGGGAAGCATCAAAAATGCAGCAAAATACCTCCCTCTCCAAGTGAAAAAACTCCGTTTTGAAGAGTCCTCACAAAAAGAGCGGGCGCGCTTTTGAAATTTGAGTTTTTTACTTGGAAATGGAGGTATTTTGCCACATTTTTGATACTTTCGGGATGTAAAATGGTATCTTTTTTGCTACTGGATCAGATCCGTCACTGCAGAAGGCCGAAGACGGTGTTTTACATGCGGATTTATCGAAATTTTGATGGAAATCCGAGGTTTACACGATTTTTTGTCGAAAAGTTGGGATTTTTTTGTTAGAAATACAAAAATTTGCAGCTGAAATTTATTTTAAAACGTTTAAATTGCAGTGTTATGATGTTAGGTGGATTTTCACAGAGGTTTTTGTTCTTCAAGCATCACTGGTTGACGCAAAAATTCAATTTTTTACCAAAAAATCGGACTTTTTGGTTAAATATCCCGATTTTTTGATAAAAATTGAAAAAAATATCTGTGAAAATAGTTTTAAGATAGTTACAACACTATCTGTCATTGGTAATTTATTTTTACAGACTATTTTTTCATCTTACTCATGATTTTTTGACTGAAAATGGGATTTTTTGCGACAAAATCAGTATTTTTTCAGGCCTCCCTAAGGTCTCAAAAGCTCCCAGAATCAACCCAAATTGTTGTCAGAGTTGAAAGAATCCTCTCGGGAGTCCAGTCCGACGTCTACTTTAAGAACACGGTGGACAAGAAAAGCTTGGCCAAACATCAAAAAGTCCTCTTGAATGCCTTCAATAAACTAAATGAATGCCGCACCCTGATCGGATGGACGACAAGACCGTTGAAAGGACATCAAAACGGAGAATTACTGCCGATTTATCGACATGAAGGCCATTTGAATGATCAGGATTTGAAGAAGTTTTTGGGAGACCATCAAAAGTATGTTGAACATGGGCTTTGATGGGTAGTATTGAAGTTTTTGGGGAATTTGGCTGGTTTTTGGTTATTTTTAATGGATTTGTTGATATTTTGGGGCGGATTGGGAAGCTGGCTGGCGATTGTGAGCTGTTTCAAAAGAGATTGGGACCGATTTTTTCTCTCGAAATAGAGGTTTATCAAGTAGAACATAGAAGCAGAATTTTATTTGAAAATCTCATTTATTTGCATTTTCCTGAAGTCTACGTTGCAAATGGTTCACAGGCCAATCCTTTGGTCTGGTGATCACTGAGATTAGCCGTAAGTTGGCGTGACAAACCTGCTGACTACCGTAACCGACTGATTTGAAACCGGTTTTCGTCCTAAAAAACTGAGGACTGCCGCACGGATCTCACTAAAAATAGGTTTATCATGATGCAAATTTACTAGTGAACTTGTTGAGCATTGAATTTTTTTGGGAAAATTGGAGTTTTTTTGGCGTTTTCGTTGTGAGACCAAGAAATAAAAGAATTTCCGAAAAATCGGTCATAATGACGATTTTTTAAGTAAAAGTGTGGTAAATGGTATAAAAAATGTGTTCATAGAACCTGTTTTAAAAAATTCAGTCTCTTATTCAGTCACTATGACGGATTTTTTGGAGCTTTTCAAATTTTTGGGTCCCGCAACGAAATCCTTTCCCTAAAGAGAACCGATCAAATTTGGAGTAACGCCGAATCAAAACGAACTTACGAATTCATTACGAAGCTGATAAAAGGCGTCATTCCACAAATGGCAACCCAATGAAGGTTAATAATTGCCGCGAAGAGCAGCTGGTTTTTCGCAGAATTTTGATAATTCCAAGCATACATGTTACCAACAGTACTCATAAATGAAAGCACATTCTGCGCCAAGATCTGCTGCTCTTTGTTTTTGAGCCGTTTTGCTTTGACATATTTGTAGCGCTGAAAATAGAGAAAGGCATGTTATGGTTGGCAAAAAAATGTAACATTTTGCATCTGGGAAGTATCAAAAATGGAGCAAAATACCTCCCTCTACAAGTGAAAAAACTAATTTTAGTTGGAGAGGGAGGTATTTTGCTACATTTTTGATGCTTCCCGGACGTAAAATGGCACATTTCTTGCCGCTAGATCAGGTCCGTCACTGTAACAAAAGCGTCTCTAGTCGAAATAAGAAAACGATTACCTTTAAACCAGCTGACAAAACGATAAAACAGCTCAAGATGAACGTTAAAATAAGTTCTGCATATTGGCTTCTGTAGAGAAAGTCGTACAAAGTAGAGTCGGCTTGGCTAACGGTAGTCCAGCAGAGCGCAGAAACAACAAAAATTAAATTGTGATTGCAAAAGTAAAATAAGTAAGCAGTTATTGCACCGAGAATCCAACAAAAGAGGATTTGAGCCTAAAATTTAAGAGATTTTTTGATGAGAAAGATTATAATGCTCTGTTGTACAATCAACAATTGCTTACATTGGCACAGGCTGGGCGAATTTCGCCCCTTGTAAAGTTCAGCATACAAAACCGATCAAATGCCAGTAATAAATAAAGAAATATCATAACATTCCAACTGCAATACATTATATGGCCGAGTATCTGAAAAGGATATTATACGGAGTGTAACTGCGGACAGAAAGGTCTTAAAAGATATCAAAAAGAGCTCTAATTTGGTAGAAAAGTATCACAGAGGAATAAGGTATTAATATATTTATTCTTCTGTGATACTTTTTGATACCAAATTCGAGCTTTTTTTGATATCTTTTTTGACCTTGTTGTTAACTGGAACCGGTTTCCAGAGAAATTAACTGCGGACGGAAAGGTCATAAAAGATATCAAAATGGGCCCGAATTTGGTGTCAAAAAGTATCACAGAGGAATAATAGATATTTTTATTCCTCTGTGACACTTTTTGATACCAAATTCGAGCTTATTTTGATATCTTTTTTGACCTTGTAGCCGACGGAACCGCTCTCCAAAGAGATTAGTTTTGAACGACCTACCAAATTCAAAGTAAGGTCTAATTCCTTGTTGAACAATAAGGCACATCCACCAAAGAAATGAGGTATAAGTTGGAGAATATCGGACAGATTTTGTGAAATCATTATTCGATATGCGGATTTATCCCGATGCAAACGGCTTCGGATCATTGCCTAAAAAAATTATTTTTGCCCCCGAAAAAGCGTAAAAGATCATTTACATGGCCAAAAAAGTGCTTACCACTACTGTGACTACCAGAAAAAGCGTCGCAATTAGGCTAGTAATGATTGTAGCTAACCCAAAGAACACGGCGTAACCATCGGACATTGCCAAATTCTGAAGGTTGTGTTGTAGTTTACGTGGCGGCATCAAGAGAAAGTTTCGTTTACGAGGAACAGGCGGCAAATTTGATTAATGAAATGTAATCAAAGAATGGTTTGGCGTTTTTTAGAGCCGAATAGTAAACCAGAACAGAGGTATAGTTGTTAGAAAGGGGCTCTGCGTAGGCAATGTTACGGAATGGGAGATTCGGCAAGGTGTCGTGGGTAATAAGGATGAACAGAGAACAAACAACTAGCGTCCATGAACTTTTAAGAGTACTTGTAGTCAGACTAATGAGCCCTCCGCTGGATAAACACTATATTTGCGAGAGGTAGATGTCTGTTCGAGGCGAAAAAACTGACAATTTTTACTCGTCGTTTGACCGAGGTTTTTTCAATAGATGTAAAATTTCGGTCGTCAAAAAGTAGAGAAAGCAAACTGAACCAAAATTTGATATTGTAATGGATGGGAGAGGGATTAAAAGCTTCCAAAAGATCTGCAAAAATTGTAGTGGCAGTAGAAATTACTCACAAAAGAGATAATAATGAAGATTTTGAAATTCGTAGTCTTGGGCTCGGTTTTTTAATCTGTAGGCATCGAAAAGTTTGTGCGGACAAAGAAATGTTCTTTCATCCTTCAGAACAGTTTACTTTGGATTACACATTCATCAGCTGTGTCTAAAGACATGATGATTCCTAAATTTGGAAGAGTGTCCCGAAAAACGTGGATCCGAAACATTTCCCGAATAATTTTTTTTGTCAAATGGACTTTCGGAGGTAAATTTATTAGCTCCACCGTACATTTATACGTGTATTTGCCTAATTACCTATATTTCGGACTTTATAATTTGCGGGCAAAAAAGTGCGGGAACCGAAAAGTCCATTTTCGGGCGAAAAAAGTTCCTCATTATGGGAAATACTAATAGAAAAAGCTCTACCAGTTTTTACTTTTAGTACAGGTTCAAATCAACAGTTTTTTTGTATCTTCGATATCTTGCAAATTCGGGCCCATTCGGTTACCAGCCCTGAACCAGCTATATGAATGGCATTGTACCTTGCTCCCTTCAAAAAGCATAATCTGACAGAAATCAGGGTCTAGATGCCCAACGGGTTTGTTAGTAACCAAATTTAGCATAACTGCTTTGACCTTTTTTAAACATAGCTTCAAGCTATTCTTAAAGTATAGAGATCGAGTTATACAAGGCAAGTTAAAATATGGAGGATAATAAATGTAGTTTTTGTTGGATTACAACTACTTAGCTATTGGTTATTACAAGAGCCCCTGTAGGAAGGTTGGGGATCATATTTCTCGTGACAAGTACGGTATACTTTACTCTAATTGTCAAAAAACACGTTTCCCCTCCTTATAACTGACTAATACGAAAATATATATATTACACCGACAAATGTAGTCGGTTTGAACTTGCTAAGGTTCGTCATTACACGAAAAATTTTTGCTACGTACTTGACCCTACACACTATACATTGCTGTCAAAATATTCATAAGATTTTCGAGGAAAGGCAAAGTTATTTCAAAGCTTTATTAACCTTTAATATATACAATACGTTTTCCCGGTACTTACACATAAACAATATAAATAATTGACTATTTCAACAAGGAACTGTATGAGAAGCGATGATTAGATTGTGATGAAACTTGGCACAAATTGAGAATAAAGTTTTCTACGATTTCCCGGGATGTTTAGCTCACGTTTTGCTGAAATTACCGAAATTTTAAGGTCGAACAAACGCAAATTTTTACCTTATTTTGACCTTTAAGTATCGGTAATTTCCGCAAAATGCAAGCTAAAAATCTCGGAAAAATCGTAGAAAACTCTATTCTCAATTTGTGCCAGGTTTCTTTGAAATCTAATCCTCGAACTCAAAAGGCTATCCCCGTCAAAATTAAACTTTGAAATCAATTGGAGATTTTTGATTGTCGATGATGGAAATTTGAATGGGATATCGGACCTTATTCAACATCATTTGACGATGATTTTTTGCTTTCTTGCAGCAACCTTTGAATGGCAGTTTAACCTCTCTAAAAAATGATTTCGAAAACAGATTTTTTGACTTACTCAATGAATCCAAAGAGCACAACAAAAAGAATGCAGATGCTGAACCAAAGCTGTTTTTGCAAAAATTCGACCAAATAAAAGTCGCTGATGAATTGAGCAACAACGAAGAGTGAGGAAAATGTGAGGACAAACCGGATTACAGTACTGTTGGAGGTCTGAAAGAGTACTTTTTATTAGGCTTTTACAATGAAATCCCACAGAAAATGTCCTTTTGAAATGTCACGTTGGCGAATTTGAGAAAATAGTACAAGTCTAGTTTTTGCGTCATAACACAAAGTCCAGAGAGCAGATGAAAAATTCAGAATATAATACAGTGGCGGACCTGATTCGGTGGCAAAAAACGCACCGTTTTGCATCTGGGAAGTATAAAAAATGTGGCGAAATGCGTCCCTCTCCAAGTGAAAAAACCTCCAGTTTCAAAGGCGCGCCTAATCTTTTTGTGGCGGATAAAGCACGATCTTCAAACCGGAGTTTTTAGTTAGAGAGAGGAGTATTTTGCCACATTTTTGATGCTTCCCGGATGCAAAATGGTACGTTTTTTGCCATTGGATCAGGTCCGCCACTGTTTTGTTTTGTGATATTTTCCGTGCTTTGTTTATTTATGCATCTTATGACGCAAAAATTGGACTCGTACAATTTTCCCAAATTTGACAACGTGACATCTCAAAAGTACACTTTTTTGTGCGATTTTGTTGGTCAATTCCCGCAAAACTCACCTTTTTGTTCAGCTCATCGAAGCAAAACAATTGCGCAACCATCACACCGGAGACCACAAAATATTTCACAAGAAATAATGAGAGCGACAAGTAATCATAGTCCAACGCGGCTCGCATTGTTGAGGTCTTGAAAACAGAGGTCAGACAAAGCAAGAATGCGCCGCAAATCCAAGGCGCAACAAGTATAGTATTGTGATGTAAATTGCTGATCGGGAATCCGGCAACAAGCAAGATTGAAAGGAATAAAAGTTGGAGAAGAATGATGTTTTCATTGGCGATTCGAAATGAAGAGAATGTCTGAAAATTTATGAAATTTTAAACGAACTGTTCATAGTTCACAGTTCATAATACATTTTTTTCTGCGTATTGTTAGTAACAGTCTGTCGGGAAAATAATGTGGATTTGTCGCGCCTTTGAATCGCGCATCATCACTGTGCGACGACTAGCGTCGGCTTGGTATTTGGTGTGCGACTGCGACGAGCCGAGACATTTTGCTGCGACCAATCCACATTCTTTTCCCGACAAACTCATTTCATAAAGTGCGTGGACATTTCTCCATTTCGCACAGTGAAAATCACAAAATGTCATTTGCACTATGCAAATTTCTGGCGCCGGTATAGCGATGTCCATTGCACTTTACGGGTGTCTCCGTGAAGTTAGACGGGCCATATTTGGTGGACAAGAAATAGGGTGTCTCAGCTTCAATTTGATATAAATTTTATAGAAATTGGTGCATTGTTGGCGGAGAAATACTTGAGAAGAGGTTGGGAGTTTCGAGTGGCCCACCCTGTACTAATAAGCGGCTTACACTCGCATAGGCGCTAGCCTTGTAACCGGCAAGTCTGAGCAATCCTTCTTGTTGTAACGAAAAACTTTGTAGTCCAATTGAAAATGAGAGGTGTAACAAGTGTGAACGAACGGAAAGTCTGTCGCCCACATAGGCTTTTCGTAGACTCTGAAACAATAAATGACTTGGTTGGGTTACTGTAGGCATCAAACTTTTGAATCGGGATATTGTTTTGACGTTTCTGGCGAAATTCTAGAAAATCCGTCATCCCGACATGTTTAACCTGTTTCAAATATCAACAAATCAGTTTGAAATGCGGTATACTTCTACTTCAACTAGTTTGTTGTTATTTGAAACATGTTAAATATGTCAGGATGACGGATTTTTTAGAAGTATCTTGAAACGTCGAATTTCAACGATAAACAAGATTAATTTCCGATAATTTGAAGATGAACTTACAATATTATAAGCGATTAAAAGCGGAATGCAAACAAATCCTTGTCCAAACAATAGCCAATCCCATAAATTCCGGTTCAAAATGACGTCATATTCAAATTTCATCTTTCAGATTGCTAAAAGCCGGCAAATTAACTCCAATTCCGAACGCTCAGCTGGGCTTGAACGTGGACGTTCGTTCTGAAAATGTGGATGTGCCTTGTAAGTGTGATATATTAAGTTGAAGTTAAAAAGTGTCATGTGTAATATAAATTGTGGTCGATATTTGGGATTGAAGAGGGAAGAAAGTACTGTTTACGAGCTAAGAGATATAGAATGTGAGTGTAAAATGAGTTTATGGGCATTTTCAAACCAAAAAATGGGTAAATATTTGTCATGGATAATATAATTTTAAACGAATTTGGTTGAGACCAAAGCTTAAAATGGTAGTTCCTGGTTTTAAATAAAGGAAAATTACCAAAGAGGGAGCCTAGCTGAGTTTAAACCCCAATAGAGACAAAAAATTTTATCTAGTGTAATATATTTTTTGCTCATTTTAGCTCTAAAAACCAATAGAAATCATATTTTTGGTCCGAAAGTTTAATAAAATTGACCGCTGAACGTTTAAAAATCCCCTCTGGCCACCAAAAACAACAAAACTTGCAGTGAAAACTTTGGATCCCCTGAGGGCGAGCGACTTTTATCCGACCGACCGCCTCCAATTCGACGCGTTTGCGGACACAGATGGCCATCGGCAATGCAAAAACCAACTCTATGTGTACCCAACTGGCCTCTGCTACGGCTCGCAGAAAAGTTTTTCGCGCGCCCGCAACATCCTCTGCACGGTGCGGTTCCTGCGCCAGAGCAGGCTCCGCCCACAATTCGTGGATCTGGCGAAAGGAACGCTGGTCACGGAAAAACACTGCACGGTGCAGTATCACGACGCCAATCCCAGCTTCTTCAACGAGATCCGCGTGGAGTTGCCGGTGGACTTGGAGGAGGACGACCATTTGATCTTCGAATTTTCCCACATTTCCCTAACCGCAGCCCAAAAAAGCGGAGATGAGGTGAGAATTTGGGATGGAGTTTATAATGGAAGACCTGATCCGGCGCACGTCGAGAAAAAATAAAACAAAAGCGCTCAAGCAATCGAAAATTCTTGGCATTCTGTTTCAGCGAAAGAATAATTTTTTGCTCCAAATATAACCTGGTTAAGAAAATCTCTTCATTTTGCGCAATATTTCGCCTTTCCTCCAACCTCGTCCAAAAAACCCGTCATTGAGACGGTTTTTTTGGACACTTGCATAAGCGGAAACAGAATTCCAACTTTCGTGTTGATGGATAACCCCTTGAGTGCAAAATCTTGCCATGCGGCGGCTTCAAACAGTACTTCCGAGTTTTTCAAAATAAAAATTTTTGGCGGGAAATGGGAAATTAAAATTTTTTTTCTCCCAAAAAATCAAGGGGAAATCCAAGAATACCCATCCTGCAGTGACGGACCTGATCCGGTGACAAAAAACGTGCCATTTTGCATCCGGGAAGTGTAAAAAATGCGGCAAAATACCTCCCTCTCCAAGTGAAAAAACTCCGAGGGGGTATTTTGCCATATTTTTTGATTCTTCCCGGATGCAAAATGGTACGTTTTTGCCACTGGGTCAGGTCCGTCACTGCAGGATGGGTATTCTCGGATTTCCCCCTGATTTTTTGGGAGAAAAAAATTTGAATTTCAAATTTCCCGCCAAAAAATTTCATTTTGAAAAGCTCGAAAAGGCTGTTTGAAATTGATCGGGAACTGATTCTAAAATGTTTTCGAAGGCATAAAAATAATTTGCCATCAATTTTTTGCCTTTCGCCTCAGGGCTTTTGCGTTTTTTAGCCTATTTTTTGAGATTTTTGGTCTAAAATTGAAGATTTTGTTGATATCACCATTTTACAAAAGGTTTTACTTGTCGTATGATGTGGCATTTTGCTTAATATCGCCTTGAAGGGTTAATCTCATATATTCATCGTATTTTGCAACCGATTTTCAGACCGTCAATCAAAAAGCCGGAATTGCCTGGCTTCAGCTGGTAAAACCCGATAAAAGCTTGGTCTTGAACAACGATGTTGATGAATTTGAACTGCCAGTTGCAACAAACTTACCCACAGATTATTTCAAACTGGATCAGCATTCAACTCCCAGTCGAAAAGTTAGTTTTGGAAAGGGTTTTGTCTACAGGGTGTTTCGAGAAATGTGCCGGAAAGTTTTTTTCGATTTCTTGGCGCTCAGTGACGATATCCAAAAAATTTCTTTTGCAGAATAAAGAAGAAGATGGAAGGTTTTTTGTCTAAAAGAATCATTTTCTCCGCCAACGCAGAAAGTAGTGTATTCGGCGGAGACTTTTGATCGCTTTTTTGGTCATCATACCAATCTTAAACGTTTTTTTTAGAATTTTGATGATGGAAAAGAGGATGTTTGTGTGTGTTTATGTATCCGAAGCTGAGTCATGTCTTTACCGAATGCTTGATAAACATGAACATACACAAATATACTCTTTTCCATCATCAAAATTCACAATAAAGCGTTTAAGATTGGTGTGATGACCAAAAAAGCGGTCAAAAGTCTCCGCCGAATACACTACTTTCTGCGTTGGCGGAGGAAATGATTCTTTTGGGGGAAGAGCCACCTATCTTCTTCTTTATTCTGCAAAAGAAATTTTTTGGATATCTTGACTGAGCGCCGAGAAATCGGCAAAAACTTTCTGGCACATTTCTCGAAACACTCTGTAAAATAATGTCAATTTTGACAAATCTGCTCATTTTTTTCGTCGAAAATGCCTTTCATCTGTGGATTTTCAGTCCTCAGACGGCTCCATCAAGTGGGTCGAAGGTGGTAAACCCCTTTTCAAAGTCAAACTTCGCCTTCATTCCACGTTGTTTTCGTCAAATCCCCTGTTGAACCGGTTTTTCCAACAATGTTTGAGCCCGAATCAGCCAACCCTGAACGTAAAGCCCGATCTGTTGCTGCAAATTCCTTTCGAAAGGCTGGAACCACACCTGTTTGTCACGTTGAGCTCACTTTTGCAACTCTTCACCAGGGCCTCGGACCTGAGTTCGGCCGCGATTTTGACGACCTTGGTGGGGATTTTGGAGAACTCCACGAAGTGCCAGAAGAAGTCGGAGCTCCGCGAGTTCATCAAATTCCATTTGGCCGTGGGCGGAGAGTTCGAAGTGGACTGCAGAGCGCTCTACGAGGGCCTATTGGAAGCCGTCGGGATATTGGTAAGATTTTTTGCGATTTTTTTGTTGATTTTTAGGATTTTTTTGGCTGAAAAGGATCGGATATGTCTCTAGAGGGAGCTGTGAGTATCGAAAGGCTTTTTATTTTATATCAGAAGTAGATTTTTTTTTTGATTTTTAAGGAATTTTATATTGTTTTAGGTGAATTTTGATCAGAAAAATGGTCAGATTGCGATATACAGAAGTGAGTATGTCTAAAAAAGTCGTTTAAACTTTTTTGAACAAGATTTGAGTAAAATCCAGGAGCTGCATTTTGAGCACTCATCTTTTTTATATTGTTTTAGACCATTTTTGTCCTTTTGGCCAATTTTTTGCAAAAATGAGCTTTAAAATTTTTTGCTCGTGCTTTTCAGAGGGTTTACTGGATCATTTATTCGATTTAAATTCTATTTCAACAATTTGCAGCTCTCTTCCGCCCAAACTGAGCAGTCCATCATCATCTCCACCTTATCCCACCTATGGTTCATAATTGATGTCACAGTGAAGTCCATGACTCAAACCATCCTCACCAACGGCTCTCACAAGTACAGTAGACGTCGACGTTTCTCTCAACTCACCTTGGAAGCCATTGACGCCACTTTCCTCGCGGTTTCCCAGCAAATTCTCCAAAATCACCAGAAATTCGCGGCCGAAACTCGCTCGGCCAATTTGGCGCTCGCCTACCTCGCAAAACACTCGCTGAACATCGCGGATAGAGGCGCGATCTACGCTTCTTTATATGAGATCATCAAAAGATACGACACCAACGAGGTGGGCCTTCCTCGGCACTTCAAACTGGACTTGATGCAAATTTTGGTCGGCCACGAACACTGGCTCCCCCTCAACCTCCCCATGCTCTTCGACTCCAACAACAAACCTCTTTTGGGGCTGGCTGGCACCAAGATTGACGATCACGCGCAGGACGGTAGGAGCTTTGAGTTTTTCAATGTTAACCATGACGATTGCCGTGCAAATTTAATATTTTAGCGATTCGAGTGGCGAAAACCGCACTGAAGACGACTAACATCTTGTCCAGACTGTTCTTCCAATTCCTCCCGTCACCGCTAACACAGTCCACACAGAATAAGAAAAGTTTGTTGGCGGGATATTGGGCTATATTATCCATGATGGGTTAGGTCAAAAATTGGAAAAAATTTTGAGATTTTTGTGTGGAATAGAGACTAATAGAATGTGCTGGGACTGTTTTAAATATTTTTATTGATTTTTTCTGTGAAATCTGCGAAAAAATGAGATTTTTTGACCAAAAAAAATTTTTCGTATAAAATGTCGCCGGCCTTCAAAAATCAAAATCATGGTCGCAAAAGAGAGAGAAATGAAAGATTCGAGGACGGAACGTCGTTTGTTGTTATTTTGATCCAATTTTTCCTTGTTTTTGATGCATTTTTTTAAGATTCTTATCATTTTGTTCGTACAAGGTCCAATTTGATCCAAAAATCGATCCAGTTTTGCAAAATTTCCTCTCAACCTAACCTATTCTGCCCCCTTTTTAGCGGAACTAAACCCGGAGCACTTCAAATTGGGCAAAACTTTCTGTTCAACGCACTTTTTGGTGGGCCTTCTGCTCCAGGAATTTGTGGCCGCTCTTCATGAAAGTAGGGCCTACAGAAGGCTGGTCATTGCGATGTTGCGAAACTTGTTGGTCAAGCACAGTCTGGACTTGCGTTATGATGGAGCTGTAAGCGTTTTTAAGTCGATTTTTTTGGGGAATTTTGGGTCGCGTTATGCAGAATTGGAATTTTAAATTTGGAAAATTTTGGTTTAGAAGTTTGACTGATGTCTCAGAAAATAAAGAAAATGATTTTTTTGAGAGGTTTGGAAATTTTAGAAATCGCGTTATGCAGAAATAACCGATTTTTTAGGGTTTTAATTTCAATCTTTTTAAAAATTTTTCTTTGTAAAGATGAAAAAATATGGTTTTTTAAGACATTTAAAAAAATTTTAGACCGCGTTATGCAGAAATAATCGATTTTTGAAAGTTTTTATTTCAATTTTTTAAAAGGATTTTTGCGTTGTAAAAATTAAAATTCTGAATTTTAAAGACGTTTAAAATTTATTTTAGACCGCGTTATGCAGAAATAATCGATTTTTTAGGGTTTTAATTCATTTATTTTTTAATGAATTTTGTTTTGTAAAAATGAAAACTATGATTTTTTAAGACACTTCAAATTTTTTGAAAATCGCGTTATGCAGAAATATTCGCAATTTAAGCGATAAAATTTACATTATTGTAGAGTCAAAGCCGAATTGCCGTCCTGTACGCCCCATTTGTGCAGATCCTCATCGAACACGTGGATGAATTCGAAATTTTCGGCAAATTGGAGGACTCGGAACGCGCGGAGGAGCGCAAAGAAAGCGTAAAATTCGACTACGCCCAATCCACCGCCAGATCCATCCTTTCCAAGGACATCTCAACGCTGAACGGCGCCTCCGGCCGCGCGGCCACCAACAATTTCAACGGCAAAGTCTCTCAATTTACGGAAAAATTGGACCTAAACGAAGCGAGAGACTTGATCCTATGCGTTCTATATATCTTAAATAACCTCCCGAAACAGGTGACCGTGTCGCTGGCCTTCAACCAACAGACCAGCGAGGCCTTCGACAAGAAGGAGGACGACTTTCTGGCCATGATCAACCTGCTCAAAGTGTCGCTGACCCTCTTTCGGTCCCATCAAAAGTCCGGCTTCCCCACCATAAAACACCCGAGTTTACCAAGCAAAGAACAGAAAAGTTTGTCCGCAAAACAGCTCAAGAAATTGTTCATCCAAGACAGTCATCTCAGCCAGGAAGTCGCTCTAATTGTCTTGGATGTAGCTCATAATTTGGCCGAGTTTGTCGCGGTAAGTGGGTCAAGGAGAATATAATTGAAAATTTGATGGGTTTTAGAGATTTTGAAGTCGATTTTGGAGGTTTAAATAGTAGTTTGAGGCTGGATTTATCAGCCAGGTGAAATTTTAGGGCATTTGGAACGAAATTTTTTTGAATTTTTGTTTTCCCGCCAAATTTTGGCATTCTGTTATGAGCACCGAACTCGCGGTAAATAAGCTAGAAATTGGGTTTAGTTGTAGCCATTGGCCTTATTTTTTATGAAAACCCTCACAAACAATGAAGTTTTCGCGCAAATTTTTGAATTTTTGTTTTCCCGCCAAGTTTGGCATTCTGTTATAGGCACCGAAATCGCAGTAAATAAGCTAGAAATCGGATTTAATTGAAGCCGTTAGCCTTATTTTTTACGAAAACCCTCAGAAACAATGAGACTTTGGCACAACTGTTTGAATTTCCCGCTTCCCGCCAAATTTTGGCATTCTGTTATAGGCGCGGATTTTTTTTTTTTTTTTTTTGATTTTTATTGAAAATTTTGTCCGAATTTGGATTCGAAACTGCTTTAAAATAAATGAAATTTGTTTTTAGGGCCGTTGGAACGGCAGTCAGCTGGATGCCGAACAAGAACGCAAAGCTTTCCTCGGAATTATTGACCTTATCCTGGATTTAGTGGGCGATCAGTGGCCGGAAGGAGTCCGACTGAATGCCCTAAACACTCTGGGAATGTTCATAGAATTGTTCTCGAATCAACTGTCCTCGGATCGAAGCAACGAGGCCTTGCCGAAACTCTGTCAGCGCTTATTGTTGTTGTTGAACAGCCGATTGGAGAAAGTTCAGTGTGCAGCCGCGGCAATTCTCCACTTGCTCATCCGACAGGGCTTCAATGTGACCTTTGAGGAGTATGGTAAGGGCTGAAACGATTTTTTCAAATTTTTGTTGGGCGCTTTACGCAGTAAAACGAGAATTATGGAGGAAAAACGTAAATTTTAGGGAAGAAAAACGTGAATTGATAAAATACCTTGAATTTATTGCAACCCAGGAATGGTATAGTGATTATAGAGAAAAAATAAAGCATTTTATGTGTGCTGGGTGACATCTTATACGAAATTTTTTCGAATTTTGAGGTCTAAACATGATTTATGGATAAAAACGTAAAGTTTATGGAGGAAAAACGTAAATGGTTGAAAAAACACAAATGGCCCGTTGAATTGCCGAGATTTAATTTGAAAAAGCATACTGTAGGTGTATTAGCCAATTTTTTAAAATTGAGTGACATTTCATACAAAAAAAAATTTTTTTTGAAATTTTTTTGTTAGATTGGGTGTAAAATAGAGGTCAGAAGGTAGTAAAATCCTTAACAAAGTGGTGTCTATTATTTTTGCCCAACTAAATTTCAAATTCCAGCGAAAAAAATGGATTTCTTTGAGCTTTTATGGATGAAAAACGTGATTATGGATAAAAACGTAAATTTTAGGGAGGAAAAACGTAAATGGTTGAAAATACACAAATAACTTGGTAAATTACAGCAATCCAAGTTGGAATCGCGTTCTCTAGGAGTATTAGGCTATTTGTTTAAATTGAGTGACATTTTATACGAAAAATTTTTTTTTTGAAAAATTTTTTTTTTCTAAATTGGGGGAATATGTAATAAGGAGATGTGTATTTTTTTACCCAAATAAAATTTTCGAATTCCAGCGAAACAAGTGGATTCCCAGCCGAATTCGGTCCGCCTGCCCAACGAAGGCAAGGCGTCGGCGGATTGGCTGGGCAACGCCGGCCTCCAAATCACCATCGCGTTGGCCTACCTCCTCGGACAGAACGAATTGTCCGCCGACTCGCCGCGCTTCGAACACGGCATTCATTTGTTCGAGAGTTTGACGGCAAATCAACTGGACCAAAAATTGGAATTGTTCAAGAGATCTGCGCAAGACCTTGCGACACAACTCAGAGACATTGTAAAGGCAACCATGTCGATCACGGAGGCCAGAAATGATCCGGTGAGCTTTGAATTTTGAATTTTTTTTTTGATTTTTTCAAAAAATTGAAAATTTTGGTGATTTTTGGAAATTTTTGGAAGTTTTTGCGTGTAAAAGGTATTTTAGAGAGACGAAAAAACAAGAGGAAGGCTTGAGATTTATTATGGGCCACTTTATTTTTCCAGAAAGTTCTAAATTTGAGGTTAAAATACGATTTTTTTTCTTCTGGACGCAATTTTTTAAATTTTCCATTTTTTTCGTCCAAAATTTTGTTATAAACAAAAAATTTTTATTTCAAAATAACCCTTGAGGCTTGACAAATAATGACATTAATCGGATTTTACTGAAAATTTCTTTTTTATATAACTTTAGACATGAAAATCGCGAAATTTTGGAAAATTTTTGGTTTTCCTCCTAAAAATCGGTCATTTTTCACCAGATTTTTCACCAAAAAATTTTAGGTCCGACTAGCCGAGCTTCATGTGAAATTGGCCGACAGTTACCGCGGCTCTCCGGCCCTGAGGGCCGCTTGGTTTGACACACTCGCTCAAATCCACCGAGCCGAACACTGGTTCTCGGAAGCGGCCGTTTGCCAAGCCCATTGCGTCGCGATCATTGCGAAACAACTCAAGGCCAGAGGTGGGTTCGAATGCTTCTATTTAGACCCTATTTGATTTTTATTAATCAAAATTTTTTTCAGAAAAAATTGACATTGATTTAAGTCTGCTGTCATGTCTAAATCATCAAATTTTGGAAGACGAAAGGGTCAATGAGCTGGAACTCCCTCTCTGGCACAGTGGAAATTTCACAATAGTAAGCTGGAACAGCTTTTTTTGGAGAGGAGATCGAAAAAATTCGCCAAAAATTACCTTATTTTAGGACGCATTCACCTCCAAGGTCGAGGAAACCGTGAAAGTTTTGATTGATGCCGAAAGATACGAAGCTGTGGGCCCGATTTATCGTATGGCCATCCCACTGCACGAAAACGCCTTCAACAACAAGGCGTTGACCAGCGTCTACGCCGAGCTACATCAGGCCTACTCCAGAGCGGCCGAAATTCAGACCAGCCGCAAACGACATTTGGGCTCGTATTTCCGAGTAATTTTACACTCCACGATCCATTTCGGCGACGAACATCAATCTGCATGGATATATAAGGAACCGGCATTGACGAGTCTGGCCGAAGAAAGCGAACGAATGGTCAGGTTGTTCCGGAAAATTTTGAGGTAAGGAAATGCCAAGTGTAAGGTGAAAATCGAGATTTTTTGAAGGATTTTTGGAGGGATTTGGAGTTTTTGGGAAAGATTGAGACTTGTTTGGACATTTGATTGCAGAATAAAATGATTTGAGGAACGATTTTTAATAAAATTATCTTATCCATGACATCCGAAAGTTTTTGATGATTTAGATGATTTTTGATGGATTTTGGAGGGATTTGGAGTTTTTGGGAAAGATTGAGACTTATTTGGACATTTGATAGCAGAATAAAATGATTTGGAGAGGAATTTGTGGTAAAATTATGTTATACATGACATCCGATAATTTTTGATGGTTTAGACAATTTTTGACGGATTTTTGGAGGGATTTGGAGTTTTTAGGAAAGATTGAGACTTGTTTGGGCATTTGATAGCCGAATAAAATTATTTGGAGTGGAATTTGTGGTAAAATTATGTTATCCATGACATCCGATAGTTTTTGATGATTTAGATAATTTTTGATGGATTCTTGGAGGGCTGTGGAGTTTTTGGGACGGATTGAGACTTGTTTGGACATTTGATAGCTGAATAAAATGATTTGAAGAACGATTTTTAATGAAATTATATTATCCATGACATCCGATAGTTTTTGATGATTTAGATAATTTTTGATGGGTTTATGGAAGGCTTTGGAGTTTTTAAGGCATACTGGGACTTGTTTAGATGTTTGGTAGCAAAATCAAATTATTTGAGGAAAGATTTTTGGTAAAATTATCTTATCCATGACATCTGATAGTTTTTGATGATTTAGATCATTTTTTATGGATTTTTGAGGAAATATTGAATGAAATGGATATTTTGGTATTTGTAAGGCTCTGAAATAGCAAAAAAATAAAGATTGTCCAACAAATTGGATAAAATAATGTTATCCATGAGATCAGACAAAACTTGATGATTTAGATAATTTTTGAAAGAGTTTTGAAATGTTTGAAGGTTAATGTGATAGTTTTTGACTTGTTGAAGCTTTATGTAGCAAAATAACATGGGTTTAGGAGGAAAAATAGGATCAATTTATATTATCCATCACAACTTTTTGAAAAAATTTTGATTATTTTGTGGATTTTTCGAAGAATTTTTTGGTGATTTTAATCGCAATTATTTGTTAGGGCTTATTTAGTGATATGGGATGGTATTTTGCAGAATTTGAAAAAAAAAATTTGAGGTGATTTTATATTATCCATGGAAAAATTGCCGATTGAGTACTGAAAATTTTTTTTAAAATACGTGAAACATATATTTTCCTCGATATTTCAGGACCGAAAAAGTCCGATTCCTCACGGACGCCGAGGTTTCGATCGATCTGGACCCCTCCATCGCTCACATTCAACTTACTCATGTGGATCCACTCCTCGGCGACCAAGACGATCAGATCGACTTCGCCAAACACCTGAAGCAAACCGACTCGGCGGACGTGAATTACAGCGCGCACACGAATATCAGCAATTTTTATTTCGAAAAACCATTAATTGAGCCGATCAACGAAGAGTCCAACGAAAAGGTCCCGGAACAGGCAAGGTTGGCGCTAAAAAGAGTGTTTTTGAAGAGTAAGTGATGGAAGAATTGGTAATGGAGACTTTGAAGCCATTTGGAACAGATTAGAGGCGATTTTAAGCCCTTGAAACAGAATGCCAAGATTTTTGAAAAAGCGCGGGAAAATCAAAATTCAAATTTGGTTTTACGAATTTGAAGAGATTATGAATTTTATGGCGCTTAGGAAGAGTTTTTTCTTTGAAAGTAATTTTATTTTTAATTATATTCGATCTAAAAAAAGCTTAAAAAATTGAAATTTGAATTTCCCGCCAAATTTTTAAATTCTTGGCGTTATATTTCAGTCCCGAAATTATACTGTAAAAGCCTATTTAATGATGTAACGGTGATTTTGAAGTCATTTGGGATGGTTTGGAGGCCATTTTAAGCCCTTGAAACAGAATGCCAAGATTTTTGAAAAAGCGCGGGAAAATGAAAATTTATTTATTTATTTTTTTTTTGGGAATTTGGTGAATTTATGGATACAGTGGCCGAAGATTTTTTTTTGAAGATATTTTTTTATTTTTTCGATGGAAAAAATTTGAAATTTGAATTTCCCGCCAAATTTTTTAGTTCTTGGCATTCTGTTTCAGCCCTAAGATTAGGCGATATAAGCCTAGTTAATTACGTTTGTGCCCCGTTTCAGCCAAAGAAACCTTCCCCAACACCCGGAGACGACTGCCGATCATCAAAATCTCCGAGGAAATCCTAAGCCCACTGGAGTTGGCGTGCGAAAACTTGATCAAGAAGGCCTCCCAAATCCAACAGGTCCTCTCATCGGCCGGAATAGGCGCCACTGGCCCCGTGGACCGCTCAAAACTGCAGGCGCTGGACATGAAGGGCCTTCAGTGCTTGCTGCAAGGCTCAGTTAGTCCCACCGTGAATGTGGGGGTTTTGGCCTACGCTGAAGCCTTCACTTCCGACTCTCAGCGATCGAAGTATGGAGTAGAAGGCATGGAAAGGCTCAAACAGTCGTTTAAGTAAGTTTTGGAGGAGGTTTAAATCGAAAAATGGAGGAATTTTGAGATTTCAAGCGAATTTTTGGTCATGATCAAGGACAACACAAATTTTTTCAATTTTTTAGAGTGTTCATGGCTCAATTAGCTCGCGCTTTAATGGTGAACGAGTTGGCTGTTGCGGAGGACCAAGCCGAGTATCAGATTATGCTCAAAAATTCCTTCGATGGCATGCTCGAAAGACTTTGCACCTTTTTTGATGGAGAAAATGTAAGTTGCTAAAAAATTTCGGATTTTACTGGGTATAAAAATAAGAAATGTTAATCTTTGAAGACATTGGACGTTTTAAAATTTATTTTTAGACGGGTTTTCGTAAATTTTGACGGTTTGCTATTTTCCAATAATTTTTGTGACATTTCGTCAAATTGGTGGAAACCCGGTTTTTTGAAGGGAATACAGGGCTGAATTAAAAAGAAGAGAGTCTGTGGAGAATAGCGAATCAATTTTTTCAATTTTTTTACTTTTTTTAATTGGGAAATTACCTTATTTTAGGGGTAAAGATACTTCGCCTCAAGAAAATTGAGAAAAAAGGTCATTTTGGAAGAATTTAGTGGGTGAGAAGTGGCTAAAAAGACTGTAAATTCTGCGTATAGGTGTCATACTCATTTTACGTTTCAGTTCCTCCCGGACAACGTCAATCCTTTCGTGACGAAGCCCAAAAACGAATCCAATGACCCAATACCTCCGAAAAGTTCCTACATTCTCGACTCAATCAGCGGAATCCCTCATCGATTGTAAATAGAATCTTCAACTGGGTTACCTCGCGATCTCAACACCTTTTGCTTCTGAATATCTCGCAGATATTGTAATTATATTGTTAATATTGTCTTAATGTTTAAAACACCTGGGCTTAGCTTACGGTTACTTAATAAACCATCTTGCCACGTATTACAGGACTTTTTTGGGGTGGTAGTACCATTTTGCAAGTTTTCCGGAAGATTGTGGATGATTTAGAACATTTGAGACATTTTATACGATGAAACATGTCTGAGGGGTTTTAGAAGTGGTATAAACTATGGTACAATCAGTCTATTTGTGGAATTACTGAGCGTGACAGAAGTCATAGAGTACGGTCAAACCAAAATTTTCCAAGAAATCCCGAAATTACACGAAAATCAGATGCATCGTATAAAACGTCGCCGTTACCCAATTTCATGCAAATTTCCCAAAAAATCTCCACGTTGTGGATGAAAGCATGGAGAAACGACTCAGTTTCTTCACCAAGTCATCTGACGAGCAGTCCACGTTGGTTTTTTTTCGTCAATTCGAGACGTTTATAAATTGGCCTTGCCATGCCCGCCAAGAAAAAGAGCCCACCAAAGAAGGAGACCACTTTACCCGATGAAATCAATGATCCCTTCAACGAAGCGAGCATAGCAGCTGCTGTGCAGCATGGTGAATGGACGGTGGGAGAGGTTCTGAAACAATTGTGCATCAATTCCGCGAGATTTGTATTGAGGTAGGTGGTTGATTTTGTTTTGCTTGATTTTTAGGATTTTTGGTGGAAAATGAAGATGTTTTCTGGTGTATGACCTCGTGTAATGTGTGATGCATGTTTTCTGAATCTTCTTTTTCCCAAAATACGCCGTATTTTATTCAAAATTGATAAAATTTGATTGAACCTGTTTTTTGGACCTAAAATAATGTTTTTGTATTTTTAGCCCGAAAATTGTCGTTCTGCTTACGGTTTTCCATCTCCTAGCGATCTACACCATATACTACAAGGACGAGCTTAGTGCACACCGTTTCGGAAAGATCTACCTGGCTCAGGTCGATCTTTTCCTTGAAACAGTCAAAGGTTCCGTCTGGCCGGGAAGCGACCAATACCTCTTCTCTAAGACTTTGGGACCCTATATTACCAAATATGAGGCCGATTTCAGGAAAGCAATGAAAGCTTTGGAGTGAGTTCTTGCGAAATTTTACGATTTTTGTGAGATCTTCGACATTACACTTCACCGATTTCAGAGGCTTCTCGCTTGAGAAAGGAACCGCTTTCTTTGTTGCTAATGCTCATGATTTGGGACTGGGAGTGGCCCATATGATGGCTGTATTAACCTACACATTCGCGTTTGTCCTTGGAAAATATCCAATTGCACTTTTCTTTGCCTATGCCTTGAATAAATGGGATGTTGTTACGGTAAGTTAATACGTTTATTTTGTGGTTTTTGATGTTTAGGCACTTGAAGAATGAAGTCACCTTGTGTCTTATCAAGGTTTCAATTGGTCTGAGCGTTTATTTATCGATTTTTGCGAGGTTTTATATTAGCCATCATGGGTAATATATTTTCTTGCGAATTTTGATAAAAAAATGCTGACCCTATGGTCGAAATTGATTTTTTTTATGATGTAAGATGTCTGAATGCTCTGTTTCAACGATGCTTTTCAGATCTGCAATACCCAAGCATGCCTTCTTGTCTATTTTCTCTTTGCCATCGCTTTTCCGTTGGGAGTTACCGAGGTAATCTTCCTTCTCTACGCAGTCATCGGCCTCCCAGCCAGTGATATGATAGTTCCGACATTTTTTGTCCAACTCGCCTCTCGGATGTTCCAAGCTTATTTGGCTTTTATTATCTTCAACTTTCAATCGGACCTAAAGCTATTTATTGCCGAGTGGTGTCAATATGAGTACGCCAAGCCGCTGAAACCATGGTTGTTGGACTTTGTGAGATACATGGAGTCGGTTTTTGAGGATCCCGGATATTGGAAATACTCAAAACCAAAGGAACTGCCAGTCGGAGTGATCTTCAGTTCAGCTGTTGTGGCCCTTTCAATTGTGCTCCTAACCCCAAAAATTTTCAAAAATCTGGCAAGAGAGAGGAAGATGACGAAATATTATGAGAAAATTCAACGAAAAATCGAGGGAGATGATATTACCCATGATGAAGATGAATCAAGTGCCTGAAATTTGATTGTAATTGTTATTAATAAATTGTTTCTGTGTATTTTAGTTGTATCTTGGCTTTTATAACTTTTTATTGGAAGGAAATTACAGTATAAATCAATAATTGGGTTGATCGTATATAATGTCTCTCGAAAAGTGTAGGGCGCAAGCTGCGGCTGAGAATCTGTAGAATTTCGGGATTCATTTGACGTAGCTCAATTTCATCGTTGAAAGCTGTAGATAATGGTGGAAGAAACTCAAAAACAGCCGTCGAAAAATATCGCAGGACTTATGAACCGCTACGAGTGTTATATAAAAATTGAGCCTCTTCGTCAACTTGATGTAAGTCCTTTGAGTTTATTTTTGATGTGTTTAGATAGAATATCGTAGTATAAGATGTGAAATTGCTTGCAGAACGAATAGGCAGACCTTCCAGAGGCTCAATGATGTTTTTGCGGCAAAAACAGACGGGTGTTAATAGGTTTTTATATTGTACTTGACACCTAGTATCATCTAGGCTTTGTGAACCTTAAAATTGTCGGAAATCGGCGAAGCCAGGGTCATTGAGCTAGCCTGAGGTGAAACAAGTTAGTTTTTATTTGGTTGCGCTTAATTTTAGGAAGATTTTGCACGTTTCCCATCAAATCCCTTGGTCCTCATGGATAATGTCGAAAATTTGTTTTTACGGCTAGAATTGAGATAAGGTTGGTCCTAGACATCTTGAAAATGGTCTTTACTGCCAAATTTGTACGAATAATCTTACTATTTTTAATAGTTCTGCCTTATTTTAGCCAACCCTGGCGGGTAAGATCGACGTTCGTGATTTTCCCTGGGCCCAGCAGTCCAAACGACGTGTTTCGTTTAACCCCGAGCCGGAGTATCATGAAATAAAGAAGCGCCGGCGGTTTTGAGAGAGGATCCGAATATTATCCATGTTGAACTTGAACCAAGTGCCTCATAATTAGAAAAATCTTTGTTGTTTATATTGTTACTGTTAGTTATTGTATATTGTTAGCTAGGAAGTAAATATTAGCCGTTATCAGCTTACAATTCGCCAATTTTTTGGTGGTTTGGTGAAGACAGGAGCATCTCTTCTGCGTCCCACCACGAAAAGCCTGAATTTTTGGCATTCTGTTTCACGTTGAGAAAGTACTGTAGTTTCATAGAATATGACAAAACACACTTGGATGAGTGATTTTAAGGTAATTAAGATCCATTTTGAATTAATTTTTTGACATTATATTGCACTAGTTACCTAAAATTATAAACTAATAAAAAAATCTCAAAATATCCGGCTGAAGTCAGCCTAAAATAAAAGTATTGCCCCTTATTATATCCTCCAACTTTTAAAAACACCCCAAAACGCTTCATTTCAAGGAAACCCGCAAAATTTTTTGGTTCATTACATTACTCATGGTGTTTTGTAAAAAAAAATGAAAAATTGACAGCCGTAAAAGGAAGGGAAGACCCTCCTTTTCCATGGAAATGCTCTTATTACCCGGTGTTTACTCGAAACCATGAAGGGACTCCTAATTTTATTGATCTTATTATTTTCGGAGGCCTTTTCCTATCATTTCCGGCGATTGTACCCCGAATTGACTAGTAAGTTGGGTAATTTTCAAGATTTTTTGGGAGTAAATGTTGTATTTTGTTGAGTGACAGCTTTTTGTGACAAAATAAGGGCGTTATTTTATGGTTTATGACGATTTTTTACAAGAAATTTTAATTTGCCGAAGGAAAATTTGAAAAATCTCAAAAAACAGGTCTAAAATTTTATTTTAAGCGTCAAAAATAGTATCTACAAGTGTTTGAAGGCTTGAAAAATCATATTTCATTGATTTTATTTCCACTGCCTAAGGGGATTTTCCATTTTTCAGCGAAAAATCCCAGATCTCCCCGCAAAATGACTAAAACAGGGAAAAATCTCTAAAAACTCAATTTTTTACTCGATTTCATGCCGAATTTAGAGATTTCCTATAAATTCACAGCTTCTCACATAGTCCTAGACTCCAGTTTCATCAAAAATTTGCTGATTTCCCACCGATTTTCACCTTACTTTAGCTCTTCTCCAAAGTGATGTAAGTGGCAATGGTGACGGCCTCTCGCGCGCTCAACGCAAACTTTTGTTGGTCCTGGTGAACAACGATGAGGGTGAGGAGTCGCGGTATTATGAGGCGATCCGCGATCACAAAGTGGCCAAGCGATTCGAGGACGTTTTTGAGACCGCGTTGGGGGACTCGGACCTGGACGAAAACATGAAAAAGTACTTGTTGGAGGTGAGCGGTATAAAAATTCTTGTGCTTTATAGTTAATAGAGATCATGTAGAAGCTAATTGAACTATTTGTTTCCTTTACACCCTGAGGGTTTTTACTTTATAACCTGTTTTTTACAACATTCTAAAAATGATGACTGTTTGAGAAAAATTGTAATTTTCTTAAAAAGTAGCGAAAATTGACCGCTGAAAATTCTTTGGCAAACAGATAAGGCTTTAAAAAATCTAGTTAGTTACAATTTTCGGTAGTCTGTTACAGTAATCCACAAAAAATTTTGGTTTTTTGGTAAAATGTCATCAAAAAACGAAATTTTGATTTTTAAGGTAAAATAAATCAATGTTAGCAGAGTGAGGCAGACTTTTTCTATAGTAAATATAATTCTTTTCAATACTATACATCTAAGGTCTTACTGTAATTTACGAAACCCCAAAAATTTCAACTTTTTTCACCTTATGTTAGCCTAAAATTGATCCTAATCAAATTTTCGTAATTTCACAGATCCAAAAGAGTCTCCACCAACTCTACAGTGTCTCGCGACATCCCACGAACATTGACCGACAGTTGGTTCATACCTGTTTGGCCAAAATTTGGGACAAATACGATCATTTGAGCTCGAATCAAAAGGCCCTCATCCGGAAAAAGGCCCCGGAATTCCTTCAGCTGAACACCGACGGCGACAGCTGGCTCTCCAGACGTTCTCCGGCCCAAATCTACGATGAGGCGCACAAATTCAACAACGCCAATGCGTTATTTCTCGGAAATTTTGGAGCTTTTATATTACTCATCTTATCCATGGGGTAGAATTTAAAAAAATCCCGAAAAATGGGTCAGATAAGAGTTTATATCCCGACATATCGATGCATTTCGAAGTAAATGACTTGAACAAGCGCCTTGTCTTCCAACGCGAACATTATCGCGATTATTATCATTGCAATTGAGATTATTCGGTCGATGATTCCGGTGTCGAAATACAGAACGCCGGCGAAGCCCCAGCAGAAAAGGACCATGTAGATCAGCTTTATTCGAATCGAATACCACCGAAGTAATTGAAGACTCTAAAAAAAACGGTAATATCATTTTTGGAGCTGGACAGGTTTCATCGTATAAAATGTCACTTTTCGGCGTAGAGCTTAGAAAATGGCGGGAAGTTAGTGCAAATAGAAAGAAGAGACTGCAATAAGGTCAAAAATAAAATAAAATTGGATTTGAATTGTAAAATACTGGGAGATTACAACTTTTCAAAAATCAGTCAAATTTTTCGTATAAAATGTCGCCATTGGAGTTAAAAAAGGCGAAGATAGCGGAAAATGATTGTAAATGAAAAGATTATGTCCTATGACGTCATTAACAAAACTGCTTTTTCTACCTGAATATAAAATAGTATAAAATACGAAGTTTACAATTGTTCGTATAAAATGTCGCTTTTGGGGTTAAAATAAGGTAAAAATGGCGGGAAATGGCTGTAAATGAAAAGATGATGTCCTATTACGTCATTAAATCTCACTACCTTTTGAAAAAATATCGATAAAAATGTAAAATACGAATTTAAAATTTTTTGTTCAAAATATCGCATTTTGAGTTAAAAAAGGTCAAGACAGCGGGAATAGCTGTAGACGCAAACACAATGTCTATTATGTCATTGAACCTCACTACTTTTTGAAAAAATATCGATAGAAATGTAAAATACGAAGTTCAAATCGTTCGTATAAAATGTCGCTTTTTAAGTTAAAACAAGGTAAAAATGGCGGAAAATGGCTGTAACTAAAAAAATAATGCCCTATTACGTCATTAAACCATGCTACTTCTTGAGTAAATATCCAAAAAAATGTAAAATACGAGATTCAAATGGGTCGTATAAAATGTCGCCTTTTAAGTTAAAAAAGGTAAAAATGGCGGAAAATGGCTGTAAATGAAAAAATAATGCCCTATTACGTCATTACACCCTACTACTTTTTGAGTAAATATCCAAAAAATGTGTAAAATACGAGATTCAAATCTTTCGTATAAAATGTCGCCTTCTTCTCAATTTTGCCCGAAAAACCCCTAAAAATGATCCCAATCCCTTTTTTGCGGTCCAACACCTGCAACTTACATGTGAATACAGCAAGCAGACGCCAACAAACATTGTAATGAAGATCAGAAAAGTGACCACCAACACAGCAATGAAGTTGGTCGTATATCCCTAAAAAAGCCCAAAAAATCAGCTTTCAAATGATCTCAAATTTTGCGCAAACCCTCAATAGGTCCTTCAACAACTCACAAACAAGTAGATGAGCGCCGACAACCACGCCATGGCCTGCATTTCCACGGCGAACTCGAGAACAAAGCACTGGTAAAGGAGAATATAGGGGTGAATCCCGGCGACGGAAGTGGCTCGAACAAGATCATCAGCATCCCCAAAGTCGTCCAACAACCATCTTATCATTGTGAAAAGTTAGAAATGAGAGCCCCAAAACGGTGGGGGAGTTTTTTGAAAATTTTCGAAAAATCGGTCATGATGACAAAAAAAAGTTTTGCGAAAATGTTCAAATTTTGCCCATTCGTTTGGCCTAGCACAAGTATCATTTCCGGAAAATTTCAGCTCGCCCTTTGCAGGAACAGCCGAGATATTAAACGATATTTGCCGACGAGAGAGCTTTCGAAATGCGGAGAGCGGTCAGAGAAAAACTTTGTTTTTTGGCCGTATCTCTGTCATTTTTGGGTGGAAAAAAATGATTTTTTGTGGAAACAATGCTTTCTACAGTAGAAATAGGTATATAAAATTTTTCATGCAAAAATCGCAAAAAAAATCGAATTTTCGCCAAATATCCGTTAAAAAATTTCGGTTCTTTCTGCAATTCACAAGTTAGGAATCTCTAATTATGCCTTATAAGAAATTTCTTTACATTTTTCAAGGTTCATCGAATTCTGCGGGTCGAATTTGCCTATTTGTCGGCTTAAGAGAAACAGTTGATTCATTGGGTCAAGTCTTCCTCTTCAAGCTGATTTATGCAGATTGCGGCTCGGAAAGAGGCGAAAAGATCTCAAAGATTAAAAAATAAAAAAAAATGAAAGATTTTCAAAAATACACCAAATTTTTTATCTTCAAAAATAAACATTCGAAAATTCCCAATTCCCAAGAAAAATTATGCAAATTTTTTGTGTCATCCCCAAATTTTGCAAATTTGTCTTTCGCTTTGAATATTTATCCCTCGACTAGTCGGTTTGCGCGTCGGCTATGAATCGTCCACATCACGGGAAAGGTATCCAGGAAAGGGCACCTAGAAAACGGAAACCGCGACCTGTAAGTTGATGATTTTACAGCTTGTTGTGGTATATGTGTTGCAAAGTAATGGTCAAACACTTTCGCCCTTTTCCGAGCCGTAATTTACGGAAATCAACTTGGAGAGGAAGACTTGACCCAGTGAGTCAAGTGTTTCTCTCATGATGATGAGGCGACAAATTCGACCAGCAACGTTTGAGGAAACTTGAAAAATTTAAACAAACTTCTTGTAAGGCATAATTGAGGTTCCTAACTCGCGTTTTGCAGAAAAAACCCTAAATTTTTTGATGGAAAAATAGTGAAAATTCAAAATTTTTTGGATTTTTTTTTGCCAAAGAAGGCTTCAGGCTTATTTCTGACGTAGAGTGTAATCTTTCTACAAAAAATCATTTTTTCCCATGCGAAATTGGCCGAGATATAGCCAAAAAAGGGTTTTTTCTCTGACCGCTCTCCGCATTTCGCATGCTCTCTCGTCGGAAAAGACCGTTGAATAACTCGGCTGTGACGGCAAAAGGAGAGCTGAAATTTTTTGGGATTGATAGTTGGACTAGGTGAGACATATAGGCCAAATTTGAAGCTAAACCCTGAGGGTCGAAATTTCGAGATTTTTCAAAAAAAAAAAAAAAAAAATAGAAAACTTACAAAAATTAAAAAATTTTTTTTTCGTTTTCAGGTTGTCGATTTGGACAACGACAAGCAAGCGACGGTGTTCGAGGATGTGGACGCCCCCATCCGGCCGGTCACCGAAAAACAGCTCCAAGTCATGCAGGAGAAGGCGGAGCGTCGCAAAAGGCGGCTGGAAAAGAAGAAGGAGAAGGCCCAAACGACGAGCACCTCGTCCTCCATCAAGAGCGTGTACTCCATCAAGTCGTCCGAGAGCTGCGAGAAGCTGGACTATGCCGTGGAGGAGGAGGTGAGCGCCATTGCGAGCACGGTGAACCCATTCACGGCGAGAAGTCAATGGAAGGCCGATCCCGGCGCTCAATCGACCAGGGAAAAGGTGGGAATTTGAAAATTTGAAAAAAAAAATTTTTTTTATTTTTTCAATTTTTTTTTTTTTTTTTTTTTTTTTTGAAATTTTGCCCATTCATTATGCCCAGTCCAAGTATAAATTCCTGAAAATTTCAGCTCCGCCTTTGCAGGCGCAGCTGAGATATTCAACGAGCTTTTCCGACGAGAGAGCACGCAAAATGCGGAGAGCGGTCAGAGAAAAACTTTGTTTTTTGGCCGTATCTCTGTTATTTTTGGGTGGGAAAAAATGATTTTTTGTGGAAACAATGCTTTCTACAGTAGAAATTAGCACGTATATTTTTATGCCAAAATTCGCAAAAAATTTTTTTAATTTTTTCCAATTTTCGACATAAAAATGTCGGTCATTTTTTTCAAAATGCGAGATAGTAAGCTGGCATATGACTTAAGAAATCTAAATTCAAAATTTTTCCACGTTTTGTCAAGATCGGAGCGTTTTATCAGCCTCAGAGAAAGACTTGACTCATCGGGTCAACTCTTTCTTTCCGAGCGGATTTCCGCAAATTATGGCTCGGAAAAAAGCGAAAATGTAATGAAAAAATGTTTTTTTTTTGTTTTTTAAGTATTTTTTATTTTTATACAGGGTGCGGCAAAAAAATGGAAACTTTTTTCATTGGGTCCTGACGCGAAAATTTTTAAGTGCAGCAAAATTATTTTCATACCATTAGATTCTACGTAGTTTTCTCTCCTAGACCTTACGATTTCATGTCGATATCGGTTTATTAACATTCTTTTTTTGAATGTCAAACCAAGGGACCTCGATTTTGGACCTGTTTTTTAAGCTGATCGAAGCGTTAATTTGCCCGGTATTGAAGCGACGTTGTGTCCAAAGTAGTCACACAATGCAAGGAGCTTGTTAGCAGTTTCAAGCGTCCATTCAGTTTAAGAGAACGCACCGCCAACACTTCTGCCAGCCGCGAGGTCATCGACAGCGAAATCCGTCGATTTCCAGAAAAAATTGCCCGTGAGACCGGCATCAGCGACCGACCAGTCGGCCAAATAGCTAAAAATCAGCTCAAGGTCTCCCCACGCAAGGTCTAAAATGCCCAACTCCTCACCTGCAAGATCAAGCCCGTACGCCTGAAAAAATGCCGAAAATTCAGACGTCGGGCCGCAGGTCCACGTTGGAAGCGCGTTCCCTTTGCGGTGCAATGTTTGGCGGGTGCACAACCAACAGAACGTTAGAATCCAATCCGATGAGGCCTTCTGTACGTTGGCTAACGACGAACACCGTCAAAATCCGGGCCGTCATCGCCTAAGGCGCAATTCGTGCCAGCGGCAAGAATTCCGAGATTTTCGTGGATCAAGAGGGCAAAATTCTAGCGCCGCGCTAACCTCGATTTCCTCATTCTTCTGTTGGCTCAGTAGAACCTTGGCAGTCTGAATTTGGCGTTACAACTAGACTCAGTGCCGGCTCACAGGGCAAAAGCGGGTCAAGACCAGTAATCGAACCGATTTTCCCGATTTCACCCCGTCTGCGAAAAGTGCGCCTGCTCGCCGGGTATGGATCCAATGGGCTACAATTTTTTTCAATTGAAGACCAACATCTGTACTACACGCCACAGAAGTTTGGAGTCGCAAAGTAAATGCTGCGCCAAGAACGGGACCGATTTCCCCGAAAAAGGCTGCGGCCAAAAGCCCAAAACTTTAAGTCACGTTTGGAGCTCTAGATCGCCACCAAAAGCAGCCATGGTGAAACGGGTTGAATATGTTGTAAATAATGCTCTATGTTATTGATGATAACCGTTATATTTGCGGAATTTTGATTGCTAGGAAAAATATAGCTATAAAAATAAGTTTCCATTTTTTTGCCGCACCCTGTATAGATTTTTCGAATTCCAGGTTGCCGCCGTTGCGACCCCGTCACCGCATGAGAAAGGTCGTCGAGTCAAACGTCGCTCACGCAAAGATTCCGCCAAGAGATCGCATGGAAAAGTGAATACAGATGAGCTTCCGGTAACGTCATACCGCTCTGTCCCCAGAAAAAAAGTTTTTAGACCCCAATAACCGCAAGCCGCGAAGTGATTGCCACCAAAAGCAGCTCCGAATCCATTTTCTCTTCGCCTCAGGCCCCCAAGGAAAAGTTTCAGGATGGGAATGCGCTGGAATTGGACAAAACTTGGCCGGATGAGGAGGAGTGCGCGCTGGCGACCGAACTCTCCAAACTGGAAGTCGAGGACCACACTCAGAGTGATCGAGAAATTGGAAAGCCTTAAGCGATTTTCAGCGAATAAAATATTGCCCATTTGTGTGTTTTCCTCATATCGCTTCCGAGGAACGGGTTTCGGCAATTTGAACTGCTTCCAGCGATTACTGTAGTTCGGGAGAAAGACTTGACTCATGTGGGTCAACTGTTTCCTCTACCGATCTGTGGGCTGCAGAAGCTCCGTAAAAATGAGCAATCACAATTTTTACACTTCAACTAACTTCCGAAATTACTCTGTCATATGGGCTTGGCCAAAAATGTATGAAATCTGGCCATAAATGGACAAAGAAAAAGACTTGACCCATTTGCGTCAACTTTTTCCTTTGCGGATCACATGCCACAGCAGCTCCGAACTAATTAACTCTTTGAACTCGTATTTGTTTCCAAAATTACTCGGAATCTGGCCAGAAATCAGCCGAATTTGGCCAAAAATCGGAGCAGTGCAACACTTGACCCATTTCGAATTTCGGGTCAAGTCTATCTTTTTTATTCTCCTTGTTTATTTTTTTGACGGGTTTTTACGTGGAAAGGAGTGCAAATTGCTCGTTTTCCCTTCGAAATGGGTTTGGAGTTGCAAGGTAAGGTTTTTGTATGTAAATTCGGCAAATTATATTAATTTACACATCAAATTTTCTATTTTTAAATTTTTTTTTGTTTTCTCCCACTAAAATCGGGCAAAACATAGCTTTTTTTGTTCTAGATGTGCTCCATTTATGGCTTGTTCTTCGATATCAAGACGGATCAACGAAAATTATCCAAAATTGCTCAGAAGATTTAACAACAGCTTCGCTCTCGTTGGTTGAGCGATATCGCGCCGTTAAGACCAAATTTCACTTGTAAGTTGCGTTTGAAATTTTGTATTTGGTGTTAAATTTTAGGCTAGAATCTTTTTTGCCATAATTTCAACTGTTTTCTACGTAAAAATTCGATTTTTCCGCGGAAAATTGGGTTTTTTGACCATGGATAATATATTGATGAATTTAGAAGTGATCTGATCGAATTTTCGAGAGGAACTTGATATGTATAGAGTTAGTGGGGCCTGATGAATGATTCTATACGTGTTTTGAATTGTAAAATACGTAGGTTGATGTGAAAATTTGGTTTTTTGTCATGGATAACATCAGAAGAAATCTTTTATTTTTAGACGATTTTGGCTGAATTTTTTGATAAAATATGGGTTTTAGGCTATGTAGGTCTTGTTAAGGCAATTATAAGATTTCTAACCCCTCAATTTTCTGGGTTATTCGCACCTCTGTCATGTGCAATATAAATCTTCGCTAAAATTTTATTTCCAGTGAGAACGATGAGTCAGCAAGCCCAGTGGAGATTGTCTACTCTAGCCAGAGTCGGCAGGCATGCGAGGATTTCGTGAATGACACGATATTAGCGACAGATAATGTTTATTTCCAAAATCGACAGAATTCAGTGCCAGATATCCGAGATGTAGTGACGAATTGCTTAAATCCCTTGGCAACGTCGATAAAATTCCTGGAACGTGATATGCAACGACTTCAGGGGGTCGTTAATGCACTACATGAGGTAAACACTAAATTTTTTGAAATTATTTTACCCTCTTTTGATGCCAAATTTTAAAATGGTTGTAGCTTTTGAACGAGTGCAGCCAGAAGATTGTAATATAGCTCATTTTGACGCTTTTTTGTTGTAGATGAACATTGAAAAGTTTTGGAGTGAACCCTTGAATATCGACGGAGATATCAAGGTTCGGCCGCAGCTCGCCGAAAACACCCGAGAGGAATCGGAAAACGGACAAAAGTCGAAGAAAAAGAAGAAGAAGAAAGCCAAGAAAGTGGAGGAATTGGACGGGAGCTCCAGAGATACTACTCCAGGCCCTCCCAGTTTGTCCGGACCCCTTAATTCGGGGAAAAATGATGATGAAGTAGGTGATATTACTTTAGATTTTTTTGTGTAACCCGTATATTTTGAAGATTTTTTTTGATTTTAAGCTCTATTTTAGACTAATTTAGAAGATTTACAGGCATTTTAAGGCAGTTTTAGCCTTGATTTTGCGATTTTTTTATGAAAAATGACCTTATTTTAGGCGATTTTTGATGATTTTTTGTAAAATTTTGACTGAAAATGGATTTATTTTGCTGTGAAAAGCAAGAATATGAACATTGGTACCGTATTTTACAAAATAATTTTTTAAAATCCCGGTTTTTTCCACCGAAATTCGAACAAAATTTCGAATTTCAGGAGCAAATCGAATACACCCTGAAAAAATTCGGCGACAATTTGAAGCCCATGGGTGAAATCAGAAAAAGAAGCTCGTTTAAACATCCCGATCCGCTGATCACCGCCTTCTGCGTCTTCAGAGAGGAGAGGGGCGTGAAATTTCAAAGCGTGAAGAAGGTGCCGGATGAGAAAAACACCTTCAAAGCAACGATTTTGGTAGGAGTTTTGAAGCAATTCGAATCTATTTGAGCTTCATAATGGTCTGAGCGGATTTTGCAGAGATTTTGAGGGTATGGTAAGAGGGGACCATATTGAAAATTGAGATTTTTTGGAGAAAATTGATGGAATTTTTTGTAATTTGGAGTAACAAGAGGTTGAGAATTAATTTTGGAGAATTCAGAGACTTGTACAAGGGGGGACTGTTCGAATTTCGATGAGTAATTTGAGATTTTTGATGAAATTTTGGAAATTTTGTTGATCTATGTTGATTTTTGAGTATTTTTAGATGTAAATGTAAAGTTTTAGGACGAAAAATCGTTCAATATTATAGATTTAACCCTGAGAGTACTGTATTTTTTATATCGAATATTTTTTATAACTTTTTTTCCGATTTTTACCTAAAAAAATGATTTTTGGGACATCTGGGCGAAGAGCACCTTGAGGAAATTTGAGGAAATGATTTGGTAAAGGGGACCAAGGAGGACTTTTTTAGAATAATTTTTTTTGGTTTGCCAAAAAATGATATGGTAAGAGGGGGCCAAGGCGGATTGTGACCATTACAGTGGGGGACCTGATCCAGTGGCAAAAAACGTACCATTTTGCATCCGGGAAGTATCAAAATGTGGCAAAATGCCTCCCTCTCCAAGTGAAAAAACTTAGTTTTGAAGGGCGCGCCCTTTTTCCTCACAAAAAGAGCGGGCGCGCTTTTGAAATCTGAGTTTTTTCACTTGGAGAGGGAGGTATTTTGCTACATTTTTTGGTACTTCCTGGATGCAAAGTGGTACGTTTTTTGCCACTGGATCAGGTCCCCCGTTGTAATGGTCACAATCCGCTTTGGCCCCCCTTTACCATATCATTTTTTGGCAAACCAAAAAAAAATTATTCTGAAAAGTCTTCCTTGGTCCCCCTTACCATATATTTTTTTCTACAAGGTGCCCTCTTCGCCCAGATGCCCTCCAAATCATTTTTTTAGGTAAAAATCGGAAAAAAAGTTGTAAAAAAGGTTCGATATAAAAATACAGCTCTCTCAGGGCTAAATCTATATTATTGAACGATTTTCCGCCCTAAAACTTTACATTTACATCTAAAAATACTCAAACATCGACATGGATTAACAATTTTTTCAAAATTTCATCAAAAACCTCAAATTACCCATCGAACTTCGAACAGCCCCCTCTTGTACAAGCCTCTAAATTCTCCGAAATAAATTCTCAACCTCTTGTTACTCCAGATTACAAAAAATTCCATCAATTTTCTCCAAAAAATCTCAATTTTCTGTCTGGTCCCCTCTTACCATACCCTCAAAATCTCTGCAAAATACGCCCAGACTATTATGAAGCTCAAATAAATCAAAAAATTTTTTATGTTTTGTCCAAATCTCGCATTGTTTTAGACCAACAAACTGCCGGCGTACGAAGTGGCGTTCGTAAAAAACGAAAAATGCGTGGAAATCTTGTGGGACACGGATTCGGAAACCTTTGACGCCTTCAAGGACATCTTGTTCTGCACCGCCGTGGTCTCCTCTTACCCGCCCGACTACTTTGACAACGCCGAAATTTTTGTTATGACCGAAAATGGACTGGTTGCGACGAAAGAAAAGCCAAGAAGAGGGGTTAGGTATGTTGTAAGGTGCTAAAAAGGTAGTGCAAATTAATCAAATTTGCCTGTACATTGTTTTATTGTCAGTTAAAACGGTTGATTTTTGAGTTGAATTGTTTTTTATATCAATTTGAGTAAATGTTGCGCTGAAAATGCAAGGATAAGATAAAAAGTGGTGGGAAATGCCCTATGTCCTAAATAAGAAACAGAAACCGAAATATATATTATATATATTTATTGATCTAACACAAAGTAAATGACGACAACGTAATAATAGTGAATAATATGGATAGGATTCTGACCGACCTTCCTCCTCTTAGTGTGCCAAATTGAACCTCTCTAACGTTGTTACTGATTTTACAGTATGTAGCTTTATTTAGGAATACAAAGGGTTCTCCAAAGGCTAGTTGAGACAAAAATGAACAATCTTATTGTAATGTGTGTTGGGGGCGGGGCATGATCGGGGAAAGTGCCTCGATCCGAGTTCGGCGAAGACACTCCCGCGCGAACGGTGAGATGTAGACTACAATAAGTAAAATTAAAAATGCAAGACCTCCGGCCAATATGACAAAATAGTACCATTTGAGGTCTTTTAAGAAATTGAAGATTGTAGACCAAACTTCAGACCAACTAGACGAAGGAGTCTTGTCCTTTGCAATTTCGCCCCCCTCCGGGGCTGGATTCAATGGCTTGGAAGCGTTCAGGGAGCCGTGGATTCTCAGTGTCGTGTTTCCTCCGGCGCATTTGACGACGCATTCTTCGTCGAATTCCTGAGTTCTAGAGGGAAAAGGCATCATCAAGGACGATCGTTGTGGTGGGCAGAGGAACGGTTGTACCTGGACCGACTTGCAGATGATGACGGCCGTTGTAATCCCGAAGCTGGCCTGGCATTTGAGATTAACCATCGGTGACTGTTGACAATTGAAGCATCCGGTCACGGACGATAAGACGCATTCGCATTTTGACCGGTGAAACAACAGTGTGACGTTTCGGTCCAGCGATACGATAAGTTCAGTGGCATGATTGGACTTGGCTGTCGGGCGTTCTCCTTCCATTTCCATTGAAATGCCCTCCCGGGAGAAGGGGAAGGCAAAATCTCTTGACTCAAAGAGAGACGAAAAGTCGATGTCGGCACAATTACAACGAGGACTAAAGAAGTCTGGACTACATTGACAAAGAGAGGATGGGAATTCACATCTGAATTGTCGGGCTGATTGGATGGAAGGACAAGAAAACTTTAAGAGATTATTATAGGTAGAGACCAATGCTGGATTTAAAGCAACAGTTTTGTTTGTCTTCATACTGGTTAAGAAAATGTAGCCTAAGATTGGAGTGGGAGAGTAGGAGCTCGATAAAATGGATATCGAGATGTCTTCCCAATCGAATTGTTGTCCGTGCTGAAGCGTGAACTGGGTTTGGTTGTGGTCGAGAGCTAAAGTTCCTCGCAGATATGTGTCATACGATGCGCACGTGAAGGCGTGTAAGATGTCGTCTGAAACAGGACTGGCGTAATATCGATAAAAGAGACAACTTGGGCTGCATAAAAAACATCCGCAACTGATACATCCGCAGGATCGGCTGCATCTTGAGTGTCCGGGTAGGGAATTCGCTTCCGATCCAAAGTCGATGAGGTTGGTTGTTGATGTGACCGATTCACAAAAGCTGGCTTGACACTGGCTCCCCGCTGCCGCGTCGCAACGGTGAGATTTTTCAACGTGAATTTTGAATGGGCGGGTGAAGGTGACAGTGCTTGGCGTACAAACGTAATTAAGGGATTGTGCGGATATGATTAAGTTTGCATAAGCGGTGTCGTTTCCGAAGGTCGATGAAATTTGGAGACATATAAATTTTGACTGAGGCCGAACTGAGAAGACAAGAGATTTCTTGAAGTTGCAGACGATTTTGTCATCAGAATATTTGGAACATGTTTCGGACGATCCTATTATAGTTTGGGTTTCAGAGCACCCTTGGGCAAATTGGAATACTAGAGCGAATAGACAAACGACTGAGGCCAATGCGCGTAGTTCAAGGGGACAGAGTTTCGAAATCGGCCTTGTAATTTTTCTTTTTTGTCCGGAGGCAGAGACGGTCGTTAATGATGCGCTTCGGTATGGGGTTGAGTGTAATTTTGTGATGCGACCTAAGCGCCACATGTGACGTGGCATCTGCTGCTCTTTGATGAGAACTATCTCATTTACTTGAGGTGAAAGGGTTGATGGCGTTTCTTGACGATGTTGGGTCTTGTTACGCGCTTGAAGTTCGGTGAGATACGACGACGTCCAGTAATGCCACAAACGGTCAGTGAGCGTGTTTGAGTTTTTCCATTGATTTAGAAGCTGTGTTTTGGCCAAATTTTCGTCGGCTGGGAGAATCCAGTCGGGATCGTTATGATCGTCCGGAGATAGAGGATATGGTGGGCGAATTACAGAGAGATTTAGGAAATCGGCGGGGCGAATTACAGGGGATTCCTCGCTGGATGAATAAGTTATTGGCCGACAATTAACAATATATTCTGACTCTGTCAAAAGGGTCTGATATTCTTCGATGTCCAAGAGCCGGCGGCCGATCACTCTGTTTAATGACGACTTGACAATGCCTATCAGCCTTTCGAACCAACCATTCGAGAATGGTGAAAAACTTGGTGAAAATTTCCATGTTAGCTGTTGTGAACGCAAAAATTCAGCGACTTTTGAATTGAGGATAATTTCTCCGGTTATTGAGTTGCGGTCTAGCAGGCTTGCGACGGCAGTAAGGTTCGGGCCATTGTCTGAATACAATTGAACTGGGAACCCTCGGCGTGCGGAAAAACGACGAAGAGCGAATAGAAAAGATTTTGCACTCATATCGCGGGCTAGGTCCAAATAAATGCATCGAGTGGAAAGGCAACAAAAGATAACGGCGTAAACTTTAATGACGGATCCGTCGTGATCTTTTACTTGAGCTGGCCTTAAGAAGTCTACTCCACAATATGAAAATGGGGGTGACGGAGTGGTGCGTTGTGGAGGAAAGGGAGGAAAAGGTGGTTGTTCGTAAGGTTTCGCTTTCAAATTTTTACAATGTTGACACGTCTTCAAAATTCTTTTGACTATACTTCTGGCTTTCGGAATGAATACGAGCTCTCTCAAAAGGGAAAACACGTATTCAGGTGAAGCGTGCATATGCCGAATGTGCAGATGAAGAATGTATGAGTCCAAGATCGGAGAGTCCGGTGGAAGATAAGGCGGGTTATGAGTGAGGGTTGTTGATCCCGCGATGAGTCTTCGAGTTTTCCATCGAATAATTCCGCTCTCATCGGAAAAAAAGTCCGTAGTCTCTGATCTGAGCGTGTGTTGGAGGGAAATGGTTTTGTAAGTGCCGAAGTAGGGCGAGAAATATCGCGGATTGCGATTGATGAGAGAAAGGGAATTTGATGTCGAAACTGGTCATGTGAAACCGTTGACGAAACGAAGGAATTCTTGCGATGAGGAAACAAATGACAAATGTCAGCATTCCCATCGTTTTTTGCCATGACGAAAAGTGTCTTAAATGCAAGAAATCAAAATATTCTGTTGTAGCGGAAAGGAGGCAAGGCTCTTCAGCGGATGGATTTTCTGTTGGAACTATTTCGACAGGTTGCGCGGGCCATAATTCTTCATGGGGGAGCCAAGAAGGGCCTGTCCAAAACAAAGGATGGCAGTTCAATTCTGAAGCCAATAGCCCACGCGACACGCAATCAGCCGGGTTTTCTGATCCTGGGGTAAATTTAACTTCAATGTTCGGCCTAGATTTTAGCAAAAGCAATCGTCTGGCAACGTATGGGGGAAGATTCTTCGTTGAATCTCTAGCTGCCCAGCTGATAGCCACCTTACTGTCAGACCAAAGGATGCATCTCGAAACAGAGAAATTAAGTAATTCTCTTAAAGCGCAGATGACTTTGGAACCAAATTCTAGAATACTGAATTCTAACTTCGGTATTGTTGTATTTGTTTTTGAAGGGTTCAGCCTGGATTTGGATGTGAGGAAATATATTTGGGTTACGTGATCTTCGCGTTTGACTGCTAAATACAAAACCAAGCCTCGGCCTACTGCACTTGCATCGCCAAAACAATGGAGTGTCACTGTGTCCCTTTCCTTTGTCTCGATACGCCGATTGAGTCGGAACTCAACCGATGCCCAGTCGGCAAGAAATGCCATCCATTCATCACGAAGGGGACGAGGAAGCTCGCTGTCCCACGGAAGGTTCTCTTTCCACAGCCTTTGGATCATTTGCCTAGCTTTGAGCAAGGTTGGCTCCGCTACGCCGATGGGTTGAAAAAAGGAATTAACTTTGTGTGCGATTACGCGCTTGGAAAGTTTTTCGTCAGGGCTCGTTTCTTGAAATTTGAAAATGAATTCATCGAGTTCGAAATCGACGCTGACCCCGAGAAAATTCATAACCCTTGGAACTTGAATCCCTTTATCTACCAATATTTGCCGCATTTCGGATGAGTTAGTGTTGAATTCGTGAAGTTTCATATCCGCTGATCGAAAGCAATTGAGGAGCTTGTTGAAAAAATCTTCGAAGTCTTTTGGATCCTTGGGCAGGCCAACTGCGAAGTTGTCAACATATAAACAGTTTATGATGGCTTCGCCAAAATCCCCGTATTTTTGCAAGTGGGTTGAGAGGACTTGATGGAGAATGTAAGGGCTACAAGTGAGACCGAAGGGAAGAGTGCAAAACTGATATGCGATCGTGTTTTTCCGAGTTGGCGGGAGTTCGGGGTTTTGCACCCATAAAAATTGCATTGCCGATTGGTCTCTCTCGGAGATACGAATATTGTTAAAGGCCCGAGAGATGTCGCATACCAAATATGTTGATAAGGTTCGAAATCTCTGGATGATAGTGGAGATCAATGGCACTTCATAGTCCCCTTTATGGAGTAAAGAATTTAAAGATTTAAATTCTTTTGTATGTGCACTTCCGTCGAAAACAATCCTCTTTTTTCCCTTTTGGGGATGCGTCACGAAGTGGTGTGGCAGATATCGAAACCTTCCTTCAGCAATGGGATTACCGGTAGGACGGGTTCGGATTATTCCTAACCTTTCCATTTCCTCGATCTTTTCATGATATTCTTGGAGATCTCCATGACGTTTTAGCAGGTTGAAGTTACTAGCCAATCGAGAACGACATAAAAAATACATATCTCCAATATTCAAATTTACTGATTCTTTCCAAGGGAGCTGCACCGTGTATGAATCATTTTCATGCTTAATGTTAAGTTGGGGGTCCGGTGTGAACTGCGCAATCTTTTGTAATGTGATCGGGCGCGGAGTTTTTTCCCTCTCATTAGAGGAAAGGGTGAGACAAGTAGCTTTGGAGGAGCTGTTTGCAGTTGCGGAACCAAATGGCAGAAAAATATCGCCAAAAATTGTTCTGATGAAACGATGACCGGAATCGGAGACCTGAGGACCGGATTGCACTACTTCCCAAAACACTCTGTTCGAAATTAGCAAATGAATCTCAAACTCATTGGATTTTGATTCGAAAGCTCGATTGAAAGGATGGACACTTTTTTCGGAGATTGGACTACAAATTTCTTCTATCGCAAACGCTTCAAAAGAGTAAATATCCCCTGTGGGAAGAGTAATTGAGACATTGAATACTTCTCGAGCTTCTGTCTGCGGCTTCGCTTGATTAAATCCGATGCTGGTTACTGTAGATTTGGAGATCGATTGTAAACCTAATGTTCGCGCCAATTTCTTTGAAATAAAATTGCTAGTACTACCTGAATCAAGGACTGCGTGCGTTTTTACCTCCACCTCTTTCCCTTGCATACTAATCGGCGCGATCAGAAGAGTGCTTTCGGGGCTGACCTCTTTTGTCACCGTCATTAAATTGACCACGGGTTTTGGAGCAATGAATGTGGACGGATGCGGGGTTTCTGGGTCCGGAGGTTTCTGGATTGGGACTCTGTTTGCGCCGCTAGCCGGGGGCGAATTCTTCGACCTTGAGAAGCACAGACAGCTGTGATGACCTCCCGAACAATAATAACACCTTGGTTTTGTGGTACACTGAGACGCAATGTGATCTTTTCCCAGACATGAATGACAGAGGCGTAACTGAGTCAAGCGTTTACGGCGTTCGTCGGGACTACGATATCTTGAGCAATTGGATTCAAAATGGAGTTCCTGACACAGACGGCATGACCTTTTTGTTTTTTCGGACTGATTTGCATATTCCTTCCCGATCGGAGGTTGACTCACGTCGAAAGCGGGGTGCTGGCGCCTGGCGCCCGACGTCTCGTTTGGATTACGGTAGCTGTTGTTCTTGTCCTTTGGATGAATGATCTCCTTGACCGTCTCTTTGTGCCTCAAAATCTCGGATATCTTTGCCCGAAGTAATCTCAGATTCCACGATTTGGATGATTCTTTCGCAGTCATGACGGAATCAACAACACTATGGGGCATCTTTTGTAAGATAATATGTTCGATAACTAAGTCATTCGAAATGGCATTTGGAATAGCGTCAAGTTGACGAAGTATTATCTCAATTTTGTCGTATACAGTTCGAAATTCTACTACAGATTTGCTAGAGACTGCGGGTATGGCAAGAAGGGTTGATATTAACTGTTGTTGGATAAGTTCCGAGTTCCCAAACCTATTCACAAGTAAGCCCCACGCTATTTTGTAATTTGCCGAAACAATTGGAAGACCTTCTACTGCATGTCGAGCGCTGCCTTTGAGCTGATTAAGAAGTATACTGAGTTTCACGGCCTCGTGCGATGTCTGACTATCTACTAACTCCATAAATTGTTGTTGGAAAGCTTCGAAATTACTATGGCCGTCAAATGTAGGGAGAGATATTTGCGGAAAAAATGCGGGCAAAGCTGAATTTGGGTGTGCTGTGGGAGGTGGTATGGGAGAATGAGAAGGAATAAATGGAAGAGGTGTATAAGCGTGTGTAATTTGTGTGTTCAAACCAACCGGATCCATTTGAGAAGTCGTTGTCGAGCTCTTTACCATTTCAGAGCTGGGTTGTACAATTTCATTGGGGAATTCGGGTACTTGTCCAGCAGTGTTTGCCTGGGGCATCTTACGAGGGGTTGGCGTTGGACCATGAAAAACGTCTCGAATGCTGAGGGATTGTGTACGATCCGTAATTGATCTGCTTCCCGGTTCGATGGGCGTCAGGACTTCGATGGGTTCTTCGACAATTGGAGCTTCCATTATCTTTGAATCCATTACTTGATCAATTTTGGCTACCAGCGCTTTGGCTTCCTTATGCACATTGGCAGCTTTTTTGAGAGAATCCAAGTGAGAGCCATATTTCCGAATATAGTCGTTGTATACAGTTTTCTCACCCTTTGAGGATTTCATCACCAATTTCCATTGTCGATCGAGCTCCGTGATCGCGTTGTAAGGGGACAAAAGGTTGTCATCAAGAGTGGAGAGTTGGTGTCGATGGTTTGCAAGGTCTTCCACTGAGATATCGTCCAACACTGGAGGGACTGTTCTAATGAAGTTTTCCAGTTCGGAGATGGCCTTGGAAAGTCTGGATTTAGCTAATCCGAGGTCGGTTCGCAATCGTCCAGTTTGGCCGGTGTCCGTGGTCGCCATGTTACTGATTTTACAGTATGTAGCTTTATTTAGGAATACAAAGGGTTCTCCAAAGGCTAGTTGAGACAAAAATGAACAATCTTATTGTAATGTGTGTTGGGGGCGGGGCATGATCGGGGAAAGTGCCTCGATCCGAGTTCGGCGAAGACAACGTGCCAAGTGAACTTCCCCGATCCTTCTTCCCTTGCCATTTTATAGTATAAGATATTATGATAATTTAATTGCTTTTCCATAAATTTGTATTGTTTCTGAATCATTTAATGGCTTTTCAGTAAGATGATTACTATTTTTAGTTTAATGATCCTTGTCGCTTAATTATTCAAGGAAATGAAATTCTTCACGATCTGAATCGTGACATTCCCGGCCGAATATGTGTCAAATCGGCAGAGTGTTGTTAGATAACTTTATTATTATTAGATAAGTTTTACATAACAAGAGATATAACGAAGTTTTTTAATGGTAGCGTTCTTGGAGAAGTCTGTTGAAGGTTTCTCGTAGACTGGCCTGCTCATCCTCCGTTAGACGCGGACAGAGGAGGATATGGTGGGCCCGGGTCGGGCATCTCTGACATTTGGTGTGGTTGGGGCAATCTCTTGCCAAGTGTGGTCTGAAGCATCTGAAGCAGAGTCCAAGAATCTGGACCCTGCTAAACTTCTGATATGGAGTTTCGTACCGGAAACACTCCCATGAGTGATGTTGACGGCTGGAGCAGAAGAGGCACTTTTTCGGGATCTCTTCGGGCTTTCCATTGACTTGGTGGTCTCCGGCGACGGCTGACATGCTGATGGTGGGGTTGGTGATAGTTGGCTGGTGAGGCGTGATCGATGCCCAAGTATTTATAGTATGCTTTTTGGATAGATTTGGGGCGGAGTATCTTCTTTATTATCATAAGAATGCAATATGTCCTGGATTTTGGCGTTCAGTTTTACATATCTTTTTAATTTTGAAGATAGTTAAGTGTTGAAGTGTCGAATTTGTCGTCTTTTATTGGTTATTTGAAAGGTCTTCTGATTAACATTTTTATTGGTGGGAAAAGGAGTCATTAAAATTTAGCTTTGAACTCTTCATACTGTACAAAATAAAATACAAATATAGAATAAAATAAAGGATAAACAAACTACAATAAGTCGCTTAAACAGTTTTTGTAGAAATCTTGTTTGTCCGTCTTCGATACGCAGTCATTGGAGTAATGATGGTGGTTGTAGTTCGTAGCAAGAAAATATAGAAAAAACCAAGGGCTGTTACCAATAAAATGATAACCCAAGGATTTAGGAATATAGACTTGATCGACAAGTAATGATCCTTGTCGCTTAATTATTCAAGGAAATGAAATTCTTCACGATCTTAATCGTGACACCATAATAATTGATTTTTTTGCTGATTTTAGGGGTGATTCGGTAATTTTAAGGATGGAAAATGCTTTATAAAGCAGTTTACAGTACTAATAACAAAGCTAATACAATATTTTTTCGATTTTTTGCAATTTTTCGTCTAATTTTTTAAAGTGGGAGAACTCGATGGGGCACCCTCGGACTTTTTTCAAAATTTGGCCATGATGAATTGTAAGGCCCACAAATCAATCCCTAAAAACTTTAGTTCAAAGGATTCGAGCACGGATATTCAACGATCATTTAAAAAAAAAATTTTTCAAAAAACTTGAATGATTTTGCAAGTGTTAAAATTTATACATAAATAATCCCAAATATACAATTTTTGGCAAAGTAAATTGGGGTTTACAGTGGCGGCCCTGATCCAATGACAAAAAACGTACCATTTTGCTTCCGGGAGGTATCAAAAATGCGGCAAAATACTTCCCTTTCTAACTAAAAAATCCCGTTTGAAGAGCGCTCTTTCTCTCACAAAAAGAGGCGCTTTTAAAACTGGAGTTTTTTCACTTACAAGGGATCTGCAGAACCGCACATCCTGGTTTTTTTCTTGAGACATACACCATTTGAAAGAGCGTAAAGAACTGGTCTAGGATCGTGTTTTATTAGCTGCTATTTTTGCTCTACGCCTTAGTTAGCGATCATTCTTTAGCTCTAGGCTTCGGTGGCCTAGTGGGGGTAATAAAGAATGCTCGCTAGCTAGGGCGTAGAGCAAAAACAGCAGCTAATAATAGACGATCCTAGACCAGTTTTTTACGCTCTTTCAAATGGTGTATGTTTCAAGAAAGTGAACCAGGATGCGCGGTTTTGCCGATCCCTTGTAAGTGAGAAAACTCCAGTTTCAAAAGCGCCTTTTTTTGTGAAAGAAAGGGTGCTCTTCAAAATGGAGTTTTTTAGTTGGAGGGGGAGGTATTTTGCCACATTTTTGATACCTCCCGGACCCAAAATGGTACGTTTTTTGCCTCTGGATCAGGTCCGCCACCGTATACATGCCCCTCTACCAGTGAGCACTCGAATTGAAGTGTCGTCTGCCCGTTAAATAGTTCATCCCGTCCGAATAACTCTCCGGCATGACCAACGGCACCGGCTTGTCGGCGCGGAACGTGAACTGGAAGGTGTTGGTGGTCTCGCGCTCGCCCGATTCCACATCCACCACCTGCGCATCCACCGCCATCTGCATGAAACAGTCGGTGGAATAGCTGACTTGCGCGTTCAGCAAAAGCAACGACCCGATCTCAACGCCTTTTTTGAAGACTACGGAGTCCACTGCCATGACTTCGGGCCGGCATTTGCTAAAAAAATATATTTTTTGGGGAATTTTGAGGGAAAAATTAATAATTTTGTATTTTTTTGCTTCAAATCCCATAAAATTTCAAAAAATCCCCCAAAAAAACTTACGAAAAAATCGCGGCGTTGGCGAACGCCGTCTCAAACGCCGACCGCATCAAGTACCCCCCGAAAATCTTCCCATACATGTTCCGCTTGATAGGGAAACAGACCACGAGGTTCTCAAGCTTCGCATCTTTCATCCATCGATAGTTTTCGGGCAGTTTTCGGGACATGTTTTTGTTCTGGATGGATTGCAAGAAGAGGTCGTGCAGCATCGCGCGCTCGATTTCCGTTGGCGGGTTCTTGAACAACGACATCTCTTCGCGATGGATTCGGACTTGGCGGGCATCTGGAACGGGGGATTTTGACGGGTTTTTGCAAAATTTCTAGAAAATTCGTCATGATGACATGTTTTTAACGCAATAGATATGGCTTTAAAGGTGTTCGAAGTTGTTGGAATTGAGTGGAATATCATGCATGTAAATTTTCAGTGACGAAATTTGCAGTCATCATGAAAATTCCAAAAAATCCGTCATGATGACTTATTTAAAACTATGGCAAATCAACTAAAAAAGAATGTAAAATTACTGGAACAAAGTCCGTATAGCCATATAAAAAATTTTCAAGTTAATTTTAGTCATCATCATGACGAAAATCCGGAAAAAATGTCATGATGACATAAAAAATCTAAAATTCTTAACTCTAAAATTCCAGATAGGCGTTGTATAGGAATCATTTTGGCAGTATAAATTTTGTGCGCTCAAAATATTCCATCAGCATGACAAAATTCCCAAAAAAAATCTGTCATGATGACATATTTTTTGGAAGTCCCAGAAATTGGTACTGAACTCGAGTAAATATAGTATAGAAATCACCGCTTACGTTCCGCTTTTTGAAATCCCACCTTATCTTCTTCGGTCTCCAACGCCAGCGGCACATTCGGCACCGCCTTTCGGCCGTTCGGCTCCAACGTGACCATCACAAATCGAGCCGTCAAAACGTCCCTAAAAAACAGGTTTTGCCTTCGGTTCTTGGCCTACCGATAGTCGTCGTCCGAGTACTTTTGACTCAAATGCATTGTGATCTCCATGGAGGAACGGCCCACCCAGGTCACCATCCCGGTCATGACTATGTCCAAATCCGAGCGAATCGTGCGGTTCTGGAGGTCTGAAATCTTTTTTTCATGACAACAATGAATGATTTTTTACGTTTTGACAGTTTTTTGGTAAGTTTTGCAAGATGAAACAGAATGCCAAACAGATTTTTGAAAGCGCGGGAAATTTGAAAATTCAAATTTTAATGGACGAGCTTTGTGCACCATTTGTGGCAAATGTCCATGCACTTTATGAAATCTTTCCACGTTTGTCGCCAACGCACAGTGCGAAAAATCGGAAATTTTTGTGCACGTTGCAGACCGCGATTCATGATGAAATGTCCACGCACATTGTGAAAATACTGTTAAAAGTCTAATATAGGGCCTGCGCTCACCGATTTTGTCCACACAAGCGGTAACAGCATGAAATGGCGGATGATTCGGGGTGCCCATCTCCACTTCGGGTCCTTGATTATGTTTGTAGGCCAGCCAAACGGCGAATGTGTCCAAGTCCTCCAGGATCTTTCCGAACCGAATCAACTTGTTCTTCCCGTGATAGTTGATGCGTATGCGCGGATCCTGCTCCAACGGAATAATACAAGCCGAAGCGGAGGCACTGGGCGGATGAGAAATCTCCGGATTTCTCTTGATGATTTTTGTGGGATTTTGGGCTTCGACGTGACGAAAAATGACGTCATTGAGTTGTCGGATGCTCATCAAGGGAGCCAGATTGACTTGGTCGATTTGCTTGGCAACAGCGTGCGCAAAACGAGTCGAACTTTGAGCTAGGTGACCGATCGGCATGGTGAATATAAATTATAAATTTGATGGCAAAAGGAGGGGAAATAATGGAGAGTGGTTTGGAAACCTGGAAGTAGATAGATTAGAGAGCATTGTAAGTCATATTAATGCCGAAGATTCGAGACCGCGACATAAGTTTGAGAGGAAATTTCAAATCTTGACTGTTAGTCATGATGAATATAAATTTGATGGCAAAAGGAGGAAGAATAACGGAGAGCGGTTTGAAAACCTATAAATAGGTAGATTAGAGAGTATTTTCAGCCATATTAATACCGCAGATTGGAAATCGCGACATAAGTTTCAAAGGAAACTTTAAATTTTGTCTGCTGGTCATGATGAATATAAATTTGATGGCAAAAGGAGGGGAAATAAAGGAGAATGGTTTGAAAACCTGGAAGTAGATAGATTATGATAGATTATGGAGTATTTAAGCCATATTAACACAGAAGAATTGAAACCGCGATATAGCTTTGAGAGGAAATTTAAAATTTTGACTGTTGGTCATGGTGAATATAAATTGATGGATAAGTTGGAGAAACTTGGAATAATTGGTTACAAGTCCTAGTGGCAATTAAATTACAGACCTTACATATTATAGTTCCATTAAAAAATTACAAACTTTGACACGGTTTATGGGTAAAATACAACCTTCCGTTTGGTCATCATCAATATAAATGGGTGATATAATAGGCATGAAAAATAACGGTTTTTGCTCACTATTTTCCCGACAGACTGAAAAAAATATGATCTGCCATTTAACAAACAATATTTTACTATAGTAAGCGCCCAATAAAATGATGAAAACGGCAAAAATGGTCTTGTTTACCTGACTTTTACGAGTTTCCCCCCGTTTCTGTTAGATCGCCCAAAGAACCCAGGAATGTACTTTGATACTCCACTTGTTTATCGTATTCTCAGCTGTTCGAATCGAGCGTTCCCTTGGCTGAGCCGTTCTTTGGGACAGCACACAAAGAACGGATGGGGAAGAAAAGGTTGGGCCGATCATCCTGATCAGTCGGTCTTTATACGAGAAAAGAAACGAAGGCGTCTCTTCAGTCGGTGGAAGCTCGAGCTGCGGTTCGGTCAAGTTTCGCTGCGACAGAGTGTTCATTATTTTCCCGACAACTGATAGTAGTTTTTTCATAGAGTGCATGGACATTTGTCGCGGCCATTCGCTTCGAATGGCGAGTCGAAAATCGCGTCGCCGCCGAGTAAATGAATCGCGTCGCGGCAAAATCAGATCGCTTTTCACTTCAGCGACGCGATTACTGCGCTCAATATTTTTTCGATAGCCTAAAAGCAGCACTATATTTTCATAAAGTGCATGGACTTATCATTTATCGCAGCTCGCACCGTGCACATGTCTGTCGGGGAAATATTAGGTCGTCCAAAAAGTTCGTTCGTTTTTTCATTGCTTTGTTTTACAAGGATTGTTTGTTCTTTGGCAAATATGTAGAATATATTTATTTAATACAGCTTTTTCTCCTGTACAAAACTGGCTGTATCAAATAAATATGTACCCTTTGCCAAACAACAAACAATACTCGTAAAACAAAGCAATAAAAAACGAACGAACTTCCTGGACGACCTAATAATGAGGCTTCGTCGCGCCTTGGAATCAATCGCCCATGGTTGTTTGAGGAACATTTTCTGCGACAAATCCGCATTATTTTCCCGACAGACTGATAAGATAAATTCTTCGCGTCACACTTCAAACATTGCTCTTTGAAAATGCGCCTAGTGTCTGCTGCTTGTCGCGCCATAATGATCCATAAAATTTCGCGAGATGCGTTTTTCCCCGCATCTCTGCGACTTCCCGTTTTCGCACTAGCGACATGCACTTTTCAACGAGCGCACCCCGCGACTTTGCCACAAAAATTATACAGTCTTTATAGCGCAACGCAACTAATAAAACCCTTGTAGAACATCAAATGACCATTTGTCGTTTGTAACCTTTTTATCAGCCCTTTTGTGTACTTTCCTTTCCCTTTGAACAACCAATGTTCCCAAAAGTTCACGGGGTTTTCATTTTAATTCGCTCGTTACACACACAAAGCACAGCTGATTCGTTGAGAATGCGCGATACGCAGAGGGTGAGGGAGGCTTAGTTAGTAGAAATAATAAGATTGATCGGGTTCCTAGGATAGTTTATCACCTATTTTGAGGTATTTTACATGTAATCACGACATTAATATTCAGACAAAACTTACAGATGTCTGTTTTTTGCCGAAATTTTTGGTTTCTTATATGTTACAATAACTCAGGGTAAAGAAAACATACGTTAAGAATAGGTAAAATTAGAAAAAATGGGTATATTTCAAGACTTTGCCAAGTCTCCGCCGAGTCTTCGCCGGCTATTCAACAGCTTTGCCAGGCCTCTTGGGCACCTACTACTGCCTTTTTTTTGGCTTTCCGCCTGTCCTAGGCCTCGTATCAATACTATATATCAATACGAGGCCTAGGATTTTGTGCCTACACAAAAAGTTGAGACGCAAAAAAAATGAGTCTAAATCCACTATTTTAAATGAAGCTTATACCAAATTTCAATGAAAATCCGAGTCTCAAATTGCGCTACTCTTCCCTTGCCAACATCCCACTACAATAACAAACTCTTGATTTGAAGAAGCTTGAACTTGAATGCATCTGCATAAAGGCTTCCAAAACACATGTAAAACAGTCCACCCTCTGGCCATCCCCCGCTTATCACCGCCTATTTATAGGCGCTGCACTTGTTTTGCGGCGAGATCAACGGTCAGCTTTGCTGCTATAAACTCCGAGGGGCGGAAAATGGTTCGTAGCCCCGAATACTGTACGTTGTAAAGTGCACAGAATCACGTTCTTCAGCCGCTTTTCACGTGTCGGCGGTTCGTATCGTTTGCATTGAGAAGGTGATGTCAGTTGGCGATTATATTCACAGGGGAAGTACTCCAAGTGCGACGCTCAGATTTTGATGAAACTTGGCACAAATTTAGAACAATTTTTTCTAAGATATATGCGAGAATCCTAGCTCGCGCTTTGCAGAAAGAACCGAGATTTTTAGATCGAAAGTCGGCCAAAATTTACGACTTTTTTTGCCGAATTTCGGCACGAAAAGTTTCATGTCTATTTCTACCGTAAAGGATAATGTTTCTACAAAAAATCAAACCTTTCCGCACGAAACTGCCAAAGTTATAGCCAAAAAGCGCTTTTCTCTCTGACCGCCCTCCACGTTTAGCGTGCTCTCTCGGCGGCAAAAATCGTTCGATATCTCAGCTGTCTGTGGTAAGTGGGAGCTAAAATTTTCAGGAATTGATATTTAGTCCATACCCGACGTGTGTGCAAAATTTAAAGAAAATCTGAGCGTCGCACTTGGAGTCTATTTTTTGACTTCCCCTGTCAGTTTGAAACACTCTGGAGAAACGAAAGAGCAAGAAATTTGATTAGTTTTTTGTGTACTGTAAGAGAAATTTTTACAGGAAATTTAAAAATACGAACAGTTTTTTTCAGTAGCAGGAAATTTCAAAGAAAAAATTGCAGGAATTTAGCCAATTCCTCGTGAATTTCGCATGTTTTCTTTTTTTCACTGCAGCTTATCGGCGGAAGATAAGGTCCAGTACCGATGTCTGACCTCCCCGACGCAAATATGAAAAAAGTTGAGCTTATTATCAGTCTGTCGGGAAAATAATGGCTTTGGAATCCCCCCATCATGACGGACGTGATCCAGTGCCAAAAAACATATCATTTTGCATCCGGGAAGTATCAAAAATGTGGCAAAATGCCTCCCTCTCCATGTGAAAAAACTCAGATTTCTAGGGCGCTCTTTTTGTAAGGGAAAGGGCGCCCTTCAAAACAGAGTTTTTTTAGTTGGAAATGGAGACCTTTTGCTGCCTTTTTTGATACCTCCCAGTAGCAAGATGTTACATTTTTGGGTACATAATGCTAGAAAATGGTACTTACAGTGGCGGACCTGATCCAGTGGCAAAAAACGTATCATTTTGCATCCGGAAAGTATCAAAAATGTGGCAAAATGCCTCCCTCTCCAAGTGAAAAAACTCAGATTTCAAAAGGGCGCCCGGCCTTTTTGTGAGGAAAAAGGGCGCGCCCTTTAAAACGAAATTTTTTTGCTTGGAGAGGGAAGCATTTTGCCACATTTCTGATACTTCCCGGATGCAAAATGGTACGTTTTCGGCCAATGGATCAGGTCCGCCATTGTATATTCTCAACAGGCTGATAGCAAGAGCTAAATTCAGTTCTGTGTTAAAAATAAAATGGCTTGAAAAGATCTCTCTTTGCTCTATAAGCACTGAAAATTTCACGCTTCAATCTTGTACCATGTGCTCGCTAGACCCGCGTAAATGTAGACCAAAGATTGCCACGGTCAAAATTTCGGCTCCGGCTCCGTGCAAAATTTAAAAAGGCCTCCGGCTCCGAATCCCGGCTCCTATGCAAGATGTTCTTTTTTAAATGTTTTTCCAAAAATAAAAGTTATTAGTGCCAGAGATCATATTTTTGCAGTCATGTGACATCCTCCGCAGTGTTTTTGCAAGCAATTTCGTTTAACAAGATCACGTATTTTTACTTTTTTGACCGCTGGGAAGCAGGGCTCCGACTTTGGGCTAGGGAGCCGGAGCCGACCCCAAAATTTCCGGCTCCGGCTCTGGCTCCCGGCTCGGAGCCGGAGCCGCTCGGAGCCGGAGCCAAGAGCCGGCTCCGGAGCCGTGGCAATCTCTGATTTAGACCACGAAAATAATTCGAAAAAAATCGGTGTCCGAGTCATTTCAAACGCTGTGAGCCGTTTTGAAAGTTTTTTTTTAAAATTTTTACTTTTTTTTTAATTTTTTTGAATTTTTATCAGTCTGTCGGGAAAATAATGAGCACACTGCCACTGCGCCAATCGCGTCACTGAAGTCGAAGCAATTCGATTTTGTCGCGACACAACTCATTTTCTCGGCGGCAATTTTTGCTGCGACAGAGTGCTCATTATTTTCCCGACAGACTGAATAGTTTAGTGAAAACTATTTTTTTTTATATTATGATACATTATCAAGCCTTGTTTACTGCTGATCAGCTGCAGTAAAAAGAAAGAAAACATGCGAAATTCATGGGGAGATCGGGAAAAACTTTGCAGAGCGGCGATTTTTTTCTTTTACTTTGTTTGTTTCTTTTTTTTGAACTTCAAAAAAAAAGAGAAGAATAATTGGAAAATAAATCTTTTTTATTTTTTAAATTCTTTGCTGAATGAAGTGATAAGAGAAAATCGAAAGTTTTCACGTGAAATTTCACGCAAATTCGGAGAAAAATCATAAAAATTTTTTAGGGAAAAGAGTACATCTTTATAAGGCAAAAAAAATTTTTTTGATTTTTTTGCCAAATCGACTAGTAAATTTTTTTAAAAAAATTGGATTTTTTTACTTCTTTTTTTTGTTCTTATTTTTTTCATTACACTAAATCTTTCCGAACGTTTCTGCCTTTCGAAACGAGAAAATTTCGAGAAACCGGACGTACAAAGTCTACGCAAAGTTTGTGTGCCCACAAGAACTTCGAAAGAGAAATAATTCCAACGTCTGATCAAATTAGCGCTCTCTTCAACTCGCTGATAACGGCGATACGGTAATATATATTTCGAAAATTAAAATTAGTTCTATTTTTGGAACGTTTTATCTGTCCGTTTGCAAAGTCGCTGAAGTCGTTTCGGCGACATGCACTGTGCGAAAAAATCCAGGGTCCGAGCGACAGCCCAAAACAAAGATTGCACAGTGCAAAAAATGAATAATCGCACAGTGCAAGGCACACTTTTGTTTTCGCACAGTGCAAGGCCAATTGCACGGTGCTGACTTTTGATGTTTGCACTGTGCAAAGAAAATCAGGGTGCGAGCGACAGCCCAAAACAAAAATTGCACAGTGCGGGACTGCACGGTGCAAAAACAGCGACAACCCCGAATCGCCGACTGCACGGTGCAAAAACAGCGACAACCCCGAATCGCCGACTGCACAGTGCAAGAACAGCGACAACCCCAAATCGCCGACTGCACAGTGCAAGAACAGCGACAGGCCCAAATCGCCGACTGCACGGTGCAAAAACAGCGACAACCCCGAATCGCCGACTGCACAGTGCAAGAACAGCGACAACCCCAAATCGCCGACTGCACGGTGCAAAACTAGCGAAAACCCCAAATCGCCGACTGCACGGTGCAAAAACAGCGACAGCCCCAAATCGCCGACTGCACGGTGCAAAAACAGCGACAGCCCCAAATCGCCGACTGCACGGTGCAAGAACAGCGACAACCCCAAATCGCCGACTGCACGGTGCAAAACTAGCGACAACCCCGAATCGCCGACTGCACAGTGCAAGAACAGCGACAGGCCCAAATCGCCGACTGCACGGTGCAAAAAGCCGAAAATTGCACAGTGCAGGGCAAACCTCTGTTTTCGCACAGTGCATGTCGCAAACGTCGTTCCGGCGACTTGCACAGTGCAGAAAAAGTCAAGCGACAACCGAAAAAGCTTATTGCACGGTGCAAAAAACAGCAAATTGCACAGTGCAGGGCAAACCTCTGTTTTCGCACAGTGCATGTCGCAAACGTCATTCCGGCGACTTGCACAGTGCAGAAAAAGTCAAGCGACAACCGAAAAAGCTTATTGCACGGTGCAAAAAAACATCAAATTGCACAATGCGTCGGAAAAAAATCCACGCCTTTATGGAATTTGGCCCCTCCGCGAAGTCTGACTTTTGGCGCACTGTGCAAAAAATTCAGGGTGCGAGCGACAGCCCAAAACAACAATTGCACGGTGCAAAAAAACAACAATTGCACAGTGCAGGGCAAACTTTTGTTTTCGCACAGTGCATGACTTATTGCACGGTGCTGATTTTTGATGTTTGCAGTGTGCAAAGAATTGTGCGAGCGACAGCCCAAAACAAGTTTTGCACGGTGCAAAAAGCAGCAAACTGCACAGTGCAAGGCCAATTGCACAGTGCAAGAAGTCCTTGGAATTTGCAGCGACGCTGCACTGTGCATGAACCCGAAAAAAAAACGTTTTGCACCGTGCGTCCCGACGTCGCGCGCGATTCCCATTTTTCTCAGCGACAAATCATTGTTTCGGAGTGCGACGGAACTTGGGGGCCGCGAAAAATTGCAAGGACTTTCTACGGCGACATTGCACGGTGCAAAAAGCAAAGCAGCAAATTACACGGTGCATGTCTCAAAAGAAGTGCAAAACATGAGAGGAAAATCCGACTGTAACTTTTGAAATAGACAGAATTTCGATATTCGAAAACTAAACCTGATAACTTTATTATTATCACTGTAAAATCATCAATTGTGATGCACAGAAGACTCCTTTGTTCCCGGCTTCTAACGCCTTGTATATCCGGGTCCGGTTCTTGGCGGTGGGCAATGATCGCAGCTTCCGGGGTTTCCGGGCGGTCCCTTCGGGCCAGGTGGTCCATGTGGTCCGGGCAGCCCATCGGCACCCTTTTCTCCCGCATCTCCCGGTGGTCCTGGAGGTCCGGGCTTCCCGGGCTGTCCATCACGTCCTGGCGGGCCGGGCGGTCCTTGTGGCCCAGGTGGACCGGGAGGTCCGGGTGGACCGGGCGGAGCTCCGTTGATGACTTTTCCCGGCTCTCCGGGAGGCCCTTTGTCGCCGGGCTGGCCGGGCGGTCCTTGAGGGCCTTGTGGGCCGGGAGGTCCGGGCAATCCGGGGGTTCCGTCGCGGCCTGGCGCGCCCGGCTCACCGGGTGGACCGGGCAATCCCTTCGGGCCGGGTGGGCCGGGAGGTCCGGGTGGGCCGGGAGGGCATTTCTGACATGGTGGTTTTGGTGGGGGACCGGGCAGGAGGACTCCGTCGCGTCCCGGTGGACCCGGATTTCCCGGTCTTCCTGGCGCGCCCGGTCTACCATCGCGGCCTGGTGGACCGGGAGGTCCTGGAGGGCCAACCTGGCACGAGCAGCAGGATCCGCCTTGGGGATTTCCACTGGTTCCTGGGGGCGCACCAACTTGTTGGGCGTCATAGGTTTGACGCTTGGTTCTGTCTACGGTGGAGAGGGTGGGAATGCCGGAGGCGGATTGGATTTGAACCATCTCCTTCCACATGTCGCGTGAGCGGGTCTGAAATCCATTTTTTTTTTGTTTTTCCACCTTTGGTAGCATTTTTATATTACACTTGACATCAGATGATAATTTGTTGATTTTGCAAAAAGGTAATATACAATGGCAAAAATGCTTAGTTGCATTAGAAAACTCATATAACAACCTTACTAGAATAACAAATTTTTAAATTATATATTTAAGTTCGCATATTTTACAGCCATTTCTTTCAAAAAGTCATCATTTCCCGATATTTTTCCAATTTTCCCTTAAAAACATCAAATCCGCTCACCTTACAAAAATCGACCTCGTTCTGCATGTACGACTGCACACTCTGCACATGATTGTAGACAATAGGCAACGTTACAGCGCACGCCAAAACGCTAATCGTGGCGAACGCGACGGCACAAAAGGCCACCGGTTTCAAAGAGCGGCGCGGTTTGCGCGCCTCATCGGCCGGCAATTCAGTCACCTGCATGCCGTGAAAGACGCCTGAAAGAAGGAAAGCCGATTGCCGATATATATACGAATGATAAAGAGGCGGTGATTGGAATGGAGAAATCGCGACGAAATCAGGTCAAATCGGGATTTCGGAAACATTTTTGGCGCTTTCGGATCAGTTGGATGCGATTTTTATGTCGATCCTGAAGAAAAATTAGGGTAAATCAAGAGTTGTTTACTTTCTAAAATAAAAACACAAATTTCTCTACCGGGTGGATTCGAACCTGCGCCGGTTTGATTTGCAGTCTAACGCACTACCCATTGCGCTATGCAAAATTTTTGCCAAACCCGCCAAAAAATTGCAATTTCTCATTTTCCAATTGAAAAAATCTAATTATCTATCTAGCAGCTAAAAAAATAGGGCTTCCAAGACTCCTGCAAGCGATTAAAATCCAAATTTGGACATTAGATCATCATCAAACATGTTCATCAACAAAAAATGAAAAAAAAATCTCATAAAACCCCCTCAAAATAAATAAAATTCTTTCACACAGGAAAGAGAATGCCCGTTAATGAACGACTGACCTATATCCCGCATATCCCGAAGACTTGATGAAACCGCAGAACGCAATCAAATTTGGAGGTCAAAAGCGTCGTCAAGATCTCTTGAAGAACAAGAGCGACGAATAGTGACCATGAAAATGAACGCAATGTAACGGAAATGTCATGACAAGTATTTGAAAGGGCTGGAAACGAAATTTAAGATCGTTATGGACAGAAATGCTTTCAATAATATCAATAAAACTAACCTAAAGTAATATTTTGACGTCAGAATTTTAACTAGGTTGTCAAAAACAAAATTTTATGGCCTTTACGACACTATAGTCCCTTTCTATCTCTCTTACGGTAATTTCTAAGCTTTCTGGCCAATTTTATTTTAAATTTGGCGCCGTTTTCGCAATTTCGAAAAAATCTTGGCATTGTGTTGCAAGTGGATTTTTATTACTTTCTCGACATTTTTCGCGAATCAAAAGTGTTTTTGTGAAGAGCATAGTAAATTCCGACATGTATTGAAATTATACTCGGTTGATTCGCGATATTTCCCCCGGATTTTTACACTTCAATAATAGCATGTTTAGATCCTTGATCAGAATGGCCGCGACGGAAGGTCCAATGACAAAACATATCCGAGAGAAGCTATCAGAACATTTCAAAGTAAGTGGCATTTTCTTTTCGATTTTTTTAGAACTTTTAGACCATTGATCTCACAATTTCCTCTTGGTATACCTGAAACAATATAATTGATTTTTCAGCCGGTCCATCTTGAAGTAGAATGTGAAAGCCGGCTGCATAATGTGCCGAAGGATGTGGAGATTCACTTCCGAGTTCAGATCGTCTCCGACAAATTCGATGGATTATCGAAAATTCAGGTAATTTAAATTATCGTTGTTGGCTTGATGTTTAGGTCGAAATGACGAATATTTGATGGATTTCAACTGAATAAAGCGCTGTTAAAGCCAGATAAAGGCTCTTTCAGTCTTGTAAACACTAAAAAAAGGCATAATTTGATTAGATTCATCTAGTTTGATCAAATTTTGCCTAGTACAATATAATTTGTTACTTTTTCTCCGATAAGTCTAAAAACTTCGGGCTAAGCGGTCTAAAATACGACATGGAGAATAAGAAGCGATAAAAAATAATTTCAGCGACACCGACTGGTCAATAAATGTCTGGCCGAGGAACTGGAATCAGATATCCATGCGTTACGAATTCAAGCTCTTGAGCCCAAAGAATACGATGGAAAGGCGCAAGATGCGGCTCCAAAATGCGGAGGGGGGCATGGACTGTAATTCTACTTGGTTATTTGGCACTTTTAGATTGTTGTTTTTGAGATTTGAACAGTTGTTCTTGTTTTGCAGATATAAATCAGACAAAAATTCAAAAACTGCAAAATTATTGCTAAATCTAATTGTAAAAACAACCAAAATACATAGTAACAAGCGAGTTAGAGGGGATTCTGCCCTTTGGAGATGGATTTTTCACCATTTTTAAGGTGAATTCCAAAAAATTTCGAGAAATTTTGTATGTTTGGGATCAAATCCGGGTATGCCATGTTTATGGCCTCTAACAGTGCAATTAATTGAGAACACGCAACATTTGCAAATGAAAATTATTTTTGTTTGTACTCGGGGATGTTGGTTCGCAAACGGAGTTGGACGATTGGGGAAACCGAAAATTATTATTCTTCTTCGATGCAAGTGTGAAATTAGCCTAATCGATGGCGCTGATTTCGAAAACGACATTCATTTTTTTTTTGATCTTTACTTTTTTCCTTAAGTAGTACTGTAAAGTAGTAATTTTTTGTTTTTTTTTATAAATACTCGATGTAAGGGTTTTCGATGGTGCTGATTTCGAAAATCATGTTAACTTTGTCCTCTAATACTATATAGTACTACCTGATACTATGTAGTACGAGGTGAAAATTAGGCCTTTTTGCGTTAGTGGTGTTCTAATGGTGCCTAGTACTGCTATTTTCATCTCGTACTATATAGTATCAGATAGTACTAAATAGCACCATGTCTTTAAAACGTATTTTTGAAGAGTAGTAAGCATCAAAGCAACACCATTAACGTTCAAAGCCATATTTTCACCTCGTACTACATAATATCATATATACAGGGTGCGCCAATAAAATCTGGACTAACGTTTTTGCTTGCCCTGCGGGCTGTAACAGTACGAGAACAAAGTGGGCGATTGTGGATACGTGTAATACGTCCAAGAAGCTATCTTTAAAGTTTCAGACAAAATAATCGTCTACGACACTTGTTTTGCCATTATAAGCGCTTACAACTAAGGCGCCTGAAACACGGACCCCAAATTGGTCAAAAAATGGTTGCGCTATCTTTACCGTTTTATGCTATGGGCTGAAATTTACTTTTTCTGATAGAGCTCCGCGCTGTTTTTATACACTGAAATTGATTTTGCCTCATTATGACAGTTAGGCTTTTTACAGCTCGCCAAAGTTGACTTAAAAACGGGCCCTTTTTCCCGAGAACTTCCGTTAAATCAAAGATTTTTATATAGAAGTTTCCCTGTGTGATTCCAAACATGTTAAGCACCAGAGCTACTTTTGTAAGGATAACCAGAGTCAGCCTAGTCGCCTTTTAAAAAGGATTTTTCCATCTGCTGCCTCTGGGGATGAAATAGTGGCTGTAGGGGCATAATTTACTATATCCTCGCTATTCGAGCGAACTTGGACTAGATATTTCTAAAAGTGATTTGGCTACATCAGCATGTATCCAGTATACAACTCTATGTTGATTTTTACGCTCAAGGCCTTTCATACTTGTTGCAAACTGCCAAAACGTCTCAAGTTCCGAATGACCGTGCCTTGAATTCCCCCCATGAACTTTTATTTATGCAGAAACTGTCCCCTTGTATGTGCGGATTTTCTTTTACACTATAACAATTGGCTATGTATACGCTCTGTAATCACGGAATTTTGGAGCAACACGACCTATAATCTGGCGTTGAGATCCTTAAAAACACAAAAATCCAAATTTTTGGGTATTTTTTTTGTTTCCGCCACCAGCGCCGCCAGATCGGCCACCAACCCTGGTTCCGTAGGCTGTTACAAAGACAACAGCACGTACTTTATATACAATAAATTTGAAGAACGTCAGTGACTATTAGCAGAAATAATGGAAGAATTAATATCCCAGTCATCATCTGGAAAAAAAATTTCTGCACCTCCAAAAAGTTTTGATTATTTTTTCAGTCTTGCAATAGGCATCGACCTGGTCATTACCGTTGCTGTATAGCACGGTTGTTACCCTTTCTAAAAGTGCTAAAAGTTTCCGTTCTCAGGCCATCCGAAAAAGGCTATATGGAATTTAGTTTTGTCCAGATTTTATTGGCGCACCCTGTATAATACTATATAATACTAGAGGAAAAGTTAACACGGTTTTCGAAAGCAGCACCATCGAAAACCCTTACATCGAGTATTCATGAAAAAAAATTCAAAAAATTACTACTTTACAGTACTACTTAAGGAAAAAAGTAAGGATCAAAAAAAAATAAATGTCATTTTCGAAATCAGCGCCCTCGATTATCCTAATTTCACACTTGCATCGAAGAAAAATAATAATTTTCGGTTTCCCCAGTCGTCTTTTTCCCGAATCGTCCCAGTTCCGTTTGCAAAATGCCTCAGGCAATTAATTTCTTGGCCATTTGATGTTTGGAATGTTTCGCCGAATTTCATTTGTAAATCCACAGGTGGAAATTGCCCTTTGCACTCCTGATTGTTTGGGTGAAGTGAATGGTCGCCTACTTTCAAGGGCTTTTTCTAGAATTTTCATTTTTTTGGGCTTCCGATTTCGATATTTGTGAAATACAGAGGAAAGTTTTCATTCCGGAAAGTCTCCGGACTGATTTTTGTCACTTGCACTGTGCGAAAACATTTCAATCCGACGACTTTCCGGAAGAACTAGTACCTAAGCCACCAAGATTTTGACGTGTACGGACCTAAAAATGACCGGCATTTTCTGTAAAGCGCCAGGAAAAATCTCCCTGCAAGACTCAGATTTTGAGAAAGCCAGGCACAGCTTCGTTTAATTTCCTAGCTCGCGCTTTGCAGAAACGACCGAGATTTTTAAGTCGAAAGTTGGGAAAAAATGGATGGTTTTTTGCGAATTTTGCCATGAAAATTTGAATTCGTATTTCTACCGTAGAGAACGTTTCCACAAAAAATCAATTACTGCTATGTGGCCTTTGAAGTGTCAAAAAAATCTACGAAAATCTAGGCGTCGCACTTGACGTACTTCCTTGTTAATTGCGCCTAGAGTCGCGGACCTGATCCAGTGGCAAAAAAAGTACCATTTTTGCATCCCGGAAGTATTAAAAATGTAGCAAAATACCTCCCTCTCCAAGTGAAAAAACTCCGATTTCAAAAGCGCGCCCTTCAAAACGGAGTTTTTTCAGTTGGAGAGGGAGGTATTTTGCTGCATTTTTGATACTTCCCGGTTGCAAAATGGAACGTTTCTTGCCACTCGATCAGGTCCGTCACTGTAGTTTCATAAAAGCCGATGTCCATTTTTGGCTTTCATTGAAATCTTTGCTCATCCGGAGGACTGCTTACCTCACAAATTGAACATCCCTCGGGCGGATTACTCAACGAAGGGATTTGCTTGCGTCGCACTTCAAAACAGATTATTCGGTGGGGGTGTGGAAGTGTAATATATACGGTGCGTCTGAAAGGAAGAAAGAGACTTTTCCCGACGCACGCAGCTCTACGGTATAAATGGAAAGGATGAGAAGCCCGCGAATTGCCGGGGTGGATGACCCAAGCAAAGCGGCATTAGCCGCAAATGGCCTGAGGGGTCGGACTTCAGGCCAGGGATTTTTTGAATTTTGCTGGGATTTTCCGGAATTATCCGTGATCTACGTAGGCAAATTGGAGGGGTGCAATGGATGACAGGTTAGAAATTCTTGTTCAAAAGTTGAGAACTAGAGACTAGGCGGGCCAAAAAGTCCATTTCCGCACTGTGCGGGAATCTGCAGGGTCGCAGTGCACCGTGAATTTTATTTTGGTAAAAGTTCCTTATTCTGGCCACAACTTATAATTTTGCAGAAACTGGTCAGAATTAGCCCAAATTTAGCGTGCAGGCTCTTGTCAATACCTGGACAGTGGATTTAGTTAGTGAGGTACCTCCTTTTTTACGTACCACCTTACCCTTCAAAAGCGGCTGCAGCCTGCGATTTTACACTTTATACGACGAAACATGTCCGGAACTACACTTATTGCCTTCGTATAGAACTAAATGAGTCGTCAGAGCCTTCGTAGGTACCCTTAAAACTATAGAGCTTTTATACAACTTTAGTTCCCAAGCTTGGACGCAGTTCGCGGAGTACCCTTGTTGTGGCCAGAATAAGGAACGTTTTCCTTTATTGCTCGCCGTGTTGTTCGCACGACGGCGCACTGTGCAGACATGTCATGACTTTTTGGCCGAAAGGTCCAAAAGTCGCATCTCAGTTTTTGTCCCAAAAATCGATGTAGACCTATCGTGAATAAAGAAAGTTTTGCCTATATACTCGATGGAGACCTAGCAACAACTCTCGGCGTACGAAATGAATTTACAATGGTTGTGACTTATGATTTAGATGGAGAGCAAGAACTTTAAAAGTACGACTCTCGGATTTTGATGACACTCAAATTAACAAGAGAAGTACCCAAGTCTGACGCTCAGATTTTCTTTAAATTTTGTTTGTTCAAAAGGGCTTCTAATTGCATCCGGGAGGCATTTCGAATACTCCAAATTCCTTCCTCCCCGGCTGAAAATAGCGTTCATCTGAAGAAAGAGCGAGAAAGTTGCCGGTTTGGTGAGAAAAGAGAAGGAAAAACTTTCTTCTTTCCAAAACGGCAACTTTCTCGTCCTCTCTTCGAAAGAGCGCTATTTCCGGACAGAGAAAGAGGTATTTGGAGGTATTCGGAATGCCTCCCGGATGCAATTAGAAGCCCTTTTGACCATACAAATTTAAAGAAAATCTGAGCGTCACACTTGGATGCTTCCCTTGTTAATTTGGGCAAAATGTCATCAAAATCCGAGCGTCGTACTTTTAAAAGTTCTTTCTCTCCCATGTAAATCATAAGTCACACCATTGTAAATTCATTTCGTACGTCGAATACGCCCTGCATAAACGAATAAGACCTTTGATTTTACACCTGAATATTATTTTCCCCTTTTCGTTTGTTTTTTTCTAAAATGCTTCGTTTTTCAAATGAAAAATTGCAGAAAACTATAAAATCCAATGGATTTCAATCATCATTCGGACGAAACGGATCGATTATTGTATATCATTTTGATCATAGTGGAAGTCACCGGGTATATTGTTCATTTCCTGCTGGGAACGTATTTCGTATGGCATATCCGGAATATCACACTGATTCATGCGAATTTGAGGATCGTTTTGGTGAGTTGATTTCTTCGCCTTTGCACAGTGCATTTCGAACTTTTCACACAGTGCCAACTACGCAAATTTCAGTGTGTAAAAGTGACGCAATATTTCTTCATGGCATTTGGTCGTATCGGCGACCTAATCAACACATCCACTGAGAAATCGCTCTATTTGACCAATTTTCTCTGTCTAATCTTCAAATTCAATCATGATGCGGGCATGATCATCACCATGCTGTGTCCGTTGTGGGTGGCGGCCGAGCGAATCTGCGCGACCATGATGATCAAAACGTACGCCGATCGCACAGCGAATGTGGGAATTTGGCTGGCGCTGGGGACGGTAAGAAAACGCGCGATTGCCATACACAATTTGGGGTTTTCTAACCATTTTTGATCAAAAATCGATATAATTTGTAACTTTTTGGTCAAAAACAAGTCTATCTCGATAAAAGATGACTCTAAGTTACGTAAAATGCCTTCTAAATTATACCACGACGATAATTTCTCCTATATTTTAAAGAAATTTTCCCATTTGTAATCTTTTTTATACACTGGGGGCCTGATCCAGTGGCAAAAAACGTACCATTTTGCATCCAGGAAGCATCAAAAAATGTGGCAAAATACCTCCCTCTCCAAGTGAAAAAAAACTCCGATTTCAAAAGCGCGCCCGCTCTTTTTTTGAGGAAAAAGAGGGCGCCTTCAAAACGAAGTTTTTTCACTTGGAAAGGGAAGCATTTTGCCACATTTTTGACACTTCCCAGATGCAAAATGGTACCTTTTTTGCCACTGGATCAGGTCCCCCACTGTAGAAGATTTTAAACTTTTTTGCCACAAAATATGGACTAAAGTAATATCAAAAATTTTCAGCACATCTTCGCTTTTACCCTTGCCGGTTTTGGCATCTACTACGACCTGAATTATCATGTTTTCGATCTCGATGGATCAACCGGCTCCTGCCAAGTTACCCACCTCCACCCGGCGCTGATCCCCGTTCTGTGGGCGATGGTCGGAATTATCTTCACCATAGCTGCTGTTGTAAGTTTATTATCAGTCTGTCGGGAAAATAATGTAGATTCGTCAGGCCTTGGAATCGCCCATCAATTTCGCTACGACAAATCCACATTATTTTCCCGACCAACTGACAGTGCCCAATTTTTTAAACGGAATCTTTTTTATAATATCATTTTTACAGTGGGGGACCTGATCCAGTGGCAAAAAACGTACCATTTTGCATCGGGGAAGGATCAAAAATGTGGCAAAATGTTTCCCTCCACAAGTGAAAAAACTTTGTTTTGAGGGGCGCGCTTTTGAAATCGGAGTTTTTTCACTTGGAGAGGGAAGCATTTTGCCACATTTTTGATACCTCCCAGATGCAAAATGTTACGTTTTCTGCCACTGGATCAGGTTCCCCGCTGAATCTCTAACGCAATTTAAGATCCTAGTCTTCCTCTACCAACACAATATCAAAATGAAAGCCATCAAATTGTCGACCAATCTGACAGCTCGTTATCAATATTCGGAGAACGTGCGGACTCTTCGCTTCTTGGTGCCGGCTTTTGTCGGTCTGGGATCATTAAACCTATTGGCTGCGCTCACAATACCGTACATCTACATCAAGTTTGCGCAAGGACAGGATGTGCAGTTGATGTATCAGGTAAAAACAAAAAAAACAATACAACTTTTTGGCCATTTCCGACAAACAGGTCACAATGAGATCCCGAATTTGCCATCAAAAAGCATCGGAGAGGCAGAAAGAACGCGTAACTTCTCATCTTTATGTCGCTGCAATCCCTTTTGATGTAAAAGTGGTCCGCGAAGTTCTCGTCTTTTAATTTTGCTGCTGGGTCGAATTTCGGTGCAAAAATGGGTTAACGGTGATTTTGAAAAATCAGTGCCGACGAAAATTAAAGTGTCCAATGATTTTTCAAAATCAATGTCAACCCATTTTTGCAACGAAATTGCAGCAAAAATAAAAGCTGAGAACTTCTGTGGCCACCTTTACATCAAAAGGTATCGCAGCGACACAGAGATGAGAAGTTACGCGTTCTTTCTGCCTCTCTGATGCTTTTGATGGCAAATTCGGGATCTCATTGTGACCTGTTTGTTGGAAATGACCAAAAAGTTGTATTGTTTTTACTAATCAACTGAAAATTTCAGGCCTTATACCTTATCCCAGTTGGATATGGTGTCTACTTTATAATCTACGTGTTCTTCAAGTACGAAGTCCTCCGAAAAGCCCTCAAAAAAGACCTTGCAAAGATTTTGCCATGCTTTTTCCGCGAAAAGGTCAAGGTTCGACCCAACCCGGAGGCAATGTATGGAAATGACGTGGACAAGACCACCGACTTGTACTGGAAACAATTCGATAATGCGTGGCAAAAAGGTCCGGCCGAGGAAAAGAAACAGCTCACACGTTCTAATTCCGCGATGCTCAAGCTGAGCAAACCTCCGAGGAAGGCAATAAAATAGAATTTTGCTAAAATTTATATTACACTTGACGTCTCCATGCATTTTGAAAAATTTCTTTATATTCACTTGAAAATGGGTAAATAAACTTCCGCTAATCAAGCGCAGCCGCTCTCCACTCTGGAGAATTTATAAGCACAAGCTATAAAACGGTAATATACAGGTTTGTGGCACATTATTAGTAATACATATTAGGTAGCGTATATCACATGAAGAATATAATCTTGAAGAGACCGAAATACCAATTAAAACTCCCTGAGGCTTTGCCAAATTACTCCTCCGACCCCTCAGCCACTTTACTCTCCTGTTCTGTAGGCGTTACGACCCCATCCGTCTTGGACTGCTTCTGTTTGAACGTTTCTCTAGCTATTTGACGTTGTAAATGGGTCATTTTCTCGTGCATCACTTGAATCCGACTCTGAACGTTGTATATCCTCTTCGTGCTGTCGTCTAGTCGTCGGACGTAGTCTCCCAGATCAAACGGCATTTGCTTTTCGTCCAGGATCTCTTTCAGGTCTGGAAATAGGAAGTGTAACATAAATTTGAATACAATCGCCGGAGAATTCTAAAAATCAACAAAGAAAAAGAAAGGAACTTACATTCGGAGAGCTTCTGGATATTTTCACCTAAATGAATCTGACTTTTACGGGTTTCTTTGACTTGGGCATCAAGGGTTTGGAGAGCAGGTCGAACAATGTCCATTATACCTGTAACAAGAATAATTTTGAGAGTAAATCAAACAGAAGAGCTCGGAGACGTCTTCGGTCTTCCCTGCGACACAAAACACTTTCTTCTTTAAAGAAATTCAACTAGAATTATTTATGCTATGCACCGCCTAAAATAAGGTCAGATTTCATAGTTAAACTCATTGAGATTATAGCAGATACCACTAAAATACAAGAACACATACTCTTCTTGTATTCATTCCACATTTCATCAATATTTACCTAAATTACAAAACTTTCTAGCAAGAACATTACTTTACCTTCACTAATATCATTTCCACCTCCAATTGCGGGTTCTGGATTCCCAGGCTTTGCCATTTATTAGAAAAAACGTCAGAAAACAACAAAAAATAGTTTCTACATCCAAGACCGACGAAAAATTATGGAAATCCATTAAATCAATAAGAATTGAGGCGAAATGTCAATATTGATCAAAAATAAAAAGTGAAAGAAATGCAGATTTTACCCGAAAAAAGCAGATTTACATAAAATAGAGAGAGATTCATCTGAGAATGCAACAAAAAAAAGAGGTCCTGAGAACTGGCGAAAAATTCAAAGATTGTCAATTACAATATAAAAAGTTAGAGGAGGCAACAAAAATATATTGAATACATCAAGATTAGGAGATGCAGTAGAACAAATAGGCGATACTCGTTGAATAATATTACTTAGAGTCCGGTTTTCCAATTGTACGGCATATTGGGGACTTTCGAATCTAAAACAACAAAAATCATGAGCTGAAGCAGACCTAAAAACCTTGCAAAATGCCCGAAATTTTTTTACCATGGAGATTCACGTCACCTCCACAGTAAAAAATTCAAAAACGCCAAAAAAAAGACCGAATGATCCCGGCCGGGTTCGAACCGGCGACCTTCTGCGTGTAAGGCAGACGTGATAACCACTACACCACGAGACCACTGGCCGGCCGCTCTCTTGCTCTTCTTTTAGTGGGTTGGAACGCACAGTGCACACGATTTCCCTGCGATTCGACTTCCAAACGGCTATTTTTGGACAAAAATAGACAAAAGGTGGGGGTAAAATAGCAAAAGTGTGTCAAGGAGGACTCTAAACTTTCCTTCAAAACAATACAGGGTGTCCAGAGAAATTTTACGGAAAGTTTTTGCCGATTTCTAGACGCTCAGCCAAGACATTCAAAAAATTCTTTTTGCAGTAGAAAAAAGACGGCGGGTTTTGCCCAAAAAACTGTTTTCGCCGCTAACGCGGAACGTACTGTATTCGGCGGAGACTTTTGATTGTTTTTTTGATCTCCGTCATACAGTACGTTCCGCGTTGGCGGCGAAAAAAGTTTTTTAGGCAAAACATCACCCTCCTCTTTCTACTGCAAAAAGAATTTTTTGAATGTCTTGGCCGAGCGTCTAGAAATTGGCAAAAACTTTCCGTGAAATTTCTCTGGACACCCTGTATTATTTTGAAGGAAAGTTTAGAGTCCTCCTTGACACACTTTTGCTACTTTACCCCACCTTTTGTCTATTTTTGTCCAAAAATAACTGTTTGGAAGTCGGATTGTAGGGAAATCGTATGCACTGTGCATTCCAACCCACAAAAAGAAGAGCAAGGCGACCGGAACAAAAATTATTCAGAATCGCTTGAAGCTCACCAACTTTCTACATCAAACCCCAACTGCTCCATGGATTCTTTATTACTCGGAACAACGGAGTCGTCCCCAGTGTCCCGCCAGACCTCTTTGAGCAGACGGATGGCGGAGCTTTCGTCCACTTCTGTCTCTGCTCCTTCAACACACGTAGAAATGTTGACGGATTCATCCCTCACGACCGCCTCGAGATTCTGAAAGTCCGCGCTGGCGAAGAAGCTTTCGTCAAAGCAGAAGCTCCTCTCCGTGTTGTTCGCCTCGTTCTGTGCGGATTTTTCGGGCTGGAGCAGTGGAGATTTGTCGAGTTCGGGGGGTTTTGGAGGGGATCCTGAAAAGATTTTTTAGATAAAGATTAGATAAAAACAAAAAATTTTAGGTAAAAACTACGGATTTTTGTAGCCGCGATATTCAGAAGGCTCCCAGTAGTCATTTTTCTTCACTTTTTTATTACTGTAAACACTGGAAAAATAACAAAATAACAGCTACTGAAACTATGCGAGATCCAATTCGAAAAGATGGTGGATGACGCAAGGATTTATTGATGGCTTAGCTGGCGAAAAGGAGGTTCGGATTTAGCGCGAATTTTTCCAAAACAGTCTAAATTGGTCAACATTATCACAAAAAACTTTTGGCCTGTCCAAGCTTTACCAAAATTAACGCAAAATCTTCCCATTATCCTATGAAAACCCCCGTCTTACCATGATCTCCATCCGCATTGATCAGACAAGAGCTGTGCGATCTGGAACTGCTGGGTGATTCCATGCGATCAAGAAATTCATACTTGGTATTCTTCATTCTTCTGATGTCCTGATACAACGCACTTAAATCTTTGCCTTTTTTGGGCGGCGCCGGCTTCTTCGGCACACTTCTTCTCGCAAACGCCCTTGGCTTATCGATGGGGCTTTGGCCAACCATCGGGATTTTTTGAAGAGTCTTCAAGGACCTCTTGGCCGATCTCAGAGACTTTTGGACCTCTTCGACATTCATTTCCTTGGTCCCATCGATCATCTTTCGCGCAATTCGGATGTTCTCCAACGCAACAGCAATAACTTTGTCACCTTCGATGGGAGAGGTGGGCGAGGAAGAGCCAGATGAACTAAAAATCCGAAAGAATAAGAAAATAGAAAACTTACTGGGTAGGCGGTTCGATCAAGGTCCCGTTTTTCAAAGCATTATCAACGTAGTTGTGGATGGCGATAAGAGCAACACTCTGAAAGCAGGTAATTGAGTTTTTAGCAAATTCGACCTGAACCCTATAAATACTTGATACAATCTTCGATTAAACAAAAATTCATCAAAAAACCTGCCGAAAAACTTTCGATCGGCTCATAAGTATCGGCAGAACTTCCATAACCTTCCCAGCGAATCAGATAGTGCAATCTTCCATCAATCCGCTTGTGGCCCAACACTCTTTCGATGACATACGTTTTCTTGGACATCTTCTTGGTCCCTGGTCCCTTTCCTTTATTCTTCTTTAGATTTTTTGACCTACAATAATGTAATAGACCAAATGAACTCTAAAAAATGAAAAGAACATACAAAAACTCACTGGAAAGAGTCCTCAAACTTCGAAGAATGTTGCATCATACCCATATAAGCAGTTAAAAGTTTTTGACCTTTTGGAGTCTGAAAATATAAGACATCGGAAATTGATACCTAAAACAATATACTATTTTTCTGATCATTCATTAAATCAGTTCCTAATGCGCTCAAAAATTATAAACAAAGGTTTTTGGCGATGGTTAACGTCTTACCATCAAATCTTCCATTCTCTGATCCTTCTCGTATAATTCTCCATTGCTCCACTGCTGAACATGAAAAATAACTTCTGAGTCGGGAACACTGTGCGAAACAATCCGTTCTTCGGTGATACTGCCAGAAGATTCGTCCTGAAACAAATTTACATCAGAGAAACGCATCAACTATCGGTCGTTACGCCTTAATTTGGGCTAAATTATCTAGAAGGTACCTAAAACAAGAGAAATTCGAAAATCTGTAAACTCACTGATTCAGAATCTTCGACGACATTTTTCATGGCTCTCCTGAGTTTATTATAGGTCTTCAAGTGGTTTTCCTTCAAGTGTTCAACCATGTAGTCGATATTATCCTTGGCACAAGTGAAGTGCTGCTTGCAGTAGCGACAGCTACGAGAGACGTCGGAATCCGGCGGAAACTTCTTTAAAACCTCTGTGTGGAAAAACGAGGCCATCTGAAAGAAGCTTACAATCAGAAAGGCGCAAATTTACATTACACTAGGCAAAGTTTTTGGATTTTATAAAAAACGACTGGCAATTGTGAAAATCGACTAAAGGCATAATAATTAAGAGTAAAAAAGTTGATATAACAGTTGCATTGCACTTTACTTGCACAAAAATGAGATTCTTGGACGAATTTCGCAAAAAAATTCTGCAATTTTGCAAAAAAATTGCGCGGATCTACGAAAATTCTGAGTTTTGAAACGAAAATCAATTACAGTAGAAAAATGTAAATTACGCAAAGAATTCGCCTTACCACACGCAAGCAGAGACATGATTTTCAAACTGTTTGAGATATCCGATGTTATACTTGCCATTAGACTTGATTACCTGTCTTTTAATAATTTTTTATTGTTGTGAACGTGTTTTTGGTTTCTTGTACAATTTTTTTGTAATCGCAGCGATGTCTCACACGTAGCGACATGGGAAAGGACCGTGAAAAGGCCCTTAGGCGTGTGATTCATGCAAATTTCTTTCTCGACAAACATGGCTGAAAGGCTTTCAATTTCCTCCAATCTACTTCTTCCCCCGTTCCGAATGGAGGGTTTCTGACCGTAAAATGGGTCTTAGAATAGTAACCACCTGTTTTTACGGCAGTAACAACCTTTTCTTATCAGCTTCGACCCCTTGAATAATATTGAACTTGCTCAATTTGACCTTGTCATTTAAATTTGGCTTGTAAAACGGTCAGATAATTTGACGTTGATAAGAAGTACTTCCACATGAAACCTCTCATGTCTCAATAAACTAAATATTAACAGCCATTTTGTCACTCGTTTTATCATTTTGAGACACTAAATTTTAGATTGGTCATCTTCATCAAGGTTAATAAATTTTTTTTGTCCTAAGCGATGGAGAGCTCTGATCCAGCTACTAATCCAAGGAAGTATCTTTCAAGCCCAGTGGGTTCAAGCTACTACTCGCAGGTTCATCATGAAAACACTTTTAAGATGGATCTGTTGAACATGCTGAATGATCCAACGACGTCCGATTTTGATATTGTGGTCAATGAAAGAGTCTTCAAGGTGAGGAAAAGAGCTGGTTAGAGAGCTTAGACTAGTGTTTCCCGAAAGTGCTTAGGCTTTTGCATTGTACCTAGTCATGACTGCGCTTTTCGGAGAGTTCGTTCTGCATTGTCCATAGTCGTGAGGCGGTGCACCGTGTGCTCTCACTTAGCCACCATTTGAAGAGATGCAATTTTTTTCCAGGTCCATCGAGTGATCCTACAAGCCCGTTCGAAGTATTTTGCGGCCCTGTTTTCATCGAAGAATCGAGAAACGGAGACTGGACGGATGGAGATAAAAGAGATGGATGAAGATCAAGTCTCCGTGGTCTTGCGGTTTATTTATGGTGCTAAGCTGCCAGACCCTTCGGTTGTGACCTTAGAATTGTATCAAATTGCTGATATGTATCGACTAATCGATCTGAAGGTAAGTTGCATCCTGATCAATTTGACACGCCATGAAAACTTTCTTTGTGACATTGCGGTTTCAGTATTACTGTATAAACGTCCTTGCGTCCTCATTAGACTCCACAAATATAATTTGTTTTCTTCAACATGCTGAACACTTCCAAGACGACCGTCTTATGGATGTTGGGGTGTGTTATGTAACGAAAAATCTTGACAGACTGTTGCGAACCGAAATCGCGGATCAATTATTGGATTGGAAACAACTGGTTAAACGCATTCTACACTATCAAAACGAGAGATTAAGCGCTGAAGCATAAGATTGTAAAAGTCTGCTCTTTATACTGCCAGAATACAAATGTGATATGTTCAGCTTGTGGGTCCGTCCATGTGCAGACGATTGGGTTGGTAGGTGAAGTCGATGAACTCGGTGTCCTGCCCTCTGATCATTGTGTTGGGAGCGAGGGAGGCTGAAATTGGGAGTTTTAGGGTGAAGTGGGATGGCCGAAGCTAAAAAATGATTTTACTCCCATATCGATAGGGTAGTAAAATCATTTTTTCGCTTTTTGGCTTGTCAAAACCGCACTTTGCTAGTACATCCACAAAAAAGTCTCAACTAGTCATGAATCGTTGTGAGGGTGGGCTAGCGAAGGGTGGTTCTGGCTAGCCAAAAAAAGCGAAAAAAATTATCTCAACATACCCGGATTAGGCTGCACATCCGTGAATTCGGACGCAATATAACCCGTGTCCGTTTCGTTTTTCACTTTCGGCACGAATGGAGGTTTCAACTCTCGCTTCAACAACTTTTCCCAATCAATTGTGGCAAAGAATGGATGTTCCTTGATTTCCTCCAGGTCATTCTTGGCACCCAGTCGTTCCGAGCGATCTTTTTTGAGGAAATCGTTGAGAACTTGTTTCGTCGTGGCTGATGCCGTCGCTGGGACTGACAGGGGCTTGTAGAGGATCTTTTCGTACATCTCTTTGTGGTCTTTGGAGTAGAATGGAGGCTAAAAAATTCATGATTCATAGTGTAAATTTTGGGATTTTGATGACTTAAAGAACCTCAGAGTTCTAAGACTTTGCAAAAATTCTTCTTGACGTCAAATTCGACCGAAAATTTGATTGTAAATTTCCTTACCAGTGAAAACATAAACTCGTACAAAACTGCGCCCAGACACCACCAATCAACCGTGAGTCCATAAGGTTTCTTTTGAATGATTTCTGGCGCCAAATACTCCGGAGTTCCACAAAAGGTTTGTGTCAGATCATTCAGCTTGATGCCTTCTTTGCAAAGTCCAAAATCGGTGATGACAACATGACCGTATCTGTCGAGGATCAAGTTTTCTGGCTTTAAATCTCTGAAAAGAACGATTTTTATACTAAGTCGGATAGAAGCTCACCGATAAATAATCTGCCGCTCGTGCAAATACCCCAAGGCACTCGCAATTTCGGCCGCATAGAATCGCGCACGATTCTCGCTGAAATGCCGGTCCTTTTGCAGATGAAAGAAGAGCTCTCCGCCGTTCAAAAAGTCCAACACAAAGTATAATTTGTCCTTGGTCTGGAAGCTGTAGTGCAGATACACCAGGAACGGATGATTAATGTTCGACTTCAAGACGTTCCGCTCGGCCATTACGTGTTTGGCCTCGTTCCTCTTCAAGATTCGGGCCTTTCCGAGCACCTTCATTGCGTAGATTTTCCCGTCCATCCGATAGCGCACCATGAACACTCGGCCGAAACTCCCTTTGCCGATTGTTTTCAGGTATTCGAAGTGATTTGGGGCAATTCTGGAAGTACAGAGGGGATTTGCTCATTTTGCTACAAATTTTGCTGGAAATCGAAAGTGAAATTAATTTGCCCTCCTTACATAAGCGAAAAAGACTATTTTAATAAATTTGAAAGTTGTTCTAGCATTCATAGGAATCACTTTTTCATAGAATGCCTCAGGCGATTCTGTTTTTTTTTGAAAAAATGAAGGAAAGCAAATTTAAGATATTTTCTTAATTTTTTACCATTTTTTTGCGTACAAAATTTATTTTGGATGCTAACCATGCAAACATTAAGACGTACTATGTACAACACCCTCAAAATCACGTACGTTTTCCTCTCCGAAGGTCCCAAATCGACGTTATCTTCATCTTCCACAATTCCAAGCGGTCCCAAAAAGTGCTGAACTTCTTTGCTAAAGACAGAATCACATTATCTCAAGTTACCAACACAATCATACCGATCGCGCAGCTCTCTGACACAGAAATTGATCAACTTTTGGATCCAAAATTTTCGATCCTCCGCCAGCTTCTTCGGCGATGGGAAAAAGGTCTTCTTTTTTGGTGGACGGTCGAAATCATGGGGCAGGAAGCCTTTGATCTTCTCGTAAAGGTCTTCATATTCGGTTATGGTCCGTTGCATTGTCATACCATACTCATTTTTGAGTTGGAAGTAGACCTGAAAGAATTTTGGAAAGGTGTGGAAGTATGTGTTTTTCAAGGTTAAGGTTTTTTTAAAAAGAGGGCCTACATATTAGCATTTTCACAAAGTGCCTGGACATTTGTCGCGATCCGCGCCGTGCACAAAAATGCGCGAGTTCTTGCACCGTGCACTCACCTTTTTTTGGTTTTGCACTGTGCATTTGAAATATCGCTACGGCGTAAGCTGTTCTCAACTGCGCCGCTGCGGTTTTTCTCAAAAATTTGCACAGTGCAATCGGCTTCTTTCAGGTTTGCACGGTGCGCAAAGAAAAATCCACAGTGCGTTGGCGACAAAAATTCAAGATGTACTATGCGCAAGCGAAAAGATGTCCAGGCACTTTGTGAAAGTGCTAATAGTTGTTCCAGAAAGTGCGCCGCGTTTTTTCGGCTATTTTTCGCACATGCAAATGTCCTAATCATCTTTTTGACCACGAGAGTATACGACATGCACGGTGCAAACCCGGGTTCTTTTTTCTCACGGTGCAACAAATGTCCGTGCACTTTATGAAAATATGTGCTATAAGTTTGTCGGGAAAATAATGAGCACTCTGTCGCAGCGAAAATCGCATCGCCGCAAATGAATTGTGTCCCGGTAAAATCAAATTTCTTTTCGCTTCAGCAACCCGATTTTCTCTGCGGCAGAGTGCTCATGATTTTCCCGACAGACTGCTGATTCATAATAGCCACATTCTCAAAACTTTTGCCACACTTTGCAACGCTCTCAGTAAACTCACCGGACTTCGCTTCTCATCCGTCACGATCGGTTTGCACTCCACCTTCTTGTGGGCCGATTCCGCCATCCTCGGAAACGTGGAATATGGGCCGCCCGAGGGTCTTAATATCACCGCCCGAGGGTCTCTTAATATCACCGCCTGAGGGTCTTCTTTTGCTCGTTTCGATTTTGGGGGAATTTTGTAATGCGTTTTCATCAGTTCGCTCCTTATCTTTTATCAGGCAAGCCGGAGAGAGTTTTTCTTTACGACCCCGCATTTAACAGGCCATGTAAAAATAGCGCATATGATGTAGAATGCATATATGAAATTCCACGGAAAGTGTTTTGGTCGAACGTTCAAACCGCCGCCTCAAAGAACGGCCCCTTTTTTTTAATTCGAAGCGGATGTCCGGAGGAACGTTTTGTGATTAGTTTTTGATATAAATAATAATAAAAAACAATCAAAAAGAGCAATTTATTGCTTGTAATCAAACTATATTAAGAAATTTTTGCAATATCAGACAAATATATTAGTTCATTGATTCGAAAAAATTGAAGTTTTTGGGCAAAAACTTATGAAAAAAGGATAGTCTTCATGTGGCGACAGAATTGCTGCTAGAAAAAAGATTTTGTAAACGTAATTAGTATAGTATTTTCATAAAGTGCATGGGCATTACTAATCGTTCCAGATAATGCGTAAATTTTTTTCGGCATTTTTTCGCACTTGCCTGTTTCCTGCGCGACGTGATCCTTTTCGAAACATCCTGCACTGTGCAAAATGTGCGACAAGCGCGTGAAAATTGAAGATTTACTGAAGGCGAGACAATCAATTCACAAAAATGATCCTCAATTTTGCATGAACTACAGGGTCTTTCAAGAAACGTGAAGGAAAGTAGGAGGCTATAACTTAAAAGAGCCCTTTTTCAAAAGGTTGTTGCGACCTCAGTTTGCACTTAAAAGTCTTGTTACTTCGTAGGCAAAAAATAATGTTGCTTAAAAATACATATTCCAAAAACCAAGTCTCTGCGCCGCCTCCGCCGAAGGTTATAGCCTCCTACTTTCCTTCACGTTTCTTGAAAGACCCTGTAGTATGATACTTTGGGTATGCCATACGAAATATATGTAAGTTCCCGGCAAGAAATGAGAAGATTCGCAAAAAAATGTCACATTTTCTCCAACTTTCGAACTACAATTCGAGGCCTCGTACAGTGGGAGACCTGATCCAATGACAAAAAACGTACCATTTTGCATCCGGGAAGTTTCAAAAAATGTGGCAAAATACCATTTCAAAAGCGCCCGCTCTTTTTGTGAGGTAAAGGGCGCCCTTCAAAACTAAGTTTTTTCAACTTCGTTTGTGGAGAGGGAGGCATTTTGCCACACTTTTTATACTTCCCGGATGCAAAATGGTACGTTTTTTGCTACTGGATCAGGTCACCACTGTAAAAATGATATTGTAAAGAAGATTCCGTTTACAAAATTAGGTGCTGTCAGTCTGTCGGGAAAATAATGTGGATTTGTCGTAGCAAAATTGGGACTTGATGTAGTGGCTAAAATGTTCCATTTTGCATCCGGAAAGTATCAAAATGTAGCAAAAGGCTTCCCTCTCCAAGCGAAAAAAAAACTCCGATTTCAAAAGCGCGCCCTTCAAAACGAGGTTTTTTCACTTGAAGAGGGAGGCATTTTGTCACATTTTTGATACGTTCCGGATGCAAAATGGTACGTTTTTTGTCACTGGATTAGGTCTCTCACTGTACACCGTATACGTCTTAGATAGAAATACACTTGCTTTACAACCTTTATTACAAACCGCAAACTTTGACAAAAACGAATAAATAGTCGCTACAATGTTAATTACCGCTAAAATGCATAGAAAAAAGACTACTCAAGAAAATAAAAAAAGAATAGAATGATCCCAACCCAGAAGCTATTGGGGGAAAATATATAGAAGATGCTACAATCGAGAGGGGTTGTAGACCAGGAAGGCACCGTCAACCGGCATGATTTGGGGATTTTTTTGGGGGTTTTTTGGCATAAAAATTTGAATTTTTTGGCAAAAATTTTGATTTTTCGCTATTTTCTTCAAAAATCAATATTAAAAAGACCAGACTACTGTGAAAAATCTTATATAGACTATTAAATCAGACCATGTTCAAGTTGAAATTAGGCAAAATTTGAATATTCAAAAATTAAATTTAAATATTTTTGAATATTCAAATTCAAAAAAATCATATTTAAATAGATGTAGACTATTTAATCACATATTAAAACAAATTTGCATATTCAAAAAAATTTTTTGAATATTCAAATTTCAAAAATTTTAAATTATTCCAATCATATCAAGAAAATTCGACTCAAATCGGGAGCTCGAGTTTTCGGTTCTCTCGGACCACTCTGGTCACGTACAAGTAGAAAAAGTCCGCATACAGCACGGTCTGCACCACGCCCGACACCACCACAATCGGGTCGAAGAAGCCCTCCGTGAAGTAGCGATACACCCAGTTCAAGATGTACAGCCCGCGATACGAGCCCAACGCGAACAAGTAATGCGCCGTGATGGTCTCGGCCTCGCCGCGCCGCTGCAGCATGAACAGTTGCGGCAGGATGGCGACCGCCTCCAGGTAGATGGAGAACGTCCACAGGATCTCCAGGAACGTAAAGTCGGCGTTGATGAAGACGGCCAGCACGGCGCACGGCAGGATCAGGATCTCCACCCGCAACGTGTCCTCCTCCTTGTTCAGGGTCGAACGGAAACGGAAGTACATCATGTAGACGGTGGTGTAGAGGGCCGAGATGAAGAGAACCTGAAAAAAAAATTTGTTACAGTAACCCCAAAAAATTTGTTACAGTAACCCCGAACCTGTCAGATTACTGTGAGAAAAGCTCTATAAGGTGTTCTGAAGACAAGCTATAGCTAAAAATATCCCGTGCCGAACAAAATCCTGAAAAATTTTTTGTTACAGTAACCCTCAAGTTGCCTAACTTGACCAATTACAGTCACAAAAAGGTTTCTAACTCGTCTTTACAACAAGCTACAGCTAAAAATACCCTGTACCGACCAAAATCCCGAAAAAAATTTTGTTACAGTAACCCTAGATTGTCGAAATGGACAGTCACAAAAAGCTCTCTAACTCGTTTTTACGACAAGCTATAGCTGAATATGCCCTATACCAAGAAAAATCCCGAAAAATTTTTTTGTTACAGTAACCCTCAAGTTGCCTAACATGACCGATTACTGTCACAAAAAGCTCTCTAACTCGTCTTTACAACAAGCTACAGCTAAAAATACCCTTTACCGACCAAAATCCCAAAAAAATTTGTTACAGTAACCCTAGATTGTCGAAATGGACAGTCACAAAAAGCTCTCTAGCTCATTTTTACAACAAGATATAGCTAAAAGGACCCTTTACCAGTCCTTCCGGAAAGTCGCCGGACTGAAATCGGCGACGCGCACTGTGCGAAAAAAACTTTTCTTTGCACTGTGCAATCTTTGTTCTTTGCACCGTGCAATCTTCGGCTGTCGCTCGCACCCTGACTTTTTCGCGCAGTGCAAACACCAAAAATCAGTCCGGCGACTTTCCGGAACGAGTAGTAAAAAGCAAAACGCACAAATAAATTTTGTTACAGTAACCCCAATGCTTCCCGAACCTGTCAGATTACTGTCAGAAAAAGTTTTATAAGCTGTCCTTACGACAATTTAGAGCTAAAAGACACCGTTTACCGATAGCATTTTCACAAAGTGTACGAACATTTGTCGCGCCCCGCACCGTGTACAAAAAACACTCCATTTTTTTGCACCGTGCATTTCACCTTTTTTGGGTTTGCACTGTGCATCGAAATATCGCCGCGATGCAGAGTTTTTCCCAACTGCGTCGCCGCGGTTCCGCTCAAAAATTCGCACAGTGCAAACGGCTTTTTTGAGGTTTGCACTGTGCGAAAAGTGCAAACGCACTGTGCATTGGCGACAAGCGTGGGACAAAGTTCAATGCACCGTGCGAAAAGCTTTTGCACAGTGCATCCCAAAATTTGTCGCCAACGCACAGTGCATTTTTAGTTTTCACTTTTCGCACTGTGCGAATTCTTCAGCAAAGCCGCGACAATGAAGTTGAGGAAACCTCTCGTCGCAGCGATATTTCAACTGCACAGTGCAATACCAAAAAAAGGAGAATGCACGGTGCAAAAAATCGGGGGGTTTTGTGCACGGCGCAGGCTGCGACAAATGTCCATGCACTTTATGAAAATGCTACCAGTCTGTCGGGAAAATAATGAGCATTCTGTCGCGTCGAAAATCGCATCGCCGAGGGGAAAAGCGATCTTCCTTTCAAGATTTTTGACGCAATTTTGTGCACGGTGCGGACCGCGACATATGTCCATGCACTTTATGAAAACTTCTAATAGCGTTGCCTAAACTTCAACAAGCATCTCCGAAACCGCGCCTACCTTCATCGCCGAGTTGTACAAGGAGACATAGGCGGTGAACAAGTCAAGGTAACGGCAGGTGAACACGAGCGCGAACAGGATCTGCGACTTGCCGGAGATGCCGGCACACGATCGCGTCTTCCAGATCTTCCACAGCAGGATCAGAATAGCGAACAAGTGGCTCAAATCGGCCACTAAACGAAAGGCATTCATGGCTTCGTAACCTGAAAAAATGGGGTTAAAAAAAGATGAAAATTTTGATAAAATTTTGATTGAAACGGAAAAATTAGAGGGCGAATAGAGTTGGAAATCGTACATAGAGGCCTTACACTTCATTTTAGGAGATTTGGCAAAAAATAAGATTTAATTTTAAGCCAAAATTTTGCAAAAAATTCGATATTATACTAGATTTTTGGCCAAAAAATCAAAAAATCTCAAAACAAACGTTATTTTTGGACCGATTTTTAAACTTTTATTCAAAATACAGTCTATAAGTTGTTTGAAAACCCCCTTTACCATCAAAAACCCCTCTTTCAAAGCCTCAAATTTCATCAAAATTCAATTAGAACCCTCAAAACTTGTGTAAAATCAGATTATCCGCCCAAAACAAATATGGTTTCGGCCTGGAAAACCCTTCCAAAAACATAACAGCACCGTGAAATGTGGAGAGAAACGGCGAAACGTACGATACAAAAGGCGAGCGGAGCGTGTTGCCACGTTTCACCAGCTGGACCACACGAAAATAGAGGAGGAAAATGCGAATTTTCGATTCCGAAACGGAAAACATTTGTTTCGAAAAGAGGATTTTATTCAAATTTTTTAAAAAAGGCGATTTTTTGAATTTTCATTTTGAAAAAATTTTTGAAAATTTGAAATTTTTTTTATTTTTTTTTGATTTTTTTTGCAAAAAATTGATTCAAATTGAAATAAAATTCACTCAAATAAACACAATCCGTATTTTAAACATACTTATTAATATGAAAATTACATTAAATAGCCTTTTTTTAGCCCAAAAAATGCCAAAAATTGAGATTTTTTTCACTTATTTTTAATCAAAAACTTGACTAAAAAAAAGTATTTTTGCAAAAATTACTGTAGAATAATCAAAATTACAATCTGTATTTTTTATTAAAAAACCAATTTCCAGACGATATATCCAGAAAAAACCCGACGATTTTGAGTTCCACATCAGCACCGAAGAATAAATAAAAACGGGGCGAGAGAAAGAAAACACAGATCTTTCTCCGCTCTCCCCACGAACGCGGAAAGATCGCTGCTCCCCCAGCCTTCAATGCAAGCCCTCTGCAGGACAGAGGTCGGGATGGACAGTGGCCAAAAGGTCGGAGGAGTTCGAGGAAGGGAGAAATGGCATTTTTTTGAGATTTATGTGGCATATTATATATAGTAATAATAGTATAGCCCTTCCGCAAAGTCACTGGAGTGATTTTTGGGGGCTTGCACTGTGCGAAAAAAGTCAGGGCGCGAGCGACAGCCCAAAAAAGCCGATTGCACCGTGCAAAAATCAACAAATTGCACAGTGCAAAGCCAACTTTTGTTTTCGCACAGTGCGTTATCGCCGGTTTAATTTTTGGCGTTTGCACTGTGCGAAAAAACAAAACAGAAAATCGCACGGTGCAAAGTGAACTTTCAGTCGAGGCGCACTGTGCGTTTTGCCACTACAGTGCCTGTCGCTATTGCACGGTGCAAAAATCAACAAATTGCACAGTGCAAAGCGAACTTTTGTTTTTTCACCGTGCATGTCGCTGGAGTGATTTTTGGCGTTTGCACTGTGCGAAAAAGTCAGGGTGCGAGCGACAGCCCAAAAAAGCCGATTGCACAGTGCAAAAATCAACAAATTGCACAGTGCAAAGCGAACTTTTGTTTTTGCACCGTGCATCATCGCCGGTTTAATTTTTGGCGTTTGCACTGTGCGAAAAAAGTCATGGTGCGAGCGACATCCCAAAAAAGGCGATTGCCCGGTGCAAAAATCAACAACTTGCACAGTGCAAAGCGAACTTTTGTTTTTGCACCGTGCAAGAAGTCCTCGGAATTTTCTGCGACTCTGCACTGTGCGTGAACCCGAAAAAACATTTTGCACCGTGCATCCAGCCTAAAAAGTGCGTTTGCACGGTGCAAAAAAGCAAGAAATTGCACAGTGCAAAGAAGACTTTTGTTTTCGCACAGTGCAAACGCCAAAAATCACTCCAGCGACTTTGCAAACAGGCTAGTAAAGAAGAGGGAAATTCTCAGAGTTGGAGAGAGAGATCTGGATGAAATTTGGGGAGCATTAAGATTAGAGTTTTCTACAAGATATCTGAGATTTTTGGCTCGCGTTTTGCAGAAATCACCGAGATTTTTTGGTCGAAAAGTTTGGAAAAATTGATTTTTTTTGTCGCTATTAGGCTAAAATATCATCATTTCATAGTCAAAAATTTTGAATTTGACACTTATAAACATCAAAAAGTCCATCTATCCATAAAAAAATATTTTGTTTCAAAGATGACATATGTAAAATATCATTATGCTGTTCATGATGATTCAACTTTTCCTCAAGTTCCTCCACCTCCGTACATATATTGAAGTATTATCATGATGTTTACACAAAAGCTGTCAATTCCACACACGCTTTAATCAATTTACGACTCAAACTTCCTTATTAGCATTGTTTTCGAAAGTTTCACAAAAAACACCGGCATAATCGAAATTTCATTGCTGAATTTGTGTTTTCAGTTGGTAAACAGGGTTGTTTATAGTTGAGTAGATTTCGTTTTGGACGCAATTCGAAGAAAGGGTGGCTTCAAAAACGCAGAAAAAAGGGTGTTTTGGGAAGGTCTTCGATTATTGTTGGGTATTAAAATTTCTGATATTATGGTCGATTTTGTGGCTGAATTTAGGCGCAATAGTGTTTTTGAGGACTAATTTTGCTAAATTATCGTATTTTACATTATAATTTTCATTTTTTGAAATTCTCATTTTTTGTCATATTTGTCATCAATTTTTTTTCATTAAAAATTTACTCAAAAATCGCTAAAATCAACATTCATCGCTTTATAAACAACCTCCATCATCGCTGACCTCATTTTCTCCACTTGCAACAGAATGCCAAGCGTTGCCTGATTTTCGCGGCGGGACCCAAAACCCGCATAAAGGTTGTTTTTTGCGAATATTTTTTTCGGGACGCTCTTAATGTAAAAAACACAGAAAAAGGTCGAAGAAAAAAAGAAGAAAAATGGAAATTAATTTCGTCGGCTGGTGTGCATCAAAAGACGGGGCGGTGTGCTGCTGTTTTTCGCCCGAAAAGACGCAGGAATTAAATGAAGCAGAACACGATAAACAAGTGTACGCCACTCTTGTTTTCGTATTTTTTCGGCACATGATGTTTTCAATGTTTTTCAATCGTACTGGGAACGGGGGGGGGCGGCTTTCGGCCGACCTGTTTATGACTTTCGCATCCTTTTTCTCGCTGCTACATTGCGCGTTCGTGGGTTGTTTATCGGGTAAACAGGGATCATACGATTCTCGCGGCCCATATTTTATACTTTCGCGGGGTTTTAAACTTTTTACAATTTTTTCAGTCGATAAAATAGATGGTAATTTAAGGAGATGTTGCAGCAAAGTTTAAGGTTCAAAGTTTGTGAAAACTTGAAGTAAATCAAGTTTTGATTTTTCGAAGCATATTTGAGATTTTTACTGCGATTTTCGGAACGTCGCCGCACTGATTTTTCGCGTTTGCACTGTGCGAAAAAAAGATTTCTTTGCACTGTGCAATAGGCTTTTTTCGGCTGTCGCTGACTTTTTTCGCACAGTGCAAACTTCAAAAATTGATCCGGCGACATTCCGGAAGAACTATAACCTTGCGATTTACAAAAATCACCAGGATTTTTAACCCAAAAGATCGCTAAAATTTAAAAAATTTTTTGCGATTTTTTTCGGCTCCAAAATTGCAAATCAACTGGAGAACAGGAGTGCAACATCTCCAGAAAAAAATCAAGTTTTTCCAAGGAGCATTCCAGAAGATACAGCCAAAAACTTTTTTCCCTCGTATCTTTATTTTGCATTGTCTCTCGTCTGCTTGTTGAAAGCACAAGCTGCGAATTTCAGGTGTCTTTCTGCGATGGATGATGTGCTTGTCGCTTGGTCAAGTCGCTGGAGCGATTTTTGGCGTTTGCACTGTGCGCAAAAAGTCAGGGTGCGAGCGACAGCCCCAAATCGCCGACTGCACGGTGCAAAACTTGCGACAGCCCCAAAAAGCCAATTGCACAGTGCAAAAACAGCGACAGCCTCAAATCGCCGACTGCACAGTGGAAGAACTGCGACAGGCCCAAATCGCCGACTGCACAGTGCAAAAACAGCGGCAGCCCCAAAAAGCCGACTGCACGGTGCAAAACAAGCGACAGCCCAAAACGCCGACTGCACAGTGCAAAAACTAGCGACAGCCGCAAATCGTCGACTGCACAGTGCAAAAAGCCCAAAATCGCACCGTGCGCCTTGAACTTTTGCTTCTCGCACAGTGCATGTCGCCGAAATCGCTCCAGCGACATTGCGAATCGACGAGTTCCCATTTCGAAAGGATGATGTCACTTGGAAGGTATGTTTATGTTTTGCTTTTCGTTCTTGTCCATTTAGGGTTTCCCAATTAATTTCGTCAGGCCGGCGGGCATTTAATGAAACCTGTTTACGGCCGCAAAAAGGAGGAACTGGAGGGGCCGTGAAGATTGTCGTGTCTTCGCCGCACTTCCAGCCGACCACCAGGACCTTTAGAGCTTCCTATTTTGCACTTCGGAAACGCGAATCAGCCAGTTTCGGAAGTCGGTTGAGCTTTTTTGGTTGTTATATTGGTCTGTCGGGAAAATAATGTGGATTCGTCGGCTTGGAAGTTATCGGCCATCATCGCATTACGATGGCTTGTTGTAACTGGAGATTTGGTGCGCCACAAAGCGAGATATTTTTCTGCGACAAATCCACATTATTTTCCCGACAGACTGGTACTAGGCGGGCCGAAAAGTCCTGACTTTTTTAGCTCACTTTGAGAAGTGTAGGGTTTTATACACCATACCACCTGCAGCTAGAGCGAGGCTATTTTTGGACAGTAAAGATTTCACCGTAAATATGTATGGATTGTAGTTTATAAGTGCGTTTAATCAGCTTTTGGCGTATGATACAAACTCTTGGAGAGGGCTGCAAAAGACACGAATATTGTATTTTTGTTACTGAAACAAACGAGAATATAACTGTGGCTTCTCAATTACTGGTAATTAAGTTATACTAGTCCTGCCAGCATCCAATCATTTTGTAATACATAACTGAACCCGTAGTTGTACTTTGCAGGCCAAAAAGTCAGTTGAAAATGACTTATGTCGCGGCAAAATCGACTTGTTTTTCACTTCAGCAAAGCGATTTTTGCCGAGACATTGTGCTCATTATTTTCCCGACAAACTGATAGACCAGGCTTCAAATAAATTCTATCAGTCTGTCGGGAAAATAATGGGGATTTTTTGCAGCAAAATTTTTCGTCGTAGTCGCGCACCAAGTCCCCAGATATGACTAGCAAAGCAATGTTGTCTGATATTTCAAGTCGTGATTTATTCACATTATTTTCCCGACAGACTGATATCAAAATAATGAGCAGTATTTCACTGTGCCAATCCTGTCGCTGAAGTGGAAAGCAATTTGATTTTGTCGCGACATAATTCATTTTGGCGATGCGATTTTAGCTGCGACAGATTGCTCATTATTTTCCCGACAGACTGATATGAAGTTCCAGTTTGCAAAGCAAGGGTTCCAAGTGCTATATTCATATTTTTTGCCCTCAAGGGTCGAAATATATATACTATTAGTCTGTCGGGAAAATCATGAGGGCAATGTCGCTGTGCCGATCGCGTCGCTGAAGTGAAAAGAAATTTGATTTTGTCGCGAAAATTCATTTTTTTTGCAATTTTCGCTGCGACAGATTGCTCATTATTTTCCCGACAGACTGAAAAAATTGAAAATTTTCAAAATTTAAAATTTCCTTCATCTGTCCAAGATTTTGTCGCGTCACAATTCATTTTTTTTGCGATTTTCACTGCGACAGATTGCTCATTATTTTCCCGACAGACTGTAAAGTTCACCCTCTTTTTGTACCCTCTCCTTGCATCCAATTTGTAAAGTGGTTTCGAATCGCCGGCTTACGGCAATCAACACCGCCCCCGCCCCACCTGTTTATTATTATTTTGTACTACACTCCGCTAATCCGCTGTTTACACTCCCAATTCGGACCGTGCATCGCGACCCCGCCCATTCTCCGGGGCCTTCTCCAGATTACGGAGCCAAAGCGCGACGTTGTCGCCGAATCCGCGCCAATGTTTTTGGCGCAAATTCCCCCACTCTTTCTCTGTCCACTCTCCTCCGTTCGCCCGTGGTCGCGAAAGTTCACGGCGCTGTCGGTATTGTACCCGCAAAGCGGATAGCACTCTTCGTATCTTCGTATCTTCTTCGTTGGGAGCGGATTATCTCTGGTACGAAAGGCGAGCAGGCCGATTAGGCCCTCTCGACGCCCAACGTCCCGCTGAATTTGTTAGCGCCGGTGTAATTGGGCATTTACATTTTTGACGACTGTGTTTTCGACGATGACGTTCGCGGGGAAGAGTCGGGGCGGACAGCGCGTTTAGTGGGCCAGAAATTGACTTTTTTTGGGTAAAAGTTCCTTATTTTGGCCACAACTTATAACTTTGCGGAAACTGGTCGGAATAAGCCCAAAATTAGCGTGCACGCTCAATTCATCGTTGTCAATTATCGGACTGTGGATTTAGTTAGCGAGGTACCTTCTTTTTTACGTACCACCTTACCCTTCAAAAACGGCTGCAGCCTGTGATTTTACACTTTATACGATGAAACATGTCCGGAACTAAACTTATTGCCTCCGTATGGAACTAAATGAGTCGTCACAGCCTTCGTAGGTACCCTTAAAACTATAGAGCTATTATAGTAATTCAGTTTCAGCTAGGTCGAAGCGTTTTTTCCTAACTTTAGTGCCCAAGCTTGGGCGCAGTTCGCGGAGTACATTTGTTGTGGCCAAAATAAGGAACTTTTTCCTTTTTTTTGCAGTGTGTTTCATAGAGCATTTTAGTGGGTAAACAAGGGTGATTTTGAAATTTTTTGCTGTCGGGAAAATAATGAGCTATGTCGCGGAGAAAATCGCAAAAAAAATGAATTGCATCGCGGCAAAGTCAAATTTCTTTTCACTTTAGCGACCCGATTGGCTCAGCGACATTATGCTCACTATTTTGGTATTAGTATGTCGGAAAAATAATGTGGATTCGTCACGCCTTGGAATAGCCCATCATTGCGTTGCGACGGCCGCAGGTTTGAAGCGCGACTTCGCCGAGGCGAGACATTTGTCTGCAAAAAATCCACATTATTTTCCCGACCTACTGACATTGCTATATAATCATTCGCTTCCTAAGCATCTTACGCATAGGCTACTTCTCAATTTAGGAAAATTTTAGCTCACGATTTGCAGGGGGAGCTGAGATATTCAACAATCTTCGAGAGAGAGTACGTGAAAGGCGGAGAGCAGAGATAAAGACACTTTTTGGTCAAGGCATGTCTTTTTGGCCTGCAAAGTTTCGTTTCTGCTGTAAAGCATAATGTTTCCACAAGAAAATCAAGTTTTTTTCATACCAACTTGGCAAAGGTACAGCCAAAAAGAGGTTTTTTCTCTGACCGCTCTCCGTCTTTCGCGTACTCTCTCGTCGAAAAAGATCGTCGAATATCTCGGCTGTGCCTGTAAAGGGCGAGCTAAAACTTTCAGGAATTGACAGTTGGACTAAGTCAAGTACCTGAAAAAAATTTGGGCATCTTCGCAGAACTTTTTTGTCATCATGACCAATTTTTCGAAAATTTTCAAAAGCTCCCAACCGTTTTGGGGTTCTCATTTCTAACTTTTCACAATGGCAATATCATTGTTTTCATGCCTATATATCTAGCGTACGTAGCAATGTTTCAAAAAAAACAACAAAAAGACGGCCAAAAAGAGGTTTTCTCTGGCCGCTCTCTACATTTCACGTACTCTCTCGGACGCAAAGGTCGTTGAATTTCTCGGCTCTCTCTGAAAATCACAAATTAACAAGTCGATTTTTACCAATTTTCCCAAATGCTGTGCATAGCAAATATGCCAAATTTTAAAAAATTTTGAGAAATACCCTCACTTCAAACCCTTTATGTCTGACGTTTGTATTTTTCATTTTTTACGACCTTATTTTCATGATGTTCCGAGAACTCGGCATCCAGTTGTTGATGCCGAAACATGCTGTTGAGTTGAATTTTTGATGACGACCGGTGAAACGACCGGTTGTTCGTGCTGTTTTGTTGACATCCCCGGCTACCGTAGCCCTCATGTTTTTCGGGCAAAGGTTGAATTTTCGATTTTCCCTCAATTTCAGCCATTTTCGGGGGGAAATTACGGTAATTTTGGTTGTTTCAGTGTTCAAAAGTTTATTTTTTTCATTTTTCTGACCAAAATTTGTAGAAAAAATAGATTTATTATCAGTTTTTTGCACCGTGAACTCTTCAAAAATCATTGAATTCTTCGAAAAAACAGTTTAATACTGTAATTTGCACAAAAATTCCCTTGTTTCTCGCTAAAGTCCAATTCTTGACCTTTCGTTCTCCCATAACAATTGCCAATTCCCCTCTCTTCAGTTTGTATTTTATTGTGTTTTAGGCGAATTGATTCGCCAACTGCAAAAGGGCCTCGAAATGTTTGACCTATGCCAAATAACATGTGTTGTTAACAGGAATGCGTTGTTGTTCTTGCGTTCCAGCTGGCGTTGTTTTGCGTGTTATTTCGTGGTTGTTTTGCCCGTGCCATTCCGTCCCATGACTTTTGTAGTTCGCGCCGGTCTACGTGCACCGAAAGCGGGCGTTCTCTTGGGATGTTCGGCGAAAGCGTGGCGGATTTTATACTTACAATGTTGTTCTCGCCATATGACTTGCATCGGAGGTCGTATGGCGGGTGCACGGTGCAGTCGGGGAGATTTGTGTATTGCACTGTGCATTCAAGGAGTTTTAGGTACTGCACGGTGCAGTCAGAGAGTTTTTGGTGCTGCACGGTGCGGTCAGTAAGTTTTGGGTTCTGCACAGTGCAGTCAGAGAGATTTGGGGTTACACGGTGCAGTCAGGGGACTTCGGGGGCTTGCACGGTGCAGTCGTCAAGTTTTGGGTGCCGCACGGTGCAATCAGGAAATTTTTGTGTTTGCACGGCGCACCCGTTGACTTTTGGGTGCGGTCAGGGAATTTGGGTGCTGCACAGTGCGGTCAGTAAGTTTTGGGTTCTGCACAGTGCAGTCAGAGAGATTTGGGTGCCGCACGGTGCAGTCATTGAGTTTTTGGTGCTGCACTGTGCAGACAGGGGATTTTGGGAGCTTGCACGGTGCAGTCGGGGAGTTTTGAGAACCGCACGGTGCAGTCATCAACTTTTGGGTGCCGCACGGTGCGGTTGTTAAGTTTTGGTTGCCGCACGGTGCAGTCATTGAGTTTTGAATGCTGCACGGTGCGCTCGTTTTTGATTTTGATTTTGCACGGTGCGGTGGGTTTTGGTGCTGCACAGTGCAGTCAGAGAGTCTTGGGCACTGCACGGTGCAGTCAAGGAGTTTTAGGTGCTGCACGGTGCAATGGTCAAGTTTTGGGAGCTTGCACGGTGCAATCAGGAAATTTTTGTGTTTGCACGGTGCGCCCGTTGACTTTTGGGTTTGCACAGTGCGGTCAGGAAATTTGGGTGCTGCACAGTGCGGTTGTTAAGTTTTGGGTTTGCACGGTGCGATCAAGGAGTTTTGAGTGTTGCACGGTGCAGTGAAGCAGTTTTAGGTGCTGCACGGTGCAGTCCATGAGATTTGGGTGCTGTACGGTGCAGTCGGGGAGATTTGGGTGTTGCACAGTGCAGTCAAGGAGTTTTGAAAACCGCACGGTGCATTTAGGAAGTTTTCGTGCTGCACGGTGCAGTCGGGGAGGTTTGAGCTTTTGCACGGTGCAATCTTTGGGTTTTGGGTTTGCACGGTGCCTTCTTTTGTTTTTGAGAATTGCACTGTGCAGTTCTTGAAGGTTTGAGATTGCACCGTGCAGTCGCTGAAAGTTGCCCATTGCACCGTGCAGTATCTGAAAATTGCCCATTGCACCGTGCAGTCTGCAATTCCCAATAGTCCCACTTTTGTCGCACAGTGCATTTACAAGATTATTTTTTTCGTCCGCACAGTGCAAGTTGTTTTTCCATTTCTCCGCACGGTGCGGCGTTTTATATCCTGTTTTTCTTCGCGTTTCCCGTGATTCATTGTTATTGTTGTTGCCCAAACACATTACTCATGTTTTTCTCCACCTACAGGCAGCCATAAATACCGCCGTTTCGGAGGCGCGATGGCCCAAGCCGGGCCAGTGGCCACGATGCCGCCGCCAGATCTTTCAGCCCGCCACTTCATGCAGAACGGCATGATGCCGAGGATGGTGTTCGAGCGCACCGGGCACGTGGAGAATGTGATTTGTAGCGCGGGCAGGTATCGGATATACCCCATGAAGGATGTAGGTTGATTTACATGGAACTTTGAATGTTGGATTTATTCAAAATCACGGAGAAAATTTGCATAAAAATTTTGAAAATTTACATATTCAAATTTTTGGTTTGAAAAAATTTGCATGAAAAATTTAAAAATTTGCATATTCAAATTTTTGGAAAATTTGAAAAAATCACGGAGAAAATTTGCATAAAAAATTTTGAAAATTTGCATATTCAAATTTTTGGTCTGAAAAAAATTTGCATGAAAAATTTGAAAATTTGTCTATTCAAAAATCCAGACAAAATCTGCATACAAAATTTTTGAAATTTGCATATTCAAATTTTCGGCAAATGACAAAAAATCCAGCTGAAACTTGCATGAAAAATTTGAAAATTTACATATTCAGATTTTAAGGAAAATGAAAAAATAGAAAATTTGCATATTCAAATTTTTGAAAATTCAAAAAAAATCTAAAAAAATTTGCATAAAAATTCTTGAAAATTTTCATTTTCAAATTTATAAAAATCTGGAAAATTTGAAAAAAATTTTGTAAAAAAATTGGAAAATTTGCGTATTCAAATTTTTGAAAATCCGAAAAAAATCCATAAAAAATTTGCATAAAAAATTTAAATTTGCATATTCAAATTTTTGAATTATTTTCAGCGTCGAAACAAGGTCCGTAAATGCTATATTGCCTTGAGGTCCTTCATGTGCGAAATTTACAAAAATTCCAAAGAATTCGACAAAGGCGAGGCTGGAAGACATATCATTGATTTGCGGACAGTGTTCAATGTCTGCCAAGTTGTAAGTTGATTTTTTAACTTTTTTTGAAATTTTTTCTTTCATTTTTTACTTTGCACAGTGCAAAAGCGAAAAAATGTCCATGCACTTTATGAAAAACACCAAAAACCACTTCAGGAGGACCCATTAGGCTTGAAAAGCAAGATCATCTCGGTGATGACGCCCTCGGACACGTTCCTCATCTCCATCGACGAAAATACCTCCGTTTCCTTCGACAATTTCTTCCTGGAGTTCCGGGATCGGTGTCGGGAAGCGCGCGCCGAAAGATTGAGTCGGCAGGTGCTGGACGAGGAGTACTTTGACGCCGCATGGGACGTGGAGGTGGTGTACAAGCCGAAGCTTCGAATGCGGGCCAATGACACGGCCGGACATGATGATCTGGCCACCCGATGCCCGCACATGCTGGGCAGACGCAGATTGTGCGTGAAATCCGCCTCAATCACACTGTTCAAGCTGGACGTGGAGCCGTTGGCGGACGCGTCCGTGGCTGATGAGGCTTTTTGTGTGCAGGATTTTCACGACTTCCCGGTAAGTTGAGGCCAAAAATTTATTGGAATAGGGAAATTATTGGATTTAATTTTCAAATTTTTGAAAACTGAACTAAAAAAGTTGAAGTTTGCTTACGAATTTCATACTTTTTTATTTAATTTTTTGAAAATTTACATATTTTATTTTTTTGGAATTTAAAAATATTTTTTTTATTTACTTATTTTTCCCCAAAATTTCGTATTCCAAAAGTTTTTATGACTTTTTTTTTGAACCCTTAAAGCTCTGCAGCTACTTTAGTTTTTGCACCGTGCAATCAAAATTTTGCATTTTTTGCACAGTGCGGTTGAAAAATTTTTTTTCGCACAGTGCAAAAATTTAGAATTTTTTTATTGCACTGTGCGAAAAATTTTTTTCCAACTGCACGGTGCGAAAATTGGAAAATTTTTTTGCACTGTGCGAAATTACTTTTTGAACGGACCGCACTGTGCAAAACTGACTCAAAATTTTCCATTTTTTGCACGGTGCAGGCGGAAAAAAAATTTTGCACAGTGCAAGTGAAAGTCAAAAAGTCAAAAATTGCACGGTGCAAAAAATCGATTTTTTTTTTGCACTGTGCGAAAATTCAAAAAAATTTTTTTTGCACGGTGCGAAAATGCAATTTTTTTTGCACTGTGCAAAAATTCAATTTTTTTGCACTGTGCAAAATTGCTTTTTTAACCTCCGCACTGTGCAAAACCGGCTTTTGCTTCGGAAAAAAACAGAAAATAACCCTAATTTCCCTAATTTTCAGCTGAGCACAGTCTCCAAATACGGAAGCCAAGATAAGTATGTGATTATTCGGAATGGAAGATGCTCCTCTTACGGGCCCGGTGATCTCTGGCTTATGACCGAGAGCATGTATATGGCGACTCATATTCGGATGCGGATGTCCGAGCTTTACTTGGAAGAAGCGGAGCGTCGGCGGAGCCAAGGGATCCATTTGAGTTTGTAAGTTTTTAGGGAGGCAAAAAAAAATTTTTTTTCATTTTTTTTTTTAATTTTATTATTTTTTTTTTTTTTTTGTTTTTTTGTTAATTTTTTTAATTTTTTGAATTTCTTTATTTCCTATTTTTTTGCTTTTTTTTATTTTTAAAACATTTTTTTTATTATGTTTTTTTTTTATTTTTTTAAATTTTTTAATTTTTTTTTAATTTAAAAAAACATTTTTTTATTTCTTGATTTTTTTTTATTTTTTTTTTTGCTTTTTTTATTTTACAAGGAAAGTACTTCTATGGGGTGTGGAGTTACAGGTCGAGATATATATCAAAAAATTCGCAAAAATTTTCTGCTTCAGAATATATAAAAATTAGCTGCCTAATTTTGGTCTGATGACATGTTTTTGTCCTCAGAAGTTTTCTCGCGACACCATGCAAGTGTCTTTTTGACCGTATTTTTACAAATAAAAAATTTTGTTTTGTGCTAAAATAAATTCTGAGGCCTTGACAAGCCTTAAAATATCAAATTGGATTACAACTACACCTTAAAGGTAGTTCCAATGTAAAAAATGGGTTCTAGTGTGGCAAAAAGAATCGAACCCGTTTCCCTCGGATTTCCAATTCAGCGCTCTATCCACTCGGCCACACCGCTCTCTTCCGAAGGAAGAGACCGAGCGCGCTTTTGTTGCCGCAGATTTTTTTCCTCGAGAAAAACGTTTATTGATAAAACTCGCTGATAGACCAAAATTAGGCAGCTAATTTTTATACATTCTGAATCAGAAAATTTTTGCGAATTTTTTGATATATATCTCGACCTGTAACTCCACACCCCATAGAAGTACTTTCCTTGTTAAAAAAAATTTTTTGTTATTATGTTTTTTTTTATTTTTAAATTTTTTTAAATTTTTTAAATTTTTTTTAATTTAAAAAACATTTTTTTTTATTTTTTGACAAAAAAAAGCAGTCGAAACGTATTTTACATTTTTTCAAAAATTTTCAGACCCGGAATTTCCGACCGCTTGATTAAATCGCGTTCTCATCGAGACAAAGTGGAAGAACATGAGACCGAGATTGCCCGATTGGAGGAGGAACACCTTCGGAAGGAAGCCATTTTGTTGGAGGAGGAGCGGAAACGCGAAGAACGCGAGAGATTCTTGGCCGAAAATCCAGAGTAAGTTTGGAGAAATTTTCCCCCGCAAAATCTTGACAGTTTTGTGCAAAACGTGAGGTAAACATCCCAAAATATCTTGGAAATTCTGTGCGTGAAATTTATCGAAAACTAAGCAGCGAATTTTCAGCAACTTTTTTGGGAAATCGCACTGTGCAAATTTCTTTCTATTGCACATTGCAAATCTTTTTTCATTGCACTGTGCAATTTTCTTCTGGAAATTGCACTGTGCAAAGTTTTTTTCTATTGCACTGTGCAATTTTTCTATTGCACTGTGCAAATTTTTTTATTGCACAGTGCAAAGTTTTTTTTACTGCACTGTGCAATTTTCTATTCTATCGCACCGTGCAAAATTTTTTCGATTGCACAGTGCAAATCTTTTTTCATTGCACGGTGCAACTTTCTTTTGGAAATTGCACTGTGCAAGTTTTTGTTCCATTGCACAGTGCAAAGTTTTTTCGACTGCACTGTGCATTTTTTCGACTGCACAGTGCAAAGCTTTTTTTTACTGCGCTGTGCAATTTTCTTTTCTATTTTGCACAGTGCAAAGTTTTTTTCGATTGCACTGTGCAACTTCCAAAAGAAAATTGCACTGTGCAAGTTTTTGTTCCATTGCACTGTGCAAACTTCTTCCTATTGCACTGTGCAAAATTTTTTTCGATCGCACAGTGCGAAATTTGTTTTTATTGCACCGTGCAAACTTCTTTTCTATTTTGCACAGTGCAAAGTTTTTTTTACTGCACTGCAGTGTTTTTATTGCACCGTGCAAAATTTTTGCGATTGCACAGTGCAAATCTTTTTTGATTGCACGGTGCAACTTTCTTTTGGAAATTGCACTGTGCACGTTTTTGTTCCATTTCACTGTGACAAGTTTTTTTCTATTGCACTGTGCATTTTTTCGAATGCACTGTGCAAGTTTTTGTTCCATTACAAGTGCGAAATTTGTTTCTATTGCACCGTGCAAATTTTTTTTATTGCACAGTGCAAATTTCTTTTCTATCGCACCGTGCAAAATTTTTTCGATTGCACAGTGCGAAATTTGTTTCTATTGCACCGTGCAAACTTCTTTTCTATTTCGTACAGTGCAAAGTTTTTTGTATTGCACAGTGCGAAAAATCCAACTTTGCGACGAAATTTTCTTTATGCAAACGAGGTTTTTGATAAAAAACAAGATTAGAAAAATTTTCATGGCACCTCAAAAACAATTTTTCATAAAAATGCAAAAAAAAATATTTCAAAAAAAAATTTTTTTAAATCTTTAACCTAAAATACGATCAATTTTCAATTTAAAAATTACAGAGTTGCCCGTCAAGAGGAAGAGGAGGCCGAGAGAAAACGGCTGGAAGAAGAGCGTGCCAGCAAAAGCGTTCTCCGCAAACTCTTCCGCCTGACAAAGAAGCCCGAAAAGGAGAAGGAGAGTCCCCGCTCCGAGGGCAGTCAGCCTCCATCACCTCCGAAAAAGACTTCGTTGACGGGATTAATGAGTTTCCGACTGCCGAAATCCTTATCAATCTCCACCACGAATCATAACGTAAAGAAGACGGCTGAGGCCGTGAAGCGACTGCAAGATTTGAAGAAAAAGGAGGAAAAAGAGCCGGAACAGGAGGATTACACAATGTCTATGAATACGGGCCCGATCCGAGGCAATTCCAGACCGAATCCGATACAAAGGGAGGTCAAAACGTGAGTTTTTGGGATTTTTTGAAATTTTTAGGCTGAAAAAATTTGAAATTAGAAAATTTGGCCAAGAAAATCTTTTTTAATTGGCAAAAAAAAAAATTTTTTTTTTGGGCCAAAAATTCATTTCCGCCCATTGCACAGTGCATTTTGTATTTCCAAATTTTTTACACTGTGCGACCGAAAATTTTTCAATTTTTGCACAGTGCAATCAAAAAATCTTTTATTTTTTGCACTGTGCAGTCAAAAAAATCCTTTTATTTTTCGCACAGTGCAAAGAAAAAAGCTTTTATTTTTCGCACTGTGCAACCAAAAAAGATCTTTCATTTTTCGCACTGTGCAATCAAAAAGATCTTTTATTTTTCGCACTGTGCAGTCAGAAAAAGATCTTTTATTTTTCGCACTGTGCAATCAAAAAAATCTCTTATTTTTCGCACAGTGCAACCAGAAAAAGATCTTTAATTTTTCGCACAGTGCAGAATTAAGCCAAGGGATGTGGAAATCATTGAAATTTTTGGGTTGAAAATTACCAAAATTTGGAATAGGTCTCCACAAAAAAATCCTAGACTTTTTTTCTCTAACCAGCACTCCAAATTTTCTGTTGTCTCTCGTCTGCAAAGATAGCGCAATATCTCGGGAAAGAGGGAAAACTAAGCGTTGAAATTTTCGGGGATTGATTTGTAGCCTAGATGAAGTATTTGTGCCAAATTTGAAGAAAATCGACTGGTCGGTCTTTGAGATCTTGCATTTTTGAAATTTCATGACAAAAAAATTCAGTTTTTGACAAGTTTCTCAAAAAATTGATGGTTTTTTAATCGATAAAGTTATCTAAAATATCCTTGAATATCTCCTTATCAAAGCTATTCAAATCTTTCAGTAGTCCAACAAAAACCGCCGCCGGAATAACCCGAATCGCGTCGCCGAATGCGGACTACATGATGATGAAAGAAGAGGAGCAAAACGCCCTCGCCGTGGACACCTACAACTTCGGCGACAATCAGTTCCTGAGCGACGAGAGCTGCTGCTCGCCGCGCACGCAGACCTCCAGCTTCTCCACGTCGATGCAGTCGAGTATGCGACAATCGGCGGCCCCCACCCAACGCGATCAAAGCGTGGAGGAGTTGCGACGATACGGGCGAAATGATCGCGCTTACTCGCTGGGTTCGCGGCCCGTTAAAAAACCACAACGTCATCCAATCACGCCGCCCTCGCTTCATCAGAAAAAACACAATTCAGGTGGGAGTTTTGAGATTTTTTTAAATTTTGCGAATGTTTTGGAGGTTATATGTAATATTATAGTAAAATGCGCTGTATCTAAAGTGTTTATAACCTGGAAAGACTGCTAGATTTATTTTATAAGCCAGATTACATCTTTTTAGATTGTTTTCAAGCTTTGAAATTCAAAATTCCCGGCAAATTTGGCATTCTGTTCTAGGTTCTCTAGTTGCCTAAAAAAGGACAAAAAAATATCCGATATAATCTGAAAGGCTTTTCAGGGAACAACAGAGACTAGATTTCAACTGTAGTTTACAAAAATTTCAAAATTCCCGCCAAATTTGGCATTATGTTCTAGGTGCTCTAGTTGCCTGAAAAGGACAAAATAAGAACGTAAGACGGTCAGAAAAACTTTTTCTGAGGTCGGAGGCCGGATTAAAATTTTAGTTTTTGAAAATTTCAAAATTCCCGCCAAATTTGGCATTATGTTCTAGGTGCCCCAGTTGCCTTAAAAGGTCAAAATGAAACTCTAAAAGAGTATGGAAAGCTTTTTAGAGATCATCAGAGACTAGATTCCAATTGTAGTTTACGAAAAATTCAAAATTCCCGCCAAATTTGGCATTCTGTTCTGATGTCTCTAAACCAACAAAAAGACTGTGAATAAGTATAAAATGACAATATATCATTCTGAAAAGTTTAATAATCGATATTTAGACACTTCTCAGTGCTTTTGCAATAATAAAATTTTCAAACTTTTTGAATTCCCGCCAAACTTGGCATTCTGTTTTTGGTCCTGTAAGCCATTGTAGGTCCCAAAAAGAAGTTCCAAATTCATTATGGAACAAAGTTAAATGTCGTGTGGTCTTCAGTGTTCTCAAAAATAGTGAATTTTTTTGGTTTCAGACATAAAAATTCGAAAAATTATATTATCCATGATGATTTTGATGTTTTTCTTCAAGTTTGACCCGATTTTTTGATGATTTCTGAAGCGATTTGGCCTTTGAATACTTATCTACTTTATTTAGGACATTTTGATTGCATAGTTGTTGCAGGTTCGGGCTCTCTGAACACCGTGGGATCCATCAAAGAGGAGGACGAAGAGGCGTTGGAGGCGTTGGGCAAAAAGTCGAACACGGACGGGAAACTGAACGAAAATGTCCGCAAGGTGCAGGAAAATCTGTCACGCCTCGAAATGGAGGAGCGCAAGGACAAGCACACCGAAATGGTGGACATGTTCCGGAATCGCGCCCATTCCTACGAGAGCAGTCAGAGCACCCGCAAATTGATGGGATGGAAGAAATTCTTCGTCAAACGACCCGAACCCGCACCACAGGTCAGTCAACGGGCCATTTTGAGCAAAATTTTTGCTCTACCAGTCTGTCGGGAAAATAATGTGCACTCTGCCGCAGGGAAAATCGGATCGCCGGAGGGAAAATGAATTGTGTCACGAAAAATCAAATTGCTTTTCACTTCAGCGACGCGATTGGTGCGACATTGTGCTCATTATTTTCCCGACAGTAATAAAAAATAAATTTTCGCACAGTGCAAAACAACCTTTAATTTTTTGTACAGTGCAACCAAAAAAATCCTTTTATTTTTGGCACGGTGCAGTTGAATTTTTTTTTATTTTTTTGCACAGTGCAGTCAAAAAAATTCCGTTTATTTTTTCCACAGTGCAGCCAAAGGAATTTTTTGCACACTGCAGTCGAAAATAAACTTTATTTTCGCACAGTGCAATCAAAAAATCTTTTCATTTTTTGCACAGTGCAATCGAAAAAACTTATTTTCGCACAGTGCAACCAAAAAATCCTTTTATTTTTGCACAGTGCAGTCAAAACTAAATTTCATTTTCGCACAGTGCAATCGAAAAAAATTTTTGATTTTCGCACAGTGCAACTAAAAAAAATTTTTTTTATTTTTGCACAGTGCAGTCAAAACTAAATTTCATTTTCGCACAGTGCAACTATAAAATTTGTTTATTTTTTCCGCACAGTGCAGTCCAAAACAAATTTTATTTTTGCACAGTGCAACCATAAAATTCGTTTATTTTTTCGCACAGTGCAGCTAAAAAAAATCCGTTTATTTTCCGCACAGTGCAGTCAAAAATATTTTTGTTTTCGCACAGTGCAACCATAAAACTCGTTTATTTTTTCGCACAGTGCAGTCAAAAAATTTCCGTTTATTTTTCGCACAGTGCAACCATAAAATTTGTTTATTTTTTCCGCACAGTGCAGTCCAAAACAAATTTTATTTTTGCACAGTGCAGCCAAAAAATCCTTTTACTTTTGCACAGTGCAATCGAAAAAAATTATTTTCACACAGTGCAGTCAAAAAATCATATTATTTTTTTGCACAGTGCAGTCAAAAAAATCCTTTTATTTTTGCACGGTGCAGTCAAAAAAAAATTTATTTTTGCACAGTGCAGCCAAAAAAATTTTAGTCTCAAATTTTTCCCAGGTTCCCCAAAAAATTTCTGCGGCTTACATTGCTCAATTATTATATTTTCTCCCCATTTTTCAGGAGCGCGCTCGGATCAGCAGCAACGAAAGCACGTCGAGTCGGTTTTCGACGCCGCGCTGGAACGCGAACAGCCGGGTGTCGATGCTGAACAGCGACGAGAACGAGCGCGACGACGGCGACTTTGTGATGAGCGGGCCGCCGAAGCACGAGAGTCCGCAGAGCCGGAGTCGGACGTCGAGTTTCGGGAAGACGATCGCGGACATGACCAAGATCCAAAAGGAGCTGATGGAGGCGAAGCGGCGCCGCGAGGAGCCGCCGCGGCTCCGCAATCGGCCGGCCCGGCTGAATGGGGCCGAATCCGACAACTTTTTGGAGCTGTATAGTCGGGCGATTGAGGAGGCGCACCGGCGCCGCAAGGAGGCCAAAGAGAAGCCGCGCCGGAAGAGCTTCGACCTGACGGTCTTGACGAGCTATCGGCGCCGCAAACCGATCATTGAGCTGAAGCGGACGGTGTCGGATTCCGAGTTTGTGATCCCGTCGCGCAAGTGGATGTGCTTGCCGCTGGATGATGCGATAATTCGAAGATATCGCTACTTCATCCAGCGCCGCCGCGAAGACAACACCCGTCTGCGCAAAGAGCAGGAACTGGCGATGGAGAAGCGCATGCGTCGCGAGCGTCGCCGTCAGGCCGCCCTACAGCAGCAGCAGTCCCAAAGTCAACCCGTCACCCCATGCAATGACAATGACTATGTGCTGCCCGCCATCAAACCGAAGCCGGAAGTCATGTCCGCCAAACGAAGAGCACGAATTCCAACCGCCAAAAAGGCGAGTCAAGTGTCGCGCAACGACTCCACCGAGCGCCTGAAAATCGTCCGCGGCGAGACACACATGCGCCAACAGAAGGCCAACTCTGCCTCGGTTCCGAAGAAGCCGGGCGTCGAGGTGAAGCCAAGATGCAGAACGATGACTGGCAAGTTCATCAGAGATGATCAACAGCCAGGACCGTCGGGTAAGCGATTTGAGGAGGGTTTGGTGAATTTTGGAAAATGAAAAAAATTGCACTGTGCAGGCAAAAAAATTTATTTTTTGCACAGTGCGTATAAGAACTACTTTTATTTTTTCGCACAGTGCAGTCTAACGAAAACATTTTTTTTTGTATTTTTGCACAGTGCTGCGCAAAAAAATTATTTTTTTATTTTTGCACTGTGCAACGAAAAAATTTATTTTTCGCACAGCGCGGTAAAAATTTTTTGAACAAGATTGTTTTCAACTTTTTGCACGGTGCATAAATATATAGTGATCCGCAATTTATTTATTTTTTTTTCTAGAAATTTGTCAAAAAAAAATTTTTTTTCAAATCTCACAGGGTAAACACTCCAAGTGCGACGCTCAGATTTTGATGAAACTTGGCACAAATTTAGAATAATTTTTTCTAAGATATATGCGAGAATCCTAGCCCGTGCTTTGCAGAAACAACCGAGATTTTTAGCTCGAAAATCGGCCAAAATTTAGGACTTTTTGCCGAATTTAGGCACGAAAAGTTTCATGCCTATTTCTACCGTAAAGAGTAATGTTTCTACAAAAAATCAAATTTTTCCACACGAAACTGCCAAAGTTACGGCCAAAAAGCATTTTTCTCTCTGACCGCTCTCCACGTTTAGCGTGCTCTCTCGGCGGCAAAAATCGTTCGATATCTCGGCGGCGCCCGGAAAGCGCGAGCTAAAACTTTCAGGAGTTGATATTTAGTCCATACCCGACGTGTGTGCAAAATTTAAAGAAAATCTGAGCGTCGCACTTGGAGTACTTCCCTTGTCAGCAAATTAACGAATTTTATTTTCAAAATTTTTTCCAGGCCTTTCCAAAAACTCTCACGCCGAGATGATGCCGTCCACCTCAGCGATTGGCTGGAAATCGGCGCCGTCGACCTCGCGCGACGACCGTGGGCCTTCGCCGACCAGTTCGCGGGCCAAACCGCAGCATCGGAATCGGCTGCGGTCGGAAGTGGAGCGGTCGGGCGGTCGCAAGTCGCCCTCGCCTTCGCTGCACAGCCAAAAGTCCAACTCGTCGGCCAATCCGCGCCCCAGCGAGACGGCGGGGTTGCGGTCGATGGCGCGCGTGGCGGCCAGCAACGTGAGGCATGGGACGCCGGCCAAAACGGGCGCCGAACGACGGGCCGCGCAGATCGAAAAGCAGGGGATTCCGGTGCGGAAAAGCGCGTTTGGAGCGGGACGAAGACTCAGCTTCACGAAGCCCACGGTTGGCTTCGAATTTGAGGTGGGTTACTGTAGTTTTTCGCGGATTTTCGCCGATTTTTCGCGGATTTTGGCCGATTTTTCACGGATTTTGACCGATTTTTCACGGATTTTGGCCGATTTTTCGCGGATTCTGACCGATTTTCTCGAATTTTTGGGCAACTTTTTGCGGATTTTGGCCGATTTTTCGCGGATTTTGGCCGATTTTTCACGGATCTTGGCCGATTTTTCACGGATTTTGGCCGATTTTTCGCGGATTTTTGGGCAATTTTTCGTGGATTTTGCCCGATTTTCTCAAATTTATGGACAATTTTTCGGATTTTTTTAATTTTTTTTGTTTTTTTTTATTTTTATAATTTTTCGAATTTTTTCAAAATTTTTCGGATTTTTTTAATTTTTTTTTTGTTTTTTTTTGGGTGTCAAAATTTTCTTACTATCATATCGTATCACTACCGCTACAAATCAAAGCCATTTTTCATTTTTTTCGACAGTTTTTTCCTCATTTTCCCAATTTTCCACTGTTTTTCACACTTTTTTTAAATTGTTTTATTTTTTAGCCCGTATTTTACATCGAATCCCATTTTTCAGAAGTCGAAAGGAGTTCAAGACGATTATGTAACAGCTTTGCCGTCCACTTCGACCAAACCTACGGCTACAACCGAGGAATTAAAGGCGTTTGCCCGGAGGCAATCGAAGATCAAAAACTCTCCGTAAGCATGTTTTTAGCATTTTCGGGGCTTAACTGAGATTTTGGGGGGGAAAATTGGGAAAAAATTTTATCGCCTGAGGGGAAATGGCGATTTTTTGGCAATTTTTGTGAATTTTTTGAAATTTTTCATTATTTTCGATGATTTTTTAGCGAAATTGTTTACAAAAAATGGCTGTTAGCAGCCAAGAGGCTTTTCCTCAAAATTTCAGAAAATTTGCCTCAGGCAAAATGCGAAATTTTCACTAAAAACCTCGAAAATCCGAGCTTTTTCCCCATTTTTGGCAAATTTTTGAAATTTTTGGCCGTTTTAACTCAAAAATTTATCACAATCTTGGCTGTACTGTAACAACAACTCTATTCCAGCTCCCCAGTACAGCTGCGCAAAGTGTCGCAGCATTCGGCACACGTCTCGCCGGTGAATCTTCGCAAAGACACCCGCGAAGACTTGCGCGGCCGAAAAAAGAAGCCCAAAACCACGTTGACGCTGCCGGCCAACCTGAACAACGTCGACTACGTGGAAGTTCAACCCGTGATCAAGAATTTGGACAGTCAGAACCCGTTCAAACGTCGGCGGAAACGCGAATCCAGCGCCTCGTCGAGTTACTCCGACAGCAGCGAGTATACCAACTAAAATTGGGTAGTTGAGGGTCTTAGCTTGTTACAAATGTTGTAATTTTTTGTCAGCTGTCTTGTTTTGGAAGGATAGGGAGATTTGTTTTTGAAAATTTTCGATTTTTTTGAATTCCCCGCCATTTTTGGCATAGTGTAATATTTTGATGACTTATGGTAAAAAGATCGATTTTTAGCTATATGAAACTAAATTTTAGCACGACTGGCATGTTTTACAAGTGTTTCAGACATCAATTGAAGTTCTGGACTATTATTTTTTCAAACTTTCGAATTTCCCGCCATTTTTGGCATAGTGTAATATTTTGATGACCTATGGTAAAACAAGCCGGATTTTCAGCAAAAAATTGAGTTTTAGCGCGGCTTGGCGTGTTTTACAAGTGTTTCAGACATCAATTCAAGTTTTGGACAACTATTCTTTTCAAATTTTTGAAATTCCCGCCAATTTTGGCATAGTGTAATATTTTGATGACTCATGGTAAAAAGGTCGATTTTTAGCTAAAAAATTAAGTTTTAAGATGTCGCGACGCGTTTTACAAGTGTTTCAGACATCAATTCAAGTCTTGGACAACTATTTTTTTCGAATTTTTGAATTTCCCGCCAATTTTGGCGTAGTGCAATATTAGGTGTTTTGAGCTCAAACAAATCACATTTTACCATCGAAAAAGGAGAAAATCATAGAAGAGTTCGTATTTTACTAATTGATCTTGCTTCGAAATAGAATATTTTGGACCTTTTTTAATTATTTTTTGGTAAAAAATCGTCAAAATATCGAAAATTTCCAGAAATTAACCTATAAATCAATATAAACGGTTTTAAAAACAAATCTCCTTCCTTCAAGGCGTAGTAACAGGTATAACACCCAACAAGACCGCTGGTCAAATGTGAAAGTTCAATTTGAAAATTTTTGAAAAATTTTTAAAACGGATTTTTTCAAAGATTTTTGGATATTACACTTGAATTCCTTCTCAATAATCAATTTTTTTAGTTATTGTATTTTCCCAACCCTCTTTTACGTACATATTTTTAATCCACACACATATTCGAATATTTTCTACACTTTTGTAGAGACATCTCATCTCTTTCTCTTCGCTTTCATGGTATTTTTCAAAAAATTTTAAAAAATTTTAAGATTAAAAAAATTTTTTTTTATATTTTCAACATTCCACTCCCCATCTGACACTTGTAATATAATGAAATGCAGATTTTTATTATTTTTTTTTTAAATCAAAAATTTTTTTTTTTTAATTTCGTTGAATAAAATCATATCCGATATAGAAAAGTCGAAATATATTTTTTACAGGTAATAACCATCGATTTACATTACATTTTACAAATTTTTTTTTTTGAAAATTTATTTTCCCGCCAAAAATTAAATTTGAAATTTTTCAACTTTAACAGCCCATAAAACATTCAGTTCTGCATAACGCGACATAAATTTTTTTTTGCCACTTTAGAAGACCTTGTAGAATATTTTTGCCAAGTTTCATCAAGTTCTGTTGCCTTTTCAAAAACGAGATTTTTTAAAAAATTTCGAATTTTTTCAGATTTTTTTTTCAAAATGAGGTAGATTGATGTCCAAAAATGGGATTTCTCCAACGTATCGCCATAACATACGCTTTTCTGTTGATTCAAATCGGATTATTGGTCTATTACTTGGTAAGTCATCTAAAACAATATAATTTTTTATGAATTTTAAAATTTTTTCATTCAAATTTCTATTTTATTGATTGTAAAATACGACATCTGTCCAGTTCAAACATTTTTTCGGCAATCAGCAACTTTTTACAACCATTACATTTTCATATTACACTATGCCAAAAATGGCGGGAAATTTGAAATTCGAATCCAAAATTTGCTAAAAATGAGTTTTCTCCAGGACGATGGCCTCAGAAGTGAGCCGCTAATGGTGTTTACGGTCGCATGGCTGTTCGATTCGCTGGTTATATTCACCTTGTTGGTCAGATGCATGCGAAGATACAACGTTTGCGGGCTTCACGAGGGAATTGATGAGTTGAGAGAGAACGAAACTGGCTTAAAATCGACTATTTATGATTGCTGTAAGTTTTTAGCAAAATTCCAAAAAAAAAAATTTTTTTTTTTGAAAAAATTTTAAAATTTCAATTTTTTCCCAATTTCAGCCGCGTTTATTGCCAAATTGGTGTTCGAAATCCTGCTCTACATTCAACTCAAGTCCAAGGAGCACAGTATTTTGACGATTCTCATTCCTTTCTGGACATTTTTGGTATTGGCCATTGGTCGGCTACTACAACATGTGGTAAAACAACACTCAAAGGTCTCATAACTATAAACCAATACCTAAAAAACGTGTAATAAACTTGTTTTCACTTTGGCTAGTTTTCCCGGTTCAAATCAGCGAAATTCGAAAAAGCGACATTTTATACGATGAAAGGTGTTTTTCGCAGACAAAAAACGCGGTTTGTGGAGAGACAAAAGGATGTAAATTATACATAGTCTTTCAAAATATTTATTTATCAAATTTACACAACAATTTACACATTACATCCATCTTCTCCATCGTAATTTTTAAAATCAACAAGATCTTGAGTTCCGAAGCCTTGCATAAACTTCTCACTGCCTGGAGGGATTAATTTCTTAGGTAAATACCACTGAAACACCTTGCATGACTTGTCTTTCGGGTCTTTGTTACATCGATGGAATCTGGAAATCAAATTTTGGAAGGGTGACATTTTATACGATGAATATTTTTTCTCCTAAAACTCGAATTTTCACAAAGTACAAGGTAAAACAAGTGTTGTCAAAGCCACAAGCGCACTCTAAAACGCTAGATTCAGCTACAAAATGAAATCTAAAATCAAAAAAAATCACAAATTTTAACCTAAAATAAGGTCCAAACTCTACAAAAACGCCAAAAAATCAACGTACATTTTGACCATAGCTCCGGTTTTGTTATCCACAAGCTGCAAATGAAATCGTCCGTCATTTCCCACCCTTCTTCTTATCTTCCGAACTGGTCCAGTATAGTCCAATTCATACATGGTAGCGAACTAAAATAAGGTCGGAAACCACCAAAAAATGCCATAAAAAACGGAGAAAACATACAACAGGCTCAGTATGACTCAAGTCCTGTCCGCGACAATGCAAAGTCCCCCAAGCTTCAGCGCCATTTTGAAAACGGAACGGTTCTTGGGCCGTTGAAGGTGGTGTAATATAAAACATTGATGAGAACGCCAAAATAAGACCGATTTTCATGTTGAAAATTGTTTGAAAGGAGGTCAAATGTCATAAAATTAAATTTTTTGCGAGATTTTTGGAGAAATTTTTGAAAAATTTGAATTTCCCGCCAAGTTTGGCATTGTGTTTCAAGGGGTTGAAATGGCTTCAAACCGCTCAAAATGAAGCTTGAATATCATATTTCGTTATTTTATTATTTTTTAGCCAATAAAAATGTTATTTTCATATTATTCATGACATTTTTCGCCATCAATCACAACTTTCGCTGCTGTTGGTCGGAAATTTGGGAATGCTCAACTCAATGGCCCCGAAATCCTGGGAAATGACATCCTCTTGCGACTTATTCATGGTCAGTCTAGTCCTCACACATGCCCCGTCCGCATTGCATTTATGGTATCTGAAAATTAAAAAAAAAAATTCTTGTGTCCCGCCACGAAAACCTTTCAAATTTCGGCTTACACGAAAACGAAGGGCCGGAGTGCAGTCCAATCCCAGTCTTTGGCGCTCAGACTGAAATGCCCAGCCTCATCGGAGCGACCTTGAATCTGATGGTCATCTTTAAAGGCGTCTTGTTCCAACAGCTCTACCTTCTACAATATCAAGGAAAGTAGGCCAAGTGCGACGCTCGGATTTTCTTCAAATTTTGCATGTATTTTGAGGATAGACCATATATTAATTCCTGAAAGTTTTAGCTCGCGATTAGCAGGTAGAGCCGAGATATTCAACAATCTTTGTCGCCGAGAGAGTACGCGGAATGCGGAGAGCGATCAGAGAAAAAACACTTTTTTACTGTATCTTTGCCAGTTTCGTTCAAAAAAGCATGATTTTTCGGCACGAAACTGGCAAAGATACGGCCAAAAAGATGTTTTCTCTGACCGCTCTCCGCATTCCGCGTACTCTTTCAGTCGCAAAGATCGTTGAATATCTCGGCTCTCCCTGCAAAGCGCGAGCTAAAACTTTCAGCGATTGATATGTGGTCTATCCTCGAAATGTATGCAAAATTTAAAGAAAATCCGAGTGCCGCACTTGAGGTTACATTCGGTTTCCGTTCATTTACTTTTTTGCACTGTGCAGTCCTCATTTTTGAGAAGCGCACTGTGCAGTCCTTCAAGGTTAGAGATTGCACAGTGCAGTCGCTGAAAATTGCCTTTCGGGAAAGTCGCCGGACCGATTTTTGGTGTTTGCACTGTGCGAAAAACGTCAGGGTGCGAGCGACAGCCCAAAAAAGCCTCTTGCACAGTGCAAAAGGCAAGAAATTGCACAGTGCAAAGAAAACTTTTGTTTTCGCACAGTGCGCGTCGCCAGACTGACTGACATTTACCGTTTGCACAGTGCGAAAAAAGTCAGGGTGCGAGCGACATCCCAAAAAAGCCTCTTGCAGTGCAAAAAGCAAGAAATTGCACAGTGCAAAGAAAACGTTTGTTTTCGCACAGTGCGCGTCGCCAGACTGACTGACCTTTGCCGTTTGCACAGTGCGAAAAACGTCAGGGTGCGAGCGACAGCCCAAAAAAGCCTCTTGCACAGTGCAAAAAGCAAGAAATTGCACAGTGCAAAGAAAGCTTTTGTTTTCGCACAGTGCGCGTCGCCGATTTCAAGTGCGCGTCGCAATTGTCAATTGCACCGTGCAATTTGCTTTTCCCAAAATTGCGCAGTCGAATTCAACGACAAATTTTTGCACGGTGCATCAAATTTTATGTTTCCACTTCGCACGGTGGAAAAATTTTTCTTTCCTCCGCACAGTGCAATTTTTGCATTTCACAGTGCAACTCTCCAAAAAACTTTTTACTCAATTTTCCGACTTACCACACCCGCCGCCGGTTTTCCTTGGCATTGAATACTGCCCGAGGCAGTGATTTGTTTATTTTGAAAACATTGGACTTGCGGGATTACAAAAATGCATAGTGTAATCAGAAAAAATTGGAGCATTTTGGTGTTTTTTGATCGTAATTTGAAGGGATTTTATATTCATACAAAAATGCTGATTATAATGAGACCAATCAAGCTATTAAATTTGGGAAACATCGAGAAATTTACATTTTTATTGGATTTTTGGGGAGTTGTTGCAAAATAATTTGAATTTTAGTGGTACTTACAATTTTATTGGCTCATGTGATTTTGTGCAACTGTATATTTTACTGTGATTTTCGTATTTTACACAAAAAAAATTTGAAATTTCAAAAAAAATTTTTTTTTGAAATTTTTTTAAAACAACTTTAAAACAACTCAAAAAGAGTTTTTAACAACTTTTAATGCCATTTTCAACAATAACAAATAACAATTAACTAAATAATTTTACTTTTTTACCACCTGATACACATCATAATGATGGTTCAATTTCTTGTTCAGATGCAGTTGGCAGTTCGTGATGAACGCCCCATTGCTCGAGGGGTTCTTGAAGATCACCGCGGAGGTCCGACTATGGACCAAGGCCATGGCACACATTGCACATGGCTCATTTTCAATTATCACATAGCAATCTAAAATAAGGTCGATTTTTTTGGAAAATGAAAATTCTGGGTAAACTACGAGATTTTTAATTGCATATCAGAGTATTTTAGAGCCAATAACACTTCAAAAATCCATTTTCAGACTAACTTTTGACCTTATATTACTTTAGATGTAAGAAAAATTAAATTGCAAAATTTCCATTAAAAATCGATCAATCTTGCAAAAACAGACTAGCCATAAGAAACTTAGCTTCTTATTTTATCTATTACTATCCAAATCCTATCGATTTTGCTCTAAAATTACATCAAACTTACTATTACAAAGATATTCGTCACCGCTCATCGACCGTTTCCGTTTTGCCCTCTGAACTTGGCAAAATTTCTCCAACGCCCTCATGAATGGATGTCTTAGAGGATTCAACCCTTTTTCCTCCGCTTCAGATGCCCTTGCCAGCACTTTTAGCCCGCTAGAGTCAGCTATAACACATCCGTCAGAAGTTGATGCCTCATCCAATAAACTGACGAGGTCCTCTCGTATTTTCGCCTTAAAATATGTGTCATCCAGCTTAGATTCCAACACAAGGTCTTCGCGATAATGAACAGGCCAGTAGACTTTGTAGGATTCAAATTGGGACCTTGTAGTAGGTGAACGGGATGGAATGGGAAGTGAAAGAAAGACGAATTCACCGGGAAATTGGGCAATACAGTCTCTAAAAAGAATAAAAAAACCATGGAAAAGGTTTGCTAAATCATATGTCTCCCTTTTATATTACACTAGGTTGGTGATGTAAATCAATGTCAGCCAATGCACAAATAAACCTCCGACGGAAAAAATTAGTGTCAAAAGCGGCAAAAATCTTTGCTTTTTTCAGCCCACATCAAAATCTGGTCAAGGATTGGCACAAAATTTGATTTTTCCTCCATCTTATCTTAGAGTACACCGCAAAAAGAAATCAGGTAATTTTGAGATAAAAAATAATCCTGGCCGTAAACTAAAAGTGCCCTGAGTACCCTCGGGCCTTCCTCTTACTATTGTTGCCAACTTCTCATCATCTTTCGTCTAAAATTCAACAAAAAACATCAAAACCCTACCTTGCCTCCTTCTCCAACTTTTCACTATAAACTCCGACCAAAATTGTATCATTCTTCACCCGTTTCAGATGCAAAACGTCTTCCTTCATAGCAGGAAGAGCGTTGAGAACCTTAGAAGTCAGCTTCCTATCCGGAATTCGAATTATTAACCCGTCAACGAGAGGAACTTCATCATTTCGGAGCTCTTCATCACATATAAATCGAAATTCAATGTCAATGTTAGAAGATTCCGCACTCATATGACTAAAAACAAAGTTATTAAACTCTAGTGAACTTACTTTTATTGTTTTAGCGTCAAAAAAATTTGCCAATTTTGGTCGAAAAATAATTTTTTTGGAATTATTTTCGGCTTGAAACAGAATGCCAAACGTTTTTGGCATTGCAATGATTTCCGAGATTTGTCTTGAAACGAAAATAAGATTACGGTTGTTTCCTATTTTTTGCGAAAAGAATTTTATGTTCCCAAGTTTCTCCTAAATTTTTACAAGTTTTAGGTTGATTTTGTTCAATCTTTCGGGAGGTTTTGGGTCAATTTGATATTATCCATGAGCAATGTATTTTTGGACTCAAAATTGTTTGGTTTTGATGCTGGTTGGGGAATTTTATCGTCGAATTTGGTTTGTTTCTTGGTTTACGAAGTGGGAGATTGCAGAATTTTGAGAGAATTTGATGGAAATCAAAGGTTTTTCTATATTGTTCATGGATAAGGTAATGTCGTCTCTAAAATCGTGATTTTCGCGAATTTTTGCCTCTTTATTCACAAATTTTATTGTTCTGTGTTTAGTGGGTATCAGGACTTCCTAAGCAACTCCGAAGATGGGTTACCGTGGACAGAGACGTCATCTGAAGCGCTTGGCCGCCCCCAAGCACTGGATGTTGGCCAAGTTGGGTGGAACGTTCGCTCCCCGCCCCACCTCCGGACCGCACAAGCTCCGCGAGTGCCTGCCTTTGATCCTCTTCCTCCGCAACCGTCTGCGCTACGCGCTCAGCTACAACGAGGCGCGCGCCATCTGCAAGCAGCGTCTGATCAAGGTGGACGGCAAGGTCCGCACTGAAATGCGCTTCCCCACCGGATTGATGGACGTCGTCGAGATCGAGAAGACCAACGAGGTGTTCCGCATGCTCTACGACACCTTGGGCCGTTTCACCGTCCACCGCATCCACAAGTCCGAGGGGCAGTTCAAGTTGTGCAAGGTCACCAAGCAATTCTTGAGCAAGAACGCCGTCCCAACCATCGTCACTCATGATGGCCGCACCATCCGTTACCCCGACCCCAACATTAAGGTATGTTTGTTTTTATTTTGTTCGATTTTTAGGAGAAAATTGGGATTTCTATATTATTTATGGTAGAAGATTATTTCGCATCAAAAAACCTCTCATTCCAGGTCAACGACACCATCGTTTTGGACATCAAGACCGGCAAGATCACCGACTGGGTCAAGTTCGACGCCGGAAACCTCGCCATGGTCACCTCAGGTCGTAACATTGGGCGTGTTGGTATCCTCGGACATCGTGAGCGCCATCCCGGATCCTTCGACATTGTTCACGTCAAGGACAGCGCCGGCAATGCGTTCACCACTCGGTAAGTTTCGTTCTCGGTGAACGGGATCTTCATAGAGGGCCGGGGCCGCTGGGTGGCATAACTTTCCGGTCGAGGTCGGTTTACGTTTTGCAATTGGGGTTCGAGTGGTGGAGGGTCTTAGATCCGGTCTGAAATGGTCGTAAGGATCATAAGGGCTGTTGTGTCCAAGTTTGGAGTATGATTGAAGAGTTTACACTTGACTTTGGCTAGGTTTTGATATTGTACTAGGCCATAATTCGAAATCTAGCCGGGTTTAAGAGTGTTATCTTCGATTTGCTTTCCATTCTTGCGATGAGGGAGACGTTCCACCGCTCACTCGGGCCAATAATCTCCTCATTGTCTACTTTCAGCCTCCAAAACGTGTTCATCATCGGAAAGGGCGAACAGGCTCTGATCTCTCTGCCCAAGGAGAAGGGTGTCCGTCCCGACCGTCAAGAACATCGTGACCGCCAAATCGCCCACGCTCGTGCTAGCCACTAAAGCACCTTGTTTTCGTTCTCTGAACGTTTTTTATTTTGATTGTTTTGTTATAAAGACGTTCGATATTAAACATGTTGTTGGAAAATTACTTTGGTGATTGATAGTGACTGTTTCCGAACTAGTAAGCTATATGTCAGTGATTGTCATATAGAAAATACTTCAATTTGAGTTTTCGTTTCGGGATTTGCCTATCCGTGATTATGTGTAATGTAATCAGACTCAGAAATGATTTATAAATGGACAGCTCGGGAAGTAATAAGCAATTTGAATGGATTTCTTTGTGTCTACAAGCAGCGTGACATCTCGTTGGCCGCGTTGAAAGCGCTAATTATAAAGAGGATATGCGAACACGGCAATGCCTTGATGGTCCCGCCTCCTCCAACGATTCAGCGGCCGATTGTAGAGCCGCATCCCAAATCGGGGGCCCCAGTAGTTGTGGGATTAAGAGAGCAGCCGGATTACACGTACGTGTTATACCGTAATTATAAATTATGTTACTTTAGGTTGCATCCTCTCGTCAACGGCGGTACTTTCAACCCACTCGACTTCCTCCTCGAAGAAATGGAGCCAATGGAAGCCACGACTTCCGGAGTTTGCGGTAAGTCGTATTTTGAGCTTATTTTTTGTTCCAAGTTTAGTGTTCGCCCTGAATGATGCGGTTGATGACTTGGAGAGTGTTCGAGACTTGGCCTGGGTCAATGAATATCGACTGTGTGGCAAGTTAGGAGAAGCGTCGTTCAAAAATGAGTGCAAAGGGCAGATTGTGGCCAGAGCGAAAGCAGGTACGCACAATTTGATGGTTGCCTAGTATAATATAATTTTTTGCTTATTTCGAATGCAAAATAAGGTCGAACGAAATTAAAATTTTCACAGATTTAGTCCTCCTTGATTTTCAGACCACATAACCCCGAGAATGTTCAAAAAACTGCTCACGAAATTGTGCTTCCACTACAAGCGACTGTCTTTCGAGCTGGCCAATGTGGACATGCAGTCGGAAGAAGCGTTCGAAATCGCGAGACAAGGCGCCGCAAGACCTCGAATTATCGGATCACCAATCATCTATGGCCTCAGGCTTCTGAAATTCGACTTCCCGACCTTCGAACTTCAGATGAATGTGGTCTCAGAAAATGACGTTTTCTTACGGTAAGAGGTGGAATTTGCTGTCATTAACAATAGTATAGGTGTATTATGTAATGGTTAGACGTTTCATGGCAGTACGGGTTATAAAACGGGTAGAAATTGAGGAAAATTATATTATCCATGATAATTTTTGAAGATTTTGGCTAATTTTTGAGTTTTTTAAGTGTTTTTTGAAAAGTTTTTGATAGAAGAGACTATTTTGGAGGTTTTGGCGACTAACCGTGCAAAAGTCTGCGCTATAAGAAAAAAAAATTCACCTTTGCCTAGTGTAATATAAATTTTTTGATTTTTTCCAGTAGAACTGATTTAACCCCCTAATTAATCCGTATTTCAGCCAATTCATCCACGAAGTCGGCTGTTCGATGGGATCTCTGGCAAGGCCGACCAAAATTCAGAGAGTTCGCATAGGCCCTTTACTGAGATCCCACGCCCTTTTGGACAGCCAATTCCAGCTCCCAAATATCTTGAAAAACCTCAAAATGATCACAAGGATCATTGAAATGGAGAAGAAGGTCAGGTTGGGACCCACGGTAAGATTCTGAACCGTTTTTTTTAACACTTGCCTAGTGTAATATAAATTTTTCTTCAAAAGCCTCAAAAAAGAGTTTCTAAATGTCGAATATCATACGAAAATCAGTTAAAAATACAAGCATTAACTTTTTGAACAGTTAGAAGTCATAAATTTGCTGTTTTATAGCAATTTTGCCTAGTGTAATATAAAAATTTTCAGGTAAAAGTCATGGAGTCGAGTCAAAGCACCGGATTCATCCCCGAATACCACCTTAGTCCCGATGAGCTCAGCAAAGAGCGGGGTCGAGCTATAGCGGATGGAATTGAGAGCGCCGATGATTTGAGGATTCCATGGGGTCGAGAATATACAAAACCATAGGTGTAAATAGCCATAAAGTCGATAAAAGTTATTGAAAAAATAGATAATTCGTATTTATGACCAAATAGATTAGTAAAAAACTTTGAGAGTCAAAAAAATTAAAAAATTATATAATCCATGAAAAAGTTTTGATATTCTAGGCGTCTTTTACAACATTATTGATGAAAACTTCAAAGTTCTCGATGTATGGGGCGAGATCGGTTCGCTTGTAATCTAAAATAGCCGATATAATTCAAAAAATACTAAAATTTTGTAAAGAATTGTGAAAGATTAGCGAAAAAATGTATTAAAATCGATGAGATACGTGCCAAATGGAGATGTAAAGTCTAGTAAATTTAATAAGAAGTATTTTAAAGCTAATTCGAGCTATCTAACATCAAAATTCTTCAATTCACAGGCAAAACTTACAATCTTGCCTAGTATAATATAATTTTTTTAAATTTTTGGCCAAATTGAACATAAAACTTTGCAAATATTGTCCTAAACAGCTTTTCAAATCCACTAATAATAAGTTTTACGCAATCTTAAAATATTTTTTTTGTCGAAAATACGACTTCTCATCCAACTTACACAGCACTTTCCGGGCGTTCTCTTTCTCATCGGCAGACTCGTCTTGAATGGCTTTGGCATTTTTCAATTGCTTTATCAGCTCGCTACAATCATGAAAAATTACTTTGAGTTCTTTCCAGACAAAAAATTATATTATCCATGACCTACTCGGCTTCATGGAAATTGGACAGAGTGAAACTCGACAGAAATAAATTGGACAGAGAGTGGAAATTGGACAGGGGGAGATTGGGCGGAGTGAAATTGGACAGATTTTTTTTCACTACAAAGACGGTTAAATAGTGACATTACAGTAGCGGACCTGATCCAGTGGCAAAAAACGTACCGTTTTGCATCCGGGAAGTATCAAAAATGTGGCAAAATGTTTCCCTCTCCAAGTGAAAAAACTCCGATTTCAAAAGCGCGCCCTTCAAAACGAAGTTTTTTCACTTGGAGAGGGAGGCATTTTGCCACATTTTGACACTTCCCGAATGCAAAATGGTACGTTTTTTGCCACTGGATCAGGTCCCCTACTGTAATGTCACTATTTAACTATTCTTTGCAATGAAAAAAAACTGTCCAATTTCACTTCGCCCAATCTCCCCTTGTCCAATTCCCACTCTCCGTCCAATTTATTTCTGTCGAGTTTCACTCTGTCCAATCTCCATGAAGCCGAGTAGGTCATGGATAATATAATTTTTTGTCCGAAAAGTACTGAAGCCACCTACTCGACTCTCGGGACCTTGTCCAATCGGAATAGGTGCCCCGAATTCGCGCTAAATGGCACCGAGACCATTCCTGTCTCTGGATGAACACAGAATGGCGACTTTAACAAGTGATATGTTTTGGTTGTGATGGGGGCATCCATTTTTGGATGCATCCTCTCCAATAAAAACAGGTAAAAAAAGGCGACTGCCTCTGGAGTTGGAGGCTCTAGCCGCGATTCCGACTCTTTGTGGGACTTGGGATCACAGATGCATTTGAGGAGTTCGAAGCGCTTTGCTGGATCGGGCATTCTGAAATTTTTTGGACATTATCCATGATAAAAAAAATGGTGAAAAAACTATTTAAATTAGTGAAAATTAAGCCTTAAACTAGTGTTGCTTGCCTCTATGAAGGTCATGAAACATAGCTTAGAAGTTTCGGAGGAATTATTTTGAAAATTTATATTATCCATGACAAAAATTTTTTTTTTGATTTTTGTGGCGGAACAAACAAAAAAGCCTACTTTTTGAAGGCTGTTCGAATCTGACTCTCAAGTTTTCGGTTGGGACATTTTTTCAGCCAGTCTTCGGTGTTTTCCATCCATCCTTGATCCACCACCAGGTCCACAGTTTCCGGCGCGTCCAAAATTACTCGACAAAAGTCCAAGATAGATTTGTGCAGTCGTTTGTCTTTGTTAATTCGAAGATCTCGGCAATTTAGATAATCATAAATCGCTTTGCGCTCCAGATCACCCAACTTGCGAGCCTTATCGTCGGCACACCACACGTGAAGTCCTCGTCGACCGGAGAAGACGAACAACAACTTTTTGAATCCGAAATGCTCCGTCAAAATGAAATTTATGACCTTGGCACCGATGGAAATGAACGACCAACATTTTTGACAGACCTTCTTGTCTTGACAACAAGTCCGGACACTGTTGTAGTCGTCCATGTCAATATCAAAAGTCAGCTCTCGTTCGACCCATTCGAACTCTTCCTTGCACACACTGTCTCTTTGAGCCATCTAAACACATAAGGAAAAAAGTAGAGTGCTTACCGGAACAGTCGCAACAGCACCAATCTCAAACTTTCTTGGCTTTTTCGCTACCAACTGTTTGGTCAATTCGTTTGGATCGGTGAAAGATAAGTAACGATGCATCGCTTGATCAAAAGTAAACCCAAATTCTCGACGGTTCAGGAGTTCTTTAGCCGCTGAAACAAAAATATGACCAAAAACTTTAATGTTTTACATTATACTTGGGACCTCACAAAGATTTGTCAAAATCATTGGGAAAATAAACGCACAGACCAAAACTACAGTCATAATTAGATTCAGCACATCAAGTAGCAGCTCTAAACCACAGAAACAAAAGGCTATTTCTCTTACGTTTTCCATACGCTAACCATTTCATGTACAACTTGGCCGGGAAGAGATGGAGGTAATAATCTTGCAAATACTGATCCAAAAAAGCTTTATTAAACCCGGGAGCTTGAGACGCCATCGTAGAGGATGTCTCGCAGGTGCTGAAGGTGAAGATTGTGAGAAAATCCGGAAAAAAAATAATTTATTTCTTCGAAAAACTTTTTCGCGCGAAAACACAGTGGTGCAATCTGCTTCCCGTAGCGAAAACAAGACTACTGTCGAAAGAAAAAAAATAATTTTTATAATTTTCAGGAAAAATTCTACTTCATCTTACTTTTTAGCAATCTTTTGCGCGACTTTACAAAAGTTTTTGCCCAGATTTTGCCATTTTTATATTACCCTTACCCATTTCCAGGTTACCATGTCGATTGAAGCTCTCCGCGCCGAATTCAAGGCCAATCTGCCAATCTCATTGGCCATCAAGGCTGCCGACAGTCTGTACTTCAAGTCCAACCGCACCTACACCAACATCCCCACCGAAGTCACCCATAAGGGAGGTCATCATAAGGGACGTGGAGGTCATCGCCGAAGCTCTCACGTTCCCTCCGTCCGTGAAGCCATCGATGAGGCCAAGAAGACCTTGGACGAAGTGCGCGGTGGAAAGGGAGGCCGTAGCAAGCACAACTCCAGAAACCGCAACCGTAAGGAGATTTTGAATTTATTTTATGTTGAGTCTGGATGGTCATGGTGAATAAGGAGAAATTTTGATGTAAAACTTAGGAAATGCTTAAATTTTTGAGCTAATTAGTTGTTTCAGGTCGCAGCACTTCTGGTGACAACGATTTGAAGGCCGAAGTTGCTCAATTGAAAGAGGAGAACGCTCAAATCAAGAAGGACTTGGCTGAGTTGAAAGAGATCGTCCAAAAGGTGAGCATTTTTTTTTGTTCTTTCGGACTTTAGACAACCTAGAATATATACTCGAGCAATTAGCCGGTTTTTGAGCCTTTAAATTTTTGTTTTGCCGGTTTCCTCTGGTCGATATTGTACTAGACACTAAAGCAGGGCTTTAGGCGCTAGTATCCTCAATCTTGGTTCTTGGTGATGGGAATCTGAGCTACTCAGCTGCTCTGGCCTCCCTTCTTCCTCATGTTCGTATAACTGGATCGGTTCTTGAAGCTTCGGAATCAGAATTTCTCTCAAGATATCCTCGAGGTCGAGTTTCTCTGGAGGTTCTAAAACAATATCGTCCCCGTTGCTCTGTCGAATTTGGAGTTGACGCCACTAATCTGCCCGGCTTTGCATACGAATTTGGATTGATTATCTGGAACTTTCCGCATTTTGGAGGCAAAACTAACATCAGAAGATCGAAATTGCTGTTAGGCCAATGCTTTGAAAGTTTGGCCGAGAGGATGGCCAAGCGGTCGAAGTTTCAGTTGTCCTTGACCTGTTTGCAAGCTGGATTTGATATTCCACAAGGAAATTTGTTCCAAAAGGACGTTCCACTTCATCGGAAAGACAGTTGGAATCCACTTGAAATTGCGGCGAATCATGGATTCTTGTTGAGCCGGGCCTTCGAATTCCAGCCGGTTAAAGGCTACGCAGCCTCGGGGTATTTAAATCGGGACCAATTTTTCCACAATCGTAATGCGATCACCTTGGAATTCGTCAAATCGGAAGTCCCAAGAGCCTTGAATGAAGCTGTTTTGATGGAGAAATCAGCGAAAGAGAAGCAGAATGGGATGAAATACAGCAAAATCCATCAAGTTTTCCAGCATGACGTCTCAATTTTGTATGAAAAAGGGAAAATTGATGTTGATGATGAGGAAAAGGCGATTGAAGCTTTTGTTTTGTCCAATTTTGGAGATGTGATTAGAGGATTTGAAGAGAAAAAGGACCTCCGATCAGTATTTCAAGGCAGAAGGAATCGAATTTACACTTTGTTTTGGCAAGCCATCAAGTTTCCCATGTCGAAGGGACTTTGTAATCAGCTCCAGGAGGAATTTAGAGGAAGATTGCGGGATTTCCTGCCTGATGGTGTCGATTTGAGTTGAGATTAAGGTACGGAGCTGATCCAATAGCAAAAAACGTACCAATTTGCATCCGGAAAGTATCCAAAAAATGTGGCAAAATACCTCCCTCTCCAACGAAAAAAATCCCATTTTGAAGGGCGGCCTCGCATAAAGAGCTGCCGCCCTTCAAAACGAGTTTTTTTTCACTTGGAGAGGGAGTTATTTTGCCACATTTTTTGATATTTCCCGGATGTAAAATGGTACGTTTTTTGCCATTGGATCAGGTCCGTCACTGTAGATTTTGAGGTGCTGTAGAGTTTTTTTTTATATTACCTTAGGCAAAAGGCTTCAATTTTTAATTTTTTTGATTTTAAATACTTTTTTTTCGATATTATACTTGGCTGTTGAGAATAAATAATATTGCAGCTGACCGGAGTATGCCTTGGATCGTCAGCCGCCGCCCCAGCTAAGGCCCCAGCCGCCACTCCAGCCGCCGCTCCAGCCAAGGAGGAAAAGAAGGATGAGGACTTTGATCTGTTCGGCTCTGATGATGAAGAAGAAGACGCCGAAGCCGCCAAGGTCCGCGAGGAACGCCTGAAGGCCTACGCTGCGAAGAAGGCGACCAAGCCCGGCCCAATCGCCAAGTCGTCGGTTATTCTGGATGTGAAACCATGGGATGACGAGACTGATCTGAAGGAAATGGAGAAGTTGGTCAAGAGCATCGAACAGGACGGTCTTGTCTGGGGAGCCAGTAAGTTTGAGGTGGTCTGTGGGTCATATTATACATGGCGTTGCAAGGAAATGGGAGTACTTGAGATTTTTTTGGATTTTTATAACTTGATGTAGTGTGATATGATTTTTTATCCATTATGTCGCTTAAGGTTTAGTATTCGAGATGAAAATAGTTTTACCATGATCTCAGAGAACTACAGGGCCAGATGTATCATAAAAATCCGAGAAATTGGAGATCTGATGACTTTTTTGACCTAGTATAATATAATTTGATAGTTTACCGCCAAAAAGGGTTAAAATGAAGGAGTTGAAATGTAGATAGAATTATCGATGTGTCATCTAAACTTTACATCTTTCAGCCAAACTCATCCCCATCGGATACGGAATCCAGAAGCTGCAGATCGTCTCCACCATCGAGGACGCCAAGGTCTCGGTTGATGACCTCATCGAGAAGATCCAAGAAGACTTCTCCGATCACGTCCAATCCGTCGACATTGTCGCTTTCAACAAGATCTAAGTCCCCAGTGATTCGAACCTTTTACTTGTTGCAATTGGATAAATTTTTATCTTCTGTTATATTGAACTTGATGAATAGTTGAATTAGGAGTGTAAAAGCATGCGTGTGACGAAAATTGGATATTATGCGATGATTTTGGGTCGATTGAACTTTTTTGGCCTAATTTTTGGAGTTGCTAGTTGCGCCCGCGACTTCACTTTTTTGGAAGGTAGGGCGCAGCTTGCCGCGGTAAGCGCGAATTTTATTTTCGAAAAAATAATTCGGAAAATTCTTGATCAAAATTCATCAACTTGTGAGAAATAATAATAAACGAAGTGTTCGGTACCATATTTTCATCGAATATGAAGCAGAAGCTATCGGAAGATGATTTACATAAGGTCCTCAAAGGAATTGCTGACTTCCTTTACAATATTGAAGATGTACAACGGTAAGTTGAGGTGTTTTTGATAGTTTTTGCTGCGTTTTAGGTCGTTAACTCTATATTCCTCTTAATCACAACAGATTATATTTAAATTTCCCCTTTTCCGATATTGTACTAGCCCAATTTTCAGATTCCTTCAAAAGAGTTTTGATGCAATGTTAGAACAGAAGACTGGGGCCTCGATAACATTGCTTGGACCTCCGGGATCGGGGAAACGTTCGGTTGTGCGACGATTTGCCCATGCGCAGAAGGGGGAGATCAATTTGATTGAGCACAACGCCAATCTGGACGACATGATCTCAGCAAAAGAGCGATTACGACAGCTGGAAGAGCTTTTGGACCAGGATTCGAAGGTGTGCTATGTCATCTACAATTTCGAGAAGTTTAAAGGCACTTTTGGCAACAATGTGCTCTATACGTTGGCACAACGGGTCCGATCTTCACCTTTGCTATTGATATTGGTGGGAGAAAGTCAAGTAAGTCTTTGATTTTTGTGTTTCTGTTTTTAGGATCACTTCAGAAGATAAAATACGGCACTGTGAATGTTTTCAGAAAGGTTTATCGGTGTTTGAAAAACGGATTGCCTCGAGGTTATCGTCAAACTCTTTACGGATGATACCCAACAAAACGCCGGAAAAATGCTGGGAATTCTTCACGGAGATGCTGAATTTTGCCACTACGGACCTGTCCAAGACTACAAGGAAGCTTTTTAAAGTAGGAATTCTTCAAAGCTTTTGAGTTTTACCTCAGAAAACATGATTTATATTAACCATGACACCTTATAGTTGCCGACTGAAATTCCGATCAATTTCTACAGAATATGTAGGCTAAATCCGATCTATGGGGCGTTAAAACTCTTGGCAAAGGACCTGGTTGATACTTATTACGACTCAGAGGGAGCTTTGGAGATCTCTGATATTATACTTGACCTGATCAAGGAAAGATTGAGTGTTGACCCATACAAAGAGCTGGCTGATCGTAAGTTGATATAAAAATGTCTTTATTGAACTTTTTGTGATATTTAGAACTTAAAATCGCCAGGTTTTGATGTCCAATAATATAGTTATGACCATTTTTTCAGAAATTACTGATCGCCAATACGGATTGTTGATGGCCGCCGCGATCAAAACCGAACGAGTCCATCTGTATTTCCCAAGTCGATATCTGTTTAGTGAGTACAAACGATTCATAAATCAGAAGGGAATCCCGGAACGGTCGATATTATACTTGACCGAAAAGAATTTTGATTCCGACCTGAGGGAATTGATTGGTATGAAGTTTTTCGGTGCGAAATATCAAGGAAATCGGATTATGTATGTTCTGTTTGGAATATATTTGAGATTTTTTTTATTTTTTTAGTAACGTTATATTACTTTAGGTAAAAGCTACCTTATTTTAGATAAAATTAAATCAAAAAAGGCCAAGTTAAGACTAAGACTGAAATTTGCAGACAATTTTTCATCTTTTGATGACAAAATAATACTTATTTTTATAAATTTGCAACATTAATTTACCTTATTTTAGCATGATTTGCTGGAATCTGAACCCCCTCCCGTTGTTTGAGCCTCATATTAAGGACAAGTTCCTCTCAAAGTTTAGCAATTACATTGAAGAACGGGCCGACCCCAATTTCAAGAATCTCAGAATGTAAAATGATGTAAAATACGGATTTTTTCGATATTTGAATGCCTTGTAAATAATTTTCATTTTTCACTATTTTTGGTGATTGAAATAGTGTTCGTTGTAGAAAACGGAACTCACTGGTTCTTCCACGGCGTTGTACTGCAAAATTTGATTGAATTTTGATTTTTTTTCGTTATATTGACCATGTCAGGTCCGGAGTTGGACTGAATTTTCGACGAGCGAAAAGTCAAAAGAGAAACGGGATTAAACAAAAAAAGTTGGGATTTTCGGTCATGTACAATATACCGGTTCGACGATTTTGGGCGCGAAATTTCACGGTTCATCGTCGAAATGGGTAATAGGTTAATTTGTTATATATTCTTGTGCATCTTTGTTCGTGAATTGTTTCGGGATTTTTCGATATTTAACGGGAAAATTAGGTGGTCTGACAGGAACTGGGACGATTGGGGAAACCGAAAAGTATTATTTTTCTTCGATGCAAGTGTGGAATTAGGATAATCGAGGGTGCTGGTTATCAAGTGACATTCATTTTTTGATCCTTAATTTTTCTTTAAGTAGTACTGTAATGTAGTAATTTTTTGAATTTTTTTCATAACGACTTGATTTAGGGGTTTTCGATGGTGCTGATTTTCGAAAATCTTATTCATTTTTTCTGATTTGAAAGCAGAAAACCCCCAAATCGAGTATGAAAAAAATTCAAAAAAAATTTACTTTACAGTACTACTTTTAAGTAGTTTAAAAAGAAAAATTAAGGATCAAAAAAAAAATGAATGTCATCTGATAAATCAGTACCCTCGATTATCCTAATTTCGACACTTGCATCGAAGAAAAGTAATATTTTTCGGTTTCCCCAGTCGTCCCAGTTCCTCTCAGACCACCTAATTTTCCCGTTAAATATCAAAAAATCCCGAAACAATGCGCAAACAAAGATGCGCAAGAATGTGTAGCAAATTAACCTATTACCCATTTCGTCGATGAACCGTGAAATTTCGCGCCCAAAATCGTCGAACCGGTATATTGTACATGACCGAAAATCCCAACCTTTTTTGTTTCATCCCGTTTCTCTTTTGACTTTTCGCTCGTCGAAAAATTCAGTCCATCGACCTCTCTAGACTTTCCCGTCAATGATCTCTCCTTTTTTCATCGACGAATTTTTTTTTCATCGACGAAATCCGTCGATGGAAAAATTGCGGAAAAAGTTTCGAGTCGATGGAGTTTCGAGCTTTCGCGAGCGTCTCGATGACGGATCGAGGCAGGGCGCGAAATTTACTTTCGAAATCAAAACTGATTAAGAACTGGATTTGCTCGCTAATCGGGGCTGATGAATGACCCGAGGCGTTGAAAAGAAACGAAAGACCAGACAGAACGGCAACGAAGATTCGGGAAAACGAACCGACACCTTGTTTCGGGAAGGGCTCAAAGTTGTGTTACATTACTTTAGCATAAAGAGTTATAAGCATTATAAAAATGCTGATGAAAAGACCGTAAGGTGAAAAAAAGACTGCTATATGGCTTAAAAGGTCTTTTGCAAGGCTCCAAAAATTATTCTACAGCTCCTCAATGCGTATTTTACAATTTAAACGGCTTGAAACAGAAAGCCAAAATTTGCCAAAAATGGCAGGAATTGAAAATTTTGAAAAGATTTTGGTAATTTTATAATAAATCAAGACTAATGAGTGATCGTTACAATAATTTTAACTTCAATTTTGACCGTAAAACAGAATTTTTAGGTGTTTACCATGGATAATATCATGGGCATAAAACCCGGAGAAATAAAGGCAAACTGCTGTAAATACAGTAGTGTTACTGTAGAAATGTCCCTCGTCGTGTTTTAAAAGTTTTCTCGTATTCTGCACAGAATACTTTTTTTTATTTTTATGTTGGTAGAAGTTACTTTTATTTTATTTCTCGGATTTTCTAGGATTTTCGACTGTTTGCAACTCCTTGCAAGGCTCGCTGAACTCCGCCGTCATCTCCTCCCGCCTCTCATAACCATCAATCCTCACTCGCGTCGCCCCCCAAACGCCTGCGGGGCGGAAGAGGGCGGAGCGCGCAGCTTCCGTCGAACGACAATCTCTGGCGTTCATCGATGACCCGGACATGATCCAACGACACTTCCCCCGGCGTCTATAAAAGGCGCCCGAACTCGAGCTGCGGAAAGGTTTGTGGATCATCAGCCATGAAGATCACAACGGCCACCTTCTTGGCCTCGTCCGTGTCGGGCATCTCGCTGATCGTGTCGCTCTTCTTCCTCGGCAGCATCTACTCCGACATCCAGTCCACATGGGACTTCCTGGACCAGGAGATGAGCCAGTTCCGCGTCGCCACCGACGACATGTGGCGCGACATGATCAAGCTCGGCTCCAACCAACGCCGCTTCCGCCGTGACGCCGGCTACGACAGCGGGGCCCCCGAAAAGCCAGCCAGCGGCTACGAAGGCGGACCAAGCAAGCCATCCGGGCCCGGCAACGGCTACGAAGGCGGACCATCCGGACCCAGTGGACCTAGCGGCGCCGGACCAAAAGGCCCCGGAGGAGCCGCGCCAGGAACCCCAGGCGGCGCCGCCCCACCATCCGTCCCACCAGGACTCTCCAGCGAAGGAGGACCAGGCGGATGCCAATGCCAAACCGAGAACAACAAGTGCCCCGCCGGACCACCCGGACCCAAGGGAGTCAACGGAAAGTCCGGACCCGCCGGCCTCCCCGGTCTCGACGGTATCCCCGGCAAGGACGCCGAAGACATCAGCCCCGAACGCCAGGACAGCGGCGCCTGCTTCCACTGCCCCGCCGGACCCCAAGGACCACCCGGCGCCATCGGCCGTCCCGGACCCCGCGGACACAACGGCGCCAAGGGACAGGCTGGTCTGCCCGGACGCGACGGAAACCCCGGATCCCCCGGAGAACAAGGACCACCCGGCCCAGCCGGCAACGTCGGACCCGCCGGACTCCCCGGAGAGAAGGGACGCGACGCCGAACACCCAATTGGACGCCCCGGCCCCCGTGGAGCGCGCGGACCCGCCGGCCCACAAGGACCCGAGGGAGACCGCGGCAAGGACGCCGGACCAGGCCCCGCCGGCCCACAAGGACCACCCGGCCCACCAGGAGCTCCTGGCGCCCCCGGACCCCTTGGAGCCGAGGGAGAGGAGGGACCCAGCGGACGCCCAGGAAAGGACGCCGAATACTGCCCATGCCCCACCCGCTCCGGCGAGGGAGCCTTCGGCCCCGGCGCCGCTGGCAACAACGCTGGACACGGCAACTACAGACAATAGAGTGCTCAACCAGCCATTTTGTAAAAACGCCTCAGGCTGTTTCGAACTTTTCCCCGAAAATTTTGATTTTTTATCAATTTTTGGGATTTTGTATGTTTTATCAGCATCTCAATCGAAGAAGTTGGACTGAATAAAAGTTCGAAGTGTATACGATAGTGTTTTATTCGATTTTTTCTATGTTTGACTTTACTATGTTGTACATGAAGATATCATCAAAGCAAGTTTGATAAGCCCGAAACAACATCCGTTTCAAAAAAGTTTGAGGGAGTAGAGGTTGAGAAAGAAAAATGAAGCAGGAATGCGGGAGTTATTGTCTGCTGAAACCTGAATTTTGAAGAATAGATAGGAGTTGCAAGTTATCAGTCATCAGATCTCTAAACGAAAAAACGGGCAGCATCCTTTGGAGTTCTGCGTGACGGAGGAAAAGTAGACTGAAAATGAGGCAAGCGCTCTGCCAATTGCATGTAAAGCAGGCTGGGTAGAGATTATTGAGAGGAAAAAACAAGTTTTAGCAGTTTCAAGACGTGTCCGTCATATGATAATATAAAAATGCGTTGATTTTGCCATAATTCGAGGAATTAAAGGTTGACACATTGAAGGTAGAGTATCTATTCAGCATACACATCACATTAAACAGTTTTACAGTATCTTTTTTACAGTTTTTACCTAATTTAATGTCTTCATGTAACAGGTGGTATAACATCGAAAATATGAATATTATCCGCTCTTTTTGGCGTCGATTGATCTTATGAGCTGTCCCACATGACCTACCATTGGTAAAAATGCAAACCCCTAGCTCTGTCGCACTTTTCATCGTATTTCTCACGCAAATGCAACACTTGACGCGAAGGTTGCAAACCCAGGGGTGGTCGGCGGGCCGGGCCGGCCCGGCCCGGGCCGGCCCGGCCCGGGCCGGCCCGGCCCGGCCCAAACGGGCCGGCCGGCCTCAAAAATGGAAATTGACAAACGGGCCGGGCCCGTCACGGGCCGGGCCGGGCCGGGCCGCGGGCCTGGGGTTTTTCCGGCCCGGCCCGGCCCGTCTAAAATACAATGCCAAACCGTTGGCATTCATTGTTTTCGCGCCGGGAAAATTAATTGATGTTGTTATAGTTGCTGTTTCTCAAGTTCTAACACGTTTACAAGTCTATAGTTCCATTATAGAACCACAAAACTATCACATTGATCCTTTACTAGCTAGATCAACGCCTTTTTTGCCTCAGTTTAGATCCCGAGCCTGGGCGCAGTTCGCAGAACCCTCTATAGACGGGCCTGCACGGGCCGGGCCGGGCCGGGCCAGGCCCGTCACGGGCCGGGCCGGGCCGGGCCTGGAAAAAGACTAGACGGGCCGGGCCGGGCCGGTGATTAGACGGGCCGGGCCGCGGGCCGAAAATCGGAAAAATAGGGTCTGCTGACCACCCCTGTGCAAACCGGGTCAAGTCTTGCGCTTTCGCCGAGAATTGATAATTCGCATTCCGCCGTTGGGTGACCTCATCCACTGGCACCCAAACAGCCTTCCGACACGTTCGACGGCCTCGATCCATCGACACGGTTCCGCCGGATCGCGCATTTCCGCCGGATTCAGCACAAAAACTGGGAATTCCTTTTTCTCACTGATAAGCCCATCAATCATGTTTCAGAAGCGGGTGAGCGCTCGTCTGTTGGTTGGTTTACCTTTCTTTTTTCTTTCTTTCCGTTTTAGGAACAATTTCCCGCCGAAAGGAGTGGCTTTTGTAGCCGGTTTGGCGAGATTGTCAAGTACAATATCCGAGAACTCGTTTTGTTTATAAAACCATGCCGTTTGTATAATCGGATTGTTTTTAATCGCATCACAACACCATTGTTGGCCTGTTTCCCCTGTTTTATGTTTATAAGCGCGGTCTTTGAGCTGTTTGGGGCGGTTTTCTGGAATAGGTAGGCAAGGATAATATCGGTTGTTCTGGTTGTTAAGTGATGTTAGATACGGGAATTTAGGGCTTTTTAGGTCTTCAATATATTCAGAATTATATCGATATTGCTTTCAGCCTAATGAGTCTTTATGTTTTTGTGAATTTTGGCGATTTTGTTTTGAGGCTAGTAAAAAATCCTAAATTATTTAAACTCTCACCTGCTTTTGGATTTTAGAGCGCCCAAATAGAAATAATATGAAGTTAATAGCACGTTCTCTCTTTTCCAATATCAATTTCTTCGCATTTCCACTATTTTCGTTAAGAAATAGGAGCTAAAAGTGCAGGCTCGCCTATTATAATATAATTCCTTTGTTCCAACCGTTTCCATTCCTGTCTGCCAAACTTTTGGTCTAAATTTGATAGCCTTTCCATTCTGATTCATAATGAATATTGCGATTGATAATTCCGCCGGCCCAGTTTAACGTTCTTCGGTCAGCCGACTGAATGGCCGATTTTTACACAATTTCTCCAATGTTCCGGCGCACCGGCCAGACCCGCATTGTTCTCGGAGCATTTTCTCACGTGAAATGCTGTGTTTCACCTGTTTACAGCGGTTATTTTTACGTGTGAATTGTTTTTCCACAGTTTTTTACCTTATTTTTGGCCTTTGGCCTGATTTTGGATGTTTTTTTCGTTTTCGCACCGTATTTTTTAAGTTTTTGTGTATGACGCGCTAGAATAGGACGAATTAGAGTCTTGGTGGTTTGCAGGTCGGGGGAGATGTCGAGCTGGCTGTGGAGCGAGCGGTTTTGGCTGCCCGAACGCGTCAAGTGGGACGATTTCGCGCCGCGAGTGGTGGACGGCAAGTTGGTCACGTTCCCGCAGTTCTACGAGCTCGGCTACGGCGTTCTGGCCGGCGTGATACTGTTGTTTCTGAGGATTTTCGTCGAGAGTTTCGTCCAACTGCCGGTCGGCCGCGCCATCGGCTTGTACAAGCTGAAGGAGGGACAAAGCACGCTCTCAGCGAGCATAGCTCACTTCAACGGAGGATGTCTCTGTAAGTTTTTGGAAGATTATTGCATTTTTTTTTTGAGTTTAGGTCGGAAGTTTTGGAAATGCAACGGGATTTTGGAGGATATTACACTAGACTAAAGTAATGTCCGAAAATCGAAAATGATACGTCAGAAATGATGTTAATGATTTTTTTCATGATCTAGAAGACCTCTAGAAGAGATGCTGTATCAACTTTTCGTAAAAATAATTGTATTTTCGAATATATTTTTTGCTTCTAACTTCATGTTGTATATATTTAGAAAAATCTGGCCTAAAAATAATAGTTCCCCGAAAATTTCAGCCCAATCCCGCTTCAAAAAGGTCGCTGAGACAGTGTGGCGCTTGGTCTATTACAGCACGATATGGGTAGTCGGCATCTATGTGCTCCATGACCAGCCACAATGGATGAATGTGGATGACAGCTGGAGGAATTACCCGTTCCATGCGATGGTGGACAAGGTCTGGTGGTACTACACAATTCAATCCGGATTTTACTGGTCGCTACTTATCGGGTGAGACGGTTTTTTTGGGAAATTTTTTTGAAATTTTATAAATTTTTTTTTTTTTTTTTTTTTGGTTTTATGGATTATAAGTAATAATATGTAATTTCAGGTCATTTACGATCGATGTAAAGCGCTCCGACTTTTGGGAGATGGTCATCCATCACGTGGCGACCATTTTGTTGTTATCCCTCAGCTGGACCACAAATTTTGTCCGCGTCGGAACATTGGTCCTCATTTGTCACGACACGGCGGATATATTGCTGTAGGTGGATTTAAAGAATATTTACGTTTTATTTTTAGTGCTTTTGGGGCTGATATTTGAGGTTTTTTGGCCAAAAATGCCCTCAATGTGCCATGTGTAATATTTTGATGAAAAAGTTGGGCAAAAAGAAGAGTAGCAGAAGATCTGGAGGTTCGAATATAAGCCAGGTTTACTGAGTGATGCTGTGTGCTGAGATTTTTACTTTTAAGGCTTTAGATAAAATTTTTGTGACCAGTTTTTGTCATGGATAAGATTTTGATGAAAAGTTGAGGAAAATACGTGAAAATGGAAGTAAATCTAAGTTGATGGTCGTTAGCAAGTCAGATTGAGAAATTTTAGAGTCGAAAACTTGAGTTTGCAAAAATTTTGAGACCATTTTTTTAATTCCTATCAAGTGCAATATAATTGATGTCAAAAAAATCCCAAAAAATCTAAAAAAAATGGTATAATATTGTCTTCAGTGACCTCGGGAAGCTGTTCCGCTACGCGAAATGGGAACGTGCCCTGACCGTGACGTTCTTGGCCCTGTTGGTCACATGGATTTTGACCCGCATCCTGCTGTTCCCCTTGATTATCATCCGCTCGATCGTCGTGTCGGCCCCCAAATCCATCCAGGCCGACTACGAATGGCTGAACCTGCTGCAACGCCCGATTGTGCCGCGAATTTTCACCTCGTTGTTGTTGATTCTGTTGATTTTGCACTTTTTCTGGACCTTCCTCATGCTGAAGATTGCCTACAAGTCGACGCAAAAAGGCGGCGGAGTCGACGACATCCGCGAGGACTCGAGCTCCGAGGACGACAAAACCAAACAGGAGTAGATGGAGAGTGTCTTGTAATCGTTGGAGTGTAATTTTTTCCCCGAATTTCCACGCCGGATCACGGCGGATTTTGTTTTCTTGCGCTGTGCGAAAAAACGCGATTTTTTGCGGAAAATTTGGGTTAGAATACGAGATTCTGACTTTTAGCGAAATAATTTTTGGTCTGAAAAATTTTGGGATTTTTAGAAATAAATCTGGAGTTGAGCGGAAATTTACCAGTGGATTCATCTTACCCCACCCGGATTTGTTATGGAATTGAAAAATTTGAAGGAATTTTTTCGATTTTTTACCTTAACAAGATACGACAGTGGAGCACCTGATCCAGTGGCAAAAAACGTACCATTTTGCATCCGGGAAGCATCAAAAATGTGGCAAAATGCTTCCCTCTCCAAGTGAAAAAAAATTCGTTTGTAAGGGCCCTCACAAAAAGAGCGGGCCCAATCGAAGTTTTTTCACTTGGAGAGGGAAGCATTTTGCCACATTTTTGATACTTCCCGGATATCAAAATGGTACTTTTTTTGCCACTGGATCAGATCTCCCATTTTAGTCCGTTTAAAGCCGCTGGAGTGATTTTGCAAACGCCAAAAATCACTCCAGCGACTTTACGAACCGATTAGTACCTTGTTAAGATTAAAAAATCGAAAAAATTCCTTCAAATTTTTCAATTTCATAACAAATCCGGGTGGGGTAAGATGAATAAACTGGCAAATTTCCCCTCAACTCCAGCTTTATTTCAAAAAATCCCAACTTTTTTCGGACCAAAAATCATTCCCCAAAACCCCCCTTTCGCACAGTGCGTACTTCCAGTTTTTATTTTTTCCCATTCTTGTTGATGTTTTTTTCAATTATTGGTCGCTAATTTCGAATTTGTCATTAATTGTGCACAGAATCTGTCAAAGAAAGTTTTGAGTGCCGTATAAATTGGTTATATCGAATTTTCTTTCCCCTCTCTCTTCCTTCCTATTGCCATTCCTGGGCGCGAGCCGCGGTGCCTTAGATTTCAGAGAATTATCACGAATTCTAAAATAAACAAAGAATAAAATAGTCTTTAATAGGGTCCGTATTTTAGAGCGACTGTTCAGCCGCTGAAATCGTCGTGTTCAAAGAGGATTTGATCGTAGGACTTGGCCTCGATTTGTCGGCCATCAAACCACCGTCCATTCATCACCTTCAGACAGGCCTCGGCTTGCGTGGGGTCGGCGAAACGGACAAAAATACGAATTTGAGAGGCCTCCTTCTCTTCCACTATCACTACCTGAAAATTTGGGAGATAAAAATTGATTATACAAAGCCAAAAATTGATGCCTACTACAATATAAATTATATCCAAAACTCCCTCTAATTTTTCATCTACAGCTTTCCTAACGTCTCCTGACCCCACTTTTAATCAACCCGTTTCATCAACAAACCCAAATCGGTCAAGAGATCAAAAAAATTTTACCTACTACAATACAGGGTGTCCAGAGAAATGTGCCGGAAAGTTTTTGTCGATTTCTTGGCGCTCAATCAAGATATCCGAAAAATTCTTTTTGCAGGATAAAGAAGAATATGGGCGGTTTTTTGTGCAAAAGAATCATTTTCTCCGCCAGCGCGGAAGGCAGTGTATTCGGCGGAGACTTTTGATCGCTTTTTTGATCATCGCACCAACTTTAAACGCTTTATTATGAAGTTTGATGGTTGAAGCAAAGATATTTGCATATTTTCATGTTTACCAAGTGTTCGGCGAAGGTATGGCGGACGCTCGCCGAATCGGCGGAGGCCATAACTCAGCTGCGGACAAGACATGGTCCAACACAATTTTTATGGCCTGGCTAGAACACCCTGCTGGCTTCGTATGCCTTCGAAAATTTTGTCACCAAGCTTTGGCAGAAGCTAAGCCATCGGAAAACCACTTGGTGCACCAGAAAACAACAAAATATTTTTTGTTCAAGTTTCCTTTTGCCTTGCTGTTTCAAACCTCCGCACGGTGCACTCGAACTTTATCGGTGTTGCAGCGACAGGCTGCACCGTGCAGTCGCTATATGGGATCGCATTGCGATGTCGCTGTCTGTGTGATTTATTGCGTCAAAAATTTGAAGACTTTCCGGAAGTTTCAGCATCATAATAAAGCGTTTAAAATTGGTGTGATGGCCGAAAAAGCGATCAAAAGTCTCCGCCGAATACACTTCTTTCCGCGCTGGCGGAAAAAATGTTTCTTTCGGACAAAAAACCGCCCAAATTCTTCTTTATCCTGCAAAAAGAATTTTTCGGATATCTTTATTGAGCGCCAAGAAATCGACAAAAACTTTCCGGCACATTTCTCTGGACACCCTGTATAATTTTTACTAAAAAATCCCTTCAACCTTTGTCCACAGCTCTTCAAACACCTCCCAACTTCATTTCTAACCGAATCGCTCCCCTAGAGAACCTGAAACCTCCAAAAAAATCAAAACTTATACCTACTACAATATAAATAATTTTTTGTTCAAAACCGCTTCAAAACTCAAGTTTTTTGATCGAAAACCGTCTCAAATGAACTCACACTAGTTACAGTTCCATATTTATCGCACTTTTCCCTCATATCCATCCTCCTCCGAAAATTCATCCATTTTTACCTACTACAACATAATTTTTTCTCAAAAATCCCTTCATTTTTTATCCAGAGCTCTTCAACCACCTCCTAACTTCATTTCTATTCGAATTTCTCCCCTAAACAACCTCAAATTTCCAAAAAAATCAAAACTTTCACCTACTACAATATAAGTTTTTCTCAAAAATTCCATCAATCTTTGTCCACAGCTCTTCAAACACCTCCTAACTTCATTTCCAATCAAATCGCTGCCCTAAACAACCTCAAATCCCCAAAAAAATCAAAACTTTTACCTACTACAATATAATTTTTTTCTCAAAAATCCCTTCAATCTTTGTCCACAGCTCTTCAACCACCTCCTAACTTCATTTCTATTCGAATTTCTCCCCTAAACAACCTCAAATCTCCAAAAAAAATCAAAACTTTTACCTACTACAATATAATTTTTGGCCCAAAACTTCCACAAACGAACTCACATTAGTTACAGTTCCATATTTCCCGCACTCTTCCCTCATGTCCTCCTCCAAAAACTCGTCCACTTCCGTTGCAATATTCTTCATCACAATCACCGAGCTCCTGTTGGTCCTCATCAACTTGTGCATGAGCATGTGTCGGGCGTCATTGCCGCGGATTTCCACATGCTCCATCGATGATAACGAGGCTTCTTCGTTGTTTTGCAGCTGTTGTTGGACCTTTTCGTTGATGGCGCCGGCCTTGTGGACGGCGGCCATGGCGCTGGCCGTGTTCAGCTTGGGTTTGCGCTCCTTTTTCGGCTTCTGGATCTTGGGTCGCTTCTTTTCCACGCCCGCCGCCACCGCCGTCTTCTTCTTCTTTTCGCTCTTTTCGTTGGCTTTTTGGGTCGCAACTTGAAGATTGTTGTCGTTGAGGAGTGCCAGAGCGTTGGATTGATGGCCATTCGTGATCGCCAATGTGGGATGATTGGGTTTCTTCTCCTCTGCAATGTTTACGACATCAATATCAGCCATAAAAATCGGGTTAAAAACCTTTTTTTGGCATCAAAAATGAGGAAACTTTTCTTATTATCTTATAGCTTATAAACAGTCAGTCAGTACGGCGAAAAGGGAACGAAACTGGCTGTTTTTATTATAAGTTTCGACTTCACAAGCAGTAGCTTTGAAACCATATTTACAAGGGAAGTACTCCAAGTGCGACGCTCAGATTTTCTTTAAATTTTGCACACGCGTCGGGTATGGACTAAATATCAATTCCTGAAAGTTTTAGCTCGCGCTTTGCGGGCTCCGCCGAGATATCGAACGATTTTTGCCGCCGAGAGAGCACGCTAAACGTGGAGAGCGGTCAGAGAGAAAACCGCTTTTTGGCCATAACTTTGGAAGTTTCGTGCGGGACAATTTGATTTTTTGTAGAAACATTATCCTTTACGGTAGAAATCGGCATGAAACTTTTCGTGCCAAAATTCGGCTAAAAGTCATAAATTTTGGCCGACTTTCCATCTAAAAATCTCGGTTGTTTCTGCAAAGCGCCAGCTAGTATTCTCGCATATACCTTAGAAAAAATTTTTCCAAATTTGTGCCAAGTTTCATCAAAATCTGGGCGTCGCACTTTGAGTACTTCCCCTGTAAATATAGTTTCAAAGCTCCTACTTATGAAGTCGAAACTTATAATAAAAACAGCCAGTTTCGTCCCGTTTCGACGTACTGAGAATTAGTTTATAAGCTATAAGGATAAGCTAAGAGTGCGGGGACTCGTCAGTAACGAACTTTCCATTCGAAAATTTCTTCCAATCCTTTTATCCACTCCAATTTCTTACCTTCTTCCTCGAATGTCAAGTTGGTATCCGTCAATGGGCCAAAAGTGGCCTTCTGCATTGGATTATGTTGATGTTTAATTTTGATCCTCGAAATCAAATCTCGTTTTGGTTTCTCCTGCTTGACTGGGACACTCTCCGTGGCCAGGGGTACAAAGCTTCCGGTGGGGCGGGGTTTTTTCGGGATCGGTTCATCATCTTCCTCATGGTGGATGGGTGCGGCAGAAAAGAGTTCCGCGGGGATTGGGCTGGATTCCCGTGGCTGGAACTTGGCCGCCGGCTCTTCATCGCTCTCCTCCGACTCTGGTGGGGATTCTGGAGGGGGTGGGGGTTGGGTGAATCCGCTATGGGAGTTATATTCTCCATCACCCGCCTGATGCAAGGCCTGTTCATTTTTGCGCGGCGATGGCTGGAGTGGGGTCGGCTGGCTCACGGAGGGCTGGACAAGTCCTGGTTGGGCCAGAGCCGGCTGGGCGAGGCTCGGTTGGGTCGTAGTCGGGGGCACAAAGGCGGGAGTTGCGAGGGTCGGCTGTGGGAGGCTAGTGGAATGTTCTCGGCGCACATTTGCGTACGGATCCACAATCGAGGGGGGTGGTAGGGCCAGGGGATCCACCACTTGAGGGGATGGGGCTGCGGCGAATCCGCCAAAGCCTCTTCTTCGACCGGTCGTTTCCTTTTTTTCCTCCTTTTTCTCCTTCTCCTCTCGTCGGTGGCGCTCCCTTTCGCGGCTCCGGTCTCTATCTCTTCGGCGTCGCTCCGGGGTTCGGCTTCGATCTCGTCGCTCTGAAATTGGGTTATTCATTCTCTGGACGTCCGATTTTACCTATGAACTAGGCCCATCGCCTCAAATCGGGGGCAATTCGTTGGACGCGAATTTCCCAACCTTTTGGTCGATTTTCATTTTTCAAATTGCGATTTTTTGTGCCAAACCAGTCATTCCGGGCCTCCGCACCACACGCAGGCCCGGCGAATGTCCGATGGCGGGCCAGCAACTCGGTTCCGGGACCTGCAAAAGTTTTGAGCATTACAAGGCCCTACGGGCATGAGGGGGTGGGGGATGGCGAAAAATCATATCAAACAGACTCTAATAGACATTATGGACTCTTATTCGGCAAAATTGGCAAAAATAACGGCGGAAATTGGAGATTTTTTGACAAGGAAAGTCTATGGGGTATGGAGTTACAGGTCGAGACATATATCAAAAAATTCGCAAAATTTTTCTGATTCGGAATATGTAAAAATTAGTTGCCCAATTTTGGTTTGGAAGGGCGAAAAACCCTCAGAACTTTTCTCGCAACACCACGTAAATGTTTTTTGACCAAGTTTTGACCAATTCAAAGGCTTTGTTTTGAGCTAAAGTAAACCCTGGCATCTTGACAAGCCTTTTGACAAGGTTTGAAATATCAAATTTGATGAATACTACACCTTAATTTTATATTGGAACTGTTAATTAAGGTGTAGTATTCATCAAATTTGACATTTCAAGGCTTGTCAAGATGCCAGGGTTTACTTTAGCTCAAAACAAAGCCTTTGAATTGGTAAAAACTTGGTCAAAAAAGCATTTCCGTGGTGTTGCGAGAAAAGTTATGATGGGGTTTTCGCCCTTACAAACCAAAATTGGGCAGCTAACTTTTACACATTCTGAATCAGAAAAACTTAGCGAATTTTTTGATACATGTCTCGACCTGTAACTCCATACCCCATACAAGTACTTTCCTTGCCAAAAAAACCCGTTCAAAAATTCAAATTTCCCGCCAAAACTGTGCGAATAAAAAAGGCCCGAAGCCATACCAAAACAAAAGCGTTCGTGTCCGCTCGGCATTCTGCAACTGGGTGGCCTGAAAATAAGAAAAATGAAGAAGAACTGGGCGACAATTTTACACCTGGAAATGTAAAAAAATGTAGTTGAATACGAAAAAAAGATGCGGGAAAAGCGGAAATTGAAAAAATTGGGATGCTCAAAACTTTTGCAGTCACCTAGGGCTGGCCCGAAAGTCCAAAAAAATCCAAAAATTTTTGAAAAAATCACAAAAAATTGCAAAAAAAAAATCAAAAAATCTCAAAATTTAATTAAAATCCGAATTACAATTTGACGGAAATGGGCCTACAGCTCAGCCTACTACGACACTTTGAGTTCATTTCGGTTGGTTATAATAAATACCGGCCGTATTTTACGAGATTATGGAGAAAAATTTTAAAAAATACCCAAAAATCGTCTAAAACAAGGTCAAAATTTAAAAATTTTGGCTAAAATACGACTAAAAATTGTTCAAAATAAACGCAAATCTCCTTAAAACTTCTCCACGACCCCAAAAATACGGCAAATAAACGTCTACTATCTACATTTTCACAAGTAATTTTTTAAATACGAATTTAATAAACCTTTTGAGTGCGGCGACGGTGAGTGGGCGGTGGCGGTGATGGCCAGGGGAGCGCCGGCGGTCTGAAAACGTCCATTATTCACAATAACCATCAAAAATTGCCCCACAAATACCAAAAAATCAACAAAACGCCTAAAACAATATAAAAACTGCTTAGAAAAGTTGGAAAATCAACTACTGTCAATAAATAAAATCACTAAAACTTCCTCAAAGGCTCATAACTCATGAACAAATAAGCAAAAAAAAAAATTCAAAAAAATTTTAAAATTTTATCAAAGTTGCCTAAAGTAATATCCCAAACCACTCCAAAAGCCTGAAACCAACTCTAAAAACCTATTAACTACCCTATTACATCTAAAAGCGTCCCGAAACCCCATCAAATCCGATCAATTCAAGGTGAAACCGCATTTTTTGACATCTGATATCAAGTGTAATATAAAAAAATCCACAAAATCTTTTTTAAAACCCCCAAACTCTTTTCAAACTCCTTACCGAGCTTCCAACCACTTCTTGAGCCTGAATTTTCGCTGTAACGGCAGCTGCAGCGACCGCTGCGGCAGTCGGAAGCGTCGTTGTGTTGGTGGGCACAATGTACGTTAGGGCTTCTGGTGGAGTGATGCACCTTCCGACCTGAAGGTATTGGCCACCCAGATCAAAATTATTCATTCCTTCGATGGCTTCTCGAACCGCTTGGGCACTTGTGAACTCAATGTAGCCAAAGCCTCTGGAAATTGAGAGAAATGTAATTTTTTCTGGGAAAAAACAATCCATCTCAATGTAAAACTACCCTGAGGGCATTTCCAATAATTTACAACAGTCGTACCACCATTAAACCCCTTCAAAATATAAGTTTTTCCCCAAAATCCTTTTTTTGTCTAAAACAATATAATTTTAGTCAAAATGGACAAAAAGACTACAACTATCATGTCAATCAGCACCATAGCCTCTCCAAAAAGCTCAATTCCAGTCTTCTCCTTCCATTTTGCTTTCCTAAATTTCAAAAAAAAAATCAAAAAACTGCTCTCACCGATGACCTTTTCCATTGGGTTGTTTGGCCAATTGTACCCTCGTAATCACTCCGAAGGCCTCAAAAACCGACCGCAAGTCTTGTTCGCTGAGATCCGGATGCACTGAGGCCACATACACGCGGTGATATTCCTTGGCCTCCTGTGTGACCATTTCGATTATTGGCTGTGCCTGAGGCATGTTGGAGGGTCGTCCGACCTGAAAACGGGATAATTAGACCAGTCTTCAACTTTTTTGTATCACTTACTCCTAAATTTTCTAAAAGTTTCGACTTTAGTCGACAATACCAAAAAAATTGTTTTTGATGGTAGTGGTATAATATCCGAAACAAAGTACTGAATTTTGAACTTCCTAGGGTCTTATAGAAATTCTCTTTAATAATCGATACAAAAATTTGCGGTTTCGCTTTCAAAAGCATCAAAAATCATCAATTTTTGACTTTGATGTCTAGTGCAATATAAAAAGCACAGCTTTTTGTCAAAAATCAACATTCGACAAACTCGGTAGCTCGTCAAAACCTTCATTGGCAATTTCAATCGATTTTCTGCCTTCATGGAATCTAAAAGCCAACAAAAAATATAAAAATCTCACCTTTAGATTCCTTCCGCCCATCAATTTGCCGTTCATCGATTCCTGCGCGAGTAGTGCGGCTTCTGGAACTTCAAACTCTAAGAAAGCAAAACCTTTATGATGCTAAAAATATTCGATTCATTAGTCAGGGTAAACGCAGCTCTTCACAAACACCATTTATATTGAACTTACACCGGTCGCCACATCCCAGCTCATGTTGATGCTCTTGATGGGGCCGAACACTGAAAAAGCCTGCTTGATATTCTCTTCTCGAACCTCGAAACTGATCGATCCGATGTAGACGCGCGCCATCAAACTCAGCGCCTGTGTGTACATGGCCAGTTTTTGTTGCTGAAATGGATAACGTAGAAAGTGCGATTTGATAAAGTTACAGTGATATTACATACTAAATTTTGCACCAGCATATTCTACAGGCCCCAAATGTGCTGCATATACACATCTACGTCAAGAAAAAAGACACTCGGTATCCAAAAAATCAAATTTATATTATCTATGGCCAAAGCAAAAACCCTTCGGAAAATGAGCTCATAAACAACAAAAACGGTATCAACCAAATTAAAAACACATATTCAGAGCATCACACAGTCATACTTCAACTAATAATACCACAGACAACCTTTCCACATCGTTTTCTGAAAAGTCACACGATTTTTCGAATGGGTTAGAGAATGATGGGGAAGGAGATCAAAAAATTGGTATTCCGAAGTAAACGTTGAAGAATCGTATATGTATTTTACATCAAAACTTAGCTAGAAGATCGTTCTATCCAACAAAAGCGTTCTTTTTACATTCTACTTCCTAATTTTCGAATACCAACTGATTTTCGATGGCCTCCAAAAATAAAAAAAATATGAATTATATTTCCCCTAAATGTTTTTGCAGCTAATTTTTCCACTTCTTTCATCTAAATTCAGAACGAAGAAGATGCAAACTCTTACCGTTTGTTGATGAGTGATCTGTTGTTTCATCAGGACACTCCGAATTGAGATGTCCATGGCATACCTCTTTGCCCGTTCGAGATCATCCCGCTGCCGACTCGTCAGACGGACAAGACCCAATCCAATAACCTGAGCGTCCTTCTTCGCTCCCGGGCCAACATATACCTGAAAATTTCAAGGATAACACCATTAAGCACCAGTAGAATTAAAAGCCTAAATTTAGATCACTAAAACAATAAAAATTCTTACATTTCCCTCCTGTTGAAGGAGCGGCATCACCGGAGGCTGCGCCATCTTCTTTCGCAGGACGAATTCAACAAGGAAAACAAAAAAACTCGGCTCACAACCCAAGAATTGACACCTAAACGGCCGAAAGGATTACGAATGCCCAGTGGAAGGTAAAACAAGGTAAAAATGAGTTCCGGATTTGTTGGTAATCGGCGGGAAAACGCTGAGAAAATGTTCCGAACCTTTTTTCTTCTTCGTCGCAATCCAAAACGTCGCATTTCTCTGACGTCTCCGGCGGGTTTCACGCTCTTTTCCCGAAATATTTCGTTGTGGGACGTAGAAAGGTGGGTGTGATGGACATTTTATACGACGAAAGGTGCAAAATAATATATTTTCGAGAGATTTCTCGAGGGCAGGGGTGGTCAGTGGGCCGGGCCGGCCCGTGACGGGCCGGCCCGGCCCGGCCCAAACGGGCCGGCCGGGCTCAAAAATGGAAAATTACAAACGGGCCGGGCCCGTCACGGGCCGGGCCGGGCCGGGCCGCGGGCCTGGGGTTTTTTCCGGCCCGGCCCGGCCCGTCTAAATTACAATGCCAAACCGTTGGCATTCATTGTTTTCGCGCCGGGAAAATTAATTGATGTTGTTATAGTTGCTGTTTCTCAAGTTCTAAAACGTTTACAAGTCTATAGTTCCATTATAAAACCACAAAACTATCACATTGATCCTTTACTAGCTATATCAACGCCTTTTTTGCCTAAGTTTAGATCCCAAGCTTGGGCGCAGTTCGCAGAACCCTCTATAAACGGGCCTGCACGGGCCGGGCCGGGCCGGGCCAGGCCCGTCACGGGCCGGGCCGGGCCGGGCCTGGAAAAAGACTAGACGGGCCGGGCCGGGCCGGTAATTAGACGGGCCGGGCCGCGGGCCGAAAATCGGAAAAATAGGGTCCGCTGACCACCCCTGCTCGAGGGTGGATGTGTTTTCAGGTTTCTGACCGGTTTGCATCTATTCGTAAGTGATTTTTTTAAATATGTTACTTTAGGTACACTACTTTAAAATATTTATAAAAATCAATCCAAAACCTTCTGGGTGGGTAAAATAAGGTGTCTCATGCATGTAGATGTGATTTCTCTTCCTTTTTACTCATAAGAAGACGGGGTAAAATACGTTTATCATAACATCGTATTCATTTTTTATATTACACATGTCTGCAAAAGTCTGTGCAATACTCAAACGCGAAGCAGCGGGAAGTCCCAACAGTTGTGACGGCAGTAAGCTAACGTGTTTATCTTTCTAGCAATACCAATTTTGTCCCATTTTTCGGCCATTATGACCTCAATTCGTCCAATCTTCTCCAGACATCCATTAATCCTATGGTGGATAATATAAAATCCTCAAATTTGATGTTTTCCCTAAACTTTTTTGGTTGGATATTGATGCTGCCCGAAGAATAGGCTCTTCTCTTTCACTTACGGTCATTCTGACGTCTCGAATGCAACAAATAAATGGGAAAACACATGGTTTTCACGTTTCGGATTTTTCGACTTTTTGAAGAATCGTTTCTTTCACCCCGAAGGCGGGAGACGAATATAGCTTCTTCATAGTTTGTCCGCTGATCAGCCCATCTTTTGTCAGTGGAAGGGAAAAGATGGATGATCGGGGTTGCACTGTATTTTTGGGTGATTTTTGAAGAAAACTTCGATTTTTTTTTGTTTTTACTCACGGCAAGCTGTACTTTTGGGACAAAACCGGTCTCCCCATTTTTTTTTCTATTCTTTCAAAATCGACCTGCTTCTTTAATTCATTGCTCGCTAGCCGTTGCAGCTAGAAACATGAAAATTGGTGTGGATTATAGAGTAAAAACTCCGCTTCCAGAATATATGAAGGACCTTACATTGCGAGGGTTCGTTACAATATTTATATATTCTGGAAGCGGAGTTTTCACCCTATATCCACACCAATTTTCATGTTTCTAGCTTCAAGGGCTAGCGAGCAATGAATTAAAGAAGCAGGTCCATTTTGAAAGAATAGAAAAAATTAGGGGAGACCGGTTCTGTCCCAGTAGTACAGAATGCCGTGAGTTAAAACACAAAATTCGAAGTTTTCTTCAAAAATCACCCAAAAATACAGTGCAACCCCGATCATCCATCTTTTCCCTTCCGTTGACAAAAGGTGGGCTGATCAGGGCTCGGACAAACTATGAAGAAGCTATATTCGACTCCCGCCTTCGGGATGAAAGAAACAATTTTTCAAATAGTCGGAAGATCCGAAACGTGAAAACCATGTGTTTTCCCATTTATTTGTTGCATTCGAGGCGTCAGTTCCATCCTTTCCCTTCCGTTGACAAAAGATGGGCTGAAAATTTTTCTCAATTATACTATTTCTGTTGGGTTTCGCTCATTTCCGCGGGTAAAATACGCCAAATCAGGGGGGTGTCTTCAAAAATCTCCAAAATTCCCAGGTTTTCAGAAAAAATCGATGAATTCCTCGCGCTTATCCCTGATCAAACGCCTCGCCAGCCCTCTGGCTGCAATCTCCAGGTCTTCTAGTGCCTTCCGACCCCAGTTGCTTGCTCCATCAACCAGTTGGCAACCAATTTTCCGGCCATTTTCCACTGAAGGTCCCTCCGTGGACGACCAAAAGCAGAGAGTTCAGCAAATTAACGACTATTTCAACCAGTACATCGACGAGTACTATGAGGAGGAGGACGTAGAGGAAGTGGAGCCTCCAATGGAAGAGGTCCGCGAGTTCAGCGAGGACTTTGTTCGCGAGAAAAAGGAGGAAATCTCGGCGGATGAAGTGGTGGAGGTTCTGGAGAGATTACGGTAAGGATTTTGATGTCAAATTATGTTGTGCTTAGGTGAAAATGAAGTTGTTGAACCTATGAGAGTTCTAGAAGGTGTTGAACACTTTTGAATTGACCTACTTTTTCACTGGCACATCAATTTATATTATACTTGATGACCTAAATCAAAGACCATTTTCCGCACCGTGCCAGCAAAAAACGAAGCCGAAATTTTATTTTTTTCTCCAAATTGGCTTTTTACATCCTGTACTGAACTACAATGTCATTTGAAGACTTATTTTCCATCTTTTGCCAAGATTTTTTCTTCTCTCCCCAAAAATCCCGCACTGTGCAAAGATCGTAAATTTTTTATTGTGCCATTTGATGGTTCAAAATTTTACCCATCTAGAATTGTTCCTTGTTGCTCTAGGCCACGTGGATAGCTCAGATTCCCCAGCATTTTATTTGTTTTTCAACTTTTCCGACCAATTTTCCAATGCCTTGCCTAGTACAATTTCAGCGCCAAAAACATTGAAGTAATCGATATCGATGAACCGAATGCCCCCTTCAAACAGCTCGTCATCGCTTCCCCATACACCAATCGTCATGCCTGGGCGTTAATCGAACAGCTTCGTCTGCATTTCGTCAAACGATACGACTTTGGAGTAAGTCACCCAAAGATTTGAAATTTATTCAAATTTCTAGAACCGCAACCCATCCCGCATTAATCATCACAACGGATGGTTCATCCTGGACTGCCACAACCTTGTCGTCCACATCATGGGCGAAGAGCAACGGGATCGCTATGATCTGAGCAATATTTGGAAGACCAAAACTATGGATGATGTGGAAAGAGAGATGATGGAAGACGGCTGGATCCCACCTCAAAAGCCCAATGAGACCGCTCGATACACATATCAACGACCACCCGTCGCATAGGAGGTTGATTTGTATTGATTTTGCTCAAAAATTATATTGACTACCTAGTGTAATATAAAAAACCGCTCAAAAAACTTTTAAAAGGAAGAGAAGGCTAAAGAAGGTAGATTTTTGTAATAAACGCGTCATTTCCTTGGACAATCCATCTCAGCGCAATATTTATTCAGAAAAAATTATATTACACTAGGCAACGGGAAACAAAAAAATGATGAAAGAGCCGGGTTAACAACAAAAACAGCTTACAAAACTAACAAAAACAGTCTTACAATAAAAGTGCCATGGATATTAAGGGCAGTATTAGATAATTTACACACTTTTTTACCATGGATAATATCAAAAAAAAAATCGTTTTGAAGACGAAAAAATCCAAATCCTTGTATAAAGTCTTTTGTATACAATAAAAACCTAGAAAAATGCATATTAGACCCTGAAATTCGGGACCCGTGATATTGTAGTAGGCAGCTACGAGATATCAAAATCCTCGAGGACAAAAGTGTAGAGGGAGTTTGGGATGAGCTGTTGGGGGAAGGTGAGTTGGTTCTCGACTTTCTGGTCCGACCTCGAGATTGTGCCGGTCATTAATTGGTAATTTTCGTAGGCAAATTGGTCCGAGAGGGCTAGTGTAAGCTCGGAAATTGAAGTCAAATTCGCCGATTTTATGGTGTGATATCCACGAAGGCGCTTGCTCTTGTCCAGCACTTTGGCGTGGAACAATTTTTCATCCTAAAACACGGAAAATCATAAAAATTAAAACCTCAAATTTGGAACGTCGTCAGTTGGGGAGAAAGGCGATTGGGGAAACTGAAAAGTATCATTTTTCTTCGCTGTAAGTGTCAAAATTAGGATAACCGATGGCGCTGATTTTGAAAATGACATGCATTTTTTTTGATCGTTACTTTTTTCCTTAAATAGTACTGTAAAGAAGTCATTTTTTGATTTTTTTCACATCGATTTAGGGGTTTTCGATAATGCTGACTTCAAATCCGAAAAAAATGAATAAGATTTTCTGAATCAGCACTATCGAAAACCCATAAATCGAGAGAATTTGTGAAAAAAGTTCAAAAAATTCCTACTTTACAGTACTACTTACAAGGGAAGTCACTTAAGTCGCGGATCGATTTTTAAAAACGACTGTTACAGCGATGAGGAGGGTAGGACGGAGATATCAAATCTGAAAACCGCTACCTCCACCGGCCTCTGGGAGCCGAGATAATCGACCAAAAAGGTTTGACCAAAAAAAAACTGCTCCGAATAGTCCTCTCTTCCGAAAGAAGGAGGGAAGAGAACCGAATGGTCCGGTGGTCTGGGAGCGCGCTTCCAGGCCATGACCTTTTCAGGTTCGAATCCGCATGGGTCAAATAATTTATTAAACTTTTCCTGTGATCCAGTAAATTTAATTTTAGATTTTTTGCATACTTTACGATAAAATTTCAGAGTAATAATTTAAATGCGCGTTCCAAACGATTTGAATTTTCAAGGTTGAAAATTTACCGTGAAATAGGCAAAAAATCTAAAAATTAATTTCTAGCAAATTTACTGGATCACAGCAACTGTTTTATAAATTTTTCACAAGTTCGAAACCCGCGCGGATTCGAACCTGAAAAGGTGAAGGCCCGGAAGCGCGCTTCCAGACCACCGAACCATTCGGTTCGCTGGGTTCTCTTCTTTCGGAAGGAAGAAATGTTCGGAAGAATTTGGTCAAACTTTTTGGTCGATTATCTCGGCTCCCAGAGGCCGGTGGAGATAGCGGTTTTTAGATTTGATATCTCTGTCCTACCCTCCCCATCGCTGTAACAGTCGTTTTACAAAATCGATCCGTGATTTAAGTGACTTCCCTTGTTAAGAAAAAAAGTAACAATCAAAAAAATGAATGTCATTTTCAAAATCATCGCCGTCGATTACCCTAATTTCGACACTTACATCGAAGAAAAATAATACTTTTCAGTTTCCCCAATCGTCTTTTCCCCGATTGACGACATTCCAAATTTGAGATTTTGATTTTTCTGATTTTCCGTCCAAACCCCTTCCCTACCGGTTGTAGCTCAATTTCCCTCGCAACAAATCCGTATTTTACGCCTTCATGTGGGGCCAACGTCGAAATATCCAAGTTTTCGCCGACTAAATGGCGGATTACCGTATTCCTATCGATGAGATCATGGGCGTAGCATGGGAATAGTATGATCCGAGAAGCGAGCCGCTCACTATTGTAGAGGGTCAGCTGGGCCTGTTCTATGCTCTGAAATTGACGGTTATATAAAAATTTAACCCAAACTGAACATCCTAATACCTAAAATAAGGTCAATTTATTACTGAAAGAAAAAAAATATTCCAATTTTTATGAATAAAGGGGATTTCTACATCTTTTAGAACCCATTCACCAACAAATCAGCCAAATTTCCCCTCAAATTTCGTGTTATTACAAAATTTCCAAAAAATCCGTCATCCTGATAAATTTACGCCGCATGTGGGTCATTCATTCATTGAAAACATAAAAATTGACCTACTGTTTCCAGTCAAAAAATGCTCATTATCAATCGCTATTCCAACTCTTCAAATTAAACATGTCATCATGACAGATTATTTAGACGTTTTCTAACCTTTCGAAAATGTTGAGAACAAAAAGCCAGCCGTATTTTACCCGCCACAGAGGAAGAAAATTTCATGAAATTACCAATAATTTTCTTCCGCACAACTGACTCTTAAAATTTCCAAAAAATCCGTCATCCCGACGCTGATTCACTAAACCATAGAGAATTTCCAAACGAAAAATTTTATCTTCTCTTTATAGCCCAGGATCCTTCATTCTACCTCTAAACCAAAATTCTAGCTTTTAAAATTAAACCTGTCATCATGACGGATTTTCTGGAAATTTATTAAAATTCCCGTAAAATCGCCGGAAAAAAGCGAAAATCAAGCTGTAACTACATTTTTCATTGTCTACACACTCAAATGAAACAATTTTTCGATCAAAAATATGTCAAACTTACATTACTAATATACAAAACCGCTTCGTATTGGGCCTCCTTTTCGACGTTGGTCTTATACGAAACCTTCACAAATTTCGCTCCATTCCTTTTGATGATGCCCGAGGGCTCCAACAACTGCGGTTTCGAGACGCCGGCCTGTTTGAATCCGTTTATCATCACATCCAGCAAGCTTGTGTTGCACTTGACCTTCAATTTCTGCGGATCTTTGTATTCCCGTCGATGGAATTCGTCGAAAATCGAGTAGCTCAGGGTCACTGTTGTATCTTTTACTTTCCATTCCTCTTCTGGCTCCTTTCCATTCGTCCAGAAGAGCTGATTTAGACGCTGCGTGAGGCCCCAGACCACTTTTTGATCGGCGTTTTTGACAAGGAGAAGGTCTTTATTTCGGATCTGAAAAAAACCAAAAATCCCAATCTCGTATTTTACATTAGGGCCTTTCAGGGCATTCTGAAGCATTTTTTTAACTCGAATTTTAATTTCCAAAAAAAAAATTTTCAGTGAAAATATTTTTTTTAAATCCAAAAAATTTCATTCCTTTTCGACCAATTTCAAATTCCTTTTTACTATACCTTCTCAACATCTTAGACTACGCACATTACAAATTTTATCGAATTACGACCAAATTCGGCCAAGCTATAAAGCGATTTTACCAACCACCTTATACTTGCCCATGGTCATCAAAAATGTCAAAATTCTTTTTAAATTTCAAATTTTTTTCACCAAAACCCTTTGATATGTTCCCTCAATATCTCATGCTATCTCTATTTCAAATATCAGCCATTTTTGATCGAAATATGACAAGTTATACGCAAATTTCATCCACCATCCCATACTTGACCAAAATTTTAAAAAATTTCAAAATTCGTCGCTCTTTTTGCACCAAATCAAAAACCCTTGTCACACTAAATACAAAATGGCTCAGGCAATATATATTCCAAGTTTCATCCAATTCCCTCCAGACCCTTCAAAATTATGACCAAATTTCGCTTACCACCTTATAATTGGTCGGCACAAGTGCAACATGGTATTTCCTGTCGGGGAAAAAGTCGCTGGTGATCTCCACTTCTTTATCTTCATTTTCCAGCAAGACAAAGGCCACATCCCAAAAATCGAGGCTACAGCTGATCGATTCCAGGGCTAATTGGATCGCTGTTTGGAGGTAGATGAACAACTTTTCTGGGTGTTCAAAACGCAAGGTTTTGGTCTCAACCGTCGAATCCTTCTTGATAAAACTGGCATTCAGGGAGTGTAGGGGCTGTTGTTTTGGTTCTTTCTGAAAAATATCAACTTATCGCGAGTTTGAAAAAAATTTTTTGGATCAAAAACACCTAAAACAATATAAAAATCTCGTTTTTTTTATCTTCAGACCCTCCCAATACTACGCGTATGTCCCAGAAACCTCTAATTTTAAAAAACTTGCAAAAAAAACAAAAAAATCATCAAAAAAACCCATATTTTCTTTTCTCAACTTTCTCACGCCCCGCACCGTGCACAAAAACCCATATTTTTGCACCGTGCAATTCACTTTTTTCTTGGTTTTGCACTGTGCATCGAAATATCGCTGCGACACAAGCCTTTTTTGAACGGCGTGGCCGCGGTTTCGCTCAAACATTTGCACTGTGCAAACAGCTTTTTTGAGGTTTGCACTGTGCAAAAAGAGAAAAATGCACTGTGCATTGGCGACAAGTGTGGGAAAAAGTTCAAAATGCACCGTGCGTTGGCGACAAGTGTGGGAAAAAGTTCAAAATGCACCGTGCGTTGGCGACAAGCGTGGGAAAAAAGTTCAAAATGCACTGTGCAAACAGCTTTTTTGCACGGTGCAAAAAGAGAAAAATGCACTGTGCATTGGCGACAAGTGTGGGAAAAAGTTCAAAATGCACCGTGCGTTGGCGACAAGCGTGGAAAAGTTCAAAACGCACAGTGCAAACAGCCTTTTTGAGGGTTGCACAGTGCGAAAAGGAAAAAATGCACTGTGCGTTGGCGACGAGCGTGGGAAAAAAGTTCAGAACGCAGTGCGTTGGCGACAAGCGCGGGAAAAAGTTCAAAATGCACTGTGAAAAAGCAAAAAAAGTCCATGCACTTTATGAAAGTACTAACAAATTCTCTTTCCCCCTTTTTCACCAAAATTTTTTCAAAATTCCTTTATATCACCTACAATTTCCCTGGTTGGGGATCTCGGTTGGACAATTTCCTTCATTTCTCTGACCGTCTCGTCGTTGACGACAATTTCTCCGTCCATGCTCTCATTTGAGCTGGGATTCTCGTCGCTGGAGCTCTCTTCCTCCACTTCTTCGTCTTCTTTTTCCTCCTTCTTTTCCAGGCTTCGTTGTTTTTCCGCTTCGATTTTTTGTTTCTTCTTCTCCTTCTTCCGCAACTTTTCCTGTTTGTGGAGAAGCTTTCGGAGGCCGTCGTTCAGGTCGGTTATGTCCACTTCTTCGGTCTTTTGGGGATCGCGCGTCGCCCATTTGTAGAGTTTTCCCTTGGATTTTATGGCTCGCACAATGTCGGCGAACTTTTCTTGCCCTGCGGCCATTCGTTCCCAGTCCGTCATGAAGGCGGAGCGCTTGGCTATGGCCGCTTTTCGGAGCTAAAATACGAGTTTTTAATACCAAAAATTTTGAAAAAAATGAAACAAATAAAATAATAAAAAAAAAAACACTTTTCATCGTATAAGATGTCAAAAAAAAATTTTTACCGTAACCCAAAACAAAATTAGGAGTTTTTAAAATCAAAAATTTGAAAAAAATGAAAAAAAAATTAAACAAAAAAATACTTTTCATCGTATAGCATGTCACAAAACTTTTTACCGTAACCCAAAACAAAATTACGAGTTTTTAATATCAAAAATTTAAAAAAAAATGAAAAAAATAAAATAAAAAGCACTTTTCATCGTATAAGATGTCACAAAAAATTTTTACCGTAACCCAAAACAAAATTACAAGTTTTCAATATCAAAAAATTAAAAAAAAAAAACAAAATAAAAATAAAAACACTTTTCATCGTATAACATGTCACAAAAAATTTTTACCGTAACTCAAAACAAAATTACAAGTTTTCAATATCAAAAAGGTAAAAAAATAAAAAAAAATGAAAAAAACATTTTTCATCGTATAAGATGCCACCGAAAAAATTTAAACCGAAACCCCAAAAAACCCAGAAGCTACCGTAACCCACCTCGGCAATTTCCTCCAGTTCCACTTGCAATTCCGCAAACTGTTTGCTGATCGCGTTGGCATGCCCTTTCAGCGGTCTTGTCATTTCGTCCAGGACCTCTTCAATGAAACATCTATCGATGTCTTGTACATGTTGTTGCATGAATCGACGGACTCTTTTTCGAATGTCGCATTCCCAGCAGTTCTCGGTGCATTTGTGGTCTTCGCACTCGTCCTCCTCGTCCGTCTCGTCTTGGGACTCTTCGTCCGCCGTCGAGGGTTCGGTGGCCGTGTCAACGCTGCCTACAGCAAATGAATATAGTGGGACCTGATCCAGTGGCAAAAAACGTACCAGTCTGCAACCAGGATATCAAAAAATGTGGCAAAATGCTTCCCTATCCAAGTAAAAAGACTCCGATTTCAAAAGCGCGCCCGCTCGTTTCGTGAGGGAAAGGGCGCGACCTTCAAAACGAAGTTTTTTTCATTTGGAGAGGGAGGTATTTTGCCACATTTTTGATCCTTCCCGGATGCAGAATGCCCTTTTTGCCACTGGATCAGGTCTCCCACGTAGAGTTTGTGGACTTTTTTTGTTATTTTTTGAGTCCTTTGCCAGGGCATAATTTCTAATCAAAAATTTGTTTACATGTCTAATTTACCCAGTGGCAGGTTTTTTTTCTTCGATTTGATGGAAAATTAGGGTATTTTAGACCGTGAATGAGGCAAAATGAGACCACGGAAAGCGATTTTAGCGAGAATCGCATCTATGATATATTTTTTAAAACGGTGGCGGACCTGATCTAGTGGCAAAAAACGCAACATTTTGCATTCGGGAAGTATCAAAAATGTGAAAAAATACCTCCCTCTCCAAGTGAAAAGACTCCGGTTTCAAAAGTGCGCTTTGAAGTGGAGTTTTTTCACTTGGAGGGGGAGGTATTTTGCCACACTTTTTGGTACTTCTCGGATGCAAAATGGAACGTTTTTTGCCACTAGATCAAGTCCGCCACCGTTTAAAAAAATATATCATAGATGCGATTCTCCGAAAAATCGCTTTCTGCGGTCCCAATTTGCCCCATTTACGGTCTAAAATACCCTAATTTTCCATATAATCCAAGAAAAAAAACTGCCACTGGATAAATTAGACATGTAAACCAAATTTTAATTAGAAATTTTTTCCTGGCCAAGGACTCAAAAAATAACAAAAAAAGCCCACGAACTCTACAGTGGGGGACCTGATCCAGTGGCAAAAAACGTAACATTTTGCATGTGGGAAGTATCAAAAATGTGGCAAAATGCTTCACTCTCCAAGTGAAAAAACTTCGATTTCAAAAGCGCGCCCGCTCTTTTTGTGAGGGCCCTTAAAAACGAAGTTTTTTTCACTTGGAGAGGGAAGCATTTTGCCGCATTTTTGATACTTCCCGCATGCAAAATGGTACGTTTTTTGCCACTGGATCAGGTCCCCTGTCCGTAAAAAATATTAGGAAATGAAATCAAATCCTCCAAGTTTGCACTTACTCTCCTGTAAACCAAAGATCGCAAAAAAAAACTTAAATTTGTTGTTACAGTGGGGGACCTGATCCAGTGGCAAAAAACGTACCATTTTGCAACCGGGAAGTATCAAAAATGTGGCAAAATGCCTCCTTCTCCAAGTGAAAAAACTCCGATTTCAAAAGCTCGCCCGCTCTTTTTGTGAGGGCCCATACTTCCCGCATGCAAAATGGTACGTTTTTTGCCACTGGATCAGGTCCCCTGTCCGTAAAAAATATTAGGAAATCGCATAAAAAATGGCACCAAATCCGCCAAGTTTTTACTTACTCTCCTCCTCCTCCTCGCAGCAGCAGTGGTGGAGGAATTGGTGGACGCGGGCGTTCACTTCGTCGAAGCTGCCACTCATCACCGGCGTGCCGTGGTGCTGTGAGCGGAAGGAGCTGAAAGAAAGGGCTGTTTGGCGAGATTCTCGGCCCCATTCTTCGATCCCTACCGTTCAATTTCAGCACAACTTTATGGGCCAATTTCAGGAAACAGGCCGAAAACACCACCGTGCACAAAATTTGGAATGAGTCCAGCATGGGAGAGGCGGCTTAAATTTCTCGAATAATTTGACAACAAATTTCTCTTGACGCGTTTTATCACCGTTTTTGCCGATTTTGGAGCGGAAAAGAGGGGAACGCCCTGAGGGAAAACGTAGAAATAATACAGAAAAACAAAAGAAAAAAGCTGCTCTGTTTGTTTTCTTAAGGCCTTTGAAACAGTGGGAGAAAGGAACAATACTTTTTGGAGACTTCCGCGGGGAATTCGGGTCGTCTTCCACGTTACACTTCACATCTGCTTGTCAAGTGTAATATACGGCCAAAAATTTAAAAAAATCCCGGAAAAAATGACAAAAAAGGTGTGACAAGGCTCATGAATGCTATTTGTCACACCATTACTCAACAAAAATCTACAATTTTCGATTTATATTACACTTGACCAACAAATAATCAAGTGTAATATACCCGTCAAAATACAAAAATTTATGCCGTTATATTCGTAGAAATAAATATCATGCCCTTTGGAGCAAAAATACCACCATTTGAACACACAAAAATGGTCCAATTTCAATTTATATTATACTTGACCATAAGATGACCAAGTGTAATATACGACTAAACCCACCGAAATTATTGACTAGATAGCTATTAAAAGTGTTTAAAATACGTTTGGAAACGCCAAACTATCATATTAGTATTAAAAACGGCCAAAAAAATTATTTTTTCTCCACTTGACATCTGATCATCTAGTATAATATATCTCGAAAGTTTGCTTAATTCTGCCAAAATCCTTTTACACAGATCTTCAAATTGATCTGAAAGCCCGATATGTTTTGATTCCAACTCAAAAAACCTTCTCTATGGCTTCGTAACTTGACTTTTTTCGTATATGGCAAGTACAATATAATTTTTAAAAAATTTCAAACTTGCAATGGCAAATCGTTTAGAAGCCATATTCCAAATGCCAAAACAGACAAAAATATCTATAAAAACCTCCGTTTTAGGTAAAATTCCTGTATAAAACACATTCAAAATTCCCTTGACATCTGATCTCATGGTTAATATAATAATTTTGGGTATAACTCAAATTCCTGGCCCAACATTTTCCAAAAAAAAAAACTCAGATAAAAAAGCAACAAATTCTGCGCCATTTCGAATAAAACTTTCGAAATTTCTTTGTGATAAAAAGCGAAAAAAAGAAGGATAATATTGGGAGGAAAGCGTGCTTTTCGAACGGCCTAGGCGGCTCCCCGGCCCGAAAGGACTTGCTTTTTCGCGTGCTTCGGCCTTCCTAAGCTCCAAAAAACCATCTTCATTGAAATCGAGGGGGAAATTACATGCAATTCCGCACTTTTCAACACTTATTATATTCAGCATGACGTCATAAGGGGTTTTGAAAATTCTTTTGTTTTACTCAATTTTTTTGAAGTAGGATTTTTCCCACGTGGCCTACAAGGCATTTAGACCATATTCCATAATTCCCAACTGCAAAAATTACTGTAGTTTTCTTTTTATATTACACTTGACATCTGATGTCAAGTGTAATATAACTGAAGATTCCTCATAATTCATAAACTTTTAAGCCTGTAGATCCCATAGACATTCCATTTTAGCCAATTACCAACGGGAATCTCTCAAAAATTTGTGCAAAATTGATGTTATATTGCACTTGACATCTGATGTCAAGTACAAAATAAATAACCCAATTTTTCACAAAATTTATCAAATTTAAGCCTGTATATCCCACAGAATTTCCATTTTAGCCTATTATAAAAGAGAATCTCTCAAAAATTTGTGCAAAATTGATGTTATATTACACTTGACATCTGATGTCAAGTACAATATAAATAACCCAATTTATCAAAAAATCAGCATCGCAAAAACGCAATCCTTGTAACCCACGTTCTTTTTAATCCTCTTAAAGCCAACTTACGACAAGCCCGAGATTGAATTATGCACGACTGTGAACTCTCTGTGCGCTCGGTCCTCCATCAAAACGAACTCGCCGCTGAACTCTGTCATGGTGAATGTCGGGCTCAAAAAGCGATAAATCACTCAAAGCATAGATAAACAATACACAATCAGGCATTGAACGGTCATTCCAAGGTCATTACACGATAAAATCATCAAAAATTATATTACAGTAGGCAAAAAATGGTAGATTTTTAATGAAAAAAGGTTATGAACTGCTCACTTCCAACTAGATTTTTATTCCAAAACATAAACATTACTATTTCTAACAATTTCAAGGGCAAATAAACATAATTCGCTATTAAATTTACCATAAAAATTGAAAAATTTTGAAAAATCACCCAAAAATCAGCAAAAAAAATTCGAATTGGTAAAATAAATATACCTGTTTTCATTTTTTTCCACTCTAAAACCCTATTTATTCCCCTATTATATTAGATCTCAAGCCAAAATCCGCAAAAATTCAAAAAAATTTTTTAAAATTATTTTAGACCACCTAAAGCAATATAAAATTGCTCAAAACTCAACTGAAACCTCAAACTCCACGTCCAAAAAATATTCCAGTGTAAAATAGCACTCACACTTCTTGTAATCATCACCAAATCCATCTCGAAACAGCACGGTTTATTTTGATATTTACAATAAAACTTAATGAGGGGGGCTTTGGCAGTGATGAACAATATAACCCGAATTTCACCGGTAAATCAAAGGTCAAATGGGAAGAAAATTATAGGAAACGATAGGAGACGTCTTCTGGGAAGATTTCATAGATCTTGTCTTCGAGGGCTTTGCTTCGGCGATCTTTGGCGTCGAAAATTTTCCAGAGATGCCCATTATTTTCAGTGACTTCTTGTTCAGTGTTCATGTATTGCTAAAATCAAAATTTGTAAAAAAATAATAACCTCTAGTCTACTACCTATTTTTTGCCCATTACGAAAGAAACCTTCTCAAAAATTTGTGCAAAAATGACGTTATATTACACTTGACATCTGATGTCAAGTGTAATATAAATAACTGAATACTCCACAAAATTCAACTAATTTAAGCCTGTAGATCCCACAAACATCCCATTTCAGTCAATTATAAATGAGAATCTCTCAAAAATTGGTCCAAAATTGATGTTATATTACACTTGACATTTGATGTCATGGATAATATAAAATAACTAAAAAAATTGCCCGTTTCCGCTAAAACAAAACTCAAACCGTCCTAAATCATATGTAAATGCAATTTTCTGGCTTAAAAAACTGTATAATTTCCCGTATTTTCTACTTGACATCTGATGTCATGGATAATATAATTTCCAATAAAATACAAATTTCTTCCGGCAAAAAAGTCAAGAACTCAAATATGAGGTCAAGACGACCATATTTGAGCTCATAGGAGTTGAAAAACTTTTTTGATCACCAATTTTAAATCATTTTTCATCTGATGTCATGTATAACATTTAAAAAAAAAAAGTTTTACAAAAGCGCCAAATTGCATTCAGTAAACCCTCAATTACACCCTAAAACTTCTATCTATTCATTTTCCTACCTTCCCAAACCTCCATCACAACTTTTTCCCACTTTTTTCCATCAAATGTCATGTACAATATAAAACCTCGTCCCAATCCCCAAACCCCTTACAATCCTCAAGTTGGATGGTATCAGCTGGACAGAATAGTGGCTCTCCGGGTCGAAGGGCTCATCCAGTTTGCTTGAGAACAGTCCAGACGAGTCTTTCGAAAGGACGAACAAGACCTGCCACTTCTTCATGTCGATGCCGCGGCGGTGGAACGCCAGGTTCACGGCCATGTCCAGACGGTATCCGCGGAAGGTGGAGTCGATTTGGACGAGTTGCGTATCGCAGGTGGTGTCGGGGTAGTCGATTTGAATGATTTTTATGCCCTTGGGGAAGATCTTTTTGGTTTCCTTTCTGGGGTCGGTTTTGACGCGTTCCAGCTCGGCTCGTTGCTGCAAATATCGCAACCTTTCATTTGGGGCAGACCGAGATTGGCCCAGTATGTAAAAAATTCATCGAAAATTGGCATGAAATAGCTAATATTGAATTTTTTGCGATTTTTAAATGATCCACCCTTGCCATAGCCGAATTTTTGGTTGATGTTGACACTTCATGGTCCTGTCTTTTCATGGCAAGCTTTTTGAGAGCAAATCAAATTATTACATCGTAAAAAATGCCAAATATTTTGAGATTTTCTGGAATTTCCGCGGATTTTTGAAGATCCACCCTTGCCATACCCAAAAAATTTTAGAAATGAGTCTTTAGAGGTGTGATTTGAGACGTGACTAGACATTTACAATGTATTTGCGGCTACCCTTCATTTGGCGAAGATTTCATTTGGGGCAGATCGGGTATTGGCGCAGTATGTATAGCAATGTTGCAAAATTCCTTGACCAGCCAGCCAATGAGTTGAAATCACAAGTATTTTTTTTAATGGCTAGCTAAAAAACTGGATCAGCCAAAGTGTCAGAATGGCTTTGAAATCTCAAATACGCTATCCAAAAGGTTGGAAAGGGTGGCAAAAATAATAAATACATTTCTAATGGCTAGCCACAGTGTTAGAATGCCTTGGAAGACAATAGTAACGGTACAAAACACTTTCGACAGCTATTTCGATTCTTTGGCTAACCGATCCAGTTTTTGGCGAGCCATTAACAATGTATTATTTTTGCCAAAATAATACATCTGAAAGTGTTTTGTACCGTTACGATTGTCTTCCAAGGCATTCTAACACTTTGGCAAGCCATTAGAAATGTATTTATTATTTTTTCCACATATTCCAACCTTTTGGATAGCTTATTTCGAGATTTCAAAGCCATTATGACACTTTGGCCAATCCAGTTTTTTGGCTAGCCTTTAAAAAATTAGTTGTAATTTCAACTCATTGGCTGGCTGGTCAAAGAATTTTGCAACATTGTCTATACATATTGGGCCAATACCCGATCTGCTTCAAATGAAATCTTCGCCAAATGAAGGGTAGCCGCAAATACATTGTAATGTCTAGTCACGTCTTAAGTCACACCTCTAAAGTCTCATTTCTCAAATTTTTAGGGCATAGCAAGGGTGGATCTTCAAAAATCCGCGGAAAATCCGAAAAATCTCAAAATCTTTGTCATTTTTTACCATGTAATAATTTGATTTGCTCTCAAAAAGCTTGCCATGGAAAGACAGGACCATGAAGTCTTAACATCAACCAAAAATTCGGCTATGGCAAAGGTGGACCATTAAAAAATCGCAAAAATCAAAATTAGGTATTTCCTGTCAATTTTTGACAAATTTTTTCAAAATAAGACCTTTTTCCTTGGCAAATCAGCTCAAAACAAGTCCTAAACTACGACTCACTTCATGCTTAACCTTCACGAGAATCGTCAACATACTGCACAGCTCTCTTTGCATCTTCTCCAACCCACTCAACATGGGATCCAACTGTTGAATCGCAACTAGTCGTACCAAGTTTTTTCGCTTTTCAATTTCATACTCTAGCGTTTTCTTGTATATATCGCATTCCGCACGCGTTCCCTCGAATAAATACTTGACATTTCCGCATTTATTTCGACTCCTCCTAAACATCAAGAATAATATAAAAAGCACTTACAATTGAACAATTCCACCGTTCTGAATACGAGCGAGGTCAACGACTGGCTCAATGGCACCGGAATGCCCAACCACACTGACTTTATCACCATCCAGCAACACCAGAAATCGATCGGAAGCTGAAATGGGTAGTATAATATAAAAAATGGGAGGGAAGCTATAAAATACGGACTGAAACGATCTTCTTCGACCTTGTAAATGGCTTCAAAAAAGGATTCTCACCTGATTTATTTGTTTTCATCTCATTTACGGAATAATTTCGGGATCAATCAACTAAATCAAGGTAAAATGTATTAAAACGTGGCAAAACAGAGGTAAAACAGGGTTAGATTAACAAGAAAAACATAGAAATACCACCCAAAAACCGTCAAAAAATATTTTTCGACACCTCGAAAAAAATATTTTTTTCGTCCAGAAAATCCGTCATCGCTGACATTATTAGGCCAACCGATGGACAATAGCGAATGGCCAGGGTAACATACCTTCTAATAGTGTTGTAAATAGACATTTTCGTAAAAATGTCTCTCGTATTTTCAAAATAAAGCCTGTCATGATGACGGATTTTCTGGACATGAAGTAAACGGCCGGTTTTGAATAAATTAACGTCGGAATTTATACGAGAGAGGAAGAGACGATAAAATTAAAAGCAATGGGAGTCATAAAAAGAGGCCTCGACTTTTTATTTCTCCTTGGATCAACGCCTAGTGCAATATAAACAAATAGATTTTTCGGAAAGTTACAGTAATCCAATCGTATCGGAAATAACAAATAAAGTGTCTGTAATCCCTCAAATTGTTTTGTTCCAAATTTCAAGCAATTCCAATGTCTTTTCGACAAGCTTTATTCATTTTGATTTTATGTCTACTACAATATAAATATTGGTCAAAAAATCTCCAAAAACTGTATATTTCGGCTTCAAATTTTGTCTAATAGGCTGATGGGGATTTTGCATCAGGTCTTGAGTGGATTCTCTCCGGCTCCACAGCGGACTTGGTACTTGGTGAGAGTTCTGCGTAACGGATCTCCTTCGGCCATGAAATTTTCTCCGACTCCTGAGTTTTCTCCTCTCTGTTCGAACCCTTCTTCTTTCTTTCAGTACCCCTCTTGGTTTTTCTCTTATTCTTCGATTTTTGAGTCGACATTGTTGACATTTCAGTGTTCGTTGGAACTGAAACTGGTGGCAGTAGAAGAGATGCCTGAAAAATTCGAAACAGTAAAAAAAATTAAATAAAAAATAAAATACAATCATCTATATAACGTCAAATTCAATTTTCAACCTACCTCTGAGCAAGGAAATAGTCTGTTTCCACTGCTTTGTGTCTTTTGCGCACTTGAAGATTGGGTTCCATGTATACCATGATTTTTATCTGGCTTAACAATTCGATCCGGACATGGCTTAGAGGTTGGAATATGCCTTCGAGGCAATTTTTTGCATACCTGAAAAGTTGCAGTCAAATTTAGAGGTTGCAACGGAATGCCAAGGAAAAATTATTTTGGCGGGAAATTTCTTGATTTGAATTTTTAAGTTGGCAGTGACTGTTATGCACATAAAAATGAGTTTTCGGACACAAAAAAGAGTTTCCAGCGACAAAAAAGGACTTGGGCTATCATAAAACCATGTGAAACAGAATGCCAAAGAAAAATTCCTTTGGCGGGAAAATCTTGATTTGAATTTTTAGATTAGCAATGACTTTCAGGTAAACTAGAATGAGTTTCCTGCCTCAAAAAAAAAGTTTCCAGCGACAAAAAATGACTTTGGCTATCATAAAACCATGTGAAACAGAATGCCAAAGAAAAATTTCTTTGGCGGGAAAATCTAGATTTGAATTTTTAAATTGGCAATCACTTTTAGGTAAACTAAAATGAGTTTTCCGCCACAAAAAAATCCCTCGGGCTGTCATAAAATCATTTAAAACAGAATGCCAAAAAATTGGCGGGAAATTCTTGATTTGAATTTTTAGCCCAAAAATGGATCTCAAATTGTGCAAAACGACATTTTCGACCTGAAAACGGCAAAACAACATTTCTACACACCTTCCTCGGCTTCAAAAAATCCTTCTCCAGCTTCTTGATTACTTGTAAATGAACAAACTTCGGGTCCAAGTAAAACGCATCATTGCTTTTATGCACGAATCTGTGGATCCTTTTGACCTGATGCACCAGCGTCTGACGTTTATTATAATCCTTCAGGAACTTTTTCAGCCCGCCCTGCCCACCATTGTTGTGATGAATACACGGGTACAGTAGATAATACACCGTAATCAAGATCAGGAAAAGGGTGACAACGCCGATAAAGAGGCTGAAAACGTTACGGTAGGCGAGCATGTTTAGTTTCAGAGATTATTTTAGCTAGAAAATTGATTTTTGATTCTAAAATACGATTTTTAAATTTTTCGAAATTTCGAGATTTTTGATGACAAAGAGGTAAAAATAGGTAAAAGAGGAGTAAAAAACATTTTTTACCGTATTTTAAGCCAGCATCACTGTTTTTGAGTCTAAAATACGATTTTAAAATTTTTCGAAATTTCGAGATTTTTGATGAAAAAGGGGTAAAAACAGGTAAAAGATGAGCAAAAAAGTATTCATCAATTGTATTTTATATCAGAATCAATGTTTTTGAGCCTAAAATACGATTTTAAAATTTTTCGAAATTTCAAAATTTTTTGCAAAAAATTGAAAAAATCATGTATAAAAATCTCAAAAATAAATAACTAAATAAACAACACGTAATTCCAATCTGTATTTTACCCATTAATCATAGTTTTCACCTCAAAAACAAAAAAAAAAAAAAAAAAAAAAAATTGAAATTTCCAAATTTTTTGAAACCCCCAAAAAACTTACACTAGAAACTTCACAAACTCGGTAACAAAAGCGGAATGTCTCGTAAATCTCCTTGCCACAATCGACTCTCGTTCTTGCAACAGGCTTCCGAAGAATTCTTCGTGCTGCACGGTGCGGCGGGCCAGAAATCTCGTCGCTTCTGAATGTATTTTCTCCCCGTTGGTCTCTTCCAAATCGAATTCCAAATCACTGACGAAAGGGATTTGCAGCAGGTTATCCGAAAACGAGGAGTTCAGCTTGACCTTTGTTACATCGCCTAGTGTAATATAGAAGAAGGAAAAAAGGAAGAGAATTTGTGACATACGACTGAAAAATAGGCTGAAAGTGGTCGAAAATGAGGGGAAAAAAGATTTGTAATTGATTTTAGATCAACTTTTTCATTCTCAAAAAGTATGACAAAATTAAAAAAAAACCAAAAAAAAATTTTTTTTAATCATCAAAATTAAATTTTTTTGCCAAAAAAAATTGGCTAAATGCATGTTGATTACCATAACTTTTGGTTAAATGCCTCTGGGTTTCTTCAAAAATAATAAAAACCTTCAAAAAAACGCAACTGCCTCATGCTGGAATCGAACCAGCGACCTTCTGTTTACTAGACAGACGCTCTGCCCCTGAGCCAATGAGGCACATCGGAAGCTGAGAAAACTCTGACATTCAAATCATTCGCGGTTGAGTTAGAATGCAATCAGAGCCGTATTCTTCTCATATTTTAACAAAAAGTTAAAATTTACTTGTTTCGGAAGTCGCCAAGATCAAGCTATTTGAATATGAATTCAACCTTTTTCCCAAACTGCGCCCTACTTTTTCGCGACCTGCGGGAGACACTTTATACGAAGGATAACGTATGACAACATTGGCTTTAAATTGTGCGCAAAAGAAGTCTGATCGAAGAGTCAATAAAGACGCACTGTGCGTAGCCTTTTGCGAGCTGCGCCCAGTAATCTTGCGGTTTGCAGTGGACATTTTATACGATGAGAGGCAAAATCGCGGGTTTGGCCAAGAAACAAAAGGTTGAACCATGTGAAAGTGTCCAAGACATTTTTACACAGAACAGGCTGAAAAATAGGCAGTTCCAGCCGGCTCTACATTATCCATGATTAAAATCTCAACAATTTTTTTCGAAATTTTTGCCTTGGTCCCTCCTTACCTCTGAAATTTTTTATTTGAATTCGAAAAAAACCTTCTTTCATTCCCACGCAAAAGGCATTTCTTATCAATAAATCACGGCTTGATCTCTTTATCGGATATCATATCCGCTGCAAAACGTCATTTATATATAGGATTTCGATGGGAGAAGTTGGTTTTCTTGATCAGAGAATATTTTTTTTGATGTGCGATGCGTAGTTTTAGGGGTTTTTGAGTTGTTTTATGGTAGAATTAATTTATTTTTTATTGAAAATCGTTTTCTGTGTTAAAATTTTTTTGTGTATTTTAAAATTTTTTGGACTTTTTAAAATCAAATTTTTTGAAATTGTGTTTTTAATCTAAATCTTTCATTTTTTTCATTTAAAATTTCTGTTATTTTTTAAATTTAATTTTTGAATTTTTTAAAGCAAAAATTTTTTTTGGTTTTTTTTATTTTATAAAAAATATATATTTTAAAATTGAATTTTTAATTTTGCATTTTTTATTTTATTATTTTTTTTACATTTTTTGGCATTTTTTACATTAAAAATAAAAAATAAATAAAAAAATAAAAAAAATGTTTATTTATTTTTCCCCAAAAAATCAGTCAATAAAAATATTAAATCCTAGTTACTTTTTTTATGATGTCAGCCTTGACCGACTTGTCTGTTTTTTCCGCTTTCTCCGTCTCGGATTCATTCATTTACGAACCCGGGGATTTTCTCTCCCGCGGCACGGTGCGATGGGAAAATTAGAGAGAAAATCGTGACGGGTTTCGAAAAAGGGATGGTCGATTTATCTTCCAGAGTCTTCAGAAGTCTCTTCGGTGTTCACTTATTATGCATTTTTATTGATTTTTGGGCAGTTTTGGGGGTTTTTTTGAGATTTTCAAGTTTTCGTGTTGGGACCAAAAATTCAAAAATTTTTATTCTCAGATTTTGAGGAGACTTGGGGAATATGTAGATCATCATTTTTCATGGCATAGCAAAAAATTTTGGCTTGCGCTTTGCCGAGATCATCGAGATTTTCGATGTTTGCGAACGGTCAGTCTGTCGGGAAAATAATGTGGATTTGTCGCGCCCCAGTCGGAGTCTGTGAGATTTTAAAATTTTGTTGCAAAAAATACACATTATTTTCCCGACAAACGGTTATCAGTCTGTCGGGAAAATAATGAGGACAATATCGCTGCGACCATCACGTCGCTGAAGTAAAAAGCAATTTGATTTTGTCGCAACACAATTCATTTTCTCAACGGCGATACGCTTTTGGGTGCAATTGAGTGCTCTTTATTTTCCCGACAGCAAAAAAAAAATATTTTTTTGAATTTTTAGAAAGCATAATGTATAATATATTCGAATATGTAAAGTCTGTCTATGAAAAATCATTGTCTCATATATAAGGAAAGTGCTTTTCGGGGGCTCCTGCTTTTAGACCAGACAAATCAGAAAAAAAAGTTAAAGTCAAGCTGACTACGAATATATCCGCAAAACCTCTTCAATTGTGGTTTTTTGAGGTGGAAAGTGAACTGCAATTTGATATGAACCCATGTATAAACTTGTTTCCCTTTACTTTTCAGAGGAAACGCCAAAAATTCCTTTCCTCTGAGCGTCTCTCCTCATTTTCCATGGTCTCTCGTCGACAAAGATTGTTGAATATCTCGGCTGCGCCGGCCAAGCGCAAGCTACAAATTTGTGGGAATGATTTACGACCAATACAGTATATCTTCACCAAATTTGAAGCAAATACGATCATCACACATTGAGCAGTGTAAATGAGATTTTTACTCGCTTTTTGGCCTAAAAATCGCATTTTTGCTTTTTGAAATTGAAGTTTAATTGCTGGTGTTGAATGATCATATCTTGTTAATGCTCTAAGAAGACATTATCTCGCCTTTTTTATTTTGAAGTTTTGAAAAAATCCGTATTTTAGCCTATTTTAGCCCATTTTCTCATGAAAATCATCAAAAATCCCCTAAAAAAGGGGATTCTTGATGAGTTTTTATATTTTTCAGCCAAAAAATCGCTGAAAAATTAAGTTAATGCCATTTGTCGTACACATGATCAACAACAATGTCCGTATTTTACCTCAATCCTTCTTAAAAATCCCAAAAATTCCCCTAAAATCCCATAAAACCTCCAACCTTCCCATTTTTCATAAAAAAATCGCAGTAAAAGCTCTCCTATTCCAAAATATGCCCATTATTTATTATGACCATGACGTTTTTCGTGTTCTGCTCCCTTTCCGACACCAAATCCGAGCCCTTTCTTTTGCAGATGAGCGACAGAAAGCGCCTCAGCCCCGACGCGGCGACAAAGGAGACGCCGGCGACAGCGTCGAGTTCAACGGTGAGTTCCGTCTTTCCGGGGGGTTCCTGTGGGATTTCCGAGTTTCGGAGCCGGCGCTTTTGTATTTTAGAAGGGTTATTTTCGAAGGTTTCGTGAAAAAATTTCTTAAAAACGGGTCTAATTTTGGGTTAGATTCTCCTTTGAAACTGAATCTTAGCCCCATTTTTATTAACGGGAAGTACTAGGGGGGCCAAAAAAGTGATGACATTTTGGCCCGATTGGTACATTTTTTGGGCCTTTCCAGCCTTAAGCTTCGTATTTGATCGATTTTTTTGCATCGATTCGTTGTTTTATGCATGGAGGAGGCATAAAACAACGAGAGAAGGCTTCATTAATAAAAATAATAAGATTGACCGGGTCCTAGGCCAGTTTATCACCTCTTTTGAGCCATTATACCCGTCTTACTCCAATAATATTTATATAGATAAGACTTATGGGTCTCCGTCTTTTTTGAGGCAAAACTAGTGGGATTTCTATGTTACAATAGCTCAAGGTTAAGAAAGATGATGTTAAAAATAGCTAAAATTAGAAAGGGCGCTATTGTGTGTAAGTCTTCGCCGAAGCTTCGGCGGAGCTTCGCCAAGCATCCAACGGCTTTCACAGGCCTTGTAGACACCTTCTACAACCTCTTTTGGGTTGTAGGAGGTGTATGCCTGCCCTACATCTCGTATCTGTAGTGGGCGTAGATAGGTATCGAGAATAGACACAGGTTTTGGAATAAGGTTTATTGAGAAGACCACACCGGGAAAGGGAAATGAGATAATGTTCTAATAATTGGTGACGAGACGTTTCTTTTATATGAGTTGGTTTATGCTAATTTCTGTGGGAATTGTGGAGACCTTTGAGGCTCCACAACATGTTGTTCTTTTTCGCTTATGTTTTTTTTTATTAAAATAGTCTTTTTCGCTTATGTAAGGAGATGTTGCAACAGTATCCATCAATGTTGTGTTGACCTGGACTGTCGTAGGACCTGAAAATTATAATTTTCTTTTATCAGTTAGTCGGGAAAATAGTGAAATATCAGTCTGTCGGAAAAATAACGGCGGTCGTCGCGCCTCGGAATCGCCCATCATCGCTTTGCGACTGCAAGCCGCGGCTTGGGATTTGGTGCGCGATAGCGGCGAGGCGAGACATTTTGATGCGACGATCCGCCGTTATTTTTCCGACAGACCGATATTGGCGGGTCATCGCAGCAAAAGCAAAAGATTTGCCTCATCGAAGAAACAGTGCTGTCGCGCACCAAAAATCCCCAGCTTCGGCAGCCGTCGCAGAGCGATGATGCACGTCAATCCAAAATAGAAGAAAAAAATTTCCCGCCGCTTTTTGGTGATTCGTTCAAAACGAAATGTCACTATCCGATAAAAAAGCATTTTCTTATCTTTCTTCTTTCTTTTCGAAAAAATGCAATTATTTCGGGCGAGAAAAAGTGCCGATAATTCGGGTTCAGGAAATGCGCTGCATTGCCGTGTGACGGGCGACCCCAAGGCGCGACGAATCCACATTATTTTCCCGACAGACTGATAACTCCTTAATGATCTCACCGATGAGTTTCTTTCCTCTAGTTTTTGAGTTTTTGCAGTGACAAGTTTTCTGCTTCAGGTGTAATAAACACCGCCTCTACTCTCAACTGTAATTGCAACGTTTTTTCGCTTTTCTTTCGTCGCTTAATTGAGAGTAATGGATGAAGCAAAAGTTCGCCCATGGATAGAACTTTAAACAAACCCCCGTTTTCACAAGACATTTCTCCCTTCCCCAATGTAAACAGGAAAGCCCATGCGACGCGACATTACAGTAAAAGTTGATGTTTTTGGACGCGCTGAACTAACGGCGAAAGTACTCAAGTGCGACGCTCATGTTTTGATGAAACTTGGCACAAATTTGGAGTAATCTTTTCTTGTGGCAAAAAAGTACCTTTTTGTATCCGGAAAGTATCAAAAAATGTGGCAAAATGCCTCTCTCTCCAAGAGAAAAACCTCCGATTTCAAAAGCGCGCCGGCTCTTTTTGTGAGAGCCCTTGAAAACGGAGTTTCTTTTAGTTGGAAAGGGAGGCATTTTGCCACATTTTTGATACTTCCCGGATGCAAAATGGTACGTTTTTGCTACTAGATCAGGTCCGTCACTCTATAGGAGACATACTATCAGTGTGTGGCGTACTTGATCCAGTGGCAAAAAGTGTCATTTTGCATCCGGGAAGTATCAAAAAATGTGGCAAAAATGCCTCATTCTCCAAGCAAAGAAACTCCGTTTTGAAAGGCCTCACAAAAAGAGCGGGCGGGCTTTTTAATTCAGAGTTTTTTCACCTGGAGAGGAGGCATTTTGCTACATTTTTTGATGCTTCACGGATACAAAATGTACGTTTTTTGCCACTGGATCAGGTCCTGTAAGTTTGTCGGGAAAATAATACAACTTCCCTGGCAAGATAACCAGTCTGTCGGGAAAATAATGAGCATAATGGCCAAGCAAAAATGTGGCAAAAGCTTCCCTCTCCAAGTGATAAAACTTCGCCTTGAAGGGCGCGCCCTTTTTCCTCACACTTTTTCCACTTGGAGAGGGAGGTATTTTGCCACATTTTTAATACTTCCCAGACGCAAAATGGTACCTTTTTTCCGTTGGATCATGTCCGTCACTGTATGTAAACAATGCATAATCAAAACTTCTAGGAATTGAGAACCTTGAATTCATGTGTAAACTCATCTTTTGTGTGATGCACTTCTCCCGTTCTCTCTCCCCCCTTAAACTTTGCCCATCGCCCAACCACGCCATTCTTTGTTACAGCACGCTGGGCATTGAACTTCTTTACAGCGGCGTTATTAATAGCGACCGCGTCGTGTGATCGCGCGAAGAGGTTGTAACAGTTAGCCCCCTCTCGTTAATTGATTGCGATTTTGGTATTGTTTTTGTTCTGGGAAGCGGGTGGGTGTAAAGCGTGGAGGGCATGGGATGGAAATGCGTTCCTCTTGGTCGGGTTCAACTCTCACAGAAAGTGTAGTCTTAGCAGGAAGATGTAAAAAAATGGAAAATTGGAAATTGATGCAAAAACGATGACTAAAAATTTTCAACAGTTCAAAGTTCGAAAGCCTGGTTTTCGGGAAAATTGGCATACAAAATGTTAGATAGGCATACAACAATCGCTGAAAATTTTAGCTCTCGCTTTGCAAGGAGAGCCGAGATATTGAACAATCTTTGCTGCCGAGAGAGTACGCGAAATGCGGAGAGCGGTCAGCGAGAACCCACTTTTTGGCCGTATTTTCGCCAATTTCGCGAAAAAATATCAATTTTTTTGTTGAAACATCAGCTTTTAAGATAGAAATAGCATACTAACCCGTTCGCATAGTCGTTGGAGTGATTTTTGGCGTTTGCGCTTTGAAAAAAATCAGGATGCGCGACTGAAAACACCGATTTCACGGTGCAAACAGCAAGAAATTACACACTGCAAAGAAAAATTTTGTTTTCGCACAGTGCATGCCGTCGAAATCACACCAGCGACTTTGCAAACGGACTACAAGGCGGACCAAAAACTCTTGGCATGTCTGCACAGTGCACGCGAAACTGAGAAGTCCGGTGACCGGAATAGACTCTTCGCTATCGGTTTTTTACACTTCGTCTTGATTTCACAGAGAAAGAGAGAAAAAGACACGCAAAAACGTACTCTCTCGCCCCAAAAATACCCCATTTCTTCCCCGACAAAATCCGGCCCGGCCCGAAGACCGGGCCGGGCCGGCCCAGCCCGACAGCCAAGTCTATGCGCGCCTACCGCACACAATGCAAAAAACTTTTTGAAAGGCACAGTGCGAAAACATGTCAAGTCTTTTTGGGCCGTCTAGGTCCACGCCCTTTCTAGAACGACTAGTATGAGCACTTATAATGGCAAAACAAATGTCGCAGACGATTTCTTTGTTTGAAACTCTAAGCATTGATTTTTGGACGTATTATAGGTTTACACAATCGCAAACTTGCTCTTCTACTGTTACAGCCTGAAAATTTTAGCTCTCGCTTTGCAAGGGCAAGAAAAAAATATTTGTCCATATTTTACTGACGCACCCTTTATGTGGGCAAAATTTTAAGGCATTTTGAGCGACGAACTTTCAGCATTTCCGATTTGAGTTTCCTTACCTTGCTCTTTTCCACCAAAAATCGCTCCACAAACCCGTCCGATCCGAGACAATAACAACACCATTACATCTCATGGACTATATTATTACATTCCTCACACAAAATTCTTTCTAGAAGTTTCCGCGGTCCTTTTTCGGCGCGTTTGTTACAACCGGCAGCAAGTACAACGAATGTAATATGCAGCGGAGGCGATTCAACATGTTCGTTGATTTGTTGAGGGGAGAAATTGCAAAAAAAAACGGGAGCAGCAAAACATGTTATTTGTAGCAGCGAAGTTTCAATGATTGATTGGGGATTCTGTATACTGGATCATTAAAGCGCGTATTTCCGGGGCTTCTTTATTACATCGTATACGATGAGTAGCTCGCGCTCAAAGGCTATCCGGAGAGACCAAAAAATTGACCTGTCTCTGATGACAGGCGTTTTTTTCTTGCGGACATTACAACCCCCACAGGTGCGCAGAGGTCAGACAGCTGTTAAAAACAATGTTTAAAATTTAAACAGCTACTGAATTGCGAAAAAATTTTTCGCCCTTACCGAAAAAAATTCGGTCTGTCGGGAAAATAATGTGGATTCGCTCCTTGGAATCGCCCATCATCGCTTTGCGACGGCTAGCTGAATTTTTTTTTCGCGACAAATCCACAATGCACAGTGCGTCCATCCGGCAAGTCGCCGGACTGAAATCGGCGACATGCACTGTGCGAAAACAAAAGTTTTCTTTGCACCGTGCAAATTCTTGCTGTTTGCACCGTGCAATAGGCTTTTTTGGGCTGTCGCTCGCACCCTGACTTTTTTCGCACTGTGCAAACGATAAAAATGAAACCGGCGATAATGCACTGTGCGAAAACAAAAGTTCTCGTTGCACCTGCAAATTCTTGCTGTTTGCACCGTGCAATAGGCTTTTTTGGGCTGTCGCTCGCACCCTGACTTTTTTCGCACAGTGCAAACTTCAAAGGTCAGTCCGGCGACTTTCCGGAAGGTCTAGAATGACGCACAGTGCAGAGCAAGCCCTCCAAACAGTCTGTCTGGAAAATAATGAGCACTCTGTCGCAGCAAAAATCGCATCGCAAATGAATTGTGGCGCTGTGAAAATAAAATTGCTTTTCAGTTCAGCGACGCGATCGGCGCAGCGGCATCGCTCATTATTTTCCCGACAGACTGATATTTATGTTATCTTCTAATCTTCCTTAATTAATCACCGTTTTTACCGTAATTTTCATGACCATTTTTTTGTGATTTCCACTATTTTTACCCGTTGATGGACCTCCCTTTTCTGGATGGAATTCTCATCAAAAACAGGCGAAGAGTGTAAACCTTCGTCTCTAGCGATTGTACGCCGCCCCTCCCGCCAAATTACAACACCCTTTGATAAACAAAAGAACTGACCATGCGCTCCATAACCGACCAAGGGCAAGGGTGGAACTTTTTTTGTTATTTTTCCACGACAAAACCGCTAGACGGGCTTAAAAAAGCGGGTAAAAGCGGCGGTCAGTCGCTGGAACCCGTAGTTTCTTCAAATATTAAGCGTGGTAAAGGGCCGCGATCGGTTTTATCTCACTTTGAAAAGCTTCATCAACATTCTCTAGGTTTATTTCACCTTTTTTTCCTAATTACTCCCGGCACTGTGCAAAAAAGATAATTTTTGCGCAGCACCGTGCGAAAAAGTTTTTCATGAAATTTTTCGAAAACCGACCAGTCGATTTCGCTCATTTTTGCCTTGCATACTCCATATAGTCTATACTTTAACCCATAAAAATTTTGTCGGAAAATTTGCAGAAATAGCCGAGATATGGAACGATTTTTGAAAGATGAGAGAGTATGGAAAATGAAGAGAGCTGGTTGGAGAAAACTTTCTCAGCCATTTATTTTGATCTCATAGATCTTCAAGGAGCAATTCCTGTGTTGATTTTATACCCCGTATTCCCAACAACGCCAAAGTTTTTGAGTTAAAAATGTCAAAAAAATTGTGGCTTTGGCTATTTTTCCGACCTAAAAATCTCAGCGCTTTCTGAAAGCCGCAGGCCAAAAATCAAGAATACATTGTGCACTATCACTACCAAATATTACCCCAAATTTCATCAATCTCCGTGCAATAGGCTTTGAGAAAATCTCCTTCAACTTTACCCACCTCTATAATCTAACCCACTGCAACTCGAAACTTGAAATTCCCAAATTTCAGGCGCAAATGTCGCACAAAGAGAAAGAGGGCAAGGTGTCGGCCAGCCTTTCGTTCTTCCTCAACCTATTACTGGTCTACCTGCCAAAGGACATTTGGCGATATTGGACGTTCAAGCCGAAGAATGTGGAGGGAAAAACGGTGGTGATCACGGGCGGCGGCAGCGGCATCGGGCAGCGGATGGCCGAGATTTTCGCGCTCGAAAAGAAGGCCAACGTCGCGATCCTGGACATAGATCTGAGGAAAGCGACAGAGGTCGCGAATGCGATTCAGAAACAGGGGGGTAAGGCGGAGGCTTTCCATTGCGATGTGACGTCAACAAAGGCGCTGGAAGTGTGTTGCAACGCAATCAAGGAGAAGTTTAGTAAGTCATAGTGGGTTTTCAAGGCATTGGAGGTTGTTTCTATGTCGAGAGGCCCGGGGGTACAACCACACGATAAGACGAGAAGCTCGAGTTCAAGTGATTTATTGAGTGAAAAGCGGCCCTTATGTAGGGAATCCCATGTAGGAATATACAATCAAGTTTGAATAATAAATGATGATTTCCTATCTACTTTTAGACCAAGTGGACATAATCGTTTGCAACGCCGCGATTCTTTATTTCGCCCATACCATGGAGCTCACAAACGAGCAGTTACAACGCTCTTTTAATGTGAACGTCATGGGCGTTCTGAACGTAAGTTTATTGAAAAAAACTTGATCATAGAAGTGTGTATGGAGGTTCATTTTGACGTAAAACTGGCTTTTGTGCGCTCAAAAATCGTTCGTTATACAGAGATTTCGCCGACTTTCAATGAACGGGGGTTCGTTGTAGAGAGATTGTACCGTAATTTCGGAATTTATAGAAATTAGAGCAAAACCTCTGTACAACGAAACCTCTGTATAACCAACAATTTTTTGAGCGGACAAAAAACAATTCTAGGCCAAAAGAAATTGAAAAATTTTTAACGAAAAAATGAATTGTGTCGCGACAAAATCAAGTTTCTTCTCACTTCAGCGACACGATCGGCGCAGCGACATTGTGCTCAATATTTTCCCGACAGACTGATATTTCATTGTTAGGATTTTCATAAAGTGCATGGACATTTCGAAATATCAGTCTGTCGGGAAAATAATGAGCACCATGTCGCTGAGCCAATCGAGTCGCTAAAGTGAAAAGAACTTGATTTTGCCGCGACGCAATTCATTTTCTCGTTAAAAATTTTTCATTTTTTTGGCCTGGAATTGCTTTTCGTCCGCTCAAAAAATTGTTCGTTATACAGAGGTTCATTGTAAAAGAGCTTTGCTGTAATTTCTATAACTTCCGAAATTACGGTACAGTCTCTCTACAATGAACTCCCGTTTTCGCATTTGCAAATCTTTACATTTGATTTGATATTAACCCATTTCCCCAATTTTCAGACAATCCGCGCCTTCCTGCCCGACTTTGAGGCCCGGAACGACGGCCAGATCGTGTGCATGTCCTCCATCTGCGGCTTCTTCGGCGAGACCTACGGCATGGCCTATTGCCCGTCCAAGTTCGCGGTGCGCGGCATCATGGAGTGCATTCGGTGCGAGATGTTCGACCGCGGCATGGACGGCATCAAGTGCACCACGCTGTACCCGTTCTTCGTCCGCACGCCCATGATCCTGGACATGGGAATGCGGCCCACCTCGCGGTTCATCCCCTTTATGAGTGTGAACCGGTGCGCCAACGCGGCGGTTCAGGCGATTTTGAACGAGGAAACGCAGCGATTCATCCCGGGATATATTAGCATCATGGCGATGGCCAAAAAGTAGGCGATTTTTTTTTTGATTTTTTGGGAAATTTGAATTTTTTGACAAGAAAAGTACTTCTAGGGGGTATCGAGTTACAGGTACGAGACATACACCAAAAAATCAAAAAACGTTTCTGATTCAGAATATGTAAAAATTAGCTGCCCAATTTTGGTTTGTAACGGCGAAGAACCCATCAGAACTTTTCTCACAACACCACGCAAATGCTTTTTTGACCAATTCAAAAGCTTTGTTTTGAGCTAAACTAAACCCTGGCATCTTGACAAGCCTTAGAATATCAAATTTGAGCTCAACACAAAGCTTTTGAATTGGCAAAAACTTGGTCAAAAAAGGGCTCTTGCATGGTGTTGCGAGAAAAGTTCCGAGGGGTTTTTCGCCCTTACAAACCAAAATTGTGCAGCTAATTTTTACATATTCTGAATCAGAATAAATATGCGATTTTTTAGTGTATGTTTCGACCTGTCAATCCATACCCCATAGCAGTATTTTTCTTGTCAAAAAAATTTTTTTTCGCCCCAGATTTTTTTTAAAATTTTTTCCCTAATTCTCTAAATTTTCCAGTCTGATGGGCTATCACTTCACCATCCAAGCTCGCCGTTTCATGAACTGTCGCTATGTTCCAACAACAATCTTGGCCAAGGTGGTGAACCCCGTCAAGAAGGCGCCTTCTTTGGCGTCCACCACCTCTTCCGGCATCTCAATTTCCTCGTCAATCGATTCGGGTACCTCCGAGTCGATGGAAGAGGAATTGAAGAAGCCAATTCAACGAAGACTCAAGGCACAGCCCGAGGAGAACAATTATTTCGAAGCGCCCTACGTATTCGGGGCCTTGTTGACGCTGATTTTGCTGATTTTCGGTATCATTGTCGCGTATTTACCGGACCTATTCAAAATGGTGGATATGGGGAGAGTCAGCGAAGTCCTATATTTCATTGGTAAGCATTTTATCCGACTTGAAAAAAACTACTTTTCAAAAAATCGCACAGTGCAACAAAAAATTTTGTCACTGCACTGTGCGGGAAACAGACGGCTAAAATACGAAATTTTTGTGTTTTCCGATAGTAAATTAGACTGTTTAAAAATCACGAAACTCATTTTCAAAATTTTTACATTGTGAGTGCTACTTTTTTAACTTTCAAAATTTTCATCGCACCGTGCAGAAACTTTTTTTAAAATTTTGCGCACAGTGCACTATTCACTTCAAAAAATCGCTGAAACTTTTTTGCCAAGCCATATGAGATCTAAGTGCCGTAAACGAACTAATTATTTTCTCCTTTTCGCCTTTTATGACATCAATTATATTGTTCATGTTTCAGGTACCGAATACAACCAGTCAATCTCGTTCATTTTGCTTTGCGTGGCTCTCATTCACGTTGTGGAGGCGGTTTCATCGCTCTATCTGTGTCATTCCATCGACACGACGCATGTTTGCGCCGCGAAATGGTTCGTTCAGACGCTGATTATTGGGTTCCCCTCGTTGGCGAAGCTCGTCAAACACTACAAAAAAGTGTGTCGGACAGAGGAGGAGGCTCAGTAGAGCGTCTAGGCTATAGAATTATATATTTAGCTGATTCATTTTGACCATGATCTCATTTTTTATCGAATTTATGTGATTTTTCAAATTTTTTGGGGTTTCTCTAAAATACGGTGGATTTTACTAACATTTATTTGATTTTTATTGTATAGTCTTCTACTTTACGTCGTTTTATAACGTATTGCATAGTTTCCTTGTCATTTTGAACGATTTTTTTGGCATTTTTTAAAAGTTTTCCCAAAAGGAGCAGTCAACTTCGGAGTCGTATATCTCAATAGCCTGAGGCAATATAACAACAAAAATTATGCTGAGTGAAAGAACAGCCTTCAAATTCTCTAGTAACACCATTTCCAGTATCACTTTTTCATCACCTGCCCTCCGGCAATCAATTTTTCAAGTTCAATCAAAATCCCGCAAAAGCTTCAAAAAACGTCAAAAAAATCGGGTTTCCGTAAAAATGTCACTTCTTTTTTTGGCTACCAGTCTCTTCAACCATCTGAACTTAATTTTTAAGCCTTTTTACCCACTTGTCTTACTGTAATTTCCGCTCAAATTTCTAATTCTAAACAAAAATCTCCATTCTTCACAAAAAAATTCTATTTTTTGTTCCTTTTGTCTTTCCATTGGATATTCTATGTGCTACAATTACTACCCTACAACTACAACACAATCTACGGATCACTTATATACTTCTATCTGCATTTCTTGTAAATAAAGTATTGAAAAAAATCGGTGGTTTATTTTGACCTAAAACTCAAAAAATCTCAAAATTTGGTGGGTAAATAACGGTTTTTATACCTTTCCCAAATTCCTACTAGTTTCTTACACCTCACTCTTCATGAATAACTACTTCATGATCAAAAATTCCCGATATTTTTTGGTCAAAAACCAAATTTCTTCAAAAGATGTCTACTACAATATAAAATCTGTTTTATTTCATAAAAATCGTCTATTCTAAATAGTAAAACGGCAAGATATGGTAGGTTATGCTCTTTACTAGCCATGGTCATCATTTAAATGGGTTCATAGGATCCATCGGAATTTTTCTTGACCTTTCCGTCTTTGACGAGCTTGCTGAGATGATGATCAACATTGCCGAGGGCGCCGAGTTTCAGCGAGAGTGGGATGTCCTGCAAATCAAATCTTAGGCTTTATTAGCTCTTTCTAGCTCGACTCCATCATTTTCTCATCATCAATATAAAAAATTTTTCTACTTTTTCATTCAGATCACCTTATTTTACAAAAAAAGTGGTAGCTCAATTTCCAACTCTCCGATTTGCCTGGATTTTCTATCTGGGCTATAAATAAATCTCTGAAAATTTGGTTCCGGGATTGCAAGGCCAGCCCGCATATTCAACGATTTTCGCAGCCAACAAAAAAAGATCATAAAAAATGGAGAGACAGTCAGAGAAAAACCATTTTTTCTTTTTCAATCTCGTAAATTTTTTTTGTTGCATGAGTATTTTACCTCTAGGCCTGCAAATATTTCAAAAAATTATTTTATTTTATGCTACAGTAACCCAAAAATCAAAAAAAAAAAAAATCAAAAAAAAAATCCTCACCGGATAAACCGCGTTGGTCAGATCCATGTTCGTGGCATTTCCAGCCTTCTTCAAGGCTTCCAAAATCTGATTTTCTCTCAACATCCGATGCTGCACGTACTCTGTAATTTTTCCCTTCGGGTCTTCGATGACTTTCCCGTGACCTGGGAAAATTCTTGCCGAATTTAGGTCCAACAGTACGTCGAGACTCTTCATATAAGTGTGGAGACATTCAAACACCGTGCTGCCTTCGCCTGAAATGCAATTTTCTTCAATTTTTGGGCACAATATGCGCAAACCTTGATTTCTATTTTTTTTTCTTTCCCTAAAATTAATGTGCTGCCTATGGAAAGCTATAACTTTTTTCTGAAATTGTGATTTTTATCCGTTTTTCTACTTTATCATCAGTGTAAACGACAAAAATCCCCAAAACCCAGTGAAAACCGAAAAATCCCCCTTTGCCATAGCCATAATTTTGTTTGAAATGGCATTCTTGACCATTACTGATATTGATTTTGCATTGTAAATTCAAAAAAACAACTATAGTGGCGGACATGATCCAGTGGCAAAAAAAAGGCCATTTTGCATCCGGGAAGTGTCAAAAACGCAGCAAAATACCTCCCTCTCCGTGAAAAGACTCCAATTTCAGCTCGCTTTTGAAAATGAAGTTTTTTCACTTGGAGATGGAGGTATTTTGCTGCATTTTTGATACTTCGCGGATGTAAAATGGCACGTTTTTTACCACTGATTCAGGCCCGACACTATTGTTCTTTTTTTTCGAAATCACAATGCCAAATCAATATCAGTAATGGTCAAGAATGTCATTACAAACAAAATTATGGCTATGACAAAGGGGGATTTTTCGGTTTTCACCAGGATTTCCGGATTTTTCTCGTTTACACTGATGATAGAGTAAAAAACGGATAAAAACCACAATTTCAGAAAAAAGTTATAGCCCTCCAAAGACGTCACATTAAATTTTAGGCCATTTTCTTTAGCATCCATTCAACAAAAACACAAGATAAAGTCAAAAATTCAAATTTTCAAAAAATTTTCCCATTTTTCTTACCCAAAATACAATCCCCGCTGAACAATACTTTCTCCTCTTCCAAGAACAACGATGCATGATCCGTGGTGTGTCCAGGAGTCGCCACAATTCTCAGTGTAGCGCCCTCAACTTTGATCTGATATCCGTCATCAATGTACGTGTAGTTGCACACACCGCTTTCATCATGCTAAAAATCAAACAAAAAATAAATAAAAACACTTACAGTATCCCGTTTTAGTTTATATACGGGGAATTCGGCTCCAAAAGCGGATCTGACGTCCGAAATTCCACCAACATGATCTGGATGCCAATGCGTGATCACAATCGAGTCAAGTTCGGCTTCATTTTCGGTCAAAACCTTCTTCAGGAGCTCTATATACTTGGGGATGTTGCCCTCGCCAGTGTCGACGAGGACTCGTCTAAAACAAGGTCGTCATGTGTAATATAAAAACACGCTCAGAAATTGGCGAAATAGTGCTAAACAGTAAGACAATGACCTACTATGAGTCATAAAAATCATTTTGGATAACCAAGACTTTAATTTAGTTGTAAAACGGGATTTTTTGAAGCTAAACATCATGAATAATATTTTGATGTAAAAAAGTTGCTCAAAGACAAAAAAGTGACGTATAACCTTCAAGGTGGATTATAGCCAACATATGAAGTCACATCACCACTAAAAATGCGCATTTCAACTTTAATTTTTTCTCAAGTGTAATATAAATTTTCCTCAAAATCTCAAAAAAATTGACAAAATTTCCACTCAGTTTCTACTTTATTTCCTAAACAACTATCTACAACAATACTCTGATTCAGAGGGCGAATTCATCTCATAATAAACGCTGAAATTCCAATTATTGTTGTCACAACTCCTCCAGAGATGATGTAAATTTTCGTGTTCCTGCTCGCTTCCTGCTGTCTTTTCAGTTCTTGTTCGAATTTTGGGACAAATCGGTTTTCTTCTTGCTTCTGTCTCTCCATTTCCTCCAATATTTTCTGTTCTCTCGCTTCTCGAGCAAAAGTTTGGCTATCCTTGTAGGCGCTGTAGAAAACCTTGTCCTCCGTCGTGCGTTTCTTGAACTGTAATGTCGCAGACATATATTTCGAGTTTTGAATCAGTTTCAAGCAAATTTTGAGGCCATTTTGGAGATCTTCGTATATTACACTAGACAAAAATTGGCAAAAAATGGGTCAAAAATATTTAAAAAAAACTGCTTCAAGATTAATCGTAGGGCCATAAAATCGTAAAAAATACTAATACACAACTTTTCCATCCTTTAGCCGCACCTAAAATACGAAAAAAATCGTAGATCTAACAACACGGAGATAAATCGAAAAATTTTGAAAAAAATCGGATCCAATCTAAAAATTAAACCCCAAAAATTTGAGTAAAAGATTGCCTTAGTATCGCCGAACTGTCGGAAAAATTGTTCTGGAAATTCTTCATCTCTGATATTACTTCTGGCCCTCGTTTTCCTCTGAAATTCGACAAAATCTTCGTAAGTCAGGTCCAAATCTTCGTATTTCCGTCGATCTTTCACTGTTGTTCTCCTTGCATATGATGTGGTAGGCACTTCCTTCCCTTCTACACCCGGCCTCAGTGTCAAATCGTAGAGATATCGCTTCTCTTTGCTCGACAACACTTCATACGCATTGACAATGTCTTGAAAATGATCGTGGCTCTTTTGTGGGTTCAGATCTGGATGATGTTCTTTGGAGAGTTTGTAGAAAGCGCTTTTAACCTCCTTGTTGGACGCGTCCGACTTCACTCCGAGCACTTCGTAGTGAGTTTGCGGCGGTTTTGTGGAAAACATCCTGATGGTCAAGTATAAGTTCATGGGCCGGCGACTGAAGGAATACAGATGAGTTTTTGAGCAGTTCCCACCAAAACACATCACAACAAAGAATATGCCAGACCTTGGCAGAGATTTACAAAGTTTAGACGAGAGATTTGACATAATTTATATTCCACTAGGTGTCAGAGTCAAAAATTTCAAATTTTTAGTGGTGTGCGGTATTTTCGGCGGTCTAAACTTGAAAGGCACAAAGAACAAGGGGAACTTACTTCTTTCCAGTCCCAACAATGTAGGTATTCGTCCCTTGAAGCGTGAAAGAACCCGGGTTTTGGCCCAGCACCCTGATCACTCGTTCGCTTAGCCGTTCGATGTCATTCAACGCACTCAGCGACATGTTTGCTGGTGTATGATTCCACGAGGCCCACTTGTAAGCGAGTGCCGCACGTGCCCAGTCGAGTGAATTGGAGATTCGTCGAAGCATCACCGCTCTCCCGGTTCCAGAAAGTGATAGCACTGAAATTTCGGAGTTTGGCAAAGAAAAGGAGAATACGGAATTTGTGTGCAAACTCGATCAAACATCTAAAAAGAGAGAAAGATACAAAAGATACGAACCTGTGATAACTGTAGTTTCTGTTGTTTCAGGTCCTTTTTTCCGCCTGATATTGATGTTGTTCTTTCACATGCCTGAAAAAAAAAGAAAAAAATATTCAAATCAGTCAAAATATGATGAAATATCACTTGGTATTAAACGTTCACTGCACTTTTTACAATCAAAATAAAAAGAGAAAATAAAATCGGAAAATTCCTTTCTACACCAACGATAAAATTCTCTCCCACCACGAGAACAATGAGTGCCAAAAATTGTGGCGTTCAGTTTTGAGGCTTTATTTCGCGAAAGTTGAGATTTTTCCAAGGTATTTTGGTGATTTTACGTTGACGTTGTTGACTTTATGTCGGTTACACTGCATACTACTGCTGGTGACATCAAAATCGAACTGTTCTGCGAAAAGTGCCCAGTAACTTGCGAGGTAATACGTTGTTCTGTTATTTTCTTTTTAGTTTTAGGTAAAATACGCTCTTTAGTATTTTTCTAGAGGCTGTGAGTAATATATCTTGTCGGAATATGGGGTTTTTTTCGATGTTCGCTCGTTTTCTGCGGATTTTGGTTCAATGTCATGAACAATATATTATCCTTGCCGAGTTCGTCTTCTAATGTCTTTGTTCTCTCGTAAAACACTGTTTACTCGGTTGTATGATCGACCTCACGCCTAATGGCTTCAGGATCGACTGTAAATCCGCCTGAAAATGCCACCAAAGAAGTCCGGAGCTCAACGGCGGAAGCAGCAGAAAGATGTGTCAAAACTCGTTGAAGATCCGATTGTATGTGTTTTAAAATTTATTGATTCTGTCTTCTGTAGGTTCAGGATCCTTGTCCGGCAGAGGTCCGTGGCTTTGAAGGGCTTGAGGGGTTCAAAAAGGTCCTTCTGAAATTTCCAGAATTCGAAAATCCCCCGGATTTTCCGGAGGTGAAAAAGCCAACTGAATCTGAAGAGGGTCTTCAAGAGTTGGCGAACGAGTTGCAACTGCCAAGTAGCTATGATTTGAATGTGTTGGCCGAGGCCAGTCGGCAAACCCAGCGGCTAGAAAAGCTTGACGATGATGGTGTTCCAGAAGTTGATCAAGGTTAGTATTTTCTATTTTTTGATTGAATTTTAGGCTAAGATACATGTGAAATGAATATAAAAAGATATGTTAGTCTTTTTCGCATCTAATTAATTTGTTTCTGTCCCAAAAACCTACGGAATTTGTCAACTATTCACCTATATTACACATGACTGACCTGCTGAATTTTAAGATGTCGGATTGCCCTTTCTTTTTGGTCTGATGGAGCAATATCTTCGTGTGGATCTCCTGGATGGCCGTACGATTGTCGGACAAATGAAAGGAGTGGATCGTGAAGCCAATCTTCTTCTCAACCACTCACGGGAATATTGGAGAGATGAGGACTCCGACGATTTTACCTCCGCTTGTCTTGATTCTCGTCGCACTCTCGGGACGATTATGATCCCTGGGAAGTGTGTTCAAAATGTTTGTCTCGTCCAGCATTCGGGAAGTGCGAGATCGGTCAAAAAGTCAGTGGATTATATTGAACATATGATTGGGACTTTCAAGAAACAGAAATCACAAATTGATGCTGCTGAAGAAGCGAGAAGGCAAGGGAAGTTCGAAAAACACACCAGCTTCATCCCACAGAAAATTGAGGATTGGAATCGGGAGGTTGAAGTTCTAGCGACTGAGGACAATATTAAGTTCGCCAGACAAACGCATGGCCGAGTTATGAACTCCGGAGGCTTCAATATGGAGGTATTTGAACAAGGCATCAGTGGCTTGGCAGCTGAGACCAAAGAAGATCCTGGCGACCCAGAACAAGGGGAAACTAGTCAAGCCGCGGCTGCTCGGGTGGAGAATATTAAAAAAGCCGAGGAACTGCAAGCAAAGAAACAATTCGTCCTGGAATTGATGAAAAAACGTCAGCAGGAAGAAAAGGAGAGTAGAAATAGCGTGTTTGCATAATCTGCGAAGCTGTTGACCGAGTTTTTATATTATCCATGATGAATCTAAAAGTGTTTGGATTTGCCTGTGAAACTTTTTAATTTTGAGTGAAAAGCATCTGACTGAGTTTGTTTTTACACACGGTTGTTTTATTTTTCTCCATTTTTTCTCTTGGTCTCGTATCAAATTCTTCATATCCTCCGGTTTTTTTTTCTTTATTTGCATTGCACAGTGCAGATTTTTCGAAGCTCAAAGATGATGTCAGACAGTATTTTAATTGACTAAAATGCGTTTGAAAATGTTGATTGGGGCTTAAACTGCTAGGGTTTGAAAGATTAAGACGGAATTTTTATGGGGTCTTATCAAAAAATTAGTTATATTGTAGTAGAAGGTGCAGATAAAATAAGGCAAAAATTTTTATGAAATATTGCCTTGAGGAAGGTTTAAGGTATTGTATGATCTTTTTTGAGCTTGGAATCACTTGTTATTCATATTTTATCGCCTTTGAAACTTGACGGATATTGTTCATGACATTGCCCACGGAATTTAACTGGTATCTCTAAGGCTACAATAAATCCAAGTGCTATAAGAATAAGGGCATTTTAGTGATGTAACTAGCTGATACTAACATTCCAGAACTTTTTGGCACTATGCGGCACGGATTATTACAACAATAACATCTTTCATCGGAACATCAAAAGCTTCATTGTGCAGACTGGAGACCCAACAAATAATGGAAAGGGCGGTCAAAGCATCTTCGGAGAGCCATTTCCAGATGAGATCCACGAGGATTTAACGGTAGGTTGGAGAGAACGAAAGATATAAGCAAATTTTTATATTGTACTAGACATTAAATTTAAAATTTTGATGAATTATAGCCGGAAGTAAAGGTCTACAGTAGTAATTTGGAAGGCTTAGACGCTATTTACGAAAATTTGTTTTGCTTCGAAAGTAGATTTGCAAGCCCTGGACACAAGCGGAACGCAAAAACTGACCTCTTGTTTATCATTTCTTTCCAATTTTCTTAAAAAATCATCGGGTTACAATAAAATTTATGTTCGAAATGTTTCGCCCTTATCTTTGCTGTTTCTGATTTTGTGGTTTTTATATACTTTTTGCGATTTTTTGCATTTTTTGCCTAGTGTAATATCAAAAATTTTTTTTTGTTTGACGATTTTTGACGGTAAAATAATGAAGAATAACGAAGATTAGTAAGGATGTTTACTTTTTGCGATGTTTAGAATCTTGGTTTGCCATAAAGTTACAGTTTTTTTGCTATTTCCCATCAGAGAATGACGGTTGAGTTTTGCAACACATAGTTTCAAAAGGTCGATTAAAAGTTTTATTTTCCCACCTGATCAGCATCGAAAAGACATGCCCATCGAATGTTGCTGATTGATTGCGCATTCCCCACATGGTTTTCCGATGTTTTATTGGCTTCGTGGAAATTGGACAGAGTGAAATTCGACAGAAATAAATTGGACAGGGGGAAAATTGGATAGAATAAAATCGGACAGATTTTTTTCACTGCAAAAAATAATTACAGTGAGGGACCTGATGGCAAAAAAACGTACCATTTTGCATCCGGGAAGTATCAAAAATGAGGCAAAATGCTTCCCTCTCCATGTGAAAAAACTCTGTTTTCAAAAGCCTCTCTTTTTATGAGGGAAATGGCCCGCCCTTTAATGCGGATTTTTTTCACTTGGAGAGGGAAGCATTTTGCCACATTTTTGATACTTCCCGGATGCAAAATGGTACGTTTTTTGCCACTGGCTCAGGTCCCCACTGTAATTATTTTTTGCAGTGAAAAAATTTGTCCAATTTTATTCTGTCCAATTTCCTCTTGTCCAACTTATTTCCCTCGAGTTTCACTCTGTCCAATTTCCATGAAGCCAATAAAACATCGGAAAACCACGTGGCGCATGCGCAATCAATCAGCAACATTGGATGGGCATGTTTTTTCGATGGTGATCGGATGGGAAAATAAAACTTTTAATGGATCTTTTGAAACTTTTTGTTGCGAAAATTAACCTTCATTCTCTGAAGGGAAGTAGCGAAAAAAATGTAATTTTATGACAAACCAAGGTTCTCAACATCGCAAAAAGTAAACATCCTTACTAATCTTCCTTGTTCTTCATTATTTTACCGCATAAATCGTCAACCGCAAAAAAAATTTTTTTTGATATTATACTAGGCAAAAAATGCAAAAGAATCGCAAAAAGTTTATAAAAACCACAAAATCAGAAACAATAAGGGTATATTTTGTTCAGCACAACGCGCGAGGAATCGTCTCGATGGCGTCGAATGGCCCGGTGACCAACAAAAGTCAGTTCTTCATCACCTACGACAAGCAGCCGACCCTCGATGGGAAACATACTGTATTTGGAAAGTAAGATTTTTTTGACTTTTCCGGTTGATTCACGTGTTTTTATTTTGATTCATGATATTTTTATAAGCTTTTGGAACAGCCTGAGGCGTTCATTGGCCTACAGTAGAAAGCAATTGCTTAAAAGGGGCGGAGCTTGAGATTTTTTAAAATATTTTTGTAGAAAAAGGTATAAAATTGAAGGGAAAGGATGTGAAAAGAGTTGATTGGTGTGGTAAAGGGAATTTAGAGGGGTTTTGAGCCATATGGATGTTGTAATTGGCAAAAAAAATGATTTTTTTTGGATTTTTGATGATTTTACGCGGAATTTTGGCAAAAATAGTGGTTAAAAAAGATTTTAGAGAAAAATTGACGTATGTTTAGAGGAACAAGGCTATTTTGAATGTTTTAGTAAAGTTTTTGCGATTTTTTTTAATTTTGAATTTGAAATTTTAAAAATTTTTTCGAAATTTTTCGATTTTTTTTCGTCGAAAAAAGTTCCCCGAATTGCAGAGTGATCGATGGCTTCGACGCCCTGGAGGAGCTGGAGAACACTAAAGTGGACGCCAAGTATCGTCCGGTGGTTGAGCAGCGCATCAAGACGGTCACAATCCACGCAAATCCCCTCGCAAACGAGCTCGCCCACGCCCTGGAATAGCCCGATTTTTTGGCCGAAACAAGAACAATCTCAAGAGAAATCTCTCAGTCCCAGTTCGAACATTTATCCAGCAACAGAAACCTCAACGAAAGCGTCGATTTTTGCCGAGAAATTCAACGAGTTTCAAGACTTTTCGGCCGATTTTTCCAGAAAAAATGAGGAAATCTCGAATTTTGATGTTTTAAAGTATTGTAACAGCAAAAAATGCACGGTGGAAGTGATGGAAATTGAAGAAGATGAGGTGGCCTTTAATTATGTCATCAAAGTTATATTGCCTCAGGGGATTAAAGCCGAGAATTTTGTGGGAAATGCGAAAAGTCACTTTGAAAACGAATTTTTTAATGTAAGTTGAATTTTTTGGTGATTTTTGATTGAAAACGATTGTGAAATAGCGCGAAGATAATGTGAAAATCACTTTCAGACATCGCTAATATCAACTCAACTCCAAAAACACTGGTTTTCCCTCGATTTTGGCCATACAATGCTTTATGTCATCGAATCCGATGAATAATTTTTTTTGGATGTCCAATGTAAAAGTTTGTTCTCAATGAATCCTCTTGGCATTTGTCGACTTTTGACACGTTTTTCTTGTACATTACATATCCTTATTTATTTTTTTTGACCATCGTATCTTTGATGGTCTAGTATAATATTTTTTTGTTGATTTTTGATGCTGAATAAAGTTTGGACTGGAGTTTTTTGTGTTTATTTTTTTCTACAGGAAATTATGAAAGCCACATGGTGGTTTAAAAAAATTTAGAGGACCTGTTAAAAATTTTATGAGCAATTTTATCTTCTCCTTCCCGGACTTTGACAGTTTTTGGTCTCCGAAGAGAAATGATCAAAGTTTTGTTACTTCCGCTGCTTTGCTAATTGATTATGAGGCAAAATAGAGGCAAGAGTTCAATTTATTGTAAGATAATCAACTTCCGCACGAACCAACAAGTGGGTTTCTCTATGACTTCCCTCCGAGTTTTGGGTACTCTGTCGGCGGCCAGGATCGGTCAATATCTCGGCGGGGCGTGCAAAGCGCGAGCTAAGACTTTCAGGAATTTGTGTGTGGCCTATAGTGGCGGACCTGTGGCAAAAAACGTGCCAATTTGCATCCGGGAGGTATCAAAAATGTGGCAAAATACCTCGCTCTTCAAGTGAAAAAGCTCCGATTTCAAAAGCGCTACCGCTCTTTTTTTGTGAGGGAAAATGCGCGCCTTACAAAACGAATTTTTTTCACTTGGAGAGGGAGGCATTTTGCCACAGTTTTGATGCTTCCCTGATGCAAAATGGCACCTTTTTTGCCACTGGATTGAGGTCGTCGCTGTACTTTTCTTGTCGGTTCAAAAAAAATTATTTTGTTTATCATGCTGCACTAAATCTTTATCGTCTGCTATTTCATCTATTTCACTGTTCAAACAACCCGATTTTGCAATGTTGTTGTTCGAAATTATACGAAAAGATAACTCACTTCAAGGCCCCCCTTTTCTTATCAATTCAAAAATATAAAAGAAAAGAGTTCATTGCAAAATAAAAACCCTCCAAAATGCTGCAATTGCTTGCGATTTGCCTCGCATTCCTCTCGGCATTCGCCTTGTATGATGATAATTTGGCCCGGGACAAGTTCATTGGGCTCGCGTTGGGCGCTCATGTTGTGAATGGCACTGTGCAGAGCTGTTTGGACAAGGTTTTTGATGGTGATGTGCAGGTGAGAAGAATGGCCCCTTAGGGTGAATTTTTCAATTTTGAATTTGAAATTTTCTTTTGGCGACATTTTATACGAAAAATTTCAAAATTTAAAAAAAATATGCAAATTTTAGAATTTTTGGAAAGATTCAAATTTGGAAACGCGGATGTCGTTAGAAATTAGGATTAAAATTGTCTGTCGGGAAAATAATGTGGGTTCATCGCAGAAAAATTTCACACAGTCGCGCATCAAATTTCCAGCGAGCGTGGTAAGGCGATGATGGGTGATTATGTACAAGGTGCGACGAATCCACATTATTTTCCCGACAGACTGATAGGTCAAAAAGACAAAAAATAGCCCATCGTTGATCTGGAAATAAAAATTTGAAGTCTTATTTTCGAGCAAGCGATTTTTTTATTTTTTTTTATAAACCTAAAGTGCTGATTACATAATAAAAAAAAAATGGAAAAAAATCCATCTAAAATAGTAATTGTAATACTCAAACTTTGCCCCCCTTATCGGGGATGGCCCGATTCCTATGGCTTTTTCTGTGTTTTGCACTGTGCAAAAAGTGCAAAAAAAATGCACTGTGGGTTGGCGACAAGCGTGGGAAAAAGTTCAAAATGCACTGTGCGAAAGTGAAAAAATGTCCATGCACTTTATGAAAATGTTAAAAAAATTTTTTTGATACCCTGAAATAACATCTTGGAAAAAAATTTTAGGTCCACAAGACCTATTCAGTTCCGTGCAACAACTTGTACTCAAATGAGACCTGTCTCGCCTACATTGCGATCTACAAGAAGAGCCAAGCAATTGTCATCGGGTTTCGGTGAGTTCTTCGAAAGATTTTTGGCGCGTTAAAAATTGGAACACCCATTTCCCTGGGGGACAATTTACTGCAGCAATGGAGGGGAGGCGAATAAAACATCATTATAATTTTCAACTACTAGTACTTTGGAGTTTGTCAATTTACCAGAGATTATTATAAGTAATTTTCCGGAAAAGACTTGGTCTTTCATACAGAGGAGCTACGATTTTTATAGTACACAACATGTTTAAAAATTCATGAAAATAAAAAAAAGTTTTTTGCATAGCCCTCTTATTATCTGATGGGTTTTCAAATCGTAAGCTCAAATTTTCAATTGTTGAGCTATGTATACGTCTGTCGGGAAAATAATGAGCACTATGTCGCAGCGAAAATCGCATCGCCGACGAGAAAATGAGTTGTCTCGTGGGGAAATAAAATTGCTTTTCATTTCAGCGACACGATCAACGAAACTGAGCTCATTATTTTCCCGGCAGACTGATAAGTTTATGTTTAATATAGGATGTCTCATCTGGTGGGCAGAGCCCTGTACAGTGGCGGACCTGATCCAGTGGCAAAAAACGTACCATTTTGCATCCGGGAAGTATCAGAAACGTAGCAAAATACCTTCCTCTCCAAACGAAAAGACTCCGATTTCAATGGATTTTCTTTTTACTTTGGAGAGGGAGGCATTTTGCTACATTTTTGATACTTCTTGGGTGCAAAATGGTACATTTTTTGTCACTGGATCAGGTCCGCCCTTGCGGTCATTTTGAGCAAAAATTGGGGCCAATCCGTGACGGCAAAGAAGCCCGAAACATCATGGTCCAAAGTGGTCTAAATCCAGCAATTTTTAGAGGCACAGTATCCGGCGATCAGTTCAAGGAAGAGGTCGTAAAAACACTGTTCCGCCCGCAAGTCCGTCTCTTCCACGACAAAGTTCTGGTAGCGCAGTATTTCGCGGAGACATTCAACTTGTTCTGGTCGAAGACGGCGCTCAAAAACGACCTGCTGAAACTGGAGTTGCTGCGGCTGAATTCCTACCGTATTTGGATCACCGGCCACTCGTTGGGCGGCGCGATAGCTGCGCTGACCGCCACGCAGCTGGCCTTGTCCTATCCGCTGCTGAAGCCGAGAATTAGCTTGTATACTTTTGGGCAGCCGCGCGTCGGGAACCGCGAGTACGCGGCGCTACACAACTTGGAGGTGGAGGAGTCCTACAGAGTTGTTCATAATCAAGACTTGGTGCCGAATATCCCCTTCCCACTGATGAATTATTATCATCATGACAATGAGGTGGGTTTGTAGAGATATGATCGAATTTCCATACGATTGTATATACTGCTGTTTTCATAGCAGTCGCTCAAGTGAAAAGCAATTTGATTTTGCCGACACAATTCATTTTCTCGGCGGCGATTTTCGCTGCGGCAGAGTGCTCATTATTTTCCCGACAGACTGATAATAATAACATAGGTCCAAGTGCCGCACTTGGAGCACTTGCTCTGTGGAAAACTTAAAAGTCCTATTTTCAGATCTACTACAAGAACGACATGTCCGTGAAGAAAGCGTACGCGGTCTGCAGTGCCGAAGACCAATCCAAGCTCTGCCAAGGTGGAAATCAACCGTCCATGGAGATCAAAGACCACTTGAACTACTTCGGAATTGACGTTGAGAAACATTGCGATGAAAATTGACCTAATTTATATTACCCATGGATAATAAATTTTGCAAAAAAAATTTTTCGTTTCTGTTTAAAATTTGCAAATATTTTGTGCAACATACTATAAAGCTGGTCATGTAAGGATCTATTTTTCCCCCAAATCGCAATTTTCGGTGCCCAAAAACATCAACGCCCAAATCGAAAAATTGGCGTCGGCTTAAGACCACTGATAGTCTGTTGGGAAAATAATGAGCAATCTGCCGGAGGTGTCCCGGATGCAAAAAGAAACTTTATTTTACTGCACCAAAATTAATTTTCTTGCGATTTGTCCGATTCCACCTTCGGATAGAAAAGAAATAAACGAGATGGCTTATGGTCTTGTGGTGGTCTCTGCAGTCTTACCATCAACTCCTTCTACCTGAAAATTACCTTCAACTCCTTCTACCTGAAAATACTTGGCCTTCCAAGTGGAAGGTTGCGGATGTGGACGGCGGGTAATCGATTGTTTTCGTACCACTTTGAAATCAAGACGAGAATAAACGATAATCAACTCGAATAGATAACTTTATCAAGAAGAGTAACAAATACTAAAAATAAAATTAAAATAGCAATTCAAAGCAATAGCAAAAACACAACGCTACAACAACACTCTACACGACCACTGCTACAACAACATACAATACAATACACACGATAACTGATCAATCAAGATGGGATAAAACCTCAGAGAAGGTTACGGTTCCGTGATTCAGACGCTTCGCTGCGGGATCTCTCCATGGAACATTCTCGAACATCGGCGAAAAACAGCTGGGGAAACAGATGACACGGGGACATCTCTCCCTCCATAAATTCCATCGGGTTGACACATCGTGGATAACCCCAGGTTCAGTGGAATCGACACGATTTTCGATGCGACAGAATGCTCATTATTTTCCCGACCGACTTTTACACAGGTGAACTATGAATTTCTGAAACAAATTTGAGTTTGCGATTCGCAAATGTATCGGTGATACGAATGTAATCTTTTTTCCGAGGCACTATTCAAGATGAGGAGAGGTGCATGCAAAGAACAAAAAAAAATTATTTGTTTTTTTTATTCCGCGAATTTTTAAACATGTTGTGGCCTGTAAAAAAGTGCACTTCCTCTGCACTAATGACTAATTTTTTTCGGAACCTTACATGTAATAATCTACTGGAAATTGAAAAATTTCCAAGTACCATTATATTATACACTGAAAGAAAAAACATCATATATTTTTGATGTTTTTCATCAGTCTATTAGAATTTGATGAAAACATCAAAAAAAGTTTTTTTGATGTTTCGTTTCATCAAAAAGAAAAAAAAATACGATATTTTTTTTTGATGTGGGGCACATCAAAAATTTTTGATGTTAGGAAAATCAAATATTTCTGATGGATAATTTATCAAAAAACCATACAAATACTGCTATTTACACAATTTATTCGAATAAACCGTTTGTAAAAACACAATTTAAGTCAAATTACAGTCATAGCAAACCTTGACTACGTCGCGTTTAACTCCATGGAACGGCCGTTTCTTGCGCTGATCCAAGACGACGATTGGAAGAAAGGGTCGGGTTGATTGCGTCGAAGTTGAACAAGTCATTACCAACATCATTACCGTCGGGCATCTGCATCGCATGGCCTAAAAATAAAACCTACTACAATATAAATAACTCACCCGTTTGATGAATTCCGGCTTCTGATCGGTCAAATACTGTCTTTCCATTGGTGATCCAGCGTCTTGACGGCCCAGCTCTACAAATAAACAATATTATTTTGACTATCACCAAGCGCAGATCTAATCGAAACGGGATCAGGGAGCTCCATAGACCGTATTTAAAAAATCTCTGGACAAAATTTCGGAAAATTTTTGGAATTTTCGACATTTCCCATCACGTATGCCCAAACACCAAGTACAATATAAAAAAACTCACAATTTAGGTCCGATAAACGCTTGGTTCCTCCGGTATGACTATTTTGTCGTCAAAAACGCTTTTGCGGACTGGATAAACGTACGGGAAGGCGGTATGCTCTTCGTCCAGCATACACAAAGCTCAGGTCCAAACCAGCGAAGGCGGATAAGCATAACATGCCCAGCAATAAAAAAAAATTAATCTGAATTCCAAAGAATTACATAATTCAGAGACTAAGCTTACCTCAGTCTTCGTTGCGATTTAGAGTATCTGCTTATCATTGCCGCCCAAATAAGTGATCTAAAAATTAAAGAAAACAACAACAAAACTCGCTTACCTGATCTACAATCCTGACAATCACGATCTTTTACAAGAAATCGACGATTTATGAGGCATCTTATCGTGTAACAACCAACTTTATAAAAATTCGACTGATTTCCTTTTTCTGTGTTGTGCGTACGCACATGTGTGTCCTTCCTTTGGAGTTCAATTGGCAAATTGGAATTCGATAAACCCAAAAATCAAAAAAATTTTTTTGATGAAAACATCAAAATTCCAGCTTTTGATGTCGTGGACATCATAAATGCGTGATGTTTTATTTTGATGAATTTGAATTTGATGTTTTTTCTTTCAGTGTAGTTGAAAATTATAATGATTTTATTCGCCATTGCTGCAGTAAACTTTCCCCCAGGGAAATCGGTTTGGTGGAAACGTGAGGCGCGAAAGGGCGGTACTTGAAGTGCCAAGTGCCCAGACAGAATTATTTTGATCTCGTACTAGTATGTATATTTTTGTAAAGTGCATGGACATTTGTCACGGTCCGCACCATGCGCAAAAAAACTGCCATTTTGCATGTCGCCTTTTTTTTGGTTTTTGTACTGTGCGGCGAAATAACAAAGTTTCAACTACTAGTCGTTCCATAAAGTGCGTGGATTTTTTTTGTCGCAAATTTTCCTAAAGACTTGGTGCTATATAGTACTATCTGATACTATGTAGTACGAGGTGAAAATATGACTTTTGACGTTAATGGTGTTGTTCTGGTAATCAGTAGTTCTATTTTTAAACCGCAAGTTGCCGGAAAACCGGCAACTGGCTCTATGCGGTGTGAAAAAAGGCTGAAAAAAGTCTACGCACTTTCTGGAACGACTTGTAGTATAGTACAAAGGAACGCTTCCGAGTTTGACACTCCAATTTTCTTTCGAGAATAACATTACAACAAATAATGTTCATGGCGTACGTTTCACAGTTTTAAAAATGAGCTGGCTGGATGTTTTATGCGTTTGGATAGCATGAGGTGTTAATTAGAGCGAGGTTTTTTTGTTTTTACAGGGGAAGTAAATACTCAAGTGTGACGATCAAATTTTCTTTAAACTTTGCTCCCGCTTCGGGCATAGGCCACACATCGATTCATGAAAATTTTCGGATTAGGTCCGGTTTTGCCCCCAAGACGTTTTTGGCCCCAAACCGGTTGTGGCTGGGCAGATTGTGGGTCAATTGGCGTTGGTACAAGCTGCATAGTAATTGAGGTACTACATATTAGAACTTGATTACTATATTCAATTTCTAAAATTAAAAATTATGCATTCAGAAGTGAATGCTGTTGGTTTGAAGCCCAGTACTGCTCAAAAAATATTTTTTTAGCACTTGGTACTATATAGCACGAGGTGAAAATGAAGCCAAAGCGCGTTAATGCTGTTGGTTTGAAGCCTAGTGCTGCTCAAAAATGCCGTTGGTTTGAAGCCTAGTACTGCCCAAAAAATGTGTTTTTAGCACTTGGTACTATATAGCATAAATTTGTTTTTTGCACAGAATGAACTTCTGATCAGTACTGCATACTAAAACAACGGCATTAACGCGTTATGGCTTAATTTTTACCTTGTGCTATATAGTACGAACTCGTACCATACAGTACCAAGTCCTTAAAACATATTTTTTGAGCAGTACTGGGCATCAAACTGACAGCATTAACATCTGAATGCATAATCTTTAATTGCACTGGAGCCATCGCGGCAATTCCCGTTTTTGCACTAGCGACCTTGAAAGTTGCTCGCTGCAACTTTCGCGCGCGACATAAATGTCTCGGACTTTATGGCGCCACTAGTACTAGTCGCGTCATAAAGTCCGTAGAATTTTTCACACTGCGTTTTCTTTGCGCGTCGCTGCAACTGCTCCTTTTTTGGCATTCACTTTTCTGCGAGCACACCCCGCGTTGCCGCCGAAAACATCCTTTTTTTGGCGATGCGAGACATTTTTTCATCTTCCCGACAGCCTTATAGTATTAATTTTAGAAAATTGTGTCAATTTTTAGTCTCCGAAAGTCCAAAATTTGTCTAAATTTGGTGCCAAGTTCAATTAAAAATTTGAACTTGGGTTACTTGATTACTTCCCTTTGTTAATTCAAAGTTTCGTGTGGTGACCTTACCGTAACCTATTAATTTGTCGTTTGTTTACACAATCTCTTCGTGTCCCAAAATATCGCAATGTTTTGGAATGGCACTCACGTTTCTGGGCCAAGGCCTTTTTTTCTCAAAAAGTAGCGCGGCCAAGATCTTTTTCCGGCTTGAATAGGGGTAATTTTGAGTTTGGCGACTTTCATGAAAGACCAACAAGGAGGGACAATTTGTGGGAGTCCCATGTTATTTAACTTGTGATTTACTATTTTTTCTGTAGGGATTAGATTACTTGACCGTTTCAGTTCGAGTTCAAAGATCAGGCTTCGGGGGGACTTGAACTTGGTGGGTTCGCGGACTTGAACTCAGGTTTTGTCGAGCTTTGATAGTACATATATAGCATCGTTCTGTCGGGAAAATAATGAGCACTTTGTCGCAGCGAGAATAACGCCGCCGAGAAAATGAATCGTGTTGCGGAAAAATCAAATTTCTTTTCACTTTTTTAAAAGTTTATAGCCGGATTAACACAAAGAAAACAAAAGTAAAAACGGCACATGATTTGAGCTTGGAAAGACTCCAATCTGCAACCTTTTGCGAAAAAAACGAGCGCACTGACCACTCGGCCACTGCTTCACACTTAATATCGCTCCTTTTCCGGGATCCCTGCACGTCAAACTGATCGTGAGATAAGCTAAAACAGGTGAATGGATTGGCAATTTGCCAAAAAAAGACGCGAAAAAACGTTTTGTCGGGGGAGAAATGGGGAATTTTTGGGGCGAGAGAGTGCGCTTTTGCGTGTCTTTTCTCTCTCTCTTTCTCTGCGAAATCAAGACGAAGTGTAAAAAACCGATAGCGAAGGGTCTATTCCGGTCACCGGACTCCTCAGTTTGACGTGCCCTGTCCTTTGATTTTCGTCCAAACTTTGAAGCCGATTTTCTCGGCTCTTTTTCTCGGCCGCGCAGAAATTTCCCCTGATGAAAAAAAGCTTGTGTCGCAGCGGTATTGCATTTGCACGGTGCAAAAGATCAAATGCACCCCGCAACCCGGGGTTTTCGAGGAAAAGCGACCCACGTCAAAAAGTCTACGCATATTTGAAAAAAAACGTAATACAGTGCGGGGAGCGAAAAAATTTCCATGCACTTTATGAATTTACTATAATAAAAAATAATAAAAAAGGTCCATCTCGTCCATATGAAGGTCCCAAAAGTCCGACCTAAGGGATGAACTTGGGTTGTTGTTGTTGTTCCATTGATCCATAATAATTTCTCGGAAGCCCTAAGCCCATGATCTTTCCTGTTTTGCGAACATTCTTTGGCCCATAAAAGGACTAATTGACGCCTTTTAAGGGCCCTCCTTTCCCCGGGATTGCCAATAATTTCGGATGAACTCCATTTAGGCCGGCTTTTCGTACCGTAGGGCGCTCCGGAGTGGTCGACCGACCAATCTGAAGCAGGCTTCGAACAGGACGCTCGGCTTCGAACAGAACGCTCGGTTTCGAACAGAACGCTCGGCTTCGAACCGAACGTGATGCCACTTTTCCCAGCACACACTCAAAACTCCACCGCTTACATTTTTTCGCGTTGATGTTGCCAATTAGCGCTTTGTACTCCACGGAAACCCCCCTCCGAACTTTTAATGGCCGCGGTTTGGGGATGCTTGCAGTTTGGTGTTGAACCTGATTCATCGCAGAATTTGTAGTTAATTATCTCTCGGAATGACTAATATTCGTCACTTTTTTCCGAACTTTTTATGTTATCATCTTGTACCAGTCATGCCAGGTATCTTCCAAAGAATTTTCACAGTAAACTTTTTTGTTCTGCGACTTCCGGTTTTTGCACTCGCGACATGCACTTTTCCCCATGCCTTTTTTTAGCAGTCTGTCGGGAAAATAATGTGGATTTGTCGCACCATGGAATCTCGCATCATCGCTTCGCGACGGTTTTCCAAGGCTGAAAATTTGGTGCCCGACGGCAAGAAAGCGAGGCATTTTTTGCCACAAGTCCACATTATTTTCCCGACAGACTGATAAATGTATGCGCGGGGTGTACCGAGCTTCGACGGCTAGCCGCGGCTGTAGATTTAAGCGATCGCGATGGGGCAGAAATAAAAAAATTTTTTTGCGACGAATCCACATTATTTTCCCGACAGACTAATAGGCAATTTCTCAAAAGTCCGTCGATTTTTCTTATCGCCGACGCACAGTGCATTTTGCCTTTTTTTCGCACCGTGCGCCTTTTCGAATGATTTGGCACCGTGCGGTTTGTCGCGCACGAAAAATTTGCGACGAGTTTGAAAGATTTCCTTGCGTCGCGGCCATTTTTCGCCCGCACGGTGCAAAAAACTCAAACGCACAGTGCGAAATAATTTGAAATAAGGTCGCACCGTGCAGAAAGAGGCAGAATGCACTGTGCAGTTTTCTTTGTCCTTTCGATTTTGTCGCAGCTATTGGTCTGTCGGGAAAATAATGAGCACAATGTCGCTGCGCCAAGTGTGTCGCCGAGCTGAAAAGAAGTTTGATTTTGCCGCGACACAATTCATTTTGGCGATGTGATTTTCGATGCGACAGAGTGGTCATTATTTTCCCGACAGACTGAAAATTCCATTTTTTCCACAAACGACATGCATTTTTTCGCGCGACATCGCCAAAAAAACTGCCCGAACTTGATTGCGAGTAGTCTCTCGCGATCAAGTCTGTCGGGAAAATAATGTGGATTTGTCGCGCCTAAGAATCGCCCATCATCGCATCGCGACGGATAGCTGTAGATTCTATAGATTCGGTATGTGAGTTCACTGTGCACTGTGCAAATCGTCATAACGAATTTTATCAGTCTGTCGGGAAAATAATGTGGATTTGTCGTGCTTCGGAATCGCCCAATATTTTTTTATGACCGCTAGCCGCAACTGGAGATTTGCTGCGCGACTGTAAGACATTTTTTCGCGACAAATCCACATTATTTTCCCGACTGAAGTTTTTTCGAAATAGTGCATTACATGTATATGTTTCCCATATACATATATATGTTTCCGACCTCTCATCACTTTTTTAAAAACAAGCGGTGTATAAATACACCTAGATAAATATATCTAACACAAACAAATCTCGGTTTAATTTTGCATGCCATGCCCTCGGCCGAGCGTAGGCGGCCCTCGGAGTCTCCATTTCTCGGCCGTGAAAAGTGTGGCGAAAAAGATGATTTTATCTGACTTCTCGGGGGCGGTTTCTTCGCCAGATTATAACTCCTTTCAACTCGTGAGGAAGATTTCTCAAACGAATTGGCGCCGACAAATTACGGTGCTTCCCGTGAAACATTCATTTCACCGAAACGTTGGGCCCAAATTCTCACTTCTTTGCATTTTTTGGGGCGGCGGAAGCGAGGTGGACGCTCTGGCGGTGGTTATCGGTTTGTCGGGAAAATAGTGAGAACAATGTCGCTGTCACGTCGCTGGGATGAAAAGTGATTCGATTTTGTCGCGACACAATTCATTTACTCGCCGGGGATGCGATTTTCGCTGCGACATAGTGCGTATCAGTCTGTCGGGAAAATAACGGCGGATCGTCGCGCCTCGGAATCGCCCATCATCGCTTTGCGACTGCAAGCCGCGGCTTGGGATTTGGTGAGCGATAGCGGCGAGGCGAGACGTTTTTCTGCGACGATCCGCCGTTATTTTCCCGACAGACCGATATTATCTTCCCGAGGGACTGAGAGTGCCCTCATAAGTGCATGGACATTTGCCGCGGCCCGCACTGTGCATTTTGAACTTTTTCCATGCTTGTCGCGAACGCACAGTGCATTTTATTTCTTTTTTTCGCATCATTTTCCCGATAGACTTGGGGCAGAGTAGGGCCATGATATAGGTCTACGGTGGTATGCACCTTATGTTGTGGAGCCTCAAAAGCCTCCACAATTCCCACAGAAATTAGCATAAACCAAGTCATATAAAAGCTATGTCTCGTCACCAATTAGATTTATTAATCTGATCTCTGTTTCCTTTGTGCGCTGTTGTCAATAAATCATACTTCTAACTTGTGTCTACTATTCCCTTTACCTACTAGGCGTTCCAGAAAGTGCGTGCACCTTTCGTCGCAAATTTTCCGCACTGTGCATTTGACCTTTTGCACCGTGCAATTCAAAAATCGCAGCGACATAAGCTTTTTTCAATTCTGTCGCCGCGCATTTTGGGCGCGCGACGACAATTGCACAGTGCAAAAAGAAGAAAAATGCACTGTGCGCCGCGAAAAAAAGTGCACTCACTTTCTGGAACGACTAGTATCAACGTTTGATCCTACCCACACCTTTCTTGTTGGTGACAAAAGCTGCGATCTCCAGCATTAATATATATTTTTACAAGGCTACCGGGCCTGCAAATACTAGTTGAAAAATTTGGGATCGTGGGGGCCGGACTTTCCTTTTTATAATATCAGTAAGTCGGGAAAATAATGCGGATTTGTCGCAGCAAAATATCTCGACCCGTTGCAGTCAGAGTGGACACTACTTTCCCGACAGACTGATAAGAAATACTTATTTTTTCGAGTTCAATGTAAGCACTTAGTGCTTTCTAATCTCACACTTTAATGTATTTTGGTCTAATTCTCTCAATTTGGAGCTAGGCGCGGGTTGCACGAAAAGTCTGCAGATTCAATTAGTGTTGTGGGCCAGATACGGGTTGGACTCATGTCATTATTCGGATTCAATTTTTGTCTGTTTTTATTTTATTTTTTCTCCTGCGGAAAAAATTCAAATAATTATTGCTTTACAGTACTGTATACATAAAGAAAAAAGTAACTATCAAAAAAAATGAATGTCATATTCGAAATCAGCACCCTCGATTATCCTAATTTCACACTTGCATCGAAGAAAAATAATACTTTTCGGCTTCCGCAAACGTCCCAGTTCCGTTGATTGTTTGTCGCGTGGCGGTTGTTTTATCAGTCTGCCGGGAAAATAATGGCGGGTGGTCGCATCAAAATTTCTCGCCTCACCGCTATCGCGCACCAAATCTTCAGCCGCCGCCGCAAAGCGATGATTGGCGATTCCGAGACGCGACGATCCGCCGTTATTTTCCCGACAGACTGATATCGCGCAATGACATTTTGTAGTGCCGCGAAAACGGTCAAAAGAAATGACAAGCCTTTCAGATTCGCCTAGTATTTTTCTTGACCAAAAACTTGATGAGTTGACGCGTTGTGAACAAGATATCTTCATTCATATCTTAAATACCTTCATTTCACCCCTTCCCATCCATTTCAGGCCTTTCGCCCAGCACCGACAGTCGGCATGTCGTTTCGAACCACCAGTTTCAACTTCGAAGTGGCCTCCTGCATTCTGGGCACCATCTTCAACGCCCTGCTCCTGTGGGTGGCGGGCCGCTCCACGAAGAAGTCGGTGGTGTTCAGCGAGTTCAGCAAGATCGTCAAAGTGAACGTGGCCTTCGACGTGTACCTGATCGTGAGCACGATCAGCTCGGGCGCGCAGATCGACACGCAGGGCGGCTACTTCTTCATGGTGGATGGCTACGATCGGCGGGGAATGCCGCCGCTGGCGAACATCATGTTCGGCTGTCTGTGGTGCTCGTCGATCGGGTTCGCCGCGCTGTACGGCGCCCTGCCCATGTATTTTCGCTATGTGACGTTTTGCAAGTGAGTGATAATATTATATAATAAGTCGAGTTGAATGCGGCCATAACGGCTCGGGCATGAGGGAACCACAAAAAATATTTTAAAAAATCAGTGTGTCGGGAAAATAATGAGCACTCTGTCGCAGCGAAAATCGCATCGCCGAAGGGAAAATGAATTGTGTCGCGACAAAGTAATTTTTTTTTCACTTCAGCGACAAAGTGCTCATTATTTTCCCGACAGTCTCATCGCCGCAAAAAACCCTCGGAATTTGTCGCGACCGCAAAAATTCGTGCTCAGACCGCGATATCGCACGTCGCGTTTGAATTATCGCTCGAAAAAATGGGAGTCGCGCGCGACATAGGGCAAAAAATGGAATTGCACGGTGCGAACGCACTTTTTGTCGCGGATGCACGGTGCGAAATGCGATTTTCGAAAAGCGACATTATCGCGCGAAATGCACAGTGCGGAGTCGCGGAAAATTCCCAGGACTTTTTGTCGCGATATCTAGCCCACTTATCGGTCTGTCGGGAAAATAATGTGGATTTGTCGCAAAAAAATCTTGTCGCTATCGCGACCCAAATCCTCGTCGCTACCCATCGCAAAGCGATGATTAGCAATTTCAACCCGCGACAAATCCACATTATTTTCCCGACAGACTGATATATCCAATATGGGGAAGCCTTCCAACTATTATACGATAATATAGCCGCAATTTTCAGAGAAGAGACGGTCTCCACTGTCCGAATATTCTTCTGGATCATGGCCGTCGTTCTGACCGCCGTCTGGAACAGCTCATGGGCACTGCATTCGGCTTGCGACAATCTTCACCAAACCGAGAACTTGACGAAACTTTTGGATCGCGACTTTTGGGCATTGCCTGATGGGGAGATGCCTTTCGTTAGTGTGGTTTCGTTGGTAAGTTGCTGGAGCTCAGTGTCAACGAAAAAAATTATTATAAAAAAAAATTGAGAACGATTGTTAAAAAGTGCGTAGACTTTTTGTCGCAAAGCTCTTTTTTGCACTGTGCAATTCAAAAATCGCCGCGACATGACCTTTTTTTCACCTCTGTCGCCCGCTTTTTATCAGTCTGGCCGAAAAAGAATTGTCCTCCGCGCCCCCCTCCGTCGCACTCTCTCCAAACCCCAATTTGAAATTTGGAGGGCGTCGCCGAAAGAAAGAGCAAAAACGACGCATCGCTGGCGATAAAAGTGTGTTTTGCACAGTGCAAACGGCTTTTTTGCACTGTGCAATCAACAAAATTCCCCAAATTTTGGCGATTTTCTCTCGTCGCGCGCACTTTTGCGATGCATCGCTCAAACTTTCGGTGCCGCTCATTTTCGAGGTTGCGATTTCGATGCTGCGACGAGGGTAATTCTTTTTCGGCCAGACTGATAGCGACAAAAATTGCAAAAAGAAGCAAAATGCACTGTGCGCCGCGAAAAACGGTTTTTATCGCCGACGCACAGTGCATTTTGCTTTTTCGCACTGTGCGTGCGAAAATTCCTTCGCTTTTTCGCACTGTGCGTGCCGCTTTGGGCCATTTTGCACTGTGCAAGGGTCTGTCGCGATCGCAAAATTCGCAGCGACGCAGGGAAAAAAGGTTTTGTCGCAGCAATGTTTCGATTGCACAAAAAGTTCTCATCGCCGACGCACAGTGCATTTTGCTTTTTCGCACTGTGCGTGCAGTTTTGAGTCATTTTGCACAGTGCAAGGGTCTGTCGCGATCGCAAAACTTGCGGGGAAAAAAGCTTTTGTCGCGGCGATGTTTCGATTGCACAAAAAGTTCTCATCGCCGACGCACAGTGCATTTTGCCCGCCTTTTTGCACTGTGCGTGCCGCTTTGAGACATTTTGCACAGTGCAAGGGTCTGTCGCGATCGCAAAATTCGCAGCGATGCAGGGAAAAAAGGTTTTGTCGCGGCGATATTCCCGCTGCACGGTGCAAAAGGTCAAATGCACAGTGCGGAATGGTTTGAAAACGGGTTGCACAGTGCAAAAAGAGGCAAAATGCAAAATCTCAAATGCACGGTGCAGAACAGTGGCGCGACAAAATGTCAAAAAATTGTTGAAAAACTTTTTAATGCTCCTGGTTGTTTCAGACAAATCTTGGCGGGCTTATGTTCGCCGCTTCCTGCACGGTCAGCTTCACATTTGCCACTTCGTTCGGCTTCTATTTGGTGATGAAAATTCGGGCGCGTCTGGACGAGATCTCGAAGAGCGCGCTCTCGGACAAGACGAAACGCCTGCAAGCGCAGATGAATCGGATGATCATCTTTCAGGTAAGGGGGGTGTCATATGCGACAACGCTTTTGCATCATACCGACATTTTTGTCAGAAAAAATACTTTTTGTCGGGAAAATAATGTGGATTCATGGTGCCTTGGGATCATCGCTTTGCGACGTCTGGGGACTTGGTTTGCAACCTTTTTTTGCTATTTGTCGCAGATTTTTTTTCTGCGACAAATCCTCATTATTTTCCCGACAAACTGATATCAAGGATTTTCGGCCCACCTAGTGCTATTTTTACCGCAAAATATCATGTGAAAATCATAAAAAATTTATTTTTAGCCCCTATTCCTTTCGAAATCCCTTAGATTTCGTTTATTTTCGTCTCCAGCGAAGGCGAAAAGTTTATCCCCTCAATATTGCAATTATGATCCCTTCAAATGCAACCGGCCCCGGTCTTAAGGCCCCCCTTGAATAGCACGCCAAATTACAAGCCTTTCTGTCGCGGCAATTAAGCGCAACGTGAGCGGAATGTTTCATATTTAAGGGCCCATTCAGGAGGGTTTGCATGCATTCATTGACTCCGGGAAAATTGGAAAAGAATTTGTCGGAAAAGGTTCAAATTCCCTTCAGTTTCCGCAAAATAGAAGCAATTGGCGAGATTGTTCGCACCTTAGTTCTGAGAATCATTCCGAAAACATTGAAGATAGCAAGCTAGAAAGAGAGAAAAAATACGGCAAAAATTTGCAAAAAATTAGGTGCACGGGGGCCAGAAAACGGAAACTTGTACTTATTTGTGGCAACAAAGCGACACTCAGATTTTGATGAAACTTGGCACAAATTTGGAATAACATGCTCTATCAGACTGTCGAAAAAATAATGTGGATTTCTTAGTCTGTCGGGAAAATAATGTGGGTTTATCTGCCTGTCGGGAAAATAATGTGGATTTATCTGCCTGTCGGGAAAATAATGTGGATTTTATGTCCGTCGGGAAAATAATGTGGAATTATCAGCCTGTCGGGAAAATAATGTGGATTTTATGTCCGTCGGGAAAATAATGTGGAATTATCAGCCTGTCGTGAAAATAATGTGGATTTATCAGTCTGTCGGGAAAATAATGTGGATTTTCCGTCTGTCGGAAAAATAATGCGGAATTATCAGTCTGCCGGGAAAATAATATGGATTTATAAGTTTATCGGGAAAATAATGTGGATTTATCTGCCTGTCGGGAAAACAATGTGGATTTCTTACTCCGTCGGGAAAATAATGTGGATTTATCTGCCTGTCGGGAAAATAATGTGGATTTATAAATTTGTCGGTAAAGTAACGAGCACTCTGTCGCAACGAAAATCGCATCGCCGCCGATAAAATGAATTGTCTCGCGACAAAATCAAATTGCTTTTCACTTCAGCAACATGATCGGCGAAATGCGCTCATTATTTTCCCGACAGTCTGATATGAAAAGATACGAAGATGTGGATGGTACTAGTTAGTATTTTACGGATGTTTTGGTGGCTTTTGGCATGACAGATTTTGCTACATCCAGCGATTTGTCAACTTCTTCCCGAAACAGAACGGAAATCGAGGCCCCTCTGTTTGACGTTCAAAAACAACATGTTAAGCAAGCGATATGGGCATGAAAATAAAACACCTAGAGCAGAAAATTACGAGGAATTTAACGGTGTAAAAATTGTTTGGCTACACCTCAAGGTTTTCGCGGTAGCACCCATGGAAAAATTTTCAATTTTTTGGTCCACCCTGTATTATGTCGGCAGCGATGCGATTTTCGCTGCGACAGAGTGCTCATTATTTTCCCGACAGACTGATAAAACTATGCCAACACCCAAAGCATAACAGGGACTTTCCCGGATGGATAGGCACAAAGAAAACATGTATATATTGTAAATAGTATCCAACCCATTTTCTAATCGCTCCTGTTTTCAGCTGGTTGTCACCGTGGTCCTCGGCCAGCTCCCCGTGATCCTGACCGCCGGCCAAATGCTGGCCAAGACCAACCTGCCCAGCGAGTTCAACATCATCGTGGGCTGCATGGACCCGCTGCTGCCGGTGGTGAACCCGATCGCCGACATCCTGTTCGTGGACGCGTACCGCCGCCAGCTCTTCTCGCTGCCGCGCCGGATATGGAGCCGGCACTCGGTGGGCGACACCTCCACCGAGCTGGACAAGACGAAACGCCGACTTTCCGTTGTTAGTTAGGTGTGAAATTGCACCGTGTGAGGATTGTCAAAGATTCTCCGGCCTGTCGTCTTACTGTTTATATACACTTGTTTTGCAATTGCTATCGGAATGAATGGGCCTTCTGAAGAATAGAGCCTCATACAACAAAACCTGCCTATAATGAAGAATTTCGGAGCTCCTAAAGGTCAATTTTGGGCCGGAATAGACCTCCGTACAGCCACATCCTCCCTATAACGAATATTGGCATTTTCATTGCATAGATGTTTTGTCGCGGGCCGCACAAGCTTTATGAAAATACTACTATCAGAAACAAGCTTTTTTCCACGCATTTTCCGTGCGTTGATTGCAAAACGTTCACCCTGTTTCCCTTCGAATTTTGCTCACCGTAGATCGCAACTTTTCCCTCACTTGTCACCGTTGTAACTCTCTCGAGCCACGTCACCTTATTCAAGATGCAATTTTCAGCTGGCGATCAAGCACATCCCAAAAACCTCCTACATTTACTCCCTCTTCACGAAATGGGAACGCACCGAAACCGGCGTTTCCAATTGACTCCCCCTGTCTTTGCCAGAGCTCTTTGACTGTATATTATATTACATTTGCCTGTATAATGAATTTTAATAAATAATTACGACTTCGGAGCAGTGTGCGTTCGAGTTTTAGGGCACTGCGATTGCAACAAAAAGAGTATGCAAAATGCGGAGAGATAGTCAAATAAAGACTGGAAGAGACATACTATTACATATATTGGTCTGTCGGGAAAATAATGAGCACTCTGCCGCATGAAAAATCGCATTGCAGAAAACAAGAATTGTGACGCGGCAAAATCAACTTGCTTTTCACTTCAGCGACGTAATTAATCGAAAACCGAAGAGTGCTCGTTATTTTCCCGACACTGCTAGCATGTCTCCTATACAGTGACCGATTTAATCCAGTGGCAAAAAGCGTACCATTTTGCATCCGGGAAGTGTCAAAAAATGTGGCAAAATACCTCCATTTTCAATAAAAAACTCCGTTTTGAAGGGCCCTTACAAAAAGATCGGGCGCGCTTTTGAAATCAAAGTTTTTTTCATTTTGGAGAGGGAGGCATTTTGCTACAGTTTTTGATACTTCCCTGATGTAAGATGGTACGAAATTTTTCCAACGTTCGAAATCGAGGCCCCTCTGTTTGACATTCAAAAACAACATGCTAAGCAAGCGATATGGGCACGGAAATAAAACACCTAGAGTAGAAAATTACGAGGAATTTAACGGTGTAAAAATTATTTCGCTACACCTCAAGGTTTTTGCGGCAGGACCCATGGAAAAAATTTCAATTTTTTTTGGTTGACCCTGTATTATGTCGGCAGCGATGCGATTTTCGCTGCGACAGAGTGCTCATTATTTTCCCGACATACTGATATGTAATGGTAAAACGATTTGTAATCTTCTCTTTTGTCACATCAAACCGATTCACTTGCAAAAAGTTCCATGGTCCAAAGAGTCCCGCTTCCTCCATCTGCACATGCTAATCACGGCGGACATGTGGCAAAAATCAGACACCCATTCTTCAAACTGCCCGTGTAGAACGTAAAATGAAATGAAAAGGAGCGAAAAACAAGGATAAAGTAACATCAAAACGGTCCTCGTTCTTTGTTCGCGATGAAATTCCTTACGATTTTGGTCGTCCTTCTCTGCTGCCGCCTTATTGCGGCATACCCAATTCGAGGTCGAATCATGTGCCAGAAGGGAGACGGGCTGGTTCCGTTGAACAAGGCAATCGTGGCGGTCCGAGACAATCAAGGATACAACTTGGGGTACGTATACTACATACATATAATATCAGTCTGTCGGGAAAATAATGAGTCACAGCAAAAATCGCATCGTAACCGAGAAAGAGAATTGTGTTTCGGTGCTTTTTTTAAACTGCTTTTTACGTTAGTTAAAAAAAATGAAACTCCCATCTCAAGCCGCAAAGAAGATCTAGCCTGTTACAAACTTTTGACGCTCATATATTATATATAATTAAAGCCTAATTTAGCTACCACAGCAACACCGAATCGGACAAGTTTGGGAAGTTCTACCTGGATGCCATCAGTTTTGCGACAACAAGCACACTAGAACTGGAAGTTCACCATTTGAATTGCGGAGAAGCGCAATTCTTTAAGAAGCCCTTCACCGGCGCCGACGAACAATATGATTTCGGCGATGTTGTGCTCCAATCCTGATTTCAAACATATTCTGAGTCTGTATCACTTTTTTTTGATATATGTCACGACCTGTAACTCCATACCCCATAGAAGTATAATACTTCCCTTGTTAGAAAACATTATTCTAACAGGGGAAGTACTCCAAGTGCGACGCTCAGATTTTCTTTAAATTTTGCACAGACGTCGGGTATGGACTAAATATGAATTCCTGAAAGTTTTAGCTCGCGCTTTGCAGGCGCCGACGAGATATCGACCGATTTTTGCCGCCGAGAGAGCACGCTAAATGTGGAGAGCGGTCAAAGAGAAAAGCGCTTTTTGGCCATAACTTTGACAGTTTCGAGCGGAAAAATTTGATTTTTTGTAGAAACATTATCCTTTACTGTTGAAATAGGCATGAAACTTTTCGTGCCGAAATTCGGCAAAAAGTCCTAAATTTTGGCCGATTTTTGATCTAAAAATCTCGGTTGTTTCTGCAAAGCGCGAGCTAGGATTCTCGCATATATCTTAGAAAAAATTGTTCTAAATTTGTGCCAAGTTTCATCAAAATCTGAGCGTCGCACTTGGAGTACTTCCCCTGTAAATTTTCTCCAAGTTTCTTCAAAATCTGACCGCACTTCGGCTGTAATCAATTTCGTAAAATCCTCCTACCCCCACTAAATCTCATAATTCCCCCCTTCACTCGCCGTAATTACAGTGGAAGTAATGTAAGATCATGAACTTTCAGCTCGAGTGCTTTGATCCACTTTTCGTTTTCGCCACTTTCCTCCCTGAGGCGCTTTTAACTTCGCTCCGAATTATGCTTCCACAAAGTCTGGCTGTTGTTCTTTTATTTGCCTATGAAATAAATCAAATCTACGCGTTGGCGTTGACCAGCCTGATCCCGAATTACACGGACTGCCCGCAGGGCCGGCGCTTCGTCGTCGGCTACATTATGTACTTGTGCACGGTGAATGAGGAGAAGAAGCAGAGGAGCTTCAAGCCGTTCGGTAAGGGGAGTTCAGAAAGTACATATTTGTGCAAAGAATCATCACGAAAAAGTGGAGAGACTATGCAAAATGAGGAGAGACGGCCGCAAAAGCGTCTCGAACCAAGGCTCGTTACATTCGCATTTTATTTTGAAAAATTACTCATTATTTTCCCGACAGGCTCATATCAGTCTGTCGGGAAAATAACGTGGACTTGTCGCAGCGAAATGTCTCTCCTCGTCGCTGTCGCAAAATTCGTTTACTCGGCGGCGATGCGATCTTCGATGCGACAGAGTGCTCATTATTTTCCCGACAAACAGATATTAGTATTTTCATAAAGTGCATGGACATTCTTTTCATGGTGCGAAAATCTAGGATTTTTATGGCACGGACCTGGACAAATGTCCATGCACTTTATGAAAATGCTAATATCAGTTTGTCAGGAAAATAATGGGCACTCTGTCGCATCGAAAACCGCATCGCCGCCGAGAAAATGAATTGTGTCGCGGTGAAAATCAAATTTCCCTTCAGCGACACAGTGCTCATTATTTTCCCGACAGACTGATAACATGATTATTTCTATCGTATATTTTCAGCCTGCGCCACCGAGAACAATGTGAATGCGACGTTGATCAAGCCGTCCACCACTTGGAATGACCTCCATTTTCGCTACAAATGCGAGAAAGAGGACAACAAACTGACCTTGAAGCCATTGAGTAAGTGAATTTCATTTCTTATATTAGTATTTTCATAAATTGCATGGACGTTTTTTTCGCTAAAAAAACTTCCATTCCAGCCTGCCTTCTGAGCGACGTTCACGTCACCGCGGGCACAACGATTCGTCGGGCCGAGACCGAGTACAAATGCGTCCTGGACAACGAGGTCTACATGAAGCTGATTCAGAAGCGGAGTAGGTCGCGTTTTTTCGCGCTGTATATGCATTTCCAGTGCTCCACGACTTTTGCATGCCCGGAAATCAGAACGACAGCTTGCTGGAGAACGATCAGTGCCCCGGCCTGTCGATCAGCGCGATCCACGCCAAGTATGGGAGTGGGACGGCGGTTACGTTCGACGAGAAGACGATTGTGGAGGATGACAATTCTTCTGCCGCAACAACAACTAGATAACTGGATTGAATTTATGTATAATATAATATATCCCTCGAAAATGCCGTGAATTTCTGTATTTCGAATAACATCAGTTTGTCGGGAAAATAAAGTGGATTTTTCGAGCCGTGGAATCAACTGGCGATTTGTTGCGGGGCTGCGACGAGTAATTTTGCTGCGACACATCCACATTATTTTCCCGACAGACTGACAACTTTTCGCGCTTACTTATCAGTCTGTCGGGAAAATAATGTGGATTTTTTGCGCCTTGGAATCAGCCATCATGGCTTTTCGACGGCTTGTCGCGACTAGCGATTTGGTGTGCGACGGGGCGAGATATTTTACTGCGGCGTCAATCCACATTATTTTCCCGACAGACTGAAAAGTAAACCTGCTGTAATAATCGCATTGCGGAGGCCAGCCGCGGCTGGGGATTTGGTGCGCTGCTTCCACAAGACGAGATATTTTGCTCCGACAAATTATAAGTCTGTCGGGAAAATAATGAGCACTCTGTCGCAGCGAAAATCGCATCGCCGCCGAGAAAATTGAATTGTGTCGCGGGGAAATCAAATTGCTTTGCATTAGAACCGTGGATTTTCACCGGGACACAATTCATTTTCTCGGTGGCGATGCGATTTTCGATTCGACACAATGCTCATTGTTTTCCCGACAGACTGACATCAAGACTTTTCGACAAAACTTATGAAAGCCAGCTTTTCGCTCTACTGCCATGCCAAATTTCAGCCTTCTAGCGCAAACGGCTAGCGAGATATGGAGAGGAAAAGCAAGGGCATTCCGAAAAAATTTGAAAAAGCCGCGGAGATCGGTTGTGTCCCAAAAGTACAGAATGCCGTGTAATATGATTGGCGACAGAGTGCTCATTATTTTCCCGACAGGCTGATATATTGCTGCCTTTGCATTACCGCGCCAAAGCACAGGTAATCGAAGTAACGAGGAAGTCAACGCTGACATTTGTCTCTCCTTCCGACCCAGGAAGATTTGATTATTCATTCGAAAAGAAAAAAATCGTTCTTACGTTTCCCTTCACCGCGTGTAACTGTGACCGGAAAAGAAAAAAAAACGACGCTTGACAAAGGCGATGAAGCGCGAGTACAAAAGAATCATCATGAAAAAGTGGGAAATAGAAAAATTAGGCTCGATCGGAAAAACAGTCGTAAAAATGATGTCATTTTTGCGAAAAAAGTGAGATTTTTTGTGGGTGGGGGGTTATTTTTTCAAATTGCGAAAAACTTGCCGCAAATCTAAATAAACTTTTTCAATGACATGCGAGATTATTTGCAGAAACCACCGAGATTTTTAGATCCAAATTTGGTAAAAATGCGACACTTCTTTTTCCGAATTTTTGCATTAAAAGTTTCATATCTATTTCTACCGTGGAGTGCAATGTTTCCACAAAAAATCAATTTTTTCCTCTCGAAACTGACAAAGATACAGCCAAAAAGTGTCTTTCTCTGGCCGCTCTCCGCGTTTCGCGTGATCTCTCGGCCGCAAAGATCGTTGAATATCTCGACTCCCCTTGAAAATCACGAGCTAAAACTTTCAGGAATTTACATGTGGCCTATGTCTATCGTATGTGTAAAATTTCGAAAAAAATCTGAGCGTCACGGCATTTCCACCGCAATTTTTGACACTGTCAGTCTGCCGGGAAAACAATGAGCACAATGTCGCCGAAATGAAAATCAAGAGTGCTCATTATTTTCCCGACAGACTGATAGAGTCGAAAATTGTGGGGGAAATGTCGCGTGCGACACTAGGTTTTTCAAAATTTTGATAGACATAGGCGACACATTATTAAATTACTGGAAGTTTCAGCTCGCGATTTATTCGGAGAGCCGAGATATTCAACGATCTTTGCGGCCGAGAGAACACACGAGAAGAATACAAGTGATTTCGGTTGCAGCAAGCGCTACAGTGCGGTACAGTTGGGGACCTGATCCAGCGACAAAAAACGTATCATTTTGCATCCAGGAGGTATAAAAAATGTAGCAAAATGCCTCCCTCTCCAAGTGAAAAAACTCCGATTTCGAAAGCGCGCTTTTTTTCTTTTTTCACTTGGCGAGGGAGGCATTTTGCCACATTTTTTGACACTTCCTGGATGCAAAATGATAAGTTTTTTGTCACTGAATCAGGTCCGTCACTGTTTTTCTTTTCATCGTGTTCAACATATCAGCTGACTCGCTGCAAAGCCATTCTCTTCATGTTGTATGCATTGCTCTTCATTTCCGCTACAAACTTCCCCCATTACAGCGCCCTCCACAAGAAGTCATCATAATTAGCCGCCCGAAGCGTCGCTAAACAACGCGTTCGGAGGGGGGCGTTGTTGAATTACGATTCCTTTTGTATTCTTCCTCGTCTCATCTTCATCCCCAGTTAAAGGGGGGTAAAAAAGAGGAAGGTGTCTTTATAAAGAAGGGCCCTTGAGGGGATCAAAGTCACTCCGCAACAGCGCTGTGGGACGATTTGCAATTTGGGTTTATCGTGAGGGGTTTCTGGAGGACGATATTAGTCCGTTCGCAAAGTTGCTGGAGTGAATTTTGTGACACGCACGATTCGCAACGAATTTTGTCAAGTTTTGAAGTAAAACCTCGGGTTTCAAATGCGTTAAGAACCTTTGTCCTAACGTGCAATACAAAACACTTTTATCAGATCAATGATCAACCTACTCATCCCATTTTCAGCATGCTAGACCCACGAACAGCCGGCTACTCGGCGGTGGGGTTGTCGTTGATCACACTGGCCAGTCTTCTGCTCTACTTGCCCAATTTCACCGACAAGATTGAGCGAATTGACATGTTTGTAAGCTGTTTTGCTATCTATTAGTATACTAGCTGCCACATCCCTCCCTTGCCCGAACTAGTACAGTGAGGGACCGGATCCAATGGCAAAAAACGTCTCATTTTGCATCCCGAAAGGGACCAAAATGTCTCCAAACCCTTCCCTTCTCTAAGCTAAAAAACCCCGCTTTGAAGAGCCCGCCTTGAATAAAAGGGCGCGCTTTTCAAAGCGGAGTTCTTTAGCTTAGAGGAGGGAAGGGTTTGGAGACGTTTTAGTCCCTTTTGGGATGCAAAATGGGGCGTTTTTTGCCATTGGATCAGGTCCCTCACTATACCTTCAAAATCCCCCAAATTTCAGCTCAAAGTCAACACCGACGAATTCAAGAACATGGCGGACGAGGCGTGGGGAGAGCTGCTCTCGGCCCGCTCAATGCCGCTGCAGGAGCGGCAGAAGCGACAGGCCTACGACGACCTCCCCAAACAATACCCGTTGCCGAGCACCTATCTGAAGCCGGGCGCTTCGCAGACTTGCACCTGCGCCACGGAGAACAACTGTCCGCCCGGCCCACCCGGACCGTCGGGGCGGCCCGGCGAGGACGGCATTCCCGGACTGCGAGGGGATCCGGGCGTTGTGGGAGAGCCCGGCATCTTGCCTCCACCGGAAATCAAAGGAGTAAGTTTTGATTTCCGGCAGTGCTATCCGTTTGTCGGGAAAATAATGAGCACTCTGTCGCAGCGAAAATCGCATCGCCGCCGAGAAAATGAATTGTGTCGCGGGAAAATCAAATTGCTTTGCATTAGAAGCGTTGATTTTCACCGCGACACAATTCATTTTCTCGGTGGCGATGCGATTTTCGATGCGACAGAGTGCTCATTGTTCTGCCGACAGACTGACATCAAGACCTTTCGAGACATTTTCTCAATTCTCTCTTTTCAGTACGAAACCTGCCGCCGTTGTCCATCCGGCCCGAAAGGACCGGCCGGCGCTCCCGGCGACAACGGACCACTGGGACCGGAGGGTCCACAAGGGCCCCAGGGCCGCAAAGGCGACGACGGACGGCCAGGATACGCCGGAAATTCGGGAGTTCCAGGCGAAGCTGGTCCCGCCGGAAAGCCCGGCGACCAAGGCCCACCCGGACTGGACGGAGTGCGCGGTGAGAAGGGACCGGTCGGACCGAAGGGCGAGACCGGGCCCGCCGGCCAGAAAGGACCCCAAGGATACCCCGGAAGCGACGGACAACGCGGCGCCGATGGATTGCCCGGCGCTTCAGGACCCACCGGCCAGAAGGGCGCTCGCGGCCAGGAGGGCCGTCCCGGCGTTCAGGGTCCGGTTGGAGCACCCGGAAAGGACGCCGAATATTGTCCCTGCCCCGAGCGGAATGCCAAGAAACAGGAGTACTCGGCGGTGCCCGTCGAGCAGGGATATCAGCAACAACAGAAGAGCGGGTACAAAAAGTCCGCCAAGAAGATTTAGAGATTCGAAAAGAGAGTTTTTTCGACGAATAAACAGAGAATCCGGCAAAGTTTGATTTTTTTGAAGGAGTGAACCTTACTAGTCCGTTCACAAAGTCGATGGAGTGATTTAGGCGACATTCACTGTGTAGAAAAAGTCAAGGTGCAAGCGACAGCAAACAAATCCTAGTGCACGGTGCAAAAATCAAAAATCTAAAAATTGCATAGTGCAAGGTGAACTTTTGTTTTCGCACAGTGCATTTTCAACTTTTTCCCACGCTTGTCGCCAACGCACCGTGCGTTTTCTCTTTTCGCACTGTGCAAAACGGGGGTTTTTGTCGGTGTCAATTTTTCGGTGCGTTGCACAAAAATGTCCATGCACTTTATGAAAATGTTAATAGTAAAAGACTATCAGCCCAATATCAAGCTTCCCAATCATTTTTATCGCCAACTTTGCGGGTAAAAAGTCAAAAAAAATTTCGAATTTTAAAATTTTTTAATCATGAAACACAAAAACCTTCTAAAATCGAAAAATTGACTGGAATTCTATGGAAACAATGACTTCTTCCTCAGTCTACCTCCTATTCCAAAAATAAAAAAGCAAAAAATAATCCAAAATTATATATTATCCATGGGCGGGACCAAAAAAAACCTCTTCAAAAATCTTTACAAAAATGACAAAATTTATTTATCGAATTACTATACAATATAACTCCAAAAATACGTTGAAAACTACAGTAAAAATACAAGTTCATGGTCAGAGTTGGGGAGAGACGGAAGAGGGAAATTGATGACCAGACTTCAAGGGGAAGCTAAAAAAGACGAGTTAGTGAGCTAATTGGGTGCTAAACACGGCTAAAATTTTAGAAAATACGACTTAAGTATGCAAAAAACATTGTTTAAAACCAAAAAAATGAGAGAGAAAAAATCAAAAAGTTGCGCAATTTTCGTATTTTACATGGTATCTGCAGGTGTCAAAACTGGACATTACCGCTTCGAACGCTCCAATTCTTCTTATTCTAGTCCAAAATCTTCGGAAATCCGACAAAATTCCCCATTCGCCAATAATTTTACATTATCCATGACAAAATCGTCCAAAATTTCAAAAAATTGTACAAATTCACAGAAAAAAGGTGTAAAGGTCGGTTAGACATCTCCGCGACAGCTGATCTACAGCATTTCACGAGATTTCAGAGGTTAGACATTGCTTTTCAAGACAAAAAAATTCAGCAATTTGGGTCGAATATTATACATCAAAAAAAAAATCTCCAAATCCCCAAACTATAACCTTCTTCTGCACTTGTGCTCACCGCACAGACAGTCCATCATGCTGTTCTCGTCTTCGGTGAGGAACTTGTAGTCGTACGTGAGTTCCGTGCCCTTGTCGATCCAGGTCTTCGAGTAGATGTAGATCCGCCGCACGCCGTCCACCATCTTCGTTTCGGCCGTGCAATTGGGTCGGCACGAGTGGTTGATGAAGCGCGCCGCATTTCCCATCATTGTGGCGTCGATCACCTTCAAAATTCGGGGGTAAATTCGAAGTTGACGAAATGTCACAGGATTATTGGAAAATTTTGACATTTCGTTTCATGCTAATTTTCGAATAACAACATGATTTTTAGACCATACCATGTATAAAAAATTCTTCAAGGCTCACAAAAACCTCCAAAATTCGGAAGTTGACGAAATGTCACAAGATTATTGGAAATTTTTGACATTTCGTTTCATGCTAATTTTCGAAAACCAACGTGATTTTTAGATCACATCATGTATAAAAAAATCTTCAAAGCTTCAAAACCCTTTAAACTTTCCAAAAACCAGACCTTTTTTCTAAATTTGTACCTAAAACCCCTCAAAAATCCCAATTTCTCAAAACCCCCATCTTCAACTACCCTCAAACTCTTCAAAAAATCTCCCACATACCCCACCATTTTTTCAACACTCAATTCTTACCCAATCGCGATCATAGCTGAACATATAGACCAATTTTCCCTGTTCCATGTACTTGATTTCTCTGGTTTCCGCGACTTCAGTTCGGATCTCCTCTCCGACGTATTCGATGATCAGCTCGCCTGGGGCGCACGGCTCCATGACGAACAGTCCCCATCCGTGGATGGCGGAGAGCGAGACTTTCGTGATTTTTTGGCGCAACTTTTTGGTCATGTTGGCCTGATGGGAGTAGGGGTCGGGCGAATCGCCGGATTGCGAGTCGCTGCGGGCCATTTCGCGGCGCTTCGAGAAGCCGCGCGACTCGGTGGATTCGTGGACCAGTGCACGGTCCTTCTGAAAGTTGGTAATGTAATGATTTCCTTCAAAAAAAAATTCAAAAATAAAATCTCGACACCTCAAATGACAGTATTAAAAAAATTCTTTCGTTATACAAAGGCTTCGTTATATGGGAGCTCAATTTGTTTTACGCTACATAACTAACATCATAAAGCTTGATTCTAACCAATTTTCGTTCCAAAAATTCCCTTCTAAAATACCATATTCAGCAATATTATACTAGACAACACCTGACAAAAACCATTTCCAAAATCCCAAAAAATTCGTTCTAAGCACTCACCAGAATCTCGTCAATCATTCTCTGAGATCTTTTGGCTTTGATTTTGTTCGAATCCTCCACTTTCCTGTACGGTTCGGCTCGAGCACAGCCGCTGGCCACCGGGACCACATCCCAAAGGTCCGGATCCTCAAAGTATGGTTCGGGGCGGCCAAGTTTGTGGTCAAATCTCGCTGGTTGGGGCTAAAGTCAAGAACCAATAATAAAAAACGTTTCGACTTACGATCATTTTCATTCTTGGTGGGACGGTGTGATCTCTCCATGGGATCTGCTGTTTCCATGGGATGTCATTGGACATTTGCTGGGCCTCGAATTGTTTTCTGATGAACGCAAGGTCTTCATCGTCGAAACCGCTCTGAAATTTACCGAATATTACTCAAAGACCAGCCGAAACAAAAAATTTTGATTTCCGCGACCTGCGCCCTATCTTTCGTCTAAACTAATATTGTAGAAAAAAAGTTTTCGCCCAAAAAGCTGCAATCCGTTCTCTACCACTATTATAGCCCATTCCACGGCCATAACAACTTATTTTACAAGGAAAGTACTTCTATGGGTTATGGAGTTACAGGTCGAGACATATATCAAAAAAATAGCAAAACTTTTCTGATTCAGAATGTGTAAAAATTAGATGCCCAATTTTGGTTTGTAAGGGCGAAAAACCCCCTCAGAACTTTTCTCGCAACACCACGCAAAACCAAGTTTTTACCAAATCAAAGGCTTTGCTTTGAGTTAAAGTAAACCCTGGCATCTTGACAAGCCTTGAAATACCGCATTTGATTAATACTACACCTTAATCAACAGTTCCAATATAAAAATTAAGATGTAGTATTCATCAAATTTGATATTTTAAGGCTTGTCAAGATGCCAGGGTTTACTTTAACTCAAAGCAAAGCCTTTGAATTGGTAAAAACTTGGTCAAAAAGGTACTTGCGTGGTGTTGCGAGAAAAGTTCTGAGGGGGTTTTCGCCCTTACAAACCAAAATTGGACAGCTAATTTTCACACATTCTGAATCAGCAAAATTTTGCGATTTTTTAATACATGTCTCGGGCTGTAACTCCATACCCCATACAAATACTTTCCTTGTAAAATACGTTGTTATGGTCTTGGAACGGGCTATAATAGTGGTAAAAACGGATTGCAGATTTTTGTGATTTTTTGATATGTCTTGATCTGTAACTCCATACCCCATAAGAGTACTTTCCTTGAGAAATAAGCTGTTACGGCCTTTTAATGAGCCATAATAGTGGCAAAAAAGGATTGCAGTTTTTTGGGCGATAATTTTTTTAGCTTTTGAGTATCTGCCACCTACTACAACACAATTTCCTCCTCAAAATCCCATTCTTACCAACATATAGGAGTCTGCCACCTTAATTTCTTGCTCCAAGGTTCTCTTTGGCGGTTTTTGTTTCCTCCTCTTCTCACTTGCACTTTCATCATCCAGCTTTCTTCGCTTCGTATCCTTGGGGGTCCTGATGATGGGCGGATCCGTTTTCCTCGGGCGTCCCGGTCGGCGCGGCTTCACCACCGGTTGGCCATCGACAAATTGGCCGGTCATTTCATACCGGGTCAAGTCGTAGCCCGCTATTGTGGGCGGCTGACTCTGGCGATGCTGATATTGGATGGCGGGTGTCATCGGTTGGATGTTCTGGAGTTCCTGTGCTTGGCCGTAGTCCATGTAGTGGAGGTCGTGCTGCGAGGCGTCCTTCATCTCCACATCGCCATTTTCGGTGATTTTGAGTTCCTCTTGACTGTTTTCTTCCTCTTCTTTCAGGCCGTTCCGCTCAAACTGATACTCTCCATGAATGGAGCCGTTCGACGCCGCCGATTCGTGTTCGCTCTTCGGCGACACCGACATCTTGCTCTCATTGCAGCTGGACACCGAGCCGGAGGGTTGGCGTTGTTGCAGATGATGAGGTGGGTGGGAAAATTCTCGTTTCCTTTTATCGACGGCGGCCGCAAACTTCTGCTGCTGTTCCTTGCGGAAAGCGACGAATGCACGGTTGCTTTTGTCCTTGTATTTCGGATCAATCGGTCTTACTCGAGCACTCGACGACTGCAGAACAGCATTCATCGGTCGGTCGACGGCAATTCGTCGGTCTTCGCGGACGGTTTGTGTGAGTCTCGGGACTCTCAAGTTGTTCCTAAACCAACAAAAATCTCAAAAAAAAGTGTTAAACTTACTGCGAGGGTAGTTTCACAGTCACCGGGAGGGCATTCCGCTGGCTTGTGGCGTAGGACAAAGTGGTGGGGCGGATGGTGCGGGTCACCACAACAGTTGTCGGTCTTCGTATCGACTGGGCCGGGGACTGGGAAGCCGAGGTCGCCGGCGACACAGTGGTCGTGGGAATCGGCTGGTTTGGGTTGTAATCGCCGGCATTCAGCTCCTCCAAGCTCTGACTCAAGCGACGTTGGGCGGCTTGAAGCTGAGCGCCATTCGCTTGTTGAGTCAATGGAACCGAGCGAAGACGTTGCTGTGTGAGTGGGCCCAGCGACGCGTGCGTGTAGGCTCTGGCCTGAGCGGCCGGCGTGATTTGTTCCACACGAATTGGGGTTTGGTTTTGGGTGGGAGTCGGGTTCAGACGACTGTTCACCACCACTCGCCTTGGTGGAGGTGGGTTCTGTCCGTAGAAGCTCGGATTCACAACCACAGTGCGAGTGGGAGCGTTGTGGAAGCGCTGAAAATAAAGAATATAGCATAATACATCATGCGAAATAAGTTTAGCGATGGTTCAACTCACTCTGTTCGGATCCGGAGCCGAAACAACAGCGCGACCACCTTGTAGCTGGGATGGAGAACATTTTTGGACATAGACCGTCTTATCCGCCGAATTCTCCACCACACATATATTCGACACTAAAAACAGAAAATTCAAGAGCTACTCAGCAGCAAAAATTAACCTACCATCATGCGGATTTAATTGAGAGAGCACATAAACCCCACCATTCCTCGGAGTCGCCGGCGCTTGATGAATTTCCACGCTGCTCGGTGGTGCTGGCAATGTTAACGAGTTGTCGGGGCCAACAGGATGCTCGAAGCTATGTCTTCGACGGTCGAAATGGTCCACAACCACGGTGGGAATGGAGGAAATCGCAGGCGGAGGTTCAGTGGTAGGTGCCGAAGTTGATGGCCCCGGAGGCCATAATTGCGACTGCATCAAATGCGACGACGGAAACACGCCCTGAATCCCTTCAAGATGTTGGAGACTCTGTAAGAAGGCCATCATTAGTCGGCTTCATCATCAAAATGCAAAATCTATATTACACTTCATGGATAATGTAAAACTGTCTCGTTCTCTGACTGCGTCTCGATTTCCTAGAGAAAAAAGAACATACAGAAAACCCCTTACTTTGTTCGAAGTGATAGTCTGAGAATTGTCTGGCTGGGCCAAGAAACCAATTAAGGGCAGGCTAAAGTTATACTTGGGACAAGCTTCCTGAAATAAATTGAATTAGACTGCGACGGATACGTTCGACGGGCTCCGTTTTCCCGCCAGTCAGTTCAGAAAAAATGTATAAAAAATAAAATCGATGCAACTCCTCCATTTCCAGGAGGGGAACGCATCAAATTCGAGGAAAATATAATTTATCCACTAAAACAACTTGAGCAAGAAGAAAACTGCCTCGAACCGAGGAAATGCATACAATTATACAGCGTAAACAACAAAAACTTGCTCAAGGATTGTCGGAAAGCGTTTGGCGAAAAAATCCCATCTCTTGCGGCGGAATGCCAAGAAAAATTGAAAATCAGGGAGAGCGCGCTGGGAGGCGGGCCAAAAAACGCGAGTAATCGATTTCGACAGTAATTACGGTCGTCGCAGTGATACACCACACATTTTTCTGCATAATTATGTACCAAAGGTTGTTTTTGGACGTTAATTTTTATCAAAATACAAAGAATGTTTGGACAGGTACCTAAAATAATATCGGCAAGTGGCGCAACCCAAAACTACCTCAATTGGTACCGAAATCGAAGCGCAATAATCATCAAGTAATAATTTATTTACAAAAATGACCATTAATATCTTCTTTCGATGGAATCAATTGAAATTCTTTTGATTCCATCTAAAGTAATATCAATTGTTCTTCTTGGAGCCGCCAAATCCGGATATCCCCATCATTTTCATCAGCTCATCGTCGACTGGAGGCTCCTCTCCCTCCTCCTCATCCATTCTGGCCTTCTTCTTGCCCTTCTGCTCCTTTCGTTGACGTTTTAGATCGGCTAGTTTGGCCTCTTCTTCTTTTAGATCCTCTTCCGTGTTCTGCTCGGCTTTTCGCTTCTCCGACATTCCTAAAGACAGAATATGGAAGGAAGAAGAGGCCACTTACTCTCATGTTTCTTCATATTCAATCGTTCGCGAATATCGTCGACTGTGCTTCGCTTCACCTTCATCGTGAATCCCAAGTTCCTTTGGTGGTTTTTCCCATTGATGTGGTCCAAATAATTGACGGAGTCCTTCATAATACAATCGCAGATATCACAATAAAACCCGCCAGTGTTCTCCGTGGTGGAAGTTTTGTTGATAACCTGCTGTTTTCCAACAACTGACTCCAGGTCCACCTAAAACAATATAATTGCCATTTTTTGTCAGAATGAGGACTCTAAAACGAAAAAGAAACTAAGAAAAAGAAAGAACATACCTTCTCCTTTCTGGCCTCGAGCAATTTCTTCGGTGGAGGTGGTTTTGAGCCATCCGGAAGCAAGACTTTCACCTTCTTGCCCTTCTTCAACGCCTCGGCTTGTTCCTTGTCTCGTTGAGCTCGTTCATTGGCCTTGATCTCATATTCAGTCTTGTCCCAGGTCCTTCGATGGTTCAGACTTTCCGCTGCTTTTCCAGTCTTCTGATAGAACGACATTCTACTGAAAAAAAAATATTATTTTATTTCTAACCTAAAATAATATAATAAAATATGGAATCTTGATAACAATTCGTATTTTACAGTAAAAATAAATAGAAATAAAGCTATTTCTTGTTCAAAAAGACTTGAAACTCATCTTCCGCAAGGAAAAAATAATTTTTCTCCACGAAATCTTTTTTTTCTCGGCTGCAGGCTGCGTTTACCATTTTATACGATGAAACATGTCTACCATAATGTAAAATTCATCCTTGAGCCCGATTTCTTCAAAATTTGAAAATCAGATTTCAATAAGAAAAGTGAACGAACTTTTGAGTCTTCATGAATAACATCAAAAAAAGGGACTTGCTTTCCAATTCCTCTAATTTTACTACCAAATCCACCCGAAATCACAAAGAATCAAAATTTGAGAGAAATTTCACGGGTGAATATCGCTAAAATTTTATAATAATGCCGAAAAAACGTTGAAAATCGCTTGAAGACACTAAAAAAACGGCAACATTCATTCTAAGCCAGTCAAGACGGAAGAAACCGTAGAAAGTCGCTAAAAATTAGAAAAAACGTGGGGTGTAATGTAGATATAGGAGGCAAATTGCTGTTTTTTTCATTTTCTGGGTTGAAAATCCTCACCAAATTGAACGAACGTTTGTCCCATAAAGTAGATAGCATGGCCAGCAGGGATTAGATAGTCCTTTTTCTGTAAAAAGTTACTTATTTGAAATGCCGACACTTCTAAAGTATTAGGTACACAAACCGCCGCTAGAAAAGTTTGAACAGTTAGCTGTTGAATAATTTGAAATAAACTCTTACGGAGTTTTTCCTTTTGCGAAACTCTGTCCAGTACACCCTCGCTAGAAGAGCTCCGATGCATGATTGGGAGAATAATAAAAGCAGAAGAAAAGACCAGTATACAACGCCAGGAGAGATTGGCTTTACAACGACCATGACAATCGCCAGTGATGAGATAGCTCCATAGCCAATATTGAAGGCCCCAGTAAAGGTGCTGGACCATTCAAATGTGGGCAGGTTTGATGATTCAAATTGGTTAATGCACGGAAATGAGCATATATCAAGAAAGGCTACCGAGGCCGGCACAACCTTTAACAGAAAACATTCAATAAAATAATCATGCAGTGATTTTTATAACCTCCACTTACCAAGAGCACTACGTTGCCATAGAAGTTAATTTTTTTCCAAGTGCCATTCTTCCAGTAGTTTTACCGCCGTCAGCGAAGTAAATAGCCCAATCGTGACGAGGTAATTTATACCTGCGCCGATTCGGTTCAGATGTCCGAAAGCTTGGACAACACGGTTCATTTTTGCTTCCAAATAACGATTTTTTAAAATACAGTTTTTGTGAGGTTTTTATCAGCGCGTTTTGCCTTCGGCATTTCGTGGAGGCTCGCTTTCGTTGCGCGGGGTTTGCAACGGACGGAATTTATATAGCAGCCACAATCCTCTACTCTGTAGTAGCTCTGTAGAGAATTATGGCTGCTATCTAACCGTGTAGGATCGATTTTACATCTTAGTGTGTAACAATTGTCGATGTAAAATTTTTGGAAACGCAGCTGTTGCCTGCTCAAAGAAGCTTGAAATTCATCTTTCGCAAAGAAAAATAATTTTTCTCCACGAAATCTTTTTTTTCTCGGTTCAGGCTGCGAAGACTATTTTATACCATGGAACATGTCTACATGTAAAATGCTCATTTCTGAACCCGTCAAAAATGCAAAAATGCTGTCAAATTAATGTTATCTATGCCCTTATTATAGCAAAATTGTTGTCCTTTTTTTGTAAAAACTCCAAATTATATTCTCCTAGACCTAAAATAATGTTTTTAGTAAAAAATTAATGTAAACTGCAATAATGACGTGGTATTTTGCGTTCTAGAAATCGTCAATATTATCAACTTTCGTCCCGTTAGCGTTTTAACAGCCCGACTTTCCTATTACGCCCGAATTTTTTGTTTGATTATCTTCTCCATCCCCTACCGTAAGCCGTTGATGCCGAATCCAATTACGTAAGCACGGGACGGCATTAAAGCCCGGGGCCCGAAGTCAAGTCAGCGTTTTCTAATTTGCGCGAGTACCGGCCGATTACGCGCTCATTGTATTAGGCCAAGATGGCGGAGTCATTATCTTCGGGGCCCGTATTCCGGCGACGACCTTTCGCCCCGGCCGTAATTAGTTCAAGTCGAGAGAAAATATTTTGTCATGGGGCTTAATACCTCTCTACTCTCCGTATTAGAGTCATTAGAACGGGAGGCGGGAGGGGGGAATGCGGGTTACTGTAGCAAAAATTTTTTTAATGATGGTGTTTAGAATGTGTCATAGATTGACCTAAGCTCATGTTGGGTGGAAAAAGTATTTTTTTGTATCGATTGTTCGCTTGCTCCACACTTTTTTTATTTTTCCTCCCGGAAATCTCAAAAAAGTGGTCGATAACTACCGTAATTATCAACCGATGGATTTGAAAGTTACCATGAATATATCTCAGTCCATGATGTATATTATATAATTTATGTTCGGTCTGTAGGATTACTGTAACAACCCAGAATTACGTTTTGTTTTTCAGTGCCGGAAACCTCAAAAACGGTTGACAAATGCCGTAATCCTCAATCGATGGCTTTGAAATTTCATATAGTTCTGTTTCGGGGCATGGTAAACATTTTTATAATTGACAACTAGTCACTAGGGTTAATATAACATATCGAAAAATTGAATTTTGATTTCGTTTATTTTTTCCGAAGAGATCTCAAAAAATGGTCGATAACTACCGTAATCGTTTATCGATGGGTTCGATAATATGCGGGAATATATTACAGAGCATGATAAACATATTCGTTATTGAAATTGAGTTCAATGGATTATTGTAACATATCGAAAAATCACATTTCCTTTTTTTTGTATTTCTCCAAGAAGCTCTCAAAAAAGTGGTCGATAACTACCGTAATCCTCCATGAAATACTTCGAAATTTCACATAGGTTTATTTCAGTGTATTCTAAACATATTCATAATTGCTGTCTACCCTCTAGGATTACTGTAACATACCGAATACTCGCTTTTATTTAGACAAGTCTAGTATAAACTCCATTTTCTCAGTTTCCTCCCAATTCCTCTCTGTAGATGCATAACGTATGTTCTCGCGATTCCCTTTGGTTGTTTGACTATTTTCGCACAAAATCTAGACCAAAAACCACTTGACCGATACAATAAAATAGTATAATATGTACATACCATTCCCCCACTTGAGCGGGTTGTATTTCCGAGGATTTTATTTTAGAGTCATGGCCCGAGAAATACTTGAACGCGCGAATAAAGAGATCGCAACGCGTTGGGTGTGGTGTTATTAAGTTAATATAACACACTTGTCGTCGGTAATGGCCCATTTTTTGCGGTTTATTGGGGGTAAAAGTTAAAGAATTTTTGTGGAAAATGCGATGAAGTTTATAAGGGAAGTTCTGCAAGTTCGACGTTCAGATTTTGATGAAACTTGGCACAAATTTAGAGCAATTTTTTTAAGACATACAGGATTTCAAACTCGGTTTTTGCAAAAAAAATGTCGAGATTTTTCGACCTAAAAGTTGGAAAAAAAATTTTCATTTTTTCGCGAATTTCACCATGAAAAATTTCATAGCTATTTCTACAGTAGAGAGTGATATTTCCACAAAAAATCATTTTTTTCCCCACAAAATTGGCAAAGATACGGCCAAAAAAGTGGTCTTTTCTCTGACCGCTCTCCACATTTCGCGTACTCTCTCTCAAAATCATTGAATATCTCGGGCGCGCCAAAATCCTAATAGATCGCAGGCTCGTAAACAGATCTATGGCCAATTTTATTGGCCAAAAAATTTTTCATCCATATTAGTCATCAATTTTTCGTTGAAGAACATCAATTTATATTACACTAGACACTTGCTTGTTTCATATAGCGTTGTTTCAAAATTCGTCGGCAATTCCTACGGTAGGCACGTCGCTTTCCCGCACTGAGCGAATCATCGCGCTTCCCGTCGCCTTTCTCTCCCTATTCCGTCCCTCCCGCACCGCACTTATCCCATTCCCCACTCTATTGTTATGGGCCTCTCGTTGGGGGCGAGAATGGAAGGGAATAACAAGAGCGGCGTGTCGGATGGATCGTATTCTATCCGGTTGGGGTTATCGTATGCAATGGATCATTTTCTTATTGTTATTATGAGTAGCAGAGGAGGGAGAGGGCAATTATGTTGTAGTAGATACTAATGAATAGATTTGGTAATAACTCTATATTTAGATGTCTTACTATTGTTATAGCTGTTTAAAAATAATTTTCAGTCCGTCATAGTCATAGAAAAACAATGATACCGGTAAATATCACCGCATTTGCAAGATATTTTTTGAAAATTACATTTTTATCCCCAAAACTCTCAAAGAAAAGCGTATAACTACCGTAATCCCCACCCGTTCGCTCTGAAAATGCCAACGAATATAACTCATAGCAGGGTAAACATATTTGTTGTTGACACCGGGGCTCTAGAATTACTGTAACATACCGGAAAATCGATTTTAAAACCTTTACTTCTGTTTTCTTTCAAAAAAATGTTGGGAAGCTACCGTAACCCCAGCGACTTCAAAAATTACTAGGGATATTTTTCAGGGTATGATAAGCGTATTTGTTATTGACGTGTAAGTGCTACGATGACGGTAAAATGTCGAAAAATTATTTTCAATTTTTTTTCATCGTTTTTATGATCTTTCTCCAAAAAATCGTCAATAACTACCATAATCCTGAACCGATGAATTCCAAAATTCCCAGGAATATATCTCAGCTAATGCTGAACATGTTTAATTTATGACCGGTCTGTAGGATTGCTGTAACCATCAAAAATTTCGTATCTTTTCTCAGCGCCCAAAATCTTAAGGAACGGTCGATAACTACCGTAATCCTCAACGGATGACTTTGAAGATTGCAAAGAATGTGTTTCAGAGCCTGCTAAATGCTTCTATAATTGATATCTGACCTATGCGATTACTGTAACATACCGAAAAATTGCATTTTCATTTTTTTAAAATTTTTTTTGAGGAGATCTCAAGAAATATCGATAATCCTCAACCGATTTTTTTACAAATTTTCAGAAGTATATGCTAGAGCATGATGAACAATTTTATAACTGATCTCTAACCTCTAGGATTACTGTAACATGTTGAAAAATAACATTTCCTTTTTTTAATCTTTTTCCGAGGAGATCTCAAAAAATGCCGATAACTACCGTAATCCACAACCGATTTTTTTGAAAATTTCCAGGAATATATTTCAGAGCATGCTGAACATATTTGTAATTGATGTCATCCCTCTAAGATTACTGTAACATACCGAAATCTAGTTTTCATTTAGGGATGTCTAGTTTTTATGAACTCCAAGGTGGATTACTGTAACTTACTATACATATAATATAATCTACTTTTTTGTTTTTTTCAATACTTCTTCAAGTTTTAAAACGCACTTACACCCGATCTCTGGGGCGCAAATATATTTCTGGTCCCCGTGCGAGCACTTTATTCCCAGTATAAACTACACTTTACGTTGGGTTGCGTGAGTGTCCGGCAATTTTCGGTGCATTAGGAATCGTGTTTTTACTGTTACCTAAACTGTAAATTTCCTGAATTTAAAAAAAAAAGATAAAAATTTTTAATTTTCGAACATTTTTTTCTCGTATTTTACCTCAATTTCTCTACTTCTTCACTGCAAAAGGAATCAAAAATTTCTGGCGCAAATGTAAAGTGCGGTTTCAGTAACCAAAATCGGGTCTTTAAACCGAATTGCGTGCGCAAAAACCGGCAAGAAAAGGCATTTCGCAGGCGAGCAAGTAATGTTTGTGGCGTACGTTTCATGGTTTTACAACACCGTTTTGCTGGATGTCTCATATGTTTGACTAATGGCATGAGGTGTTCATTAGAGCGGGGTTTTTTATTCTACAAGGGGTATTTACCTACAAGGGAGGTAAATACCGCAAGTGCGAGTAAATAGCAGTCTGTCGGGAAAATAATGTGGATTTGTCGCAGAAAAATGCCTCGCCTTGTCGCAGTCGCGGATTTTCAGCCGTGGCTGGCCAAATGATGGGTGCTTTTGAAGCCCGAAGAATCCACATTATTTTCCCGACAGACTGACATTAACTGTGGTTTTACTATCAGTCTGTCGGGAAAATAATGTGGATTTGGCGTTGCAAAATGTCCCGCTTCTTTGCTTCAAAAAGCACGAAAAATCCACATTATTTTCCCGACAGAGCGAAAAAACTCTGTCGGGAAAATAATGAGGAAAATGTCCGATCGCTGAAGTGAAAAGCAATTCGATTTTCACCGCAACACAATTCATTTTCTCGACGGCGATGCGATTTTCGATGCGACAGGGTGCTCATTATTTTCCCGACAAACTGATATTTTTTGATTTTTTTAGTGGTCCCCTCTTGCCCGAGACTTTATTTTTTCTGTCACAGAATCTACTTTTCTAGTAGCCTCCCTTGACGCAAACAGTGCTCATTATTTTCCCGACAGACTGATATTTTTTGATTTTTTTAATAGTCCCCTCTTCTCCGAGCCTTTATTTTTTCTCTCACAGAATCTATTTTTTCGTAGCCCCGACAAAAATCTTAAAAGTGTTCATTATTTTCCCGACAGACTGATTGGCGACGATGAGAAAAAAAATTTTTTTCAGACCCTCATGCTCCAAAATACGACCATGTTTCCGCACGAGACCCCCTCCACTTCGTTCACATCGACCTCCACGTCGATGAGCCCGAGCTCCAGCACCACCTCGCCCCTCCATTACAACCCATTCCAGCTGTTCATGCAGCTGAAGCAGGCGGAGAATCTCCGCAATTCCGAGAACCTGTTCAACCGCGCCCCGGCGACCAACATTTTCCCGGTGCCGGCGTTCGATCAGCTCCGCCTCCTGCAACAGGTGGGCTTCATGAATCTGGCCAAGACCATGCTGATGAGTCAGCAGAAGCCCGCGAATTCGGCGGAGGTTTTGGAGCTGAAAATTGGGAACAGAACATTGAAATTGAAACGAACTGAGGATGTGGAAGGTAAATAAAAAAAATTTTGAAAAAATTTTTGTTAAATACTAACATCAGCACTTTCACAAAGTGCATGGACATTTTTTCGCTTTCGCACAGTGCATTTTGAACTTTTTCCCACGCTTGTCGCCGACGCACAGTGCATTTTTTCTTTTCGCACCTTGCAAGCCACAAAAAAGCCGTTTGCACTGTGAATTTTCAATTTTTTCCCACGCTTGTCGCCGACGCACAGTGCATTTTTCTCTTTTCGCACTGTGCAAGCCACAAAAAAGCCGTTTGCACTGTGCATTTTGAACTTTTTCCCACGCTTGTCGCCAACGCACAGTGCGCTTTTCTCTTTTCGCACAGGGCACAGTGCAAATTGTCGCGGCCCGCACCGTGCAGAAAACCCCCAATTTTTCCGCACCGTGCATTTCACCTTTTTTCTGTCGCACTGTGCATTTTGAACTTTTTCCCACGCTTGTCGCCGACGCACAGTGCATTTTTTTCTTTTCGCACTGTGCAAGCCACAAAAAAACCGTTTGCACTGTGCATTTCCACCTTTTTTCCACGCTTGTCGCCAACGCACGGTGCAAACTTGAAAATAGCCGTTTGCACTGTGCATTTTGAACTTTTTCCCACGCTTGTCGCTAACGCACAGTACATTTTTCCTCTTTTCGCACAGTGCAAATTGCCGCGACCCGCACGGTGCACAAAAATCGCCGATTTTTTCGCACCGTGCATTTCACTTTTTTTCTGTCGCACAGTGCATTTTGAACTTTTTTCCCACGCTTGCCGCCAACGCACAGTGCATTATTCTCTTTTCGCACGGTGCAAACTCAAAAATAGCCGTTTGCACGGTGCAAATCAAGAAAAAAAACTGAATGCACGGTGCAAAAAATCGGGGATTTTGTGCACGGTGCGATCCACGACAATTGTCCATGCACTTTATGAGAATACTGATATAAAAAATGTATTAAAAATAATTTGTTTCAGCGCTCAAAGAAGCACAGATAATGCGAGATGAAAACACGTTGATCTACAGTCTCCAGAACGCCGGTGTTCTCTATCATACAGTTACCTTCGATGGCGGCGAAACAGTGCACCCGGGACAAGTTATTATGGTAGGAAAGAGAATTAATTCTGAGCCGCTGGCAACACATCTTTCACAAAACCGGGCTTTTTCAAAAAACATTGTTTTATTGGAACAGGGATACTTTTTGATACCAAATTCCGCTTCAGCTCTGTTGTGGGCCGTTTTTTTTCTCCAGGGAAATAACTATCGGTCTGTCGGGAAAATAATGTGGATTCGTAGCGACTTGAAATTGCAGCGAAACAGAAGGGGATTGGCGCGACTAATCCACATTATTTTCCCGACAGACCGGAAGGCTCAGCACTTGCGGTACTGCCCTTTACTTTAAACCATAAAATTTGGTTAACTCCTAGGGCGGAGGTCGAAAAAACGAACTTATCTCAGCCTGTCGGGAAAATAATGTGGGTTCGCCAGGACGTTGGAATCGCCCATTTTTGCGTTGCGACAGCTAGCTGGAGATTTGGTGCGCAACTGTGCGACATTTCTTTTGCTACGACAAATCCACAGTATTTTTCCGACAGACTGAAAATTGTTTCTGTGGGGACAAAACCGAGCAAACTCCTCAGCCCCCGGACACCCCTGGCAATCAACAAAACAAGCCTTAACTCCATTTTTTTCAGCTAGAAAAGAGCATAATCTCGCTGCTGGAAACCTCCGCCGACCCCAACCTCAGATTGGTGGAAGGCCAGTGTGTGGTGACAAAAACCGTCGCACCGGGCGATGTGCTGACATTGGAAGTGCCGCAAGCGGACTCGGACGCCCGTTCCGAGGCGGCTAGTACGCCAATCAAAGAAGCGCACGATCTTGGGCAGTTTGCGGTGTCGCAGTTGCTCCAAAAACAAAGCCGACGGCATGTGATGAGCTTGGAAGGTGGGTTGAGAAAAACGCAATTTTTTGACTTTAATTTTAAATTTTTTCAAAAAAAAAAAAAAAAAAAAAAAAAAAAAATCGAAATTTCAAAAAAAAAAATTAAAATAATTAAAAATTTCAAAAAAAAAATCAAAAATTTTTATCATTTCAGACACAATGTCGCCTCCCGAGCTCCCCTCGGAACAAGGATTTCAATGCGAACGGTGTGGGAAGATGTTTTCCTACGCCTATTACCGCGACAAACACCTCAAGTACACGAGATGTGTCGATAACGGCGATCGGAAATTCCCGTGCTCACTTTGCAATCGCTCCTTCGAAAAGAGGGATCGGCTGAGGATCCATATTCTTCATGTTCATGAGAACCATCGACCGCATGTGTGCAATATTTGCGGGAAAGCGTTTTCACAGTCCAGCAGCTTGAATAAGGTGAGGAAAAATGAAAAAAAATTGAAAAAAATGAAAAAAAAAAATAAAAAAAAAAAATGAAAAAAATCAAACTTTTTAAAAGTTTTAACATGAATTTCAACTTTTTTAGAGCCTTGTGGACCACATTGAACCAATTATTACAAATTTCAATAGGTTTCATAAAGTGCATGGACATTTTCTCGCGGTCCGCACCGTGCACAAGAACCCCCATTTCGCACCGTGCATCCCACTTTTTTCTTGGTTTTCGCACAGTGCATCAAAATATCGCAGCGACAAAAGCAAGTTTGAACTTTGTCGCTGCGGCGGCGCCGGGATTTTGCACTGTGCAAACGGCCTTTTTGTGGTTTGCACTGTACGAAAAGAGAAAAATGCACTGTGCATTGGCGACAAGCGTGGGAAAAAGTTCAAATGCACTCGATTTTTTGCACCGTGCATTTCACTTTTTTTTGGTTCTGCACCGTGCAAGCGGTTTTTTTGTGGTTTGCACTGTGCGAAAACAGAAAAATTCACTGTGCGTTGGCGACAAGCGTGGGAAAAAGTTCAAATGTACTCGATTTTTTGCACCGTGCATTTCACTTTTCTTTTTTAATTTTGCACAGTGCAAACGGCCTTTTTGTGGTTTGCACAGTGCGAAAAGAGAAAAATGCACTGTGCATTGGCGACAAGCGTGGGAAAAAGTTCAAATGCACTCGATTTTTTGCACCGTGCATTTCACCTTTCTTTTTCGATTTTGCACAGTGCAAACGGCCTTTTTGTGGTTTGCACAGTGCGAAAAGAGAAAAATGCACTGTGCATTGGCGACAAGCGTGGGAAAAAGTTCAAAATGCACTGTGCGAAAGAGAAAAAATGTCCATGGAGTTTATAAAAATACTATTTAGCATAAATTAGAACATTTTCATTTTTTCAAAAAAAAAAAAAAAATTTTTTTCAGCACCTCCGAGTCCATTCCGGTGAGCGGCCCTACAAATGTCCCTACTGCACCAAATCCTTCACGGCCAGCTCAATCCTGCGGACCCACATCCGACAACACAGCGGAGAGAAGCCGTTCAAATGTACCTTCTGCGGGAAGTCGTTCGCTTCCCACGCGGCTCACGACAGCCATGTGCGCCGCACACACACCACGCTGGACTCGTCGTTCAACTGCGCTCGATGCGACAAGCGTTTCGAGACCGAAGAGCACTTGGTCTTCCATTTGGAATGCGTTCATCGGGGGCAGAAAACACCCTGAGGGCATTTGAATTTTTTTACTTTTCGAATTTAAGATTTTATTTACCTGGTTTGTGTTTTTGAGGGCTAGAGTTAACAGGGAAGTCCCTAAAAAATTGATTTTAAATGAAAAAATGAATTTTAAGGTTTTCGTGTCGAGACCAAAATTTGAAAAAAAAATTGCGCAGCGCTCCCGCAGCCCGCGAAAATTGAGATCAAAATTTTCTACAACATATGTGAAACTTTCAACTCACAATTTGCAAAAACCACAGAGATTTTCAGGTCAAAAAATCCCAAAAAAATTCGAAATTTTTTAGAATTTTCGGTCTAAAAATCTCGGTGGTTTTTGCAAAGCGTAAGTTAAAAATCTCGCATAGGCTTTAGAAAATTCTAATCTCAATCTAGGCCAAGTTTCATTAAAATCAGACCAAATCTTTTTTTAATTTCGAAAAGTTCCATTTTTTAAAAATTTTTTTACAGTTTCCTGTTAACCCTTCTCTCAAGCTTTCTCGTTGCTTTCACATTTTTCGCTTTTCTAGTCTGATAGTCCGCCTTATAGCCTTACGAAAAATAGCTTTAAAAAATCTTGATTTATTCTTGTAAATCCCTGTAACCTAATAAAAAAGATGTAAAATACAAGAGAAAAAGAGTACAATGCAGTAAGTTTGAGTTGATATTAGCCTGTGGATGGGTTGATATTATTCTTGGGTGTTTCGATGGGGCGAAACTCGACGATATTTGACTGATATTGCACTAGGTGCATCAAAAATTGGATGGTTATTTCTCGATAGAGGTGAGAAATTTTTGATGGTAAATTAGTTCTATATGATGGTGGTGTGATTGCGGTGGGGCAAGGAGGGATACCCCGCGAAATTTTTTTGGGTGACTTTTTTGGAGTAAGGGGGGACCAAGGCAAAATCTGACGAAAAATTTTGATCAGGGGGGACCAAGGTCAAATTTTTTGCTAAAAATTTTATATCAAATTTCCAACAAAAAATCGTTCTAAAAGTAGTGTAAGGGTGGATCTTAACCTACACTACCCCCATTTAACTTCAATTTCCCCCTCAAACTAAATTTTTTCGCGTTTTTTTTGCCAAAAATCCCATTTCTCTTCGTGTTCTGGAATTACTGTGGACACAGTAATTGTGAGTGCAAGAAGTGCGTGCAAGGACAGTCTATGGGCGAGGTGACTATGCGTGGAGTGCGAGGTGATCGGTGAACAAAGCGGTTTGTAACGAAAACATTTCGTGTGATAAGTCAATAAACAATAATAAAACGGTGCGTGAAGCCGATTTTCATAGGACTTCTAATGCCCTAAGGGTGTTGAAGAGAGCATAAAGAGACTGAAAATCAAATGCATACTATAAGTGGGCTAGATTAAAACATTTGGGTGCAAAAAATCGAAAAAATACATAAAAAAGAGCTAAAATGGCTAGAAAATTTAAAAAATCGCTAAAAAATCTCGAAAAACTAGTTGATAGGTACAGTTTGTGACTTGCTGAGTCTGGCCTGCGAGCGCATTCGGATCAGGCTGTGCTCGGCGACGTCCGCGCGCTCTTCCGCACCGTCCAATTGGACTTGCATTTGACGGTACTTTTGGAGGTTCATATTGGCCGCCTCCTCCTGGAAAATCAAATTATTGTAAAAATAATTTTCCACATCAGTTTTCGGACTATTATTTTTCGTTTCGAAAGGTCAAAAAGTCGAAAAATCGTAAAAAATGTTTTCGTGGCGAGACCTAAATTTTTAACAAAATGTTGTTCAAACGTAAAAAACCAACAAAAAATTATGTATAGTATTCTTAGAACCTTTATTTTCTACTTTCTCACCGTTAAATAGTCAAAAATTCGAAAAGCATGTTTTCGTGTCGAGACCAAAATTTGAAAAAAAATCCCGAAAACATTGAAAATGCTTCTCTAAACCCATCGTAAATGCCATATACATATCAAAAAATGTTTTCTACAATTTGAAATCTTAATTCGTCTTTTCCGCTCAAAAAATTTGAAATTCCCGCCAATCCCTGAGTTTTGGCATTCTGTTTCAAGGACTGAAAAAAGTGAGTTTTAAACTTCCAAAGGGAATTTAAGGCCAAGAAGAAAATTTGTCGTCAATTTTTAAGTCTTTTTTCCACCGATTTTTTCATCGAAATTTTGAGATTATTCAAACAAAAATCTCGTTTTCCTAATTTTTTGACAAAAAATCAGTCACTTTGTGAAAAAACCCCATCACTTACAGCATCTTCAATCTGTCTTCTCTGCAGCTTGATCTTTCCTTGCAATTTCTCGACCAAATCGACCAACTTGTTGTAGTTTTTGCGCTCCTCATCCAGCTCGAAGGTGGTCTCGCGGCTTCGTCGCTCCGCTTTGCCGAGGTTTTTGGCGGCATCCGCGTGCCGGCGGGCCTCCGTCTCCAGCTCCGTTTCGATCTGTTTCAGTTGTTGTTCCAGCTTGGAGACCACGCGAAGGCCTCCCTTCAAGGCGGAATGCTCGGCTTCGTCAATTCTGGATTGCATCTCCTGGAAATTGAAAAAAAAATAATTTTTTTTTATTTTTGAGTCCGTTCGCAAAGTCGCTGGAGTGAATTTTGCGACATGCACTGTGCAAAAAAGTCGGGGCGCGAGCGACAACCGAAAAAATTTGCACGGTGCAAAAAGGTAGAAACTGCACAGTGCACACCAAAATTTGTGAATTCCATCGATTGCGACCCCGCATCGATTGCGACCCAGCATCGATTGCGACCCCGCACCGATTGCGACCCAAAATGGGGTAAAGCGACCCCGGGATGAAAATTCCTTGATTCTCTTCGGGAAAAACTTGCTTTAGGGGTTTTCGAGGGTGCTGATTTCGAAAATGATGTTCATTTTTCCTCTAGTATTACATAGTACTGTCTGATACTATATAGTACGAAGTGAAAATATCGCTTTTGACGTTAAATACTCGGTTTAGGGGTTTTCGAGGGTGCTGATTTCGAAAATGATGTTCATTTTTCCTCTAGTACTACATAGTACTGTCTGATACTATATAGTACGAAGTCAAAATATCGCTTTTGACGTTAATGGTGTTGGTTTGATGCTTAGTACTCTTCAAAAACACGTTTTAAAGACTTGGTGCTATATAGTACTGTCTGATACTATATAGTACGAAGTAAAAATAAGTGTACTAAGCACCAGAACAACACCACTAACGCCTAAAGGCCAACTTTACACCTCGTACTACATAGTATCAGATAGTACTATATAGCACCAAGTGATTAAAACGTGTTTTTGAAGAGTAATAAGCATCAAACCAACACCATTAACGTCAAAAGCCATATTTTGACTTCGTACTATATAGTATCAGACAGTACTATATAGCACCAAGTCTTTAAAACGTGTTTTTGAAGAGTACTAAGCATCAAACCAACACCATTAACGTCAAAAGCGATATTTTGACTTCGTACTATATAGTATCAGACAGTACTATGTAGTACTAGAGGAAAAATGAACATCATTTTCGAAATCAGCACCCTCGAAAACCCCTAAACCGAGTATTTAACGTCAAAAGCGATATTTTCACTTCGTACTATATAGTATCAGACAGTACTATGTAATACTAGAGGAAAAATGAACATCATTTTCGAAATCAGCACCCTCGAAAACCCCTAAAGCAAGTTTTTCCCGAAGAGAATCAAGGAATTTTCATCCCGGGGTCGCTTTACCCCATTTTGGGTCGCAATCGATGCGGGGTCGCAATCGATGCGAGGTCGCAATCGAGCGGGGTCGCAATCGAAGGATTCCAAAATTTGTCGCTGGAATGATTTAGCGACATGCACTGTGCGAAAACAAAAGTGCACCTGCACTGTGCAAGTTTTTGTTTCTTGCACCGTGCAATAGGCGACAGGCACTGCACAGTGCAAAAAATGGCAAAATGCACAGTGAGCCTCGTCTAAAAATTCTTTGCACCGTGCAATTTTTTGTTTTCTGCACCGTGCAATTTGCTGTTTTTTGCACCGTGCAATAAGTTCTTTCCGGCTGTCGCTCGCACCCTGACTTTTTTTGCACAGTGCAAACGCCAGAAATCAGGCGACGAGTGAGTGATGCACTGTGCGAAAAAAGTCAGGGTGCGACAGCCCAAAAAAGTCTATTGCACGGTGCAAAAAGCAACAAATTGCACATTGCAGGGTGCACTTTGGTATTTGCACAGTGCATGTCGCCGAAATCATTCCAGCGACTTTGCTGACGGACTAGAAGAGAAAAAATGTAAAAATCTCAAGTTGTTAGAGTGATGGGAAATGTAGCGCGTTAGAAATTAATAAAAAGAAAAAAAAAAAAATTTTTTTTGAAAATTTTCAAAGAAAATTATGATTAAAAAATTTCTTTTTTGTTATTTGAACTCAAATTTCATACCTTTCCAGTGAAGAATTTGGTCTCTTCAACCTTGTTCAACGAATTACACAAGCTCTAGAAATAGAACAAAAAAATAGGAGAAGAAAAAAAAAATAAAAGAAAAATAAAATTGGAACTAAAAATAACTGCGACAAAAACAAATATTCTGAGATTTGAGTGCACTTTTCGGATTTTTTAAAACCTTATTTCATAGTTTTTTCTGAAAAAATTTTAAATTCCCGTCATTCCCTGAATTTTGGCATTCTGTTTCAAGTGGCAAAAAAGGCGAGTTTTCGAATTCCAAAGGGAATTTCAAGTCTGGAAAAAAATTTGGCATCGATTTTTAGATTTTTTCCCACCGATTGTTTATTGGAAATTAGATTTTTTCAAAAAAAAAAAAAAAAAAAAAATGAGAAATAAAAATAGTAATAAAAAAATAAAAAGAAACCAAATTTTTCGTTCTAAAACCCGCGAATTTGAAAAAAATTGACAAAAAAATCATGAAACCACCATGAACCAAATTAAAGTGCACTCTGTTATTTTCGGGATAAAATTTTAGCAGAAATTTGATTTTGAAATCAAATTACAGTTAATTTTCGGGGAAATATTCACAATTTCTCACCTTGACTTGGAATTCCAAAGTTTTGCGGATCCTATCGACTTGGTTCGACCTTTCCTGTTCGTTTCGCAGCTCTTCGGCCAAATGAGCGGCCTCGGAGGAGGCGCGTTTGCCTCTCTCCATTGCGGCGTTCACTTCGGCGGTGGCTTCGGAGACGTCGGACTAAAAAAATTTTTACAATTTTTTTTATTTCTTACCCTCAACAAAGCCAACTCAGCCTCGAACTTGGCGCGGGCCGTGGCCAAGGCTTGATTGTCGGCGAGCAGGTCGTTGTTGGCGATTTGGAGATCATTCAAGTCGGATTCGAGCTGCTTCTTGGCGCGTTGCAGCTGAAACAAATAATGAATTTTCAATAATTTGACATTTCGTCGGCTTTCGGAAGAAAACCTCACAAAAAAAAATCGAAATTCGCTCGATATTTTACTCAAAAAAGTTTTTTCCGACTCTAATTTTCTGTTTTTAAAGTGGTCCCCTCTTGACCTACCCCTCTCTTATCGCCAGAGCTAAGTTTCAGCTTGTTTTCGAGCTGCGCCCAAGACGCGAGCTGCGCCGTGCAAGTTCTCCGAGCTGGGCCCTATGATTTTCAGCAAACTTTCAGTTTTAAGCGGAGGGAAACAGATGACCAAACGGGCCAGGGAGACACTTGACACGAATTATTTTTTTGATTTTTTGTAGAAGAAAATAAATTGCACGTCAATCCAGCTCATTTCCTGAACCGTTTCGAAACTTCGTATCGTTTTCATTGATTTAAAAGAGAGACGAAATGTCGCGAAATTATCGGCACTTTTTCTCGCCCGAAGCAACTGCTTTTTTTGAAAAGGAAGAAGAAAGATAAGAAAATGCGTTTTATCGAGTGGTGACATTTCGCTTTGAACGAATCGCCAAAAAGGGGCGGGAAATTTTTTCTTCTATTTTGGATTGACGTGAATTGGCATGCATTGCCCTGCTCCAACGCTCCTCCCCGCACTCACCGCCTCGATCTGCGTGAACATTTCCTCGTGCTCCTGTTTGGCGGTGATCAGCTTCTTCTCCGTGGTGGAGTAGCTCTCCCTGAACTCCTCGCGCTTCCTCTGCTCCTCATCGATATGGTTGTGCAGGTCCTTGACCTGGTCCTGATACCGTTTCACGTTGCGTTGCGCGTCCTCGTTGGCCTTGGAGGCGTGGTCCAACGCAATCTCCAGCTCCTTAAAATACTTAATTTAGCTTCTCGTTCTAGTCACTGTCCCGCTTTCCCCGGAATCAGAATCTTTTTCGCTTACGCTGATGTCGGCTTCCAGCTTCTTCTTGAGGCGTGCCAGCTCCGCTTTGGCCTTGGTCTCCTGCTCGAGGGTGGCTTGCATGGAGTCCATGGCGCGTTGGTGGTTTTTGCGGGTGTTTTCGAACTCCTCCTCCTTTTCTTGGAGTCGTTTCTCGATCTCCGACCGGATCTGGTTGATTTCCACTTGGGAGCGGAGGACCTTCGATTCCTCCGCTTCCAGGGCGGCTTCGGCCTCATCCAGCGCGTGCTGGAGCTCGTCCTTTTCGACTTCGAGTCGGCGTTGGGCCTTTTGCAGTTCGTGGATCAATCGGGCGCCCTCGTTCAGCTGTTCTTGCAGGTCGCGGGCCTCCTGCGCCAGGGTCTTGTTCTCTCTGCGCAGTCCCTCCACTTGTTCGGTGAGGCTGTCCTGAGTGGACTGCAGGCGATGCGCCTCCATGGCCTGGGTGCGGGCCTCGCGTTGGGCGGCGTCCAGTTCGTTCTGCAAGTCGTCGGCCTTGTGTCGCCATTCGTCGACAATCTTGTCGAAGGCGCGCTGCTTCTTGTCCAGTTGGGCGGCCTGCTGTTGGAGGATGTCGCACTCGGTGCGGGCCGCGTCCGCTTCGTTGGTGAGGCGCGCCTTCTGCTTCTCCAAGTTGGCTAGGCGGACTGTCGCCGAGTCCAGTTCGTTCTGCAGTTCGGCGATCTGCGCGATCTGTTTGCGGCGAAGTTCGTCCGCATCGTCGGCGCTGACCATGCCTTCGCTCTCGTAGCGGCTTCTCCATTGCTCGATTTCGCCCTGTTCGCGGGCCAACTGTCGCAGCAGGTCCGACTTGCCGGCAATCTCCTCCTCCAGCGAGTCGCGGATTTGGTCCAGCTCGTGTTCCAGGTTCTTGCTGAGAATATTCAACGACTGTCGTTGACGGGTCTCTTCGGCGGCTAGGCGCTTGAACTCCTCCGCCTGGGCGGCGTACTGGGCCTTCAGACGGGTGGTGGCCGTGATCTGGGCCTCCAGCTCCTCCACATTGCGGCACAGCTCGCCGTTGTCGCTCTGGAGTCGGGACTTGGCCGAGCCGATGTCCTTGATGAGGCGTTGCTGCTCCTCGTTCTTGAGGCGCAACTCGACCAGCTGCGCTTCGAATTGTTTGGCGTGTCGCTCGAATTCGACGCGTTGTTTGGCCTCGTCGTCCAGCGTGTAGGTGGCTTCGTCGAGCTGCTTTTGGAGCTGGGCGCGCTCCTTGTCGGCGCGGTTGCGGGCCCGCATCACGTTCTCGATTTGCTCGGTGAGCTCGAGGGTCGCGTCCTGGCCCTTCTTCTTCAGCGCCGTGGACTGGGACTCGAAGTTCATCTTGAGCTGGTCGATTTCGCGGCGCAGCTTCGCTAGCTCGTTGTCGCGCTTCTTGTTCAGGTCCATTTGCTGCATGGTGGCGCCGCTCTGTTGGTTGAGTTGTTCGTGGAGTTCGTCGATCTCCTGCTGCAGCTCGGTCTTGGAGCGCTCGGAGCGGGCGCGCGCCTGGCGCTCGCTTTCGACCTCCGCCTCCAGCTCCTTGATGCGGTTCTCGTTCTCCTTGAGTTGGCGGCTGAGTTTGGCGGCGTTGGTTTGCGCGTCCTCCACCTTGATGCTGAGCGAGAAGAGGTCGGCTTCTTTGCGGCGGAGCGAGTTCTCGGCGTCGGTCTTCTGCTTCGAGAGTTCGTCGAGGTTTTCGTGCGCGATCCGCAGCTCGCCCTCCAGCTTGCGTTTGGCTTTTTCGGTGTCGGAGCGCACGCGACGTTCGCGGTCCAGGTCGCTTTCGACGGTTTCGAGGGTGTCGAGCAACTTTTTGCGCAACTGTTCCTCGCTCTGGGCGCGCTCCTCCTCGTTCTGCATGTCCTCCATGAACTTGCTGTTCATCTCCTCCTGTTGTTTCTTTTCGCGCTCCAGCTTGGCGAGCGTCATTTCCTGGCGCTGCAGCTCGTCCTCGATGGAGCGGATTTGGTTTTCTTTGGCTTGTTTCTCGCTTTCCGCCTTTTTTAGGGCTAATTCCATTTCGGTGGTCTGTTTCTTCAGCACATCCACCTCCTGCTCGGCCTTTTTGCGCGCCTGCTGCAGGGAGGCGGTGTGGTTTTCGGCCGAGGACAGCTGATTTCCCAGATCCTCCATGTTCTTGTGCAGGCGCTCCTTGGCTTCGGTGAGGCCTTCGAGGCGTTGTTGGACCTCCTGTGTCTTGCCGACCGCGCCTTCCATCGACTTGAGCAGCTCTTCGCGCTCCTCCTTCATGCGTTTGGTCTCCTCCTCGAGGCGTTTGCGGGTCTCCACCTCCTGTTCCAGCGACTCTTGGGTCTTGACCAGGTCCTCCTGCGCCTTCTCCAGCAGCTCGGCCTCTTTGCCGGCGGCCAGGAGCGGCTTCACCTTGCCGTACAGCTTCATCCACACCCAGGTGCGCAGCTCGAGCCAGGAGCGCACGTTGCGCTGGATCACGTAGATTAGATCCTGCTGCGCGCGCAGATCCTTGGCTTTGATCTGCAAATCCGGCGTGAGATTTCTTACGCTTGCTCAAAGGTTTTGGAAACCTTCGATCTAAACTTCTCGGTGATTTTCCTTCTCGGAAGATCGGCGAGAAGTTTAGGGCTGTCCCCAAATGATTTGATTGTTCTATTCGAAAAGATTGCCAGTTTTTCATTCCAAACACTGTCGAATTTCTAACAAGTTTCGGCTGAAAAATTCGGCAATTTCCCACAGTTTCAAGTTAGAAAATCTCGTAAATTTCGCAGAAAACTCTCTAATGTTTGGCAATTCCATGGATTCGAGTTTTCCACGAAATTTACGAGATTTGTAACTTGTCGGAAATTGCCGATTTTTCGGCCGAAACTTGTCAGAAATTCGATTTTCTGCAGTGTTTGGAATGACAAAGCTGGCAATCTTTTCAAATAAAACAATCAAATCATTCTAGAGCAGCCTTCCGCCAAAAAATCCACTGCTTTTCCCTCCTTACCAAAGCGCAATACCATCGGCATTCGGCCTGGAAGGCGGAGAGCAAACGGTTCAACTTTTTGTCCCTCAAATCCTCCACATGCGCCACGACGCCGGCCTTGAAGAAGACCTTGGTGGTGCCCACGCGGAACATGTCCTCCTCCAGGTCCTTCTGCTGCACCAGCCGCTTCAGCATCGCCTCCACGTTGGTCTTGATGTCTTTGCTGCTCTTGGCCTGGTCGGCGGCGAGCAGCGCGTAGCGTTGGACAAAGTCCGCGTGCAGCGTGCGGTTGGGGAAGCCCTTGCGGCAGATGCGGATGCCTTCCAGCACACCGTTGCAGGTCAGCTGGTTCATCACCAGCGCCGCGTCCAGCACGCCCGACTGCTTCTTCTCGTTGGGGATGATGCAACGGATGAAGTGCGGGTGGGTGGTGTGCAGCATGTCCATCAGCTTGTTTAGGGATTCACGGTACAGCATGGAGACGGTGTTGAAGGAGCCGGATTTGCCCTTCTTTTTGCCTCCTCCGCCGCCACCTGCGAAAGGAATATTAAAATTTTCGAAAAATTTTCATTTTTTGGTAAAATTTTTGCTTGGCAAACGAAGAAAACATAGTTTTAGTTGCACAACACTCTAGGATACGTTTTCTATCCATTTCATAGCTTATTTTTGAGTTTGAAAAATTTTACGGTTTTCGTGTCGGGACCCAAAATTTTGGAATTCAAGGTTTAAATGGGATAAAACCCAACCTTTCAAATAAAAAAAAGTTATATGTGCTTTAAAAATTTTATGTCTCAATTTCCACCAGGCCTCATTGAAGATTAATGCCTCAAAAATTTCCGAAATTTGGTCTCGACACGAAAACCTGAAAATTTTAAAAAGCCTCAAAAACTTCAAAAATTCTTGGCCCAATAGCCATATGTAAGGCATTATTTTTAACTTTCCGCCTTCTCTCACCCTTGTTTTTGGCAGCAGCGGCGGCCGCTTCCTCCTGTGTGGTGTAATCGCCCCACAGCTCCACCAACAGCACATTCTCCTTGGACGCCTTCATGACCGTCACCACCGTGTCGTTCAGCGGGTCCTTGTTCTTCTCCAGCCAGTTGGTGACGTTGTAGCGGACGGTGCCGGCGTAATGGCGCATCGCGAAATGGGCCTCGGCCTGCTTTCCCTTCGGCGGTTTGGGCTTCTCGAAGTTGGGGTGCTTGCCCAGGTGCTGTTCGAGGAGTTTGGCGGCCAGGGTTTGGTCGGACGCCTTGGGGACGATACATTCTTCATCCAGCATGGCAATGATGCCCATGGGCTGAAATTTGAAATTTTTTTTTTAATTTCAAAAAAAAAATTTTTTTTTTCGAAAAAATCAAATTTTTCGGATAAAAAATTTTTCGAATTTCAAAAAAAATTTTGGCCAAAAATAGTGTCCTAGACTTACAAATTCTTCAACATTCACAAATACAGCCTTTTTTCCCCCTTTTAGCCATCATTTCTTACCTTTTCGATCAGCTCAATGCAAGCAGCCAAGTCGAGACCGAAATCAATGAAAGTCCATTGGATTCCCTCGCGAGCGTACTCTTCCTGCTCCAGGACGAACATGTGATGGTTGAAGAATTGTTGCAGCTTCTCGTTGACGAAGTTGATCCACAGTTGTTCGAAGGAGTTGAACTGAAAATTCGAAATTTCAAAAAGTTTATTTTTTTGTAAAAATCAAAAAAAAAAATTTTACTCACAATCAATTCATCGTATTTTACTTTGAAATAGCCTCATTAGGGGGTAGTTCTTCTTTTTACCAAACAAAATCGGCTTTTTGATACAAAAAATCCCGTTTTTCCGATATCTTTTACATCGGAGTTGGACGATTGGGGAAACCGAAAATTATTATTTTTCTTCGATGCAAATGCGAAATTAGGATAATCGAAGGCGCTGATTTCGAAAATGACATTTATTTAGTTACTTTTTTCCATAAGTAGTACTGTAAAATAGTACTTCTTTGATTTTTTTTCATTAATATTCGATTTAGGGGCTTTCAATGGTGCTGATTTCGAAAATTTGATTGATTTTCTTTCGATTTGAAAGCACACCATCATAAAAAACAACCAAATCGAGTATTCATGAAAAAAATTGCTAGTTTACAGTACTACTTAAGGAAAAAGTGAAGATCAAAAGAAATGAATGTCATTTTCGAAACCACCACCCTCGATTATCCTAACTTCACACTTGCATCCAAGAAAAATAATACTTTTCCCCGATCGTCCAACTTCGATGTAAAAAATGTCGGAAAAACGGGATACTTTGCATCAAAAAACCGATTTTATTTGGTAGAAAGAAGAATTACCCCCTAAACGGGCTATTTCGAGACAAAACACGATGAATTGAAATTTTTTTTTGATTTTTAAAAAATTTGAAATTTTGAAGGGTTTCCCAATCGTCTTTTTCCCCAATCATCCCAGCACGTCAATCCAAAATAGAAAAAAAAAATCCCGCCCCTTTTTGGTGATTCGTTCAAAACGAAATGTCACAATCCGATAAAAAGCATTTTCTTATCTTTCTTCTCCCTTTTCGAGGAAAAGCAATTATTTCGGGCGGGAAAAAGTGCCGATAATTTCGCGAATTGACGTGCCCAGTTCCTTTTTTATATTCCACCAGCCCGCTTACATCAAAAATTTCGAAGCCAGCAATATCCAGCACACCGATGAAGGATTCTTTTTTGAATCCGCTCGACGCCAGGGTCTCATTGCACTTCTTGACCAGCCAATCGAACACTCTCGAGTAGAGGCCCTTGGCCATGGCGCCGATTCCCCAGTTCACCTGCTCCATGTTCTGGCCCTTGTTCACCCATTCGGTGCCGACCTTCACACGGGGCCTCAGCAGCGCCTTCATGAACTCGTCGCGGTCAATTCCGTACATTTGAGCGGCACGACCCGCCTCCTCCACGCCGTCGGCTTCGGCCTGCTCTTCGCGGGGGCGCTGCTTGAACTTCATGTTGCCCATGTGCAGCATGGCGGCCATCAGCTTGTAGCACTCCTCGATTTCGCGCTCGCTGAAATTGAGGATTCTGAAGGCATCATCGGTGAGCTGATGCTCCTCCTTGTCGTCGATTCCGTCCACGGTGAGTTCGGCCTGCGCGATGAACCAGTATTCGCTGACGTCCTGCTCCAGGAGCAGGGCCTTGCGCAGGTCGGGCTTGTAGCCCGAGAACAGCTGGTAGAAGATGTGGTAGCAACGCTCGCCCGGCGCTTGACGAATCACACGCGACTTTTCGAGCAGATCTAAATCAATTTTGGAGATTTTTTGGTTAATTTGGTGAAGAAATTATATTGTACTAGGTCAAGTGGGAAGAAATTTAAAAATTATTTGATTTTAACCTCGCCTTGTTTTATTATCGATTCTAAGTGCTTCTAACAGGCTTCAAACATCATCTAATACCACAAAAAATTCTGTTTTAGCAAGCCTGTGGTAAGGGTAAAGCAAAAAAAAAATCTCTGATTTTTGGTCTCCCCTTGCCCCACCCAATTTTTTTTTCACTTTCCAGCTTCCTAGACCTACCACTGAAATAATACATCCCTCTGACACTTTTTACAACAAACACTCTACGAATTTTAGACAAAAATATTAAATTTATATTACACTAGACCAAGTCTAATATAAGGTGAAAATTTGATTGTTTTTGATCTTTCTTCATATATTTTTTAATCGAATTTCGATCGATTATCCTTCTGACTCCATCATAATTAATTTTCATACGCTCCTGACAATAAATATGGCAAGGGTGGACCTTAGAAAAATTTTTCTTTTTTGGTCCGCCCTTACCCCACCCGATCGGCTAAATGTCCCTGCTAGTTCTACAATTATCCTGGACCCTCTGCACGTCCAAAAAACAAATTTTTTCACAACAAACATATATTTTACAAAACTTATGAGAGTTTTTCCATTAAACTTACAATGTTCAATGTCGCAAGACGCGACTCTTCCAATCCGATTGAAATGGATTCGAATGAACTTTCCGAAACGCGACGAATTATTGTTTCTCACCGTCTTTGCGTTTCCGAACGCCTCCAGCACGGGGTTGGTCTGGACGATCTGGTCCTCGAGCGTGATCTTCTTCTCCCCGTCGTCCTCTTTCTTCTTGCCGCCGCTGTCCAGCTCGGCTTGCGAGGCGCCCACCGACGCGAAATACGAAATGACCTTCTTCGTGTTCTCGGTCTTGCCGGCGCCCGACTCGCCGGTGATCAGCATCGACTGGTTCTCAAAGTTCTGCAGCATGTTGCGGTAGGCCTCGTCGGAGACGGCGAACAGGTGGGGCGGCATTTCCGTGCGCCGCTTCCCCATGTACATGCGCGCCACCGAGTCGGTGTAGATCGGCAGCCGTTTGTAGGGGTTGATCACCACGCAGAACAGACCGGAATAGGTCTGGAAAGACATTGTTTTAGGCGAGGGTCGATATCAAAAATAATTTTTTGAAATTCTCAAACGGTACCCTTCGAAAATTCCTCAAACTTTAGAGCAATAATCTAAATGGACTGCATAACAATCCATCGGAATTTCAGCTCCAACTGAGGGAATTCAGCCGAGATATTCGACAATCTTTGCGGACGAGACATAATGAAAAATAAGGAGACGGTAAGAGAAAAGTTTTTTCGTCAGACCTTATACCGTGACGGACCTGATCCAGTGGCAAAAAATATACCATTTTGCATCCCGGAAGTATCAAAAAAATGTGGCAAAATACCTCCCTCTCCAAGTGAAAAAACTCCGATTTCAAAAGCCCGCCCGCTCTTTTTATGAGAGCCCTTCAAAACGGAGATTTTTTTAGTTGGCGAGGGAGGTATTTTGCCACATTTTTTGATACTTCCCGGATGCAAAATGATACGTTTTTTGCCGCTGGATCAGGTCCGTCACTGTATAAGGTCTGACGAAAAAACTTTTCTCTGACCGCCTCCTCATTTTTCATTATGTCTCGTCCGCAAAGATTGTCGAATAACTCGGCTGAATTTACTCAGTTGAAGCTGACATTCCGAGGAATTGTTATTAAAAAAAATCAGTCTGTCGGGAAAATAATGTGGATTTGTCGCAGAAAAATGTCTCGCACCAAATCTCCAGCCAGCCGTTACAAAGCGATAATTGGCGATTTCAACGTCCAACAAATCCACATTATTTTCCCGACAGACTGATAAATCCACATTATTTCCCCGACGGGCTACTAAATCCACATTATTTTCCCGACAGAATGATAAATCCACATTATTTTCCCGACAGACTGATAAATCCACATTATTTTCCTTTCTTAGCCCCTAATGTCATGTACAACATCCAGACCCCACCAAACCGCGCATAAAACCACTCAAACCTACGTAAATCAGCATGGCGCCGTATCTGCTGCGCAGATTCGCCATAACGGAGGCGTCGTTCAAGAAGGTCAAGTTGGACATGTCCTCGCACTTCTCGAACTTGGGCGGGTTCATCTCCTGAATTTGGTCGGTCTTCACCGTTCGCTCCGTGCCGCCCGCGATCTGGACGACAGTCTGGTCGCCGTTGGTGGACTTGATGACGGCCGCCACATAGCCCTCCTCCTCGTCCGGCACCCAGCAATCCTTTTTTGTGTCGTAGGGCCTGGATTGATCCTGGAATGGGATTGAAATGACGCATCATAATGGAGAAGTTGTAAAACGGCCCAATTCGGCAGAAAATTGCATCTGTGGTCTGGCAAAAATCCTTGTTTCAGCCACCTTGTGTACAACTCTTGTAATAACAAGGTTTTTACACAACTTCCTGACCGTTTTCAGCCGACAAAAAACTCGAAAAAAATTCCGGTTTCAGTCGAGAAAATTTGAGAAAGGCGGTCAAAATGACCTCGAATTTGGTGTCAAAAGGTATCACAGAGAGACAAAATTTTCATGCTGGATTCGAAGCCCAATTTGGCAGAAAATTGCCCCCGCGGTCTAGCAAAAATCCTTGTTCCAGCCAGCTTTTGAATAACAAGATTTTTACACAATTTCCTGAACGCTTTCAGCCGACAAAAAAAAATCGAAAAATAGGCCAATGTGACCTTGAATTTGTCATCAAAAAGTATCCAAGAGGCACAAAAAGATGGTTGGTTTTGAAGAGGAAGCAGTTTGTCGGTTTATAACGGACGTTTTGCGACGACAAAAATGCCTCAACAGGTCATTACAACAACCTTTTCTCTTCAAAAAAATAATCCTTTTTTTTGAGAAGATAAAGGTCGATGGAATGCCTTTTCAGCCATTTTTAAAGTGCTAGGTAAATGTTAAAGCTTCCTCTTCAAAACCAATCATCTTTTTGTGGCTCTGGGATACTTTTTGATACCAAATTCGAGGTTATTTTGATCTCTTTTTCGATCTTTTTGTCAGCTGAAAGCGTTCAGGAAACTTTGTAAAAATCTTGTTATTGCAAAAGCTGTCTGGAACAAGTTTTTTGCTAGACTGCGGAGGCAATTTTCTGCCAAATTGGGCTTCAAATCCAGCATGAAAATTTTGCCTCTCTGTGATACTTTTTGATACCATATTCGGGATCATTTTGACCGCCTTTCTCAAAGTTTATCGACGGAAACCTAACTGGAATTGCAAAAACCTCATTTATAGTCATTAGAAAATCAAAAACGCTTACCTCCAAGATCTGTTCGCGGGTTCGTCGAAGATATTTCCATCCTGGATCGTTTTCATAATCCATGCTCAACTAAATTTCGCAATTTCCATCAAAAATCCACAAAAAATCGAATCAGAAACAGTTCAAAAAAACAAAACCAAGCCCGAAATAGCTTATAAAAACAATTTTTACAGTATTTTACCTTCTTCTTGTTAGCAAATTTTCCAATTTTTAATTTACAAGTTATCTCCATGTTAATGAAAGTAAAAATTTTCGGCATGTTAGTAGAGTGAGAGCGCAACAAATGTCAGTTGTAACGCAAAAATTTACCGCGAAATCCATGGTTGAGTCGTGTTTGGCCTCAGGCTAAATAAATAGGCAGAGGGACCTCTACCTCTACCGTCCCTTCAAGCCGTATAACCTAAATTGGAACGAATAAATCGCTGGCAAAATGAGGGCAAATTAAATGTAAATCAGGGAGATTTATTAGCCAACGGAACCGAGGGGTTAGTTAACATAAATTCTCGGGGATTTCAACAAAACGGGATTTTTAACGATTTTTTCTGGGGTTCAAATTAGTTTTGAGGGTTTTGGGGAGGTTATATGGGTAATTTATGTATGAAATAAAATTTATACGAGATATAATGCCATATAATACTATGTAATAATGGTTTGAACATATATAGAGGGCGAAATCAAAAGTTATGGCAAGAAATATTACACTTGATGACCTAGTATAGCATCAAGTAATAATGAACAATTTCAAGGGTCTAAATCAATATAATTGATGCTAAAAAGCTTAATAGATATAACGAACTTGTTTTTAATCAAATTAAACATCAACGCAGCAAAAAAATCAGCACTATACAAGTTTATTTTTAGTAATCATGTGTAATATTACCTCTGGTCTACTATCCCACTGGAATTAAAAATCCGTCTACAGATTCCTTATTAGATATATGCTTGTATCTAAACACAAATATCACACCAGTAATCAACGATATGACCTTAATTTAGCCTAGTACAAGATACAAATCCCATTTTTACGGCCAAATCGTGATACCCACTCGGATTGGATATCAAAATCGGATCCCTTTCACACTAATAGGCCCGATCCTCACCACTCCCGCACATTTCCCGGAATACCGGCGGCCTGCGAAGCGTTGAAAGCGCAGTCGTCACCTCCCGGCCCCGAGTGCTTAATGCGACTCCAGGGCCAGCGGATCTCTCAAGTGAGGTGAGAGGAGAGGGAAGAGTAGGCGTGAAAGAGAAACGTCTCTACCGTATGCGATCACTGTGTGCAGGCAGCAGCAGGACTGGAGATTTTAGGGGGGATTCAGGGAAAACCGATCCGTGCAAAGGACCAAAAATTTTCGTGGAAAACTCTAGATGACAAATCGCGATGATGCCGGAGGGCATTTTGATGTAAAATTAGCCACAAAAGGTGTCCAATTTGACAGCACAATCGTAAAAGCGACTACAGTGGTGGAGCTGACACATACGTAGTACAGAATATCTTAATCGGAATGGCTGATAAAAACGAGTCAAAATTGCTGTCCGATTCCGCCTTCGGTCAGAAAAGAAATTCAACGATCTGGCTGTGTGGTCTTGCGGTGGTTTCTTCTGTCGATTACCTTACGCTACCTATTCTACCTGAAATGACTTGGCCTTACAATGTTTGGCGGGATAAAACATGAATTTGCCTGTCTTGCAACAACTCAACAAGTCCATCAATAGAAATTTTTAGGATGGCAATTGACTGTAGCTTATGTTCTGTTCAATTTGCCCATCAAAAATTTCACTTTTTATCGAAAAATTCAAAAGTTTTGGCCGAAATTTTTGTCGGTAATTTTTCCTAAATTAAAGCGAAATGTTAGGTTCATACCTACCTCACGGTACTGTATACGTCCTAGAGAATAATAGTTTAATCGGGATGGCTGATAAAAACGAGTCAAAATCGCAATGTTTGGCGGGATAAAACATGAATTTACCTCTGTTTTGTGACAATTCTCGGTGATTTTTTTTCGATTATGCCAATGAAATACAGTGACGGACCTGACCCAGTGACAAAAAACGTATCATTTTGTATCCGGGAAGTAGAGAAAAATGTAGCAAAATACCTCCCTCTCCAAGCAAAAAACTCCAATTTCAAACGCGCGCCCTTCAAAAATGGAGGTTTTTAGTTGGAGAGGGAGGCATTTTGATACATTTTTGATACTTCCCGGATGCAAAATGGCATGTTTTTTGCCACTGGATCAGGTCCGTCATTGTGTTTCCTTGGCAAAATCGAAAAAAAATCACCGAGAATTGTACAAAAAAACAGATAAAAAAAATTCATGTTTTATCCCGCCCGATTAAGCTATTATTCTCTAGGACGTATACAGTACCGTGAGGAAGGCAAGAACTTAACATTTCACTTTAATTTAGGAAAAATTACCGAAAAAAGCTTTCGGCCAAAAATTTTGAATTTTTGATAAAAAGAGAAATTTTTTATTGACAAATTGAATAGGACATTAGCTACAGTTAATTACCATCCTGAACATGACCTTTACCATCAATAAATTTCAAAAATCACCGATTCTGATATCTTTTTGGGCATTTTTACACCAAAAATTTACCTTATACTACCTTATACTCAACTAAATCCCTTTTATAGGCAATAACTCTTGGAATTTCTCCCATTCCTTACATCCAGCCCTCTTGGCCGACCCTACACCGCCTGTTCCACGAAACCAATCGATAATGCGGACCCGGATTTCGGTGGTTATTTGAGCAAAGTGCGAATTAGCGGCTGGAAGTGTGGGGCTAAAGCGCGCGCGGATCTCTTGAGAGAGAGAGACGAAGCCGGGCCCAAACTCTCGACCCGCGCGGATCAAGGATAGCGGGCCTTGTGCAAACAACAAGGTGGGAGATCCGTCTTCATCACTCCGGGATTGTTTTAAGGCCGACAAATGCGCGCGGAAAGCACAGCACGGAACCGCGGGGAGATGCTCTCGACTTCGGCCGGGAAATGCTAGGAAATGTTTATTTCAAATAACGCTGAACGAAGGGAAATAGTCGTTGTTCCACCAACGCCTGCCCGTACCATGCATACCATCTGAAAAGAGTGAGAACAACTCGATGAGCACGGAATTATAACGGAAATAAAAAAATGAACCAAAAATGGGTCATGGATAATATAAAAATGGATGGAATGGCTCGGACAAGTAAAACTACCAAAATCCTTTTGTTGAAAAGGCTTGAACATAGCAGTACCTTTCTACTACAACCAATTTCAACGAGTTTTAGGAGGTCTTTACTACATTTTTAACGAAAAATCGCCTAGCCCTATTTTTGATCCAAAATAAGTTCTAAACTAAAATTTTTCGAAAAAAATCTTTGCAAATGACGTATAAGGCTACTACAAGCCCAACAAGATCCATCCAATCACTTGTCGTTTTCAAAAATCGTCAAAAATTATATTATCCATGACAAAAGCCAAAATTTCCAAATAAAAATCTCGATTTTGCATTTGTCACTTTCCAAATTACCTCACTAAAATTTCAAATGCTCTAACAAAGTCAAAAAAACTTACAATCCGAATATACTTCCACCTAAATGAGCAGCGTGATCGAAAAGTTTGAATCGGAGGAGCAGTCCGGCCAAGTCGAACGCCATCAATCCATACGCCGCATTCTCCGCGCTAAACGTGAACATCGGCAGGAAAATGATGGACAATCGAGAATCCGGGATCTTCATGCATGTGTAGACAAGCAATGCGCAAATTGCTCCGGACTAAAAATAAAAATTTTTTAGGTAAAAAAGTAAATAAAAGGTGATAAAATTTGAGGCTAAGATACTCTATTATACTCTAAATATTAGTAGCTTTTCATTAAATTCTTTCAAACCGTCAAAAAAGCAAAAATATTTTAAAAAATCGACAAAAATTATATTATCCATGCCAACTTACTGCGCCCAGCGCCCGAACAGGCGATCTAACCGCCGATTTGTGAGCCAGACTAGTCAACGAAGAAAATGCGCCGGCTGTGAGGTAGAAAGCCAAGAACTACATCTAAAATTCAAAGAAATATAACCAAATCTCGTACCTGATCAACTCCGAAAAACCGATCCACGGAGACGGATGCAAAACTATGCAGGACGTACATATTCAGTCCCAAATGGATCCAACTGCTGTGAGAGAACACTGAGGACACCATTGGGACACAGAGACTTTCTGAAAGGTTCTTTTTCACCTTTTCTAAACGTCAAGTACAATATAAAAAGACTCACTCTGAGCGAAAGAATTCGTAAAATACCGCATCATTGGGACTCTGAGTGATGGAATTTGCCATAAAATAGTGATGGCTACATTTGCAGCAATCAATCCGAATATCAGCTTCTGGCCTGGAGAAAATTCACCAAGCTCATGATTAATACTACGTGAGCTGGACGGCTCGGCGAAATTGGTGAAGAACGAGTGGGAAAAGAAATCGTTAATAGATTGCTTAAAGTCCTTCTGCCGTTGGAAATCGCTGTACGCGGCAACTGTGTAAGTTACAGCTGATACCTAAAAACAGGCGTTCAGAGGTAAAATAATGTCAATAATGATGTAAAACCAAAAGGTAATGAAAATTTCAAATATTGAAAAGCAAGACCCGATCATGCAGATTCTTCTCAGACCAGCAGGATTCTGTCAACTGCTTAAAATTAGAAGATACATGCAAAAGAAATTTTAGGCCAAGTGTAATATCCGAATTTTCCCAAAAAGGCCAAAATCATTTATCAAAAGGCCTGAAAAGCCGCACATTGCTTCAAAGACCATTTTCAGTCCTCTTGTGCCCATGAAATCATCTAAAAACCAAACAAAAACAAAGAAATTAACCTACACCAGCTGTGAAACCAAGAGCTCTCCAAAGGTGCGACGGCGGGCGAAGCGATATCGAATCAGGATGGACTTCATGGACTTCTTGAGACTTGAATTCTTTTGGTTTTGGGTCGGCTACCGGTCGACGAGTTCGGGTTGCTCGAAATCTGTTGAATAACTTGGAATTCTGCGAGATCAGGCGGATGTGCGATGTAAATCCGGTAAAGGCCTGGATTCTGATGGCATTTCGAAGCATTTGATGGGTCGCACCGATACGAAAATGTATCAACAGCTGAGTTCTGACGAAATTTTGAGAAATCCGAGAAAATAATTTTTGAAGAGAAACAGTTGACCCGTTCGGGACAAGTTGTAACAAGATGATGTTCTTGGCCGATAAGTTGGTCCAGAATGATGAGAATGGATGGAAAATATGGTAAAATCTTTTCAAACGAATTTATAATAAAATAGAACTTAAAATTAAGCGATTTGGGGATCAAATCTGTCATGTATAATATAAAATTTGGCTAATTTTTGATTAATTCGACCGTTTAAGGTCCATTTCTCCGCTTACAGTACCGTTAACAGGTTTATCATGTCCTCAGTGACATGTTGCATACAACTGCCAACATGATTTAATTTCCTTGCGCCAAAATTTTCCATATTTTTCGCTTTTTTCGTCTCAACCCATGACGTGAAAATCAAATATTCAGCGGTTCGCAACCTTTGCCGAACCTTTGAATGGCCCTTTTGCAAACGAAAAACGGGAATTTTTAAGATTTGGAACTTCAGATGCACTTCTTTTCCCAATTGTTTCGTGGTTTCCTTTTTGTAGAGGCGGGGTTCGAGTGGCGGTTTAGCGACGCCGAAGCGGAATGAATTTTTGGTGCCTAAAGTGGGCAGACGTGCTATTCGTACGAGAACTGAGCCGTATTACGAGAAATCAAGGGGTAAAAATTAGGTTTTTTGTCGAAAATCATGTTATAGTAGGGCTAAATTAAGAAGGGAAGTGCTCCAAGTGCGATGCTTAGATTTTCTGTAAATTTTGCCTATATGTCGGGTATAGGTGACATATTAATTCCTCAAAATTTCAGCCCGCAGTTTGCACGGAGAGCCGAGATATTCAACCATCTTTGTGGGACGAGAGAGTATGGGAAATGCGGAGAGTGGTCAACAAAAACCACTTTTTGGCCGTATCTTTGCCAGTTTCACGCGGAAAAAATTAATTTTTTGTGGAAATATTAACCGCTACGGCAGAAATAGATGTGCAACTTTTCATGCCAAAATTCGCAAAAAATTTGTCGCATTTTTGCCAGAGACTATGGAAATTGAGGAGAGACGGTCAGAGAAAAATTTTCTTTTTTCTGGGTTTTCTCGAATTTTGCGCGGGAAAATTGATTTTAGTGTAGAAAAAAATTTACTCTGAGGCTCTAAAAACTCGTCCATTTTTTCATTTTGAAAATCTCAAAAAAAAAATTAAATTTTCGAAAAATTTGCGTCAGAAAATCACGGAGACATACGTTTTAGAATTTCTAGTCCACCGATGTGCCAAGTTTCACTAAAACCGACATCTTTTACCTACTATTTTCACAAGCCTTCAAGAAATTCGTCCTCCATGTCCAATATCAGTCTGTCGGGAAAATAATGTGGATTCTTGGAATTGCCCATCATCCCGTTTCGATGGCTAACCGTGGCTGAAATTTTGGTTTGCGACAATGCGAGATATTTTGCTTCGACAAATCCACATTATTTTCCCGACAGACTAATATCGAACGGATTTCACCATATTTTTTTTTGCTGAAATTTGATGAATTGCATATTTTGTTCCTTCTATGATATCATATCCGCCCTGTTTTCCAGAAAACTCTCCTCAAAATTGCCGTTTTTTGCAGGAAATGTACGTATCCTGCACTTTATTTTGTATTCTTTCCTACTTTTTTTTTGGTCGTGAAACTGACCATTGAATGACGACGTCTTCCAAATGCTTCGAAATAAAGTGGCTTTGACGGGTGAAGGAGAAAAAATTGGGCGTGAAGGCGATGTTTCGACCACAAATAGCACTTGTTTTGGCTTGATTTTCTAATTGAAACTTTTTTGCCCTTAGGCTAATTAAGTGAAAAAAGAGCTGAAAAGAGTGCGAGCGACAGCCCAAAACAGCCATTTGCACAGTGCAAAAAGATGAAGATTGCACAGTGCAAAGTGAACGTTTGTTTTCGCACAGTGCATGTCGCCAGGCCGACTTTTGTCGTTTGCACGGTGCGAAAAAAATCAGGGTGCGAGCGACAGCCCAAAAAAGCCATTTGCACGGTGCATTAGCAGAAAATTGCACAGTGCAAAGTGAACGTTTGTTTTCGCACTGTGCAAACGCCAAAAATCAAACCGGCGACATTGCACTGTGCGAAAACAAAGCTTTGCTTTGCACCGTGCAATTTCTTGCTTTTTGCACCGTGCAAATGGCTTTTGGGGCTGTCGCTCGCACCCTGACTTTTTTCGCACAGTGCAAACTCCAAAAATCAAACCGGCGACATTGCACTGTGCGAAAACTAAAGTTCAGTTTGCACTGTGCAATTTTCGGCTTTTTGCATTTCTCATGGCCTTTTTTGGGCTGTCGCTCGCACCCTGACGTTTCTTCGCACTGTGCAAACGGCAAAAATCAAACCGGCGACATTGCACTGTGCGAAAACACAAGTTCAGTTTGCACTGTGCAATTTCTTTCTTTTTGCATTTCTCATGGCCTTTTTTGGGCTGTCGCTCGCACCCTGACTTTTTTCGCACTGTATGGACTGATAAAAACGACTGACAGGGAAAGTACTCCAAATGCGACGCACAGATTTGGATGAAACTTGGCACAAATTTAGAATAATTTTTTCTATGCGAGAATCCTAGCTCGCGCTTTGCAGAAACAACCGAGATTTTTAGATCGAAAGTCGGCCAAAATTTTGGACTTTTTGCCGAATTTCGGCACGAAAAGTTTGATGCCTATTTCAACCGTAAAGGATAATGTTTCTACAAAAAATCAAATTTTTCCGCACGAAACTGCCAAAGTTATGGCCAAAAAACGTTTTTCTCTCTGACCGCTCTCCACGTTTAGCATGCTCTCTCGGCGGCAAAAATCGTTCGATATCTCGGCGGCGCCCGGAAAGCGCGAGCTAAAACTTTCAGGAATTGATATTTAGTCCATACCCGACGTGTGTGCAAAATTTAAAGAAAATCTTAGCGTCGCACTTGGGGTACTTCAACCTGTAAAATTTTTTTTTCGAATTTTCTAATTTTGTGCTTCTCAACTTCTCTGCCCTTTGTAAGCCTCATCTCCCCTCCACGAATGCCCCCAAATGCTTTTAAACCTTAAGATTTTTACGTGTTCTCGAACCAAATTCCGTTTTTACCCAATTCGGTGCCCAAACCACATTTCCGGGTCTTTATGAAAATTCCCTTTTTTATATTTTTTTATAGGCTTCTTATGCATTTTCGGCATGTTTCCATTCATCCGAGGGCTTTGCAGCCAACTCAAGTGCGAAATGGAAGCCGGGTTTTGGTGGGGAGAATGCCGGGAAGGGAGCGGTTGTAGGGTGGGGAATGATGATGTCAGTGTGTCGGAAAAATAATGTGGATTCGTAAGCGATAATTGAAATCGGCATTTATCGATTTCAATTATCGCTGGATGGAGATTTGGCGCGCTATCGGGACAAGACGAGAGATTTTTTTGCGAAAAATCCACATTATTTTCCCGACAGACCAAATTTTAGTTTATACTTTTCTGGGTCATTTTTCCCCGTATCTTTGATGTTTTAAAGTAAAATTTAAATTTATATACATATTTAAGTCTGAAAAAAACTTTTCTCTGACCGTCTCCCCATTTTCCATTATATCTCGTCCGCAAAGTTTGTCGAATATCTCGGCCGAATTTACTCCGTTAAAGCTAAAATTTTGAGGGATTGTTAAGCAATATATTTAGATTATTGCCCTAAAATTTGATGAATTTTGGAACAGTACTTTTTGAGAATTAAAAAAAAATTTTTTTTGGTATCGACCCTCGCCTAAAACAATGTCTTTCCAGACCTATTCCGGTCTGTTCTGTGTGGTGATCGGCCCCTACAAACGGCTCCCGATCTACACCGACTCGGTGGCGCGCATGTACATGGGGAAACGGGGGAAAAAATAAGAAATCCCGCCTGTTCGACGTCTCCGAAGAGGCCTATCTCAAAATGCTGCAGAAATTTGAGAAATTGAATCGCTTTGCCCACCGATATTGTGTTCATTATTTTCCCGACAGACTGGTATTTCAAACCCTAGTGATCTTTTTTCAAAAAAATTGCGTTTTTCTCCTCTTTTGCGATAAAAGATCTCTGTAAAAATCGCATTTTTTCGAAGCTAAAAATTTTGTGTCTCAACACGAAAATCTCAAAAAAAAAAAAAAAAAAAAAAAAATTTTTTTTGCTCTATTTCTCCTTCCAAGAAAACGGCTTCAAAAATATTTCTCATCGTCAAGTGCTTCGGATTCGTTGAACTTGGAACGGTTACATTTCCGCCGGTTTGGCGTGGGACTGGGAGATTTAAGTGGCCGGCTGTGTGTGCGGAAACCGCCCGTGATAAAGGTCCGAAAATAAACAAAAGTTTGTTTTTCGGTCTGCGAATACTGTCCTTGTAATTTTTTACGCTCCAAAAAAAATTTTTTTTTGATTGAGGTATACTGTAGTTTTGGCAAATTTTCAATTTATTTTTTTTTGACCGGTATTGCTAGTATTTTCATAAAGTGCATAGACTTTCGTCTCAAATTTTCCGCAAGTAATATATTTTTTTAATTATGTCGTCGCAAATTTTGGGCGGCGACAAAAATTGCACGGTGCAAAAAAATAAAAAAAAAAAAAGAAAAAATGCACTGTGCGCCGCTAAAAAAAAGTCTACGCACTTTATGGAACTACTAATAGCGTTTTTATAAAATGCGTAGACTTCTTCGCTGTGTATTTGGCCTTTGCTTTTGGATCCTTTTCAAAAAATTTTTGCCTTTGCTTTTAGATCCTTTTTTAAAAAAGTTTATTGTTTGTTTGAAAAATCAAGTGCACTGTGCAGTTCACCTTTTTCTCGCATTTATTCGCTTCGCACAGTGCATTTTGAACTTTTTCCCACGCTTGTCGCCAATGCACTGTGCATTTTCTCTTTGCGCACTGTGCAAACCTCAAAAAGGCCGTTTGCACTGTGCAAAATCAAAAAAAAAGTGAAATGCACTGTGCACAAATACAGGGTACGTTTTTTGTCACT